TGCAAGCAGGTAATCAAGTAAAGGATCAAACAAGGAATCAAACGAGGTTCCAACTGGTCAAGTGGGATGCAGCTTATTAGTGTAAGGAACATAAACCATTGAACGTAGGTATGTATTAGCAAAGAATAAGCTGCATGGGATGCAGCAGCTGGGTGCGGGCAGAAGCCCCTATTTATGATACTGCCTACTACCAACACGACTGCCAGGAATCGGGAGATTCCTGACGGGAAGTTCCATATGGAGGGATCCTACCGGCAAGTTCATGGGAACATGCCGGAAGGTTCCTGACACATGCCCGGTCATGGAGCCACGTTGTTCCGAGTCGTCCCTTCCCCGAATGCCTCATGTATTCAGCTCAGCTAGTTCCGCACCTATCGTAGGTCAATAATACTGTTCTTTTCCTTCTTCTCTGTTCACTACTTTGGCCGTAGGGTCCTCGGCGAGCCCTCCACGTAGTGGTGTTGTGTTGACGTGGCCTTCGCCCTGCATTGCATCCCTTGCACCGTCACGGCACGGTGCCTGGCTCGATCCCCTTTACAGTAGATGATTGAGCGAGTGATAAGAGGATTTTCTTTTTGTTGCAGAGTGGCAGCTATAGTCCGCCGTATCCCGCTATGCTTGGAGGACGATCCCGAGTGAAGGATGGAAGGTTCCTGTATCTAGTCAGGCCTCGTTAGCATATAAGGGCACTAGAATCCCCCGTTAGATAGTTCCTTTCCTCTCCATGGGAAAATTGCTTGACTACGAGTCATAAACAAACTTGTCTTTTTACTAAGCTCCTTTGTAGACCGTCACACCAACGTACCCCCAGCACTTCCGCAAAGACAAGAAAAGCCTATATAGGCGGGTGCAAGATTATAGAATTGGGTGATCGGGAATAAGATTATGAATCAGCTGCTCTCCTGTGAGCTCGCCCTTAACCACTGTCCCGAGCCGCCGCGATCTGAAATCTCTCTGTTGTCTCCTGCGCCAGAATTCTTTTTCACTGGCCTCTCGTAGTGTGTCTCCCCGTCTTTCTTATAGTTTTCTACCCGGCCAACCTTTAGCATCTCTTCTACCTGGCCTTTCTCCGTGACCGGCAGTCCAGCTATCTCTTGCAGATAAGGAAAGCAGACCCTGGCCAGAAAGAACTTCGCTGTACGCGATGCGTGTTTGAGATTAGTTAGAACATCCCGTATATATTATAGATATGCTGTATGATCGGGTTCCCAGTGCTTACGTCACAGAACATTATAATATGATTCCTGAGACCACCACACAGCGTGCTGTCACCGTCGGTGGCAGGTGCGCTTCTACCACCTTCCGCTTTTGGCAGAGCTCGGTACCGTTGCCAGTCAATCCTGGGAAGGTTATCCACTGCGCCACCAGAAGACTAGAATACCAAGTCCCCAGACTTGGCTGCGCATCGCTCTTCATAGTGGTTCTTCGTGGTCAGTCAGACCGTCACATCGCCGAGGACCCTACGACCAACGTAGTACACGAAGTTAAAGAAAAAGAATGATATTCTTCTTCTACGATACTTGAAGATCTAGCTGAGCTAAATACATAAGACATTCGCGAAAGAGATGGCTCGGGATAGCATAATTCCATGACCGGCTGTTTAGGCATATATAAACAGAATGAAGCAGAAAAAGAGACTATATCTTAGGAACGCGATAGATGGTAGCAAGTGTGTGACAGTTACTAGTTTAATATGCTTTTATTGCTTGTGATCTGTCTATTACTTTTGTAGATTATATGGCGTACAGGCTCGAGATTCTACTTCATTCGGCAAAACGCCTGCATAGCCTGTCATTTCAATAGATAGGCTTCATCGGGTTAATGGAATTTGATTGATTGATTGATTGAGCTGCTTACCACTATCGCGGCGCTACAATGCGTCAAGAGAGGTCAGATTGGCATTGACAATAATGTTTCAAGCACTCTTGTCGAGCTCCGAGACCTTCCAATTCTGAAAGGTTTTGAGGAAGGCACGGACGAGCCACTACTTGTACCAGCAAAGAATGAAATCACGCTCAAGTTAGTTGATTGATCATCAATTACTCTAACTCTAACCACGTATTTTCGGCTCAATAGACATCTCCTAACGCATTCGTCCGGCATCGCGTACGATTTCCTTCATCCAGACTTGATTCGTTGGCGTAGCCTATCTGGGCTCCCCCCAACAATCTTTGACAATACGCCCCTATTAGAACGTGCATTTCACCCTCTCCCTTTCGAGCCTAGCACAGGCTTTGAGTACGGCTACTCCATAGATTGGGTGAGGGTTCTGATTACGCGCCTAAATTACATATGATTGGAGAACTATATCGTAAAGCATCTATGCGAACCACTGAAAATAACCGACTTGACTTTCCACCTAAAGAAGAGTGAGAAGATTCGGGCCAAGCTAACCCACTTAAGTCTCCGGGATGGCGGGATAAATCAGTGTTTCACCTCGAATAATCCCACTAGTAGATTATCTTAGATCCCGACGCGTGTGTGGCCTAAACCCGTTGCCACGACTTTGGTGGATGGGGAGCTTTTACCAACGGGCCTTCGTCTTCGAAGATACTTACTTCTCTTCTACGAGACGATGAACACGATAGACAGCTTCTTCAGTCCGATACCATCAAGGTCATGTTCCAAGCTCAATTGTCAGTCGCCTCCAAGGCGATGTGAAACCAGCCCTATCCAAACCGGACGATAACAACCGTCTCGGAGGGTCACCCTATGCGTTGCAGAAAAGTTGGGGACTAGCAGGCTTAATCATGTTGGAAGATCATTCAACGGGGCAGAAAGCCGACACCCTTCGATAATGTGGCCTATCAAATTTATACTGATGGATCGATCTCAAGGCAGGGCTATGCGGCCTGTATGCAAGCCTGCTCCTGCCGACAAGGGACCGGCAAAGTATTGAGTGGGCTCACAGATTCGAAGACGAAATGTATAAAAAACTGAAGGCATGCCGTTCAGAGATGCCAATTTGATTGTAACTGTGCGAGGCTGACCAATTCAATCCATAATTTGTGAAGATGGATAGTTAGTCCCACCGAGTAACTTCAACGTCCCATTACTTGTAGGCCCGCTTTCAACCCTGGATACCTGCATTTAGTTAAGTCCATTTGACAGCCTTTAGGCTTAATCTCAGAATTCAATGTTACTTTGGGAAGTGGAGTTTAGCATTCCGGATCCCCGGGTGATGTGGTTACATTCCATGCCTTACCCTGCCGCATGCAGCGAAACGGCCGGACAGAGTGAGAGCCGCCAGGAATGGACTCCGCAATGGGAAGACTTTGGCTAGTGGAGGTGTCATGGAACCTCGAAATGATGTCCGGCTCTGCCGCAGGTTCTTTGAAGTACCAATTTTCCAATGCCTACTAGAGGGCTGGTTAGCGCTGGACCCTGTATGTCAACCATAGGCCTAGGGTTAGCGAGTGTCCCGAATAGCGAGGCTGTACCTGTTCAGGGATTACATTCTCGATACCGATGAGATCGATAAGTGAGTCCTACCGCCATGAGCAGCTGCTGCCCACCTGTAGCCGGTGAGCTCTCTGGTCATCGTATGGTGGACTCCATCATTTCCGATCTTCTTGCACTTGCAGACAGTTACCAACGACAGACCCAAGTGCTCCTTTCCTATTTTATGCCAGAGATAAGGCGAATCGCGAAAGGCGTCCTGAGCGACCCGGAATGTGAGGGGGAATGTGAATTGCTGATCATCGCAAGGCAATGTCATCGGCAGGCAATAGCATGGGATGGCACCTTAAACTGTGCCCACTACTTCTGCCCTCTTAACGAATCTTCTCAAGATCAGCCGCTTGCTCGGGGTGCTCAGCGCACTGGAATCATGGACCATGGGGCACCACTCAACGTTGAATCTCCCGGAGCGATCCTGCATTCCATAGGGGGGCAGGAAACAGAGGGCCGACAAAAAATCGAACAGATATGGGTTACACTCTGGACGGAGATACTGAGGAACAGCCCGGGCCCGATCTTATTCGATCCCCCGATGAGTCCGCTTTTCAGCTCCTTCGACTTCCATCTAGATGCAATACCCCGTTACCTCTTTCGAACCTTCGACCCGAAGAGCTTTGGAAAGAGTGACGAGGAAGTGGTGGCTTCCCCAGCGAGCGAGAGTCGGACAGTGAACAGCAGAATTGACATACTGAGCCAGGAAAAGGGTTTTGCCATGTCCGTAGTGGACCGGCATATGAATCCATGGAGGGTTAAGGATTACGCGAGCCAGCAACCTGACAATCTGATGTCCTGGACGTCGTCCTTGCTCTACGCCATCCAGTATGCGCTCTATCGGCGTTATCACCACGGCTGCAACTCGAAGGATATCAAGATCTGCGTGGTGGATACTCGAAAGTTCCTTCGAGGGCAGTTTATCCATGCCAAGCGGCTTTTGCAGGCGTATTATACTCTCGTCAAGCGGGCTGATATGCGGCAATCTTTTGACCTCCGCCTTCTCGTCTACATCTACCAAAATGGAGAGTACCTGTCGCAGGGTCAGCTGAATCACAAGGGGCGATCGCGAGTGATTTCGCTGGCCCAGCTGGAGGAGTCCGGTTTGTATTCGCTGTATCCGGAGTTTGCAGATGTGCGGCGTCATACAAAATGGGCCGTCACCACGGCGTACCTTCGCCAGCTATGGACGATGGAGCAGATAACCACCTACAAAGAGCTGGAATGGGCGGTAGCGTTAGCTCGGCAATGCTTCGGAGGCTTCGGGGTGTTGGATATTGCCGTCATGATTCTCTGCTTCAAGGAACGTGTCGTTGGGCGGCGCATCACTAGTGAGACCTGCATTCTTGGAGGATTTTTCTGCAATCCCTTTCTCATCCGTTATCAGCAGACAATAATTTAGTTCCGAATCTAGAGACACCTCTGCCCGAATGGGGACGCAAGCCACAGGAGGTTCAGCAATACCTCATAGCCTCACAAGCTCTGCGGTCTCTGCCGCGAACTGCCTTCGGCGAGGCCTCAGAGGAAACGGACGAGAAGGTACTCCAGGCGCTTTGTGGCTGTTTCCAGGTTCAGGCATACGAGTAGATGCCATCATGGCATTCCATCCGAACATGGATCGCCAGGCTGGGGTTTTGCAGAGTTTAGATATGTACGACAGGTATCTACAGCACGCCAGACCTCTTTCTGCGGAACAAGGGCTCGGGCAGGTGCGACAGGGCAACGGTTTAGATACCAGCACCTACTTGTTTGTACTACTGGATCACACTCGGAGGGAGATTTAACCACCTAATACACAGCCGTCTATACGTGCACCAATCCTCTGCCCCGTCTACCGATAATTGGCAGTTGATAAACAGCCCTTAGGTCTAACTCATACTCAAGTAATCAAAAGTTGAAATCAAACTGAACGAGAAACACAATAGTGGTGGTCAAAGGCCGAACAGAAAAATCTCAGCTCGCTGGCCGAGACTGCCAGTCCCACTCCTCGAGAATCCGCCGCATCGCCGCGTCGTGCCCGGCAGTACACCGTAGATAGGAACAAATGGCAGGGCCCTCGACGACAGCACGATACCGTATCCACCAGATCAACCGGCCTGCCCGCTCGTACCACAGTGCCAGCAGCACCAAGGCCACGGGATCCCTAGCCCTCAGCAACTGGGCAAAGCAGGGCTGCATACGGGAATTGAATACGAGTGCATGAGAACGAGCCAGGCCTATGTCCACACATTCGACGTAAAGTCTGCGAAGGTATTTGAAGGCTTCCTGGTATGGGTTCACGTCAACCAGCGGGGGAGGGGGGAATCCGAGGAAGGACTGCAGGCAGCAGAGATGGTAGAGATCTGACAACGCTTCATCACCGGGTACGAAGGAGAGCGGGCGAGGGTCGCAGAAATCGCCGGGTCCCCAAAACGCATTTTGGCGCGGCGCGTACATGAGGCTATACTGCTCCGACATATCGTGGAAAAGACTGTCAGGTCGCAGGGGGTTCGTGAGCTTCCAAAGTGCCGATTTGGTCAGTCTCAGGCAAAGCCAGCTCAGCTCGCCCGGCCTTAGCGACCAACAGTCCTCGGTCGTCGTCACGGGGACCGAGGTGAAAGCCAGAATGCTGAGGAATGTGGTGGTGGCCCAGATGGTATCGCGATCGTCGAGCTGGATGGGGCTCGACTGAATAGAGCGCTGGCGATTGAAACACGATACCGCTCCCGAGTGCCTGGGGTAGTCGGCCTCCCGCAATTCAAGTATCTGTCATGGGTTTCCGTAGATGGAGAATGGCATGCATACGATATGGGGTCTACAATCCAGCTGGTCAGCCATCATTACTCTGCGTCAGTCGCCGGCTGCGAGGCCACTCACCCCCATGGCCCCTTGCAGTAATGGCTGCGGAGGCACGTTGATGGCGGTTTTGATCGTGCGGAATTGGAACCGGCCAAGTCTAGCCAGGCATTGTTCATCCAATTCGCAGGAAGAGCTACCATCTGTCGCCACCAGGGGCGGCGGCATTTTGAACTCCTGAGTGAGCTGCAAGTCTGTCGAAGGACCGGCGTAGTCGCAGACCACTCTGTACAAGCGGCACTTGGCGCATCTGGGCTTCGCTTCGTCACACTGACAGTCGAACTCGTTAGCTCCACTGGTTTGAAATCGGGGACGACGGCGAGATTACCTTCAGTCGTCGCAACTTGCAGTTCCGGCAGCCGTGGCGGGATTTGCGATGGGTGCGACGCTGTCGCCTCCAGGGCGCCTGCACATCCGAAACTACAAGCTCCATTGTCGCTGAAGAGGACGGGACTCGGTTCGACAGAGCTGGATGACTCGCCGAGGAGAAGGAGAGAGTGAAAGGTACGACGGCGCCACACCGTGACGGCATCATTGCTTCACTCCGTCAGGGGGACCGGGATCAAGTGCTCGGTGATCTCCAGTTCCCCCGTCGTCTCGTGCCGATATCGTGCACAGACAAGCCTTCCCTCGCCCACGCGCTCCGTCACTGCCAGAATGACGACGCAGAATCGAGCTGCTTCGGGCACGTCCTCAAATCTCATCCCCGTCGAAGCCCCCTGCCCGGTCGCAGACCTCGCCGCTTCTTCCTCCAGCCGGCTGACCTCGTGGACAAAGTGGCCCATCAGGGCCGGCTCCCACATGCCTTCTTGACAGGAATACCGGGATAGCAACGAGCTAGCTCGATGTCGGATCTCGCGCTGGCGACACTTGATCGCCGTGATATAGAGAGAGGGGATCAGACCGGAGTCGAGCACAAACGTGGGCCCCGTGGAGCGGGCTGTGTCGTCAATCAATAAGCTGCAGAGATCGACGATGCGTTGAAATGTGGAGGCAAATTGGTCGCAGTAGGTTTCGCGGTCGTTGTGGCAGGTGGTAAGCTGAAGAAACACGGAATGAAATTGGATCTCCAGAAAAGTGCAAGACTGAGTGTCGTCGGAGCTGCTCTGCGTCAGATGCTGAAAGGCATCCAGCCAGTGGGCCAAATCCCTTTCGAGGGTTCTCATATTCGCGAATAGGGCTGCATGCTGGGATGCGCGGAGCATCCTGATACCGGCGAATTCCATGCAACACCGCCAGGCTGCATCGCGCGGAGAATCCCGACAAAATTGCCCACTGAGGCTCAGCAGGTTCCCACGGATATGGTGGGCCCTGCTTGTGAGGCAACCCAGAAAGTGTCGAGCTTCGAGGAGGTCACTAAATCTCGAGGGCAAGAGGCGTCCCGGTCCGGGGGAGTCCAGGGCCGAAGCTATTCGGAAGGCTGGGGCTCGCTCACCGAACGCGGTGGAATCCACGTCCAGTTGCACCAAGATCTCCGTGATCTGCTCCACGCCCGTCGGTCGTTCTCGGGTGACGAGGAGGCACTGGTGTTCGCCGTTATCGATTCGGCGAACTTGGCTGGGTATGCTGGCCAGAACACGGAGGCCATTCTGCAGATGCACCAACACCCCGAGTCGGTTCCCCTGCAGCATTTCCAAACATACGAACAGGAGACAGGCGACCAGCGCGATTTCGGGATTCTGTCGGTCATGCTCAAAGCGATACAGTCGCTCGCGTAGCTGGCGGATCGCTTTGACATACTGGGCCAGGGCAAAACTGCGATGCGACTCCATGCAACCCGGTAGGCGTAGGGACGGACTTTGGCCGCGCGTGCTGCGATGCATGGCTCCCACGCCAACCGCTGCATGCATCACCGCGAATTCTCGATGGGCCAGAGGCAGAATCAATCGCTGCCAGATCGCGGAAGCAAACCATCCCTTCGCCTCCTGACTGGTATGGTCTCGGAAGTAGACAAAGCTCTCAGCCTCGGCAGGGCTGAGATGGGGGAAACAGCCCACCGCCGCGCACGGGGCTGGGGACGAGTATGTCCTGGGAATCAAGATCCGCTTCGCGATTCCGACCGAGGAAACCTCGTATCCGTCGCACTTTCTGCCCGTCGATGAGCATCGGTTGCAAACGGGTCGTGCTTCGTCACACTTGACGCGTCGGATCCTGGAGCAGCGTCAGCAGGACCCTTCATTTGGCGGCAGATGAGAGGAAATGCCGTACTTACCGACACGTCTTACAGCCAGTTTTCGATCTAGCGCCCGTCTGTCTCATCATGGCGCCTGGATGGCGGAGAGCAGACAGAGGTGAGAGGATCGTTGGTTAATGGTGAAAGGGGCAAACGTATGTCAGTCGTTATAGCCGGCGCTACTGTTACCTTCTTGGCCGGAGACTAGCCATTATTAGCCTTGCTTTTTAGTGTCGGATCTCCTGTCATCCGCCAGACTTCTTTCGCCTCATTGGCCGACGAGCGAGCGGTCCAATTAGAAGCTAAACCCATTCACTTTGGTGTTGGTTTGTAGATCGAAGGGCTGGTTGACGCAAAGTAGGGCCCGGCACGAACTGCCAGAGGGAGGGAGTATAAATCGCCAGTCAAACTCCCCAGGATCCTGTCCTTCTGCCACTACGGTCCCTTCAGTTTCCTGCATATTCCAGTCCTCGCCATGCCTGTTCCTATCCAAATCATTCATATCCACTATCGTGGGAAGTTTCTCAACCTCCTCGACTCGGACAATCAGACGCCTCTCTACCGCGTCAAAGTCGGTTCACACTTGCCGCAGATGGAGCTGTTCCGCGTCGAGCATGGCCATCTACCCTCTGGGCCTCGGGCAGTCCCGTTCCCTACGCCGTCCGCTCTCCCGATTTGCACTGCTGCCTTCAAGGCCGTCAGCCTGCAAGTGAAGCTCAAGGTGCGCGGCCAAGAGGTCCGGCTTGAGCGCGAGAGCCTTCTCACCAGAACCTACAACTTCCACAGCCCCGCGGCCAACGTTGATTTGACCTGGACGGCCGACGGAGTCCTGACCGGCGACTACCAGCTGAGCGTCGCTCACGGTGGCGTCATTGCGCGTTTTCGCAATCGGCTGTTTTCCAACCAGGAGGTTGGTACCTTTGAATTGGTGGGCGATATCGAGGACAGGTTTCGGGATGAGATTGTCATCAGCGGGCTGGCGATGCTGGCGATGGTCCAGAGCTTGAACCTTGCTGGCATGGTCTTGGTCGGAGGGAGCATTAATTGATTGCCCGTTCGGCCAGGTGTTTGGTTTTTATAGTCATGGTCGGATGTTTCTAGGTCCACCTTCATAAACGGGGACGTACATTCTGCTAATATCAGTTACTGGAACTTGATTTCCGGTCTTGTACTCCGTATGCTCCGCCAGCTCCGTCATGGTGACTCATGACCCCTCTTCGGTTTCAGTATTTTAGGCCCGCTCTCTGCTTGGCTATGCTGTATCGCACATCATACATAGATCTTTCAAAATGCCGAGGTCTCTGCCACAGCTGTACGAGGGATCCGACGGCCTCTTCTGCAATCTGTGCGGCGGCAAAATCGGAGGTGACGACGAATACCTAGCTAGCAGTCCATGGTCGGCGATGATCCTCGATGCGAATGACGACTGGCGCGAACAGGTGAGCAGACAGGGTTTCGCGGAAGGACAGCCCAGCGACCTGACGAGTCTTTATTTCTCGCTGCCCTGGATGTGGAACCGCTTTTACCGGGCCAGTAAAGACCCCTTTAGCACATTGCCGGAAGAGAGTCCCGTGCTAAAAACAGGTCCTGATAGTTATCGATACCAAATGGGGACTGCGTCATCAATTCAAATTAACCGGAGTGGGGATTGTGACGCCTTGCAACGTAGAGAGGGTCCGACTACCCATTGACGTTGACGATATGGTGCTGGGGGACCCGAATCTCGTCCCGGAGCGCCTCGACGAGGCATATCTAGAACCAAGGAAACATAGATCCAACTGCGATGACCATCGGTACAATCCCATCGCCTACCCTATGCACGAGCGATGCTGGGCGTTGATGACTCGCATCGTCGACGTCAAGATAATTACCGCGCATTTGAGAGAGTTCTGCCAGGTTATGTGGCAGACTCGACAGAGCATTGGGCCCCTCGGTTCCAACACTTTGGCGCACAAGTACCATGAAGAACCGTGGTGGCCCAATTGGCGGCGCATATTTGGAGACGTATCTGGTCGGTGCGACCCCTATTATGAGGCAAGGTTCACAAAGCCGCTCGAGTGCACAAACCGAATGTACGCCTTACGTGACCCCTGGAAGGTCCCCGAGATCTGGACCGCAATCAATCGCGAGAAGAAGCGATGGCTTTCCGAAGAAGTGAGAAGGCCACGCAGGCGACTTGCTATCCGGCCAACGCTCCCTCTCACGCAGAAACAACGAGTCTTGCGGCCAGTCTGGCGAAACGCTGCCGCAGTTGCTCCTCTTCCTCCAGAGCTGACCATGATCATCATCGAGTACCTGCGCTCTCCGCGAGAGGTGCGTCTTTTAATGTGGGTCTTCCCACGCTGGGCTCATTCTCTGCCTGCCTTCTACTGGCGCCGGTTGTTTATCCGCGAGATGATCTTGGAAGACGAGGATGATCAGATTCCTGGACCCGATGAATGTCACTGGCGGCGATTATTCTACGGTATCGATCGGATAGGACAGACTTCCCATGGCCTGCGCAACCGCCAGCGTATCTTGGCAGTTTTGGAAACCACGGGGGCGGCATTCATGGACAAGTTAGGAAATCACCATGAGCAGAAAAGGAAACGTAAATGGTGGGCTCCGGAGGGATTGCGAGAGATTGAATGTTCTTAGCTTCTCCAGAAGTAACTGTTCGCCCTGACGGCTTTTCTAGAGACGTATAGGCAATCAGAGCACGGGATGGCGGCGTACCTGCCTAACGATAATGATGATGTTTCGAACACAGTAGGTGAAAGACTTGATAGTATTTGTTCTACTCCGACTTCAATGGTTTCTCACACGAATTGAATGCAAGTATTACTCCATACAAGGGATTAAACACGATATCAGAAATCTGACTCGTTATAGCCCAGAGGGCGTTGTTGCCGGGGTTTGGAATTCGGTTCTTGGTGTCGTTTTCTGCCCTCAGGCCTTCTTCACAGTTCGCCCGGAAGAACAAAATGCGCTTGGCTTCTCGGACCTGACCGTGCATGTAAGGCCAACTCTGAATCGCCCACACCCAGCCCGCTTTACACGTCTTTTTTTGGTCGTTCAGTGCAAGGGCGCTGTGCACGAAGGGCAACTCTCTACATGGGAAGGTGGAATCGAGCAGTTGGCCGATTATCTATATGCCGAAGTTGGGGACCGCCAGGGCAACGATCGTACAGCTGCATACGGCGCCATCGCCGTTGGGCGGCTGGTGAAATTCTTTAAGTTTAGTTATGCCACAGGCACCGTGAGACACTGGTATCCTGGCCACGACAATGCTCCATACATGATCGGAAGAGATTGCAAGAATATCCAGCTAGTCCTGGATCATATACTGGAAGGTCAGATCATGTAATGGAAGGTCACCAACCATGAATCGCTTTTGGCGTGTGTGAGGTTAAAGACCGGCTTCTATACATCTGTGGAATTGGAGTCCTAATAGCTATAACTTCGAAATACGAGAGATTAAACAGAATTGGAGTTGTCAGCGCAAGACCAAACGCTCGATCCCCCGGCGGCGTTATAACTGTTGATAATGGTGACAATAGACGCATACGTGCCACACACAGTAAGGAATGAGCCCAGTAATACTACAAAAACGCTCCAGCACACCATAAGCGTAAGATTCGGAGTTCTGCTGGCTCGGAATTTGCCCCAGTTGTCGTAGAGCCACATGCAGCCCATGGGCTGGAAAGCCATCAGGGTTCCGAGTAATGCACCGACGAGTGCCACGAGGTCGTCAAAGACTGGAATGGCGCTGGCGATGACATAGGCGGCCACGGTGATGCCAAACGTGCATGTCAACCAGGTGCCCCAGTGGGTCACAGTGTTGGCCGTGAGGTGCCGCGAACCACGCAGGATGGTCACGAAGATATATTTTCCGGGAAGCTAAGGTGCCGTAAGCATCCAGGTCATCTCCGTTGGGGGTCAAGAGGGACAAGACTAACATGAACCACCAGCATCGTGGTCACAAGCAGACCGGGCAACGCGAACCCGTAGCAAACCTTCTTCATCAGCACCCCGGCCGATCCCAGGGCGGGCGAGGCGAGATAAGATCCGCAATAGCAATATACGACGCAGCCGATGGTAATGTAGACGGCTACCACGGTCCCTTGGCAGATCAGCAGGGCACGAGTATAGTACCGCGGATCACGCATCTCGGAGATGATGGGGAAGAAGGCAGGAGTGCCGGTGAAGGCGAAGACCAGTCGACAGACGGCCGAGATCGTTTCTACAAAGTTTCCGTCGCCGATAATCTTATAGTCCGATACCCAGGGGACGTCCTTGGGAGCCGCTGACGGGCGATCTTGAACACCCACCGAGATAGTGAGGATGATTACTACGGACGGAGGTTAAGAAAGTTCGCAACTATTGCGTCAGGGAGACAATCAGCAAAGTACCTACTGGATGTTAGGATGCATATGAGTCCGATCCAGGCCAGCCATGACAGGCGGCCAAGCGTCCGGATACTCCCAAACCCAAAGCCCACGATGGCGACGATGGCAGTGAAGATGGCGGTGCAAGCTCCGTGGGTCGAGACGGCGTTCAGTCCAATGGAAGCACTCAGAATACCCGATGCAGCCACGAATGTCCAATCTATTTCCATTCCCTGTTATCAGCATGCTTCAGGCCGGGGAGGAGTTAAGGCTGATCACGTACACAGACAGAAGGCAACGCCAAAGACCACTCGGCCGATCTGGCCAAACATCAGGCCACCGGCGTCATCGATCCCGTAGACCTCGCGGTGCTGAAGCTTGAAAACACCAATGATATAGTCCGACCAGGTCGTGGTTATCGCAACACCACAGAGCGTGATGATTCCGGGCACAATCCCCAAGGTGTCGAAGGCGCTAGGAATCGAGAGCACGCCTAAGCCAATCTGCGTTTTCATCATGAGAGCCACCGTTCCCAACCATCCGACCTAATCCAATCAAGGGGGTCATGTCAGCATGGCATCGGGTAGCGATGGAAGCCCCGTGCAGGGAAGCGCGTACATTGCGATAATTGGGGCCATCCTCCGTGATTTCTCCGAAGACGGCATCGTGGGCATAGGTAGGATCCTCCCGGACCTCACCGACCTGCATCGGCAAGGAGGGGGACTCTTCATCGGGCTTGGTCTTGTTCATTATGGGCGTCCTTGAAAAGGAGATAACAACGGAACCTGCCTTAGACCGCTTCGGGGACGGTGGGGAGTTATAAGGGGCTCGCAGCCCCTCAATCCTCGTCTCACCTATCGCGGACTATGATATAACAAGCTTGCTTCCAACTGGAATTGCTGCCATTCCGCGCCCGGAGGCTGTGATGTATTCACGCTATCAATTCCCGTCTGTCAACCATTGGACTTTCCCCTATCTCCATGGGCCCATTCAGCGGGGACAGGATAACAGGGTGGAAACCGGGGTAGCGCTAGCAAATTTCTCCATGCACCATGGCATCACTCGGAAGGCCTCCCGGTGCTCGTCGCCAAGGTGGACATTGTTATCAGGCGCTTTCGCAGTGATCGGCTCGGGAAGCCATCCGCCTTCTCCAGAGGCGGGGAGAGGGTCATGGATGGCCGAGTGTGAGGTCCTGGAGAAGGGTGTAGCCCCTCATTGGCCTTTCGAGGTCTCCATAGTTCCCTAACGCATGTTTCGTGGGGAGAATGGGTCATCTCTACGCTGGATGTACATGCTGTCATATATGGGGACTTCGACGAGTGGATGAAGATCCGCTCGGCAGCCCTTCCGACTTCCCCAGATCCGGGGTTGGCATCAATCAGAATAACAGGACTCGCGCGGGGTATCTCTCTGTCCTCGCTCACTCTCAGTCGTTGCCAATCCTTGCCTACTATCGCTTTTGGCAACTAGACTCATCTCGTACAGGAGGACCGCAGAACGGAAGCACCGGGAAAGCCTCCTATGACCCGACCCACTCGCGGCCAGACCTAGAAATACTACCAGGCGCATAGAGTGATGCTATCAGCCTACTACGAAAGATCCCTGTATTCGACTCTCTCCGAATACATGCTGTGATGTCGCTTCGCGGGAAGAATGCTATCGTGACGGGGGGGTCCCGCGGAATTGGTAAGGGTATCGCTCTCGAGCTCGCCCGTCGAGGTGCCAATATTCTTCTTACCTACCAGAGCTCTCGCATTCAGGCCGACGAGGTTGTGGCCGAGGCTCAGAGCTTTGGGATCGATGCCGTCGCAGTGGAGGCCAGGGGAGTCGATCCGGCGGCGCCGGCGACGGTGGTGAGCGCCGCAGTGACTCGATGGCAACACATCGATATTATCGTCAACAACGCGGGCACGCGGGAGGATTTCGAGTTCGAGGATATGACGTACGAGGCCTGGGAGCGGCAGTTAAACGCCAACGTGCGATTTCCCACCTTTCTGATCCAACATGCCACCCGTCATTTCGGCCCGGCGCCGCGCATCGTCAACTTCTCCAGCATCTACGCACGGGACGGACATGCCGGTTGTCTGGCCTACGTGGGATGCAAGGGGGCTATTGAAAGCCTTACGCGCTCACTGGCACGCGAGTTGGGTCATAAATACAACGCCACTGTCAATTGCATTAGCCCGGGCCCAGTCGGCACCGAGCTTTGGGCACAAAGTAACCAGGACCCCGAAGTGTCCAAAGCCTGGCAATCCACTATTCAAAATACACCGGCAGCCCCTCGAGTCGGTGAGGTTGATGATATCGCGCAGATCGTGGCCTTCCTGTCGGAGGAGGGAAGTCGATGGGTCACGGGCATGGTGGTGAACGCCAACGGGGGGTTGATGTTCAACTGATATTGAAACTTCTCCGGGTCATCGATGATGGGCTGTGCAAATGACTACTTGATCGAGCCCTATAGATCTATTTGTTTTCTTTCAATCACGCCTATTTTTACAACACCCTCTGTTGAACAGTGAACAGCTTCAATTTCTACTTCTGCTCGGGTTCTTATGATACATGCCACTGATCTCCAACCCGGAATCCTTGGGGAAAAGGATCTGTCGGGTCTAATACCATTTGCTTGAACCCCGTAATCCATGCACTCCCCTTCACCGTTGGTAGCACCGCGTCGTAGCCCCCTACGCGGGTGGTGCCTCGAATGTGGCACTCAAAGGAACTGTCGATGATACTGCGGTGATCGAACTTTTCACCCACAGCCAGCTGGCTCCGGGCATGTAGAACGGCCATTCTTGCTGAGCTGCCGGTACCGCAGGGACAACGATCGAACCGCCCGGGAGACACCACCACCGTATTAACCGCCACCTTCTTTCCCTCGGAATTTTCCTGCAGCGGTTCGGTAAACTCCAAGATGCTGACTCCGCGGATTTGGGGGTTTTCCGGGTGAACGGGAGTGAACGAGCGCTGAACGGCTTGCTTGATTTTCTCTCCCACCTCGATCAGCTTGGGGCCGTTCTGGTTGGAGATGCGAAGTCCCACAGAGGCCGCATCGACGATGGCATAGGTCATGCCACCCCAGGCAACATCCACCAACACGGTTCCCATCCCGGACACGTCCACCGGATAGTCCAGGGCAAAGACGAAGGACGGAACGTTATCAAAGGCGACGGCCTTGCACTTGCCATTCTCACAGTCCGCCGTGACGGAGACCGGCCCGGCCGCCGTGTCCAGTAGAATCTTGGTGACCGGCTCTTCCATCTTCACCATCCCCGTCTCGAGTAAGACGGTGGCGGTGCAGATGGTGTTCCCCCCGGACATGGGGGGGTATTCCTCGCTTTCCATGATGAGGAAGCCAGCGTCGGCGCGGGGATCACACGGGGGCAGCACGAGATTCATACACATGGCCGGACGTCCCCGGGGCTCGTTGAGCATCTGTTGGCGAATGTGGTCTGCTCGATCCCGGAAAAAGACCAGTTTATCGTACATGGTGGAGCAGCCCGGAGGATTGAGTACGCCGCCGACGATGACATCGCCTACCTCGCCGGCACAGTGGCAGCCCACGACGGTGATCATTTGGTTGAAATGCATGGTCCCGGTGTATCGGACTGGCGGGAAACTGATTCAACTCCAATATCTGAGCTTAGTCTGTCGGTGCAATCTGTCTCAGAACAGCAGGCTGGTTTAAATCACTGTCTACAGTCACTGTCCACCAGCCAGATGTTTCCACCCGGTGACACACGGCCCACATATCCGTAGTCCCAGCGTTGAGATAGGCCCTTATAGTCGGTATGTTTGGAGTCTTTCGGCTAGCTTCATTCTCCTCCATCGGTAACCCTACCGGTCTGGTCAACCCGCACTCCGGCCCCTGAGCCGTAGTTACATGCATCCTGGCTTTAGTCCACCGGCACGGCCAGCATCCGACCTGATATCTCCCGTAATACTCGTGGGTCGACATCTGGACTAATTCAAGCATCTCGAACTCCGGGTAATCATCGAATTAAATCTGCATATCAGGCATCTGGGAAAAAACCTCCCATCTAGGTTAGTCGCTATTCGCGTATCCACCGTAACTACGCGGAGATGCCGGAGATATCTTGAAATGTACATCTGCTATTTCCCTTATCATCCTGCTATCTTTATATTCTATCCATGATGCGAGTAGAGCCCTTTTACCATGACATTCCAAGTTGTTCCTACATTAACCGTGTTTTAGTTCTCCTGGATGATGCTTGATAACCCAGCTACCTGGGTAATCTCACTGTCCAGAATGAAACCATTTGGCACCTTCTCCCTATTAACATGATGTGCCCTAGACTGGGCTGGAATTCTTGCTCAGCCAATGGCTCTGTTATTCTTCTAACCCTTCAATTATGGAGGAAAGGAAAAGGACATGAGTTGGGGGGCTAGTCGACATTAGTGCTTGTATCATACAACCATTAATGCCGCACTGACTAGCATGGGTTGCTGGCAATCAAGCTAGACGTGTTTCTCTCCGACCGAAGCTTCATCCTACCTAGTGACGGCTTTGTTCCCACTGCGGCTGATCACTGGCCAAGTATCCTGTTAATGAACACCACCATTGATCCAATCGATCTGGTTTGCCGCACTGAAGTGGAATTATTTTTATTCTCTACGTCTAACTTCAAACCCCTAGATGCTTCTGAACTATCGTCAGCTTAGCCTCCTCCCCAAATAGACCCTTCAGACATGCTTCGTGCCGGTGAAGCAACTGAGGCGATTAAATGAATAAAGGGTCAACCATTATAGACGTGCTGCGATCAGCATGAAGACTTGCCACAGTCGTCGTATCCAGTGAAGAGTGAGTCTTATGGTGCATTTATCCTGCATGGACAAGCAGCTTCTGACGTGATCATTGCTAGTTAAGGCATTCCATGCATCTACGTCTATTAACTCTGCAACGGCAAATTCAAGAATACAATATAGGCCGCCTTCGCGGTGCAATGCAACGGCCCTCGGCTTAACAATAGCGATTAGAGAAATGAACTTTCCGGAACGACAATGTTTGTTTCGCCTGCGATGGTCGTGATGTTTGTTAGGCACGTTCCAGTATCGGAAGAGTCGGATCCGTTGAAGCAAACCACCACCTTGGCCAATTCTATATCACGAAGGAGGTAAGCTCCATCAATGCAGCAATATCGGTGCTATCTCCTTCCTCAAAATGTGCCTATAAATGCCTTTTTCAACTCGCAACCGGGCAAGCCTGTTTCCCTTCATTCGTTGGCCAATGACCACGGTCTCTAGCAACACCGTTTGCTCTTTGCTCTTGAATACAATAATATCAACATGAACCAATATTCGATCCCTGTTTGGGTCATTGTCCACCCTCGGCGCGAATGGACCTCTAGGCTCAACTTTTACACACTTGTCCTGCAGGCCCTGGCTGAGGATAATTTTCAGATCGAGACACGTCAGAACTCTATTGTTCCTGGGTGTGTCACTGGGTATATCATTCCAGCCCAGGCACAGGGGACCGTCTCGATCCGCCAGCAACGTAGGAAAATTCGAAGGATAGCAGAAGACACTGTCCACGAATACTTGCAACAGGCTCGAGATGAAGAATATCAGAGTAGTCAACAGCGTCGTCCGTCTCGACCGTCTCATGAGCCAACGGGGAGATATCGCGCATACCGACCCTCCTATAACTGGAGATAGACCCTTTCAGACGTATTTCACTCACCAGTCGCTCTGTCGCCTATTATCTCCCCTATGGCGAAGGTTTACCTTACTTTCCACATTACCTGTACCAGTCCAGGCAATTTATCGAATTGAATCTCATTCCTCGTCGTTTACCTTGTAACAGATTGGTTACTTTCTCTTCCAGTAGGCTCTTAAGTCATCCATTGACAATCATAAACCAAACCAAGGCTTGTGTCATCGGTGTTAGCCTTTGCGGTGTCCTCTCATGTGTCCTTTCCTGGAACTTCACGGTAGATAGCGCCAAAGGCCGTCTGGTTTGATAGACAGAATCAGCCAGGCAGCTGATGTTGCACGCCCTCTGATAGACTCCGGAAGATAATGCCAGGATAGAGGAGATGCCCAGGTTGGCAATCAATTCACATTGTGCATATGTACATATATACCTCCGTTCGGGTTCAATCAGGTTGGATCATCACCACCCATCCAAATGACACTGACCTTGAGTGATCCTTCATTTTTGCTCTCACTATAACTAAATGCTCTTTATGCGGCAAAATCAAAGAATGTCTCGATGCCGATGTGTGATGGTCCACTGCCCCGTGGATTCGGAGTACACAAACCAAGTCGATCTATTCAAGAAATCGCTGTTGAGCATTCCGACGGACGAACACCCCAAGGGCCAGGCTGATGGTCGAGTCGCTAAAGTCTTGCCTAGAGGAGAGAAAACTAACGATGACTTCTCCCTGATCCTCGCAGTGAAATGTGAGACCTCTGCCGAAGCCAAACTCCACGATCCTGGCCTACAGCGCGTCGCGTTCAGGGAGGCCCGCCAAGCCATCACCAAAATGTTGAACGAAGCCATGGTCCAGGAAGAAAAGGCCGCCGAGCGAGCAATGCATGAAAAACTTGCCTCCGCTATTACTGACTTCTGGTGAATTGTTCCTATTCTGTCCCACTGATCGATAAGTCGAGGAATAGCATAGGGACAGGCGCAATTTCATGACGTGCATTGTCAATGATATCCATTTCCAAGAAATTTCAGCTCCAAGTGACCTTGTAGGTAAATGTAATTCTTTTCCAACCTTCCTCGATCAGGCATCAGGTGAGACATCTCGTTCCAGGTGACGGTGACCGGTCGTCGGAGTGAGTGGATGTTAACCATAGATGTCAACAGGAATTCAAAGCTTGGGCTTTGAGATTGACTAATTCAGGCTTATCACACACCCAGGCAAGCCTCTTACTCGACCTGCCACTGCAGGTGCTGCATCGCGCGGTGATTCCGAGCTTCTCTCAATTTCAATGATGACCTTTGCATTTTGCCATCACTATCGACACTGTCGGAGAGCGGCTTTATGGAACCGCGCCGTAGAGTTGGTCCTTGATTGCGTCGGGCGTGTTCTCGCAGCGACGCCATAATCTCGAGATCTACAAGAGGTACAGATATCCCATTCGGACGGCGCTTCATGGAGACCCCGCATCATTACCTACTCTTAGTAATTTCTTTGCTGACCTCGGAGCCAGTGGCAGGGGACATCCACTCCTAACCAGGTGGGGAATATGACGGGGGATTCAGAGGATCGTGCGTCCATGACAGACAGGTATTCAAATGCAGTGGTGTGTATCAATCGCCCTGAGAGCTGCAGTTCGGTGACGTACAGGCCATCCACGTACTTTGGCAAGTCCCGTGCCTATCCCTAGGCTCTCTGTCTCCTTCGCGTTGTCTCAATCCTCCGGTCTCTCTTTATCGGCTCGCCTCCGCAATTATATGCGCCACTTGCTTGGGCATGCTCAAGAAGGGCGAATGAGAGGCATCCAAGCTGACAGTCGATATTTCTCCCATGCCACCTGCCATAGCCTTCTGGGCAAAAAGCGGGATAGCGTTGTCCTGCTCGGTAAAAATGTATGTGCACGGGATATCGTTCCACGGCTCGTAGGTATTGGGGATCTCGAAGGAGGCGGCCGTGTGCGGTTGCAGCTGGGAAATCCAGTGGTTCTGGGTGTCTGGAGGGAGATCATTGTAAAAGACATGTGCTGGATTCGACGCATGTGGGTCGTTCACCACCACTTGGTCTCCCTGACAGCGACGATCGTTAGAGAAATGCAATCTGCCAGATTAGATTCCCTACCCACCTTGTATTCCCACCAAGGAGGAGCCACGGCTCCGACTGCTTGCAGTAGCGACACTTGTGCCGGTATGGCGAAGGCACCCAGATAGACGACCCTTACGATTCCTCCCTGCTGAGCGACGGCCTGTCGCTGGGCGAGACCCAGCCCCTGAGCTGCTCCCGATGCCACGACGCCGCCATAGGAATGAGCGACCAGCGTGATCTGCTTGCCCTCGTCGGCCAAGCGAGCGAGAACGGCGTGCAAATGAGCCACGTCGTGCGTCAAGTTCTTCGGCGGCTGGCAATCCTCCACGGAGGGGTTGGCTACGGCCACCGATGCGACGCCCAGGGCATGCAGTTCCTGGCGGAGGTGATCGAAACAGGTGGGCAGGTGCCAGGCCCCCGGCACCAGGACGACGGTCGAGCTCATGGTCCGAGTCCGTAGGAGTTGGAGCGGGCGTGAATGGGACGATCGCTTGCGTTCGAGGGGGAGGAATCGGCTGCTCTTATCACCAGTTCACCAGTCACTGGCGAACGCATCTCCACCGTGGGTCCGCCGGGTGGGCCAGGAGGTGACTGGCTTTAGTCATGGCAGTCGCCGTTTCTCTGGAACGCACCCGCCGTGCGCTCTGCATTCATTCTGAACGAAGGAAATCGTGTCAGGAAGCTTTCTCCGAATAATCATCGGATGCCTGCGGAAGTTTCATCTCCCCAGACGGCGGGCCGCCCACGGTCGCCGTTCTGTCCGAGTCTGCCTCACGCTGGGGGGACATTTTGCTCGCTAGACTGATAAAATCCACGCGATCAATCTATACTGCTGAACTAGTTCGGCTGCTCCCCACTAGATCTAGATTGATGCAGACGCGACGTTGCTTCATTGGTCCGGCCTCGAAGCTCCGTCTAATTTATTACGGAAATTGCGCGGCTCAAGAATCAAACGACCAAACAAGAGAGGGAAAGCAGAGAAAGTCGAGAAGAAAAACAATTTGAAAAACGAACTGGGGCCAAGCATACGATCCGAGGCCCAGCTTGCAGATCGAACTTTGGCCCCAAAGGTTGTCTTCGGCCTGGACCATCCCCGGTCAACTGCAGGGACCAGTCGGCCATGCCCTTGACCTGCTTTTCCTCGCGAGGGTCTCTCATCTTTGCATAGACAGCGTCCGGGGAGAAGGAATCAAGAACGGCAGTGGTCCGCCGACCGAGATGTCTGCAGGACATGCCAGCCAACAATCGGAGAATCGCGGCGCTGCGATCGCCATAACGGTGCTGGCAGTTGCGTTTGTCGCTCTGCGCTTCGTCGCACGATACATCCGCGGCACTTCCTACGGGACTGACGATTATATACTTGTGATAGCTCTGGTTCGCACCCCTCCCTACCCTGGAAGCCATCTATCTGATCGCTGACCGAGGGCTTTAGCTTTTTGCCTTCGCGGTCTTGGGTATCAACCTAGCAAGTGTGTTTTCGCCTCTTTCGAATGATTGATCGGACAAGTAGACTGACCCCCAGATAGTGGTTCAACACGGCTTGGGGCTTCATAAGGATGATCTCCCACCGCAGAACCTCGAGACCCTCAGCAAGGTATGCTCCTCCGGTTTGCGAATGCACGGACTGGCACTCACGAATAGCACAGCTCCTAATCAGCATGGAGTGTGTCTACTGCACGACCGTGGGCATAATCAAGCTGTCCATTCTGGCCATGTACCGACGCATCTTCATCGACAAGGTGACACGCGCGGCAACGCTGGTGCTTGGGGCCGTCACCATCTCCTGGGTCATTGCCATCATCTTCGTCTCGATCTTCCAGTGTACTCCCATCGCCAAGACATGGAATCCCGCGCTTCCGGGTCATTGCATCAACCTGAAGGGCTCGTTTATCGGCAATGCGGTTCCGAACATCATGACCGACATCGCCATTCTCAGTCTGCCGGCTCGGCAGGTGTGGAGGCTACACGCGTCGCTCACCCATCGGCTCGCCGTCATCGGTATTTTCCTGTTGGGCAGCTTGTAAGCCTCGCGGTCCCCGGTGAATCGGTGGTCAGGACCGAGCTAATGTCGTCAGCGTCGTCTTCGCGAGCATCTACCGATTCGTCACGCTGTTCAGGTTCCAGCCCAGCGATATGAGCTGTACGTCTGATCTCTCCGTTGCATCGACATCGCCTAGAACTCGCTAACTCGCAGGGATAGGGACCCTCTCCGAAACCAATGCATGGTGCGTGATCGAAGTCGGCTCCGGCATCATCTCCGCATGTCTCCCAACCCTGCGGCCGCTCCTGAAACTGGTCTCGGACCGCTTCAATACGTCCCACGCCAGCCGGTCGCGAAGCCAGGGCCGGACGGGCAACAGCGCATTCGAGTCGCGGCCCCCGCGGTCGGGGCGGCGATACTGGCCGGAGGAATCAACGACGCACCTGGCCTGCAAGTCCGGTGACGAGTTGCCCCTAAGTAGCATCCTGGCGACGCGAGCCTTCTCTGTTCACTCGACACATTCACCGAATTGTTGATTGGGTTCATCGGGGGGGGGGGGGGGGGGTGTCCAAACTGCTGACGCGTTATAGAGACAAGACACAATTCGAACGGAGTAAACAAAACAAATAGAGCAAACAGAGCAAACAGAGCAAAGTAGGCAAACATGGCAAACAAGACAAACTCTCGGGCGCTCTCGGCCGACTCATTCAGGTCACCTGACCTGGTCATCGCGGCCTGAAGTCGGCCTGAATCGCGGTCGATGTGACTGGATAGTAGAGAGCTTTGCAAATATTCTGTGGCGTCCTTGTACTCGACTGAAATTCTCATCAATCGCTGACAAAGTCATCTTGTGGTGGGTCTTCTCTATATATTCATTTTTCTATATCTGTGCTTCGCTCTCCAACGCTGCCCCGGCAACTCTCAATATATATTTCTCTCCTTTTGTCTCCCAACACCGAGCGCAATAACCGCAATGCCTACATCTAAGGGCCACGGCCGGGACAACTTGGATACAGGAGGAATATTTAATTACAGTGAGTACTGTTTGTACTGATGAAAAGACGTGAATGTATCGTGGAGTGTCAACTGTCAACACAAGATTGTCTGTTCCTGTCGGCGATGGTGCACTGACCAAACCCAGATCAGAATCAGGAACCTCATCAAACAATGCTTGCCACCATGGACTATCCCGGATCAGGGAAAGCTGCTGAAGACGAGTGACGCCGGTCGACTTTGCCTGCAGCCTGTTCGCCATCGCGCCCCGTTTCACCGACACCTCGACCCACGTTATCGACGGAAGTACGGATACTACGAGTCTACGACCCAGAATGCGGACGAGGACACGGACAGGATGCTGGACTTGTCGCGAGGCTGGCTACAAGTGCGATGAACAAAAACCCTTCTGTGGCCGCTGCATGCGACTCAAGATTCGATGCCAGGGCTACGGTATTCGCTGTCGATGGCGATCGGTGCGTCCACAAGGATCAACTTCCCAGCACCGGCCGGTCGCAGTAGATTACTCGAGATCTCCGTCGCTGGGCTCTCGATCAGCCTGCCTACCCATAAATCCTCTGTCGAGCCGAGACAGTCGGCTTCTGCATTATTGGACGGCCAATCTATCGGGTCTTTTGTCCGCATCGGGCGCGCCGAGCGAGAACAATCCGTTCGTCGTTCACCTGGGCGCCATGCTGCTCGAGCCCGGCTCGTTGCAGTCGGTTGTTCTGTCCATGTCAGCGAGCCATCTGGCGTGTCTAACCAACGACTCCTCGCTGCAAGTAGTGGCTAACCGGCACCAGCAGACGGCCTTGAACCGCCTGCGAACTCTAGTCGGCGACCCCATTCAGAGTCGGTCGCAGGCGACCTTGGCGGCCGTGCTGATGATGCTGGTTTCTACGCGACTGTTTGCCGACGAGGAAGATACAACCCACTGCGTTGCAAACCATCTGCAAGGGGCGAGTGCCATGATCACCCAGTGTTTCAACGGCCACGCACGGGCTCCGTTGACATCCACGGAACGATTTCTACTCAGCGTGTTTTGCTATCATGACATCCTTTCGTCCGTCTCCCGTGGCGCGTCGCCCCTGTGGGAGTCCACTTCCGAGTTCTCTGCCGTAGAAGATATCGCTCATACGCGACGCATCACCGCGGTCCTTCACCTCGTTGCTCGCATCAGCCAGCTTCAGCAGCTCAAGATAGCGGATGCGAATCTGCCTGGTTGTTCTTTTCACGTTACGGCTGCAGCCATTGAGATTTCTCTGCAAGGACTAGGCCCCTTGTCATCCGGGGATTCCCGCGACAGCAGCTGGGAGAGAGAGATTGAGTCTACGGTGCAAGCGTATCGACACGCCGCCTTTATCTATCTGTATCGCGTGTGGTTCGATGTTGGAGCCCCGAGTCCCACTACTTTGGAGCATGTGGAGCAATGCTTGTCCGCCCTGGAGGAAGTGCCTGACACGTCGCCCCTGGCGTCGGCGCACGGGTGGCCGCTTTTTACTGCGGGCTGCGAGTCAATTCTACCGTCTCAGAGAGACTTGGTTCGAGCCCGTTTCGACCAGATGTATGCCACGCGCCGCTTTCCTTCGCTCCGGCGCATCAAGGGGGACATGGAGGAGGTTTGGACCCGCAAGGACGCCGAACAACGCGTCGCAGGACTGGACGGCATGTCGAAGGTGGACTGCATTCAGGTGATTCTACATCGGCGGGGAAGGGAGGTCAACTTTACATGAGGGGCTGGTCCGGGGAGCGCAGCCATTCAATACAGAAAGACAAAATATCTTCGACTGGCTGGTTTGATTCTAGGTAGTTATGGATCAGGGCAACAGTGAGAAATCGTGATTGTGCGCCCCTTTCAAGTAGTCATAGCCATCCTCCACCCATTCAACGCAGGGGACGACCCGGCCAAAGTTGACTTTGTCCTGTAAGCTGTTGGGCAGCACCAACTTCTGTTCGTTGCGATACCAATTGGCAAATTGAATCGTCACCAGCATGACGCGTGGGTCGTCCGTGAGGTTGGGCATTCCCGCATGCCACAGACGAAAGTCGCGAATGATCAGCGACCCCTTGGGCAGACCGGGCTGCACCGGGGGACTGACCTTCCGTCGCGCCTCGAGTAGCTCACTCTTGACCTGCTTATGCTTGACACTGCGATCCAACACGTTCCGGTCGGTGTCGATGTGGCTGCCGAGCCAGACCTCTGTGGCACCGTTCTCGCGAGACGTATCCACCAGGTTGATGTTGACGCAAAAGGCAAAGGGCATGCGCGGCATGTCAAAGTCGATATCAATGTGCACCGGCTGTCGGTCGGTGGCTTTGAACGCGGTGTTAGCGCTGTAGAATCGCAGTCGAGGGTCGGGGCCGATCATGCCCTCGATCACGGATGTGGCAAAAGGATTAGCGACGACGTCCTCGAAGATGTACTCGGCCTCGCATACGGGCTCCTGCTGGATATTCCCCGTGTGGGCGCCGAAGTTGCGATGCGTCTCGGCGCGAGCGTACAGCTGCTTCGCCTCGGGCACCATGCGCTCGTTGAGCCGATCGAGATGTTCCGGGTCCACGGCATTCTTCAGCACTACTATGCCGTCCCGATGTAGCGCCTCGAGAGAATGTTGGAGATTGTGCGAGCTGATTGTCTTGGACGCGAGCTCTGAGGGAGTGAGCTCGATCAGGGTGATTTGAGGGCTGGTAGGTTCAGGCATGATGATTGACAATTTGAGGATAAGGAAGCTGGAATACTGCGCGTGTCTTCCGAATCAATCGAATTGAAGTGGCCTATTTATATCTCCCTTCAGTTGATTGACGCCGTTTGGACCTTCCGCCCTGCAGCCAAAGGAGCGACGCATCCATGGATTCGAATCAATCGGCCATTGGCGTTGTATCGACCGAACTAGATGCGGGGAGACGAATAGCCAAGGCGTTAAAGCCTTCCCTGGCCCTGCGCGACTGTTAAACTTGCCTGTTCAGGGTAAGTCCGAAAATCCTTCGCGACGGCCAAGGATGATAAACCGCCTCTCTCCGACTGGACAAGCTTATCGTGTCCCATTCTGGGGTACATGTTGTCTACTCATCAGTGATTGACGATCAAGTATCAACGGTCTCTCGCCTCGGTTGCTGCTGTGTGCTCGGCCAGGCATGGCCAGCGACCGGGTATATAAGTCTCCCTATGACCGGGGAATGGCATTCTTCTTTTCCGTCTGCATCATCCCAATCGCCACTTTCACCATGGGATCTAAAGACCAGAAGGATATGGTCTCGGCCCACTCCAAACCTGCGTCCGCTTCGATTACCGAAGAGGCCGAAAAGAGCCTTCAGTTCACAGAGTACGAACACTCTCTTGGTTTCTGGGATGCGATGAGTCTTTACTGGCCGGCCGTGGCCTGGTCGATGTTTATCAACCTGGTATGTCTCCGTTGTACCGTCCTGGTTGGGTATGATGTTGACTCAATTTCAAGGCCACTATCTTGAAAGGCATGGTAAGCATTGCAATGTTTTTTTCCTTTGCACGTCGACAGATCTAATGGAGCCTTACAGGACGGCGGCATCGTCGGATCCCTGGTCGGCTTAGAGCCGTTCAAGAGGACGTTTGGCTACGAGTACAATGGCAAATATGTTGTGCCAGCACGTTGGATATCAGCGTTCAATTATGCGAACCCCTTGGGAGGTATTGTTGGAGCGCTTCTGTCCGGATGGGCCTATGATCGTCTGGGGCCCCGTCTCATGATGACCATTTGTTCGTCTCTCTCGATCGCGATTCTATTTATTCAGTTCTTTAGTCACACTTCCCCTCAGCTGTTTGTTGGTGAGCTGCTGAATGGCATTACCATCGCCTTCTATCCTATCTGCGCATCAGCCTACGCCGGCGAGGTGACACCACTGTCTCTGCGTGGCTTTGCTGCCTCCATGACCAACCTTGGCTTCGTTGTTGGCCAGCTCATCGCGTCGGGAATCCTCAAAGGAACCGATAGATTGGAAAACAGCTTTGCCTACCGCATACCGATTGCCACCCAATGGATCCTCCCCGTCGTCATCTTGGCCTTTATCTATTTCTGCCCCGATCCGCCCTTTTGGCTCTGCAAAAAGGGCCAGTATGAGGCCGCTGAGAAGTCTCTGCGCCGGTTGGCGACGCCCGACGTCGACGTGGGCCTCAAGCTGGCGCACATCAGAGAGATCTTGCGGCTAGAGGACCTGTTCCAGCAGAGCACGGAGAAGCTGGGCTATCAGACCTGCTTCCGAGGCCCAAACCTTCGTCGCCTGGTCATCTGCGTCATGGCCTACGACATGCAGGCCTTTACGGGCAACATTCTCTTTATCAACTACGCCGTCTATTTCTTTGAGATGGCCGGGCTGAACAACTCCAACGCCTTCTCCTTGAACGTCGGACTGACTGCCCTCGGCTTTCTCGGTACCTGCATTGCCTGGCCGCTGCTCTCGTACATAGGCCGCCGGACGGCTTATCTCTGGGGTTGTGCCGGCTTGACGATGGCACTCTTCGTCATCGGCGCGCTCGACTTGGCCCCCCGAACGGAGACCACCGCCCCTGTCTGGGCCCAATGCGCTCTTATCCTCGCCTGTAACTTTGTCTACGACCTCACCGTCGGTCCGTTCTGCTTCGTTCTGCTGGCCGAGGTCTCGTCGGCTAAGCTACGCAGTGTCACCATCGCCCTGGCCACGGTGACGTGTCACATCATGTCGCTAGTGTTCTCGGTCGTCATACCGTACGCTATGAACGAGGACGAGGGGAATTGGCGCGGAAAGCTAGGGTTCCTTTTCTCCGGCCTGAGTCTGCTATGCACACTGTATTGCTTTTTCTACCTGCCCGAGACGAAGGGACGGACTTTCGAGGAGCTAGATATTCTTTTCGAGAGAAAGGTGTCCAGTCGGAAATTCAAGGACTACGTCGTCGACATTGCGGAGCATGCTGGAGGACGTCGAGAAGTGTAGCTTAGCTTTGCTGCTACCAAATATTGAGAGTCATTCAGAAAAAAGTTGAATTCTCGAAATCAAAGCACCGGAATTGGAGAACGGATCATACATACCCGATTTCAGCTGCCATTTACTATTTATTCAAAGTTTGTAGACATTGAGGAACTATGCCAGACCCGGCGTATCTGCGATGCGGAATATATACTTGACCGCGGACGCCTTGTTGTCCTTCAGGTCCTGCAGGGCATCTCGGACTCCGTGCAATCCTCCAGGTCGCACCTCATACGGATGGCCTGAGAACGCATGTGCTTCTCCCTGAATGCCCCTCTGCAACTCTCGCGAGAACCAACGACAGAATATGTAGGAAAGTTCCCGGCAATCATTGTCTCCACTGGCTTCGTGGGCAGACGAGACCCAGGTGTTCGTCGCCACCCCTGGGGAGGCGTCTCGCTCGCCCCCGAGGACGGCATTGACAATACCACCGGGCGCAACAACAGACTTCAGGATCTGCGTAGTTTGATCTTGGACGATTGTGTCCAAGACATGCTTCAATTCCTTCCCGCGGAGAGCATCGCGGATGCCCTGAATGGTTTGCTCGGAGCCGTTGCGATAGTCGACGATAGTATCGCCCTTGCTCCGGTCGAGTAGAGGCTCAATGTACGAGGCGCCCTTGCCTGCCACGGCAATGATAGGGTGCACGTTACTCCGTCGCAGGAGCTTGATGGCAAATGCGCCGACTGCGGTGCTTCCGCCGTAAATGACGCAGGGAATGGCCGCTTTCGCGGGCATCCAGGGAAATGGCAGTGCAAGGTGATGATAAAGAGCGATCGCCGCCGTCAGACCAGCCAGCGGGATAGTCGCCGCCTCTGTGAAGAGTCAGCTTACGAGTCCACAAGATCTGCACAGACTGCCAGACCTTCGAATGATGTTTCCTTGGGCAAATGAAACGTAGTGTGGCTATAGGCAATGGCGTACTCGGCGTAGGATCCGCCGATGGCAATCATTTCATGGAAGGCACCGACGCGATCTCCAGGCTATACAATTAGCTGCGAGTTCCACGACGACGAAGAGGTTGAACGTACCTTGAACTCGTAGACATTCTTCCCGACCTTTTCCACGATCCCGGCAATATCATCTCCTTGGTTGACTCCCTCACTCAACTGAGGGTACAACTGAAGAATGGCATTGTTGGGATCTGCTGCAAGGTCCGGGCATTTCCAGTCTTTAGGATTGGAGCCGCTGACGACTACCTTGATGAGGACCTGGTCGTCGTTGGGTTCGGGGATTGGGCTGTCGACGATTTTCACCGTCGGGCCGGCAAGGTTAATGACTTCTTTCATCGTCCACGTTGATAGTGTGAGTTGTGCTGAGTTATGTAGGTGACCAAGAGCAACCCGGGGATCCCAATCCTTCAGGAGACTTAATTCATGTTTTTCAAAACTTAAACAACAGCATTGAGGAAGATTGGTAATCATCAGTGGCCATGACGTCAAGTTGTGTCCCAGATTTGGGTATAAGATGGACGCGGTGGGTACATTGAAACCTCGAGACGAGCTCGGTGGAGACTGCATAACTCATAGTTGGGTCAATGAAAATTTAGTCAGCACTCGTGGCCTTCTTCCTGATATCTCCAAATCAATGGCATGCAACTACAAACTGCCAGACTGAGCCGTGTGTGATCTTGCAGTCTCGTTGACAGCAGCCCAGAATTGCAATAGTTGTTGGCGGCCTTTGAGAACATCGCCAATTTGCACAGCTGTAGACAGATATTACTGTAGAGCTTTGCCCAACCGTGTATATCGCAGTGGCCATCAAAGCCCAGGCAAAACCTCGCGGGGATGAAGAGACCCCAGTCTGGTCCCGGCAAACCATGCTCCATATGAGATGCGCTTGCTGATCGAAGGGCTTCTGGCAGCATAACACTCCTTGGATACCGCTCCGATCTGGGTGGAGTCTCTGTCGAATTCGGGCGAGGGTCTGGGTTAGATCCAAGATAGCACTTATTGTCTGATTCCATGTCACCGTCGTCAGATGCCTGGATGAACTTGCGCCACTTTTCCCATAGTCAGTGCCAGTGGCATATCTTTGTAGCGCGGCGCTGGTCTCTTGCGTTGGAATTTGTTTGACGCTCGGGGAATACAACAATTTCATTTTCAAGACAATCAAATAGAGTCAAGGAAGGCACGTCTGAAGACACAGACCACAACTGGGTTTGCGTTAGTTGTTTATCTGTCGACATCTTTCGCATCTGGCGCAACAATGGCGGGAGTCCATAACGAGTTGCGCGAAAGAAAAGCAATCGGAGAAGGCGCCGAGGACGCGGGAGATTGTTATCATCTCACCCAGGGACCAGTAAATTCACCGGATTATCCGATCAGCACACTAATTTCCGTGCTAAAGCGTGGGTCTCATGGACGATAAGCTGGTTTGCTCAACCTACCTGATCGGGATTAGTTGGCTGTGATCCCTCGAGATAAAGGCGAAGCAAAGAGAAGAACCCAAGAAAAGATGTGCGATTACCCCGTGGCAGTCGCCATATAAAAGAGAGGTCGTGCTGGGCAGGGGGATGTCAGTCATCTGTCTCAACCTAATATTCCCACGATGCTAGCACTATACTTCCTGCCGCTTGTCACTGCTCTCTGCTTACTCTTCCGCACTCTTCGGGTGCATCGCACGGGAGTACCTGGCCCCTGGTATACTAAACTGACTAGTGTGGTGCTGAAGTACCATGAACTCGCTGGTCATCTTCGAATCTGGATCAATGAATTGCACGAGGTCTACGGGCCGGTCGTTCGGTTGGCCCCGAACGAGGCTTCTTTTGCCAACCTAGACGGCTTGAAGGAAATATACCAAAGTGGCGGAAGTGGCTACGTACGATAAGACGGGGTTTTACGACCTTTCCAAACAGTATAGCCATCGGTACGTGCGCGATCTTCCATCGGGTTACAGGGAGAAGCTAACATGGATACTAGAACCATGTTTTCAACCCTGAATAAGCACGATGTTAGCTATTCTGTCCTGGCCCGTTACATCCTAGCCCGCATTGCTAACAGGACTTATAGCATTCCCAGCGACGAAGACTGTTTGCCGATCGCTACGCCATGACTAACATTCTGAGCTCCCTCGTGGTGGATGGGATTTGACAGCGTGCGGCGAATGTCGTCGGAAAATGTCGAGCATCAATGGGGGGTCAGGTTGATGTCTACGTGAGCGAGCGTCGTCATGGCTGCGAGCTAACGAATTGCATAGCTGATGCAATTACAGAACATGCTGCATTGCTATGCCCTAGACTGCGCTTCCCACTTTCTATTCAATCCTAGGGGCACCAACACGCTGGATGACCCCGGAGACTTCACCTTGATGGAAGAACTCTCTTACCATGACACCTTAAAACGTAAGATCCTGGGCAGATAGCGCGTTATCACAGTGGCTAAGATAATATTTCTTCTAGAAAGGATTGTTCAAGGATACTGGTCTGGACTCAATAAAATTCTCGCCTTCTACCATCCGAGAAAAATGCTCTTGTCGCAGGAGTTTGTCCTTGAGCGGATCCACAACTCTCAACCGCATCATTCCGGACTCCTGGCAAAGCTACAGAGCAATTCTGCGGACCTAACTCGCATTAAAATAGCCACAGAATGCATGGATTACATGGCTGCAGGCATCGAGACCACCGGTGACAGTCTCTGTTTCTTGATGCATGAGCTGTCGCTACCTCGCTCCCAGCATGTCCAGCAACAACTTCGCGAGGAGTTTCTACAAAACCCCCTTGGCAAAATTGACGAGCTACCGTATCTTGATGCCGTGGTGAAAGAGGGACTCAGGCTATTTGCTCCTATCCCGATGATCCTCCCCCGAGATGTGCCTGGGAACGGTCGAACAATCGAAGGATATTCACTTCCCGCTGGCTCAATCGTCAGCTGTCTGGAGGCACAAGGCGAATTGGAGCGAAATCGATTACTCTTTGCCTTTGCCGCTGGCGGTCGAGGTTGCATTGGAAAGAAGTATGTCTCATTACGCCCAAAGCATCAGACTTGTCTGCTTGTTTTCCGTGAAGTGGCAGCTTTAGCTGAAAGCTAACATTTTTTTCACTGGGAAGCTTCAATCTGAAACTAATGTGGAAAAGATAAATGAAAGTTGGCATTCGGCACGGAAGGTCGTACGCCAATGGCTCTGTGAAGGAAGACAAGAGTCTTGGAGTCTGGACCAGGGAATAATCTATCGTCATGACCTTGATGTCCTTGAAATTAATTATGAAGACTGTTAGCGCCCCAAATCTGGTGCGGAGAAGCAAACAGCCAAGGCGGGCGTTTCTCCGTGCAAAATGAAGCATCCGGATTCACTTAAATACGTCGCTGAGCTCCACAGGCTCTGGATTTGAACGCCAGTCATTGACACGGAAATTCGCCGCAATGTTACTCAGTCTTTCTACAGTTCTTTCTATTGGCCTTCTTGCAATGGGGGTAGCAGCCCGTCCGAAGGCCGCTCCTCGGGGATTCGTAACAACTTCTGGCACAAAGTTCGAATTGGATGGCAAGGATTTCTACTTTGCTGGTAGCAATGCGTATTATTTCCCATTCAATAATGTTCGTTTCTAGTTGAGCACCATAATGACCCCGTCATTCCAAATCGAGGCCGCTAATGGAGTCCGCAGAATCAAAAAGATGTCGAACTTGGCCTCGCAGCTGCCAAGGATGCCGGGTTGAAGGTATTCCGCACATGGGGTTTCAACGACAAGAACCGCACACACGTCGATGGGGGCCTTCCAGACTACGGTGGGGAGGGAGCCGGAGACACAGACATTGTATTCCAGTGGTGGGAGAATGGCAAGTCCACCATTAACCTCGATCCCTTCGACAAGGTGGTCAATGCTGCGAAGAAAACCGGCATCAAACTGATCGTCGCTCTCACCAACAATTGGGCTGACTATGGAGGCATGGATGTCTATACGGTCAACCTCGGTGGCCGATACCACGATGATGTGAGCTGCTCTCCTCGCCATTTGCCAGCGACGGGCTGACTGTACCAGTTTTACCGTCTGCCCCAGATCAAGGCTGCGTACAAGAGATACGTCAAGGAGATTGTGACCCGCTACAAGGATTCAAACGTGATCATGGCGTGGGAATTGGCCAACGAGCCTCGCTGCGGCGCCGACGGGGTACGCAACCTGCCGCCCAGTGATGACTGCAGTCCGGAGCTCCTGACGGAATGGATCGACGAGATGAGCACGTACATCAAGAAGCTGGACCCGCATCACCTAGTCACCTGGGGTGGAGAAGGGGGCTTCAACCGTGACTCGGACGACTGGGCCTACAACGGTTCCGACGGAGGAGATTTCGACACCGAATTGGGCCTCAGAAATATCGATTTCGGCACGTTCCACTCCTATCCCGACTGGTGGACTAAGACGGTGGCGTGGACCGACGAGTGGATCCGGGATCATGCGCAGTCGATGCGCAAGGCGAACAAGCCGGTTGTTCACGAAGAATACGGTATGCCTGCCTGTATAATGCGGTCATTTCCGAGGCTGACTCGATCGGAAATAAACAGGATGGCTTACGCCGGAAGCACGCATGGCAAATCTGGGAACCGTTTCGAACATCACTCGTCTCGAGGCTGTCGGAGGATGGCAGCGCATAAGCGTCGAAGAGAACATGCCCGACATGTTCTGGCAGTACGGATACTCTGGCTACTCATATGGACGTAATCACGACGACGGTTTCACCATCTTCCTTGATGAGTTCGTGTCCACCTTATCTGCTGCTGCTACTCATTGATGCTGACCGTCAACTTTCTATAGCTCGGAAGCGAAGAAGCTTGTCTTTGACCATGCCAAGCAGGTTGAAAAGCTGAATCGGTGATCGGAAACTGCCAACAGAGTGGTATTTTGTCGGGATGTAACCAGGCGTTGAGGTGGAGAACGCGCATAGAGGCTGCATTCCCGGTAGGAGATGACATTACTTGTATGTCGAAGGTCGAAGGTTCATGCTATCTAGCTCCTTCTCCTGGCATCCATAGTTCGGTAGACTGAATTGCTTCACAACTTGTGGAATTCTGCCGTCATAGTAAACACTTGGTCTTCAAGCATCAGGTATCATTATCAGCCCATCAACATCGACGCATGTCATGGAAGCAGGGGCAACTTATTTAGAAGCATCCGAAGTCCAGATGATATCAACCTACAAAGAGCCACAGGCAGCCCGAAGCCTCCCTACGCAGCAAAACGTAGAGGAAGAGAGGCGAAGACGCCCAGTGATCCCAGTTTCAAGATATCATAAGGACTGGTCCCAGATGCGACAGACGGGTTGCCTTTGCCATTGCTGCCGGAAATACCAGGAGCACCGAAAGCTCCACTACCGGTCCTTTCGTCGCCGTTACCGGAGGTCGAATCGTCCGGGGTGGTGGTCGAAAAGCTGACTGTGGTAGTCGTGTAGGAAAGAGACGTTGTCGTTGTTGACGTCGACGTCGAGGTGGCGATATAGTAACCGTCAGCGCCGCATCGCTCGCTCGAGTCGCAGCATCCATGTTCGCAGCAGGTTTCTCCATAGCGACATGCCCCGGAAGAGCAGCATTTTTCGGTGGAAGGCCGGTAGCAGCTGCGCGACGAACGGCAGCAGGAATTCCCCTTGGGGCACGACCTTGAAAAATCGCCGGCGGTACAGCAGATGGACAGGATCGGATCGTATCACTTGTGGGAACTGCACTCTCGTTTATAACCATCGCAGCATCCCCCGTCGACGCAGGTATCACCCAAAGGGCACGTCTTGCCGTTACCGCAACACTCATCTTCGTCCGGGTCGTAGCACGAGTCTGTTCCACACGCGATATCGAGTTTGTCGCAGCATCCGCCACCGACGCAGTTTTGGAACGATTTGCAGCATCCACCGTCCGGGCACTCGTCTGCGTTTGCTTGTCGGTCGTTGGTCGCCGCGTTCCGGTTGTGCAGGTATCTCACGTCCTGTGCGGCATGTATTCTGTCGGGGGGAAAGGTTCAGGCCCGCGAGCGTCTCGAATCCGGTGAAGCTGACATTTCCTAAGCGCCCTGCCCCGAACTCGCCTGTGGAGCGGAGAGCGGGTTCAACGTCGCTCAGCTCCTGGGAAGCAAGCCTGGGACTGCCGGCAAGTCCCAGCCGACAAGCGGTCGAGAATCAAATACCGCATGTTTTCTGCAGTGATATAATGCATCTGTTTGGTAAGTCGAGAGGCCGAGGCGACCGCACTTTAAGGAGGCTTGCCAGCAATAAGTATTGGTGGTCCGAGCACTGGACTTCGTATCCTCCGGCCTGTGATAGATCACTAACAAATGATCATTTGAAGCTTTTCAAAGGGTTGGGCCATGATACCCCGCGAGCTAAACTATCTTGATCTGCCGGACGCTCTTGGCGAGACTATTCTCGCATTCCTATCCCCATTGAGGCTCGGCGTGAAGTTACAGTAGCACTTCGTGTAAACATCGCGGCCCAGCATGACTCGGACAAGTCCACAGTCTCGTCGCTTGGCGAAAAATGCCCTGCTCGAGTCGGTCAACACTCCCAAGAGCCGCTGACTAGAATCAGATGAATCTGGGACCTGATTTGGTTCTGCCTGAGGTTCGTGCAGAAGTAGCTTCAACATGATGGTGATGTCTAGTATGCATCAACTCCAACCACGCGCAGTCGCAGCCGCACGAGCCTCCGGCCTTCAAGTCTGACTAGTATTTCAAAAGGAGAGGCTCTTCAGGTAGCGAAAGCAGCACACTCAAACCATCCTATTTTCACAGTATCATGATGACTAGCAGATTCGTCCCTGCATCCATTCCATAATCCCGGGACATATTGCATGAGCCTTTAGAAGGAAAGTGGGAGAAATGCTGCATAAAAGAGATTCAAGTCCGCGAGGTATAATCGCAGATAATTCACCACCAGTTCAGGCGTTCGCAGAATGGAGCAAAATGCCGAGGAGCGACGCCTCCGATCCATGCCGGAAGCAACTCCACCGCGAGCTTCGTATTCAGAGATGCAGCAGACCAATGGCATCGTTTACTAAGCGATTGCCAAGTCCACGTCCTTTACTGTCAACATGCGTTTGCTGTTTTTTTGGGGCTCATGATATGCCGCCATGAGCATAAGCCCGCAAAAACTGCAGATAAGGTCGATGCCAGGCTCAACCACCACGTGAAACGCGCAGAGGCGGCCTTTGGCGATAGTGCACGGCTACTACCTCAATGTAGGCAGCGGATGAAGAATGCAGATTGGTCCAAGCTATCCGCCAAGTTCCGAGGGAAGTAAGAATAACCGGGGATGAACCTGGAGCACAAAAGGTCAAGAATCAGCCTTGTGGGTTCGATACCTGACCGTGGCTTCTACGCCACCAGAAAAAGTCCCCTATTATCCGGACCTACGAGGCGGATTGCAGGAGTGTAGGAAGGGCCGAGTTGCATTGGCGTGCTATGAGTGGACAAACACAGACCTCGTGCAAAGCCTACTGGCGTGATTGCCCCGTTCACCAAAATAGCCGCATTGCTAGCTAGCAAATGACCAGATATACCCCTGCAATATGCAAGACCAAGCGGCTAGATATATAAGATGCGCGATGCTCTCTTCAGCGCGCAGCACAGAATCTGGCGTGTATCGTTGTATGCGGCACTAATCGAGTATCCCGTCAAAAGATCGCCAGGATGGCTGACGAAACCGACTTTAAGAGCGAATTGTACAAAGTCTCTGTGTCTCCGTTTGTCCTGGAGCGTAACGGGGACTATGACAACGCCATCGTTGCATACCGCAACGCCACAGAGATATTAGGCGTGCTGGTCAAGAAGCTGAAGAAATCGACGGCCCCAAAGATCAATCGCAAGATGTTCGAGCGACAGATCAAGGTACACGGCGAGCGATTGGCCTACCTTGAGGGCCTAAAAGCAAAAGGAAGTTTCGAGGATATTATATTGCCGCCTACTGTGTTGGATGCGATGGCGGAATTGGAAGCACCCCAGGGCTCGAGGACGCTGACCTTGGTCAGTCCAGAATGAAACAAGACACGAGCGTCTGCTGATTTATTGATAGGATCGGAAAGAGCTCTATGAACATTCTAAGGGGCATGGGAAGGGGGAGACGCCGCAGGCCAGCTTGGCCCCCGCCCATCTTCAAGCGCTTGTCAACCCGAACTCCGATCAAATCCCATTATTCAGTCCCGCGCTCGATCCATCGACGCCACCGATCGTTTACCGTATCACGCACTCCTCGGAGCTGGTCGCCCTAGGCATGCGGTCACACTGGTATTTCGTCAAGGATGCCAGCAACACTCACGTTCTCTACGGGCTGCAAGTCGTGTGGAGTGATAGCGTGCCGATCGTCAACGCGGTCCTGCGTCGCGCCGGGGAGTTCCTGCCGGGCATGGGGGCCGTCGGAGTACGCCTCCGTAAGATGCCCGGGGGCAGCTTTCGCGTCGAGACTACGACCCTGCCGGACATCGGAGCCATCATAGAGACCCCAGACGGGGCGAAGCATCGAAAGGATTGGTCTCCCCGACGATTCAGCTACGGCGGGCGAAACTTTGTGTGGAAGGGCGGAGAGAAGGGCCTATTCGGGTCGTTTGTCTGGGAGACGCTCCACGAGACCAAGCGAGTGTGGGCCAAGGAAGGCAGCAAGACCGGCAAGATGGAGGACGAGACGGTTGGGCCGAGGCTCTGCTGGGGGGAGAAGAAGGGAGGCAACGGAGCGGACCACACCATCTATATGGCTCACGGACTGGACATGTATTTCCGAGAGCATTTGCTGGCCGTGCAATTGGCAAAGCTGGGCCGACAAAGCTATCCTCCTCATAAGGACACGTCCAGCGTGGAGGCGGTCGGGGCAGGATTCGCACTGGTGGGTTTTTTGGAAGCGATTTCTTAAGCTCGCCGCGACTATAGGGAGTGCTCGTGAATGCTATCTCATAACTATGGCCATGGCGTCGGATGCGTAGACACTCGGCCAATTCGGCGTGGTGAAGCTCTGGATCCGAGTCGAAGAGCCCATCTGCAGCCGGCGTAATCTCGGCCCTAAAGACACATGCGGGAGGTTAGCAAGCAATGGAGACTGGCTGTAGAGAGGGAAGTAAGTCACCCCCTGTTTTAGGCGTCATCTTGAAGGTGTTGATTGATGGAACTGCAGAGACGGAGTCGAGTGCTCGAATTGTGTAACTAGGTCACATGGGCACTAAGCTACATTGGGACAAGACAGCGGGTCCCAGAGTGGAAGGCGGTCCGCAACCGATCTGTATCCCCATTGGGACTAGTCGCTTCCCTCCTCGCGTCTTCACGATTTCCTTCTTTGGGTTCTTCCAGATTCTATCAAGGATCTCTCTCAAGGGCCAATTTCTCGACCAGGCCTGCTCCTTAACCTATACTCCCAAGGGCATCTTCGCTGGGAGGGTGGTTGGATGCCTCCCAGATACCCACCCCCGTTTACTGGGTTTGATTGACGATGCCTCCCGACATGCTCCCAAACCAACGACGGTACGTGGCTCCCGACGCAATCATCAGGCGGTTCCTCGCCGTCACACGCAAGGGACCATCTGCCAGCTCCATTACCACGGTGAATTCGTCGGGGAAAGACGCGTTCCTGGTCAAAGTAGCAAACCATGGATGAACCTGGATGGCCTCCGTCGCGCAGGAGTTGTTCAAAGCAGCTCCGTCTTTGGCCACGTACCCGCTCACATACTTGCGCCCACTCGGGTGCAGCACGTCTAGCCATACCAAAGAAAAGGGCCCCAGGCGACCGTGACCCCAGTACCAGGTCGCGACGTGATGGCCGAACGGCTGGTCGCCCCAGTTCTTATCGCGGTAGCCGACTCCCGTGAACCGAATGTCGGTCCCGTTGATTGTGAACGAGGCCGCGGCTTTCGCATCCGGCATGGCATTCGCCCATCCTACATGAGGCGAGGCGAGGAGGTTTTCGCCTGGCTGGTTCGGTCCGCATGGATAATGGGCTGGCGCTCTCTGCACGGTCATCAGACTCGGCGTTTTCTTTCCGCATGGCTCCACTTACCGATGACAACGAAAGCGTTCCATCCAATCCTAGCACGGGCGCGTTGACATGAACTGTATAGCTGCTGAGGTCTGAAGACCCGAAGAAACTGAACCTCGTGCTCTTCCAGATTCCAGATGCCCCTTGGCCATTGGTAGAGATTGTAACCGCGCCGTCGCGACCGGGCAGGTTTGGGATGGGGTAATACTGCGGAATCCCGTCCTTCCCAGTAATGAACAAATTGACAGATGCCGTGGAGCCTTCCAAGACGTAAGGGAATTCTCCCGGGGTGGACCGGTAGAGAACCAAGACGACTGACGCATTGCTGGTAGAAGACACGGCGTCAAAGTACCACCAGTCGTAGGTCGAGCCGTTCAACGGGCCTACCTTGGGAGCGTCGAAGACATCGTCGGAGATGTACCGGACGAGGACCTCGCCACTGATAACCTCGTTGGAGAAGTGGTAGATTTTGGCCTGCGTCGTGCCCAGGAGAGCTGCTGCAAATGCTGGGAGTAATCGCATTCTGTCTGTTGGGGTCTGAGTTAGGAGACAAGAGGATCGTAGGGCAGCTTCACGCGAGAGGAAGTCAAATGCTGACGCCTACACTGCCTCGTCTGGCCCAGTTCTAACCCCGTTCACTCTCGGCTCAATCTCACTACGCTACGCCGGGAAAATCTACGACTCGGGCTGATTTGACGACAGTTACTCTGTGCGACAATAAGCAGCAGGGGCTGTATTTGTCCGGAAGTTAAGCTAGATCGGCTACCGAGTCGACCCTTGGCTCGCCATCCCAATAATAGAAGCGACGCCCTAAGCTAGGGAAAGGGGATCATTTTTCTCTCCTGTTGTTCTTTCTTGGGGTTGTTTGCTGGTATTCAACCTGTCCGGCCGTTCTTGTAAGACCCTCTACACGTTGGCTTGCTGCGGCAGTGGTTGATCAGGGGCATGTCACAACAAAATTGAATTGATTCGATTAATCATTACGGCAAGATTAACTCTAATATTGCATCATTGCAGTGTTAACTAGGATTATCGCCGGGTTGGTTCTCAGACCTTCACCCGGGCTAAACTCATGGACCACGATTGGCGACTGAGTATATCCCCAGTTTATTTGTGTTTGTTTCGCTTTCCCTGCGATGTGTTGTTGAGGTACACCTCGATCTGAAAGCGGTAATTAATATTGGAAGTCACTGCAAGGGGGTGGGAAAACTCACCGTGTTGGTCATCTTATGCTCGACGTCCTTGCAGCAAAGACAGGCAATAATACCGACAATGCCGAATGCCATGGAGACCATTGCCACCACACTAGGTTCCGGTCAGCGTCAAGCTATTGGAAACGATGATCCCAGATTTAGGATGCACACTTACAAAACGGCCTTGCAAGTAGCATGTTTATTGGCGTCGACAGCGGCCGCCGCCACGGTGGCACCGAAGGACTGAGCCAGTGTAGACGGGGAAGAAGACATCGCCGTCAGCAAATCGGGCACCTTCGACTCGTCCAGGCCTGCAGCAGTGACGGCAGCCGGAACCAGCTTCTGGGTCCACTCGGACAGACTGTTGGTAAAGACGGTGTTGTAGACCGTGGTGGCCACTGTTCAGCCTGGTTAGCGCGATTCAATCGAGACCTTCTATCTATCGGGGAGACAGCGAGACTTGCCCGCTCCGGCAGCAAAGCGAATGGCGCCTGAAATACCGCCACTGACGCCCAGATTCTTCTGCTCCACCCCCATCTGCGTGATCGCAATACTCAGGTAGAGTCCCCAACCGAATCCAGCTTGTGAGAGAAACATGAAAGCGATCATGGTCCCCTTGTTGTCGGGCGTGGCCATTCCTAACAGGGATCCAAACAAAACCATGATGAACACCGATCCGGTCAACTGCCATTGCCAGTTCCGAAGCTTCCGTCCCAGGACGGACAGAAGGAAGGCACCGAAAGCAATCGCCAGTCCCTGGGGCAGAGTCAACACGATGGCGTACTTCCAGTCGACACCGCCGTTGGTGTATAAGACAGTCGTCATCTGTGGCCAGAGAATGCTTGACGAGTAGTAGAACATGTTGACCACACCCAGAGCAACGGCAGGGGCAGTGAAGTCTCGTCCGTAGGAGCTGGTGAACACGTAGGTCGGCGTCAAGGGGAATTTCAGGTTAGCGAAGGTCTCCCACAACGCGAAGCCGATCAAGACGGCGAAGCCGACGACGAGGCAAGCAACCACATGCGCATCGTTAGAATCGTAGACACCCGCCCACACGATTCCCAGCAACAGAGGCACAATCCCGCCAATAAACAGCACGGCACCTGGGTTGCCATGATTCATTAGCGGCGAAGGGAAAGGTTGAACAGCCAACAAGCATACCGACATAATCAAGAGACTTGAACGCCTCGCTGTAGGAAACACCGATTCTGCTCACAGTCAGTCAGGGGAGGCGCGCGTTAGGGTTACCCGATGGATAGGGACTGCGTACGGATGAGCTGGCGGGAAGTACAACAGCAACAATCCCACGAAAGAAAGACCCTGGAAAATGGCAACGGCCCAAAAGTTCCAGGCCCAGGTGCCAAACTCGTAACCAAATCGAGCTGTGACGGGCGCCACAATCACCGCTATATACACGGTGAAGTCGGCAATGACGACCCCAATGTGCCGCCATTTATTCGGGAGAAGCTCGGGCAGGGCAAATGCGGCCATCTACGATGAGTGCACGACGCACTGTCAGCGGTGCTGTCCTTGATATTGCAAACGGGGGCATGGATTTACCTGGCAGTTGGCTGCCCCGAAGCCCGAAACGGCAAAGCCGGCGATGATCTGGTTGGTGTTTTTCGCAGACGCCACAATGATATGACCGACAGTGCACACCTAGGCAGACGTCAACTGAGATGGCCTGGTCCATCACTCCGCTCGGTCTACTTACCAGGTTGCCTCCGACCAGGAACCATCGTCGACCCAGCAAGTCAGTGTTAGAACCACTGCACGAAGTTAGCGCCATGGCGGGCATTGCCATAAACCAGAGCTAGACTGACAAGATCATAAAGGAGCAGGTGATGGCAATAGTCCAAGCCTATACCATATTCCGTGCATTGTAGTGGTCAGTCGCGATTCCCGTGTAGTAGAGACATGACCGTTAAAGACCTACTGGGATATACCACATGTACCCCGAAGGATTGCCCAAGTCTGCAGAAACCGACGTGCCGATGGCCGACATCGTTGGCACGGGCCAGAATGATAGACCATATCCGCACGAGAGAATCTATGACGCCAGACTTAGATTTGAGGCGTGAAGTGACGAAGTGGTTGAGTAGAAAACGTACACAGGAGACGATCCATGTCTTCAGTGTCACAACGGGCTCGGTATCGTCCGGTCCCTCGCTAGCAATACTTGTCTCGACAGTCGACTCTGACTGGGGCAATGCGTCCTGCGCTGGGAGACTGCCGCCTTTCTCCATTTCCACAGCCATTTTTCCGGCTCAAGACACGGGTTGAGAGGGATGGTCGTCGACGGTGGTTGCAACCTCCAGAATTAACAAACAAAGAGAAGAATATGAGCAGGGGTAGCCAGGCCAGAGGATTCTTGCTAGTCTTAACAACCCATCCGCTAGCCGACATCGACCGGCCGATGCGCTACACCTTGTTGGCTAGTCATCTGCATTTTCCATGGTCACGGCCGGTAATGCTGAAAAATCAAACCATAATCGAAGAGGATTGACTCGGACTAGTGCCATCAAAGGAAACTGTCCAAGAAACTAAGACCTGGTGGCGTCTGGCCTGGGCCCCCACTGCGGAACGCAATGGCAGGATCAATCAGCCGTTGAATCAGGCCCTGCGTTCGTTCGGAGCAATGCAGCCCCCCGGCTGATTTCGATCTGCACGGCGGTGGAGGCCCCAGAGCAATATGCGTGCCATCTTCCTCCGGAGTAAGTCATTATCATCCCTGCCTTTCCCCAATTCTACATATCCTGAATCGTACGGAGTCCATTCTACGTTGCCAACATGATATCCAAGACACCGGAACAGAGCACCCGCGTTGCCATTGTGATAGGCGCTACGGTAAGATCGCTGCCCCTTCTCATTGATCTGTACAATTGCTCCTGACCCCGGTTATTGTGGTAGTCGGGCATTGGCGTCGACCTGGCCAAAGACCTCTATGCACGCGGTTGGACGGTAGCCTGCGTTGGACGCCGCGAGGAGGCCGGCCATGAGTTGGTCAAGAGCCTCGGGGAGAAAGCACGCTTCTTCCGGGCAGACATGAGCAACTACCAGAGTCTGGCCTCCATGTATCAACAGGTGTTTCACCTGTACGGAAGACTCGATGCCGTCTGTGCCAATGCCGGCGTCGTCGACTCCTCCTCGATCTATCAATTGACTCGCCGCGGAGCAGGGGTCGACGAGATCCCTCCGGAGCCAGACCTATCGTGCACAGACATCAACTACAAGGGTGTCATCTACGCGACCGTGCTGGCCACGCACTTCATGCGTCACAACCAGCCTCACCCCGGCGGTCGCATCGTGGTGACCGGCAGCATTGGCGGCATCTTCCCACACCGATCCTATCCAGAGTACTGCGGCACGAAGGCGGCCGTGGACCAATTTGTACGCGGTGCTGCACCGCTGCTGAAAGCCAAAGATGGCATCTACCTCAACTGTGTCTTACCGGGAATCGTGGCGACCCCGATTGTTCCCCCGGAAATGATTAAGGCGGTTTCAGCAGAATGGTAAGCGACCCTCACTGGTGGTCTTTGAAAAGACAGTACAAGCTAACACGGAGCGTGGCGATATAGCTTGACCCCCGTCCAGACAATTCTCGACGCATATCAGGTCTTTCTGGAGGATGACACGGGCATGGCAGGCGAGCTGCTGGAATGCTCGGCCGACAAGAAGATTTTCTACCAATTCCCACCCTTGGGCAATGGTCATGTCACCAAGCGAGCGGTCACCGTGTGGGAGCCCCTGTTCCGCCAAATGCACGGCGAGGATTCCCAGCTGCCGGATGCCATTCCGTAAAAAAGAAGAAAAGAATCCGAGAACTAATGAGATAGTTCACACCGGAGTGGTGGCCTCAATGCACCCCTTTTATTAGCTCAACGCGTAGGCCCCCTTCCCACGAATCAATCCTGTCGAATTCTTAGTCAATCAATTTAACATGACAAATTGTGGACACCTCAAGGACAAAACCGTTAGCCAGGCATCGGCATTATTATTGGCAGGACTTCTGTGACAGCTTCTGCATTCCGGCAGGAGTTGAACCCACCCGGCTGCAGCTGCCGAGCCAGAATGGTAACATTAGCGACGGAGGAAGCGCCCTAAGAGCTTAGAGGCATGAAACTGGACCTTTTTCCACCTGTAGGAAATTGTACGATTCCTTCCGATGCTAGTCAGTGGGGGAGAAGGAGGGTCTTCGTCCAGGTATCAGACTTGGCGCTCCACTGCGGTTGGGTCTCGCGTGGCCAATGTGAACACTGAACAGCGCAAGGCTCAGCGTCAGAACTTAAACCGAGAAAATAAGACTCGGGATGTAAAATTGGCCCGGCTTGGGCCGCTGAAAGGATCCTGCGATCCACCGGGCAAAGGGACGTTGCTCGATTCTCATTACTCGGAGTCTCATGGTCTCGGGCAAGTCCAGCGTCAGACTGGCGCTAACACAACCCTAAGACCGCCGATCTTCTGGTCGCTCGTCCTGCCAGAGTCGGTGATCCTTGCGCTACTGGTCTTCTTATGCATTAGTCGCATTCCCTCGGTCATCTCTCGCGACCAAATCCCGGGCAAAGTCCGAAACAGCCAAGGACCTAAGGGGGACTCTGCACGAGTTGAGCCAAGATCACCACCACGGACTGTCTTTTGCCTGCCTGGACGGGATCCCCTCTGTTCCTTCGCCCTATTGTCTATTGCTATTGGGTAGCGTATGTGACCCGGCGTTCCGTCAAAGGATGAGCTACAGAGTACGCCGTGTAAGGTCCATCGAAGCATCGACCGTTGACCGTCGACTCTGCCAGAGCATTGGCAAACGAGCCAAAGGATTCCGGAGATTCCATCCTGGTTTAGATAGTTCATGCACCTCATGATCTTTCGGGGTCAGGCGTCAATTGTTGGTATCTAATGAGTAATAAAAGCTGCTATGGAGCACTCCCTATGGAGTACTACTCCGTACGGCCGTGTGGGTAATGAATGATGATGGGTGTCCTTTCTCCCCGAGTCCTACGGAGTAAGACTCTCAACCACTGAGGACTCCCCCCACCTGGTTCTCCAACTCGGTGGCTCCCATGACTTCCTTCATCTCACTGTCACAAAATTCAGGCTGTTCGCGGAAGTAATAATTCGAGCCGGACAGCTCCACCGCTCGGCCAACTGCGCAGGAGACACGAATATCGGCAGCATCGACCATCTCCCCGCCATCGATCAACAGAATCACTATCTCAGCAATCCGCTCCACGGGGATGAATCGGTCTGCCGGGAAGTTGGACCACCCTTGCGCATCAACCAGGTTCGTCTTCACGATTCCGGGACAGATCGCATTGACCCGGATGCCGTCCTGAGCGAACGGGCGGGCCACGGATCTCATAAAGCCAAGGACGCCGTCTAGTGGACAAGAAAGGATTTGCGGTCAGATGGCAAATGGGTCGGCTGGAGCTGCAGGGAATAAAAGTACGTACGTTTTGACGCCGTGTAAATGGGCGAGTAGTGCGAGGGATAGAGTCCGCCACAGCTGGAGGTCATGACCAGGGAGGTCCCTTTGCCGGCATGAGGGGACAGGCGGAAGTAATGGGCGGCCAGCACTGTCGTGTAGATCACTCCGTTCAGATTCACCTGGATGGTACGCAGATCCGGCTCCGCGACGCTCCCAGATGGCTCGGTAGAGGTCTCGTAGAAGTTGGTCCGCTCGATGACGCCCGCGTTGGCAAAGACGAAGTCCAGGCGGTTGCCACTGCTGGAGAAAATGCTGTCAAACGTACGAGCTAGACTGCTGTAATTGCTTATGTCGGCCTGGTGGAAGAAGGTATTGGGCAACTCCTTGGCCGCATTCGAGCCCCGTTCCTCGCTGATATCGAGAAGGTGTACTTTCCAATTACCCCGTTCAGCCAAGGCACTGGCAACTGCCAGACCCATGCCGCTCGCTATTCGCCTCCCCCTTGATGTTAGCTAGTTCTTTCATGTACGGCATCTGAAAATTCCAAGATTGGCCGGCAGGAGGAAATGGGGGGAGAAAGAAGATGACGACGAACCTCCGCCGGTGATGACCGCAACTTGCATTTTGGATGGAATGCTTGTGAGGAATCAGTTGATACTCATCTACTCTCTGCCTGGGATTGAGACAGGTCAGTCGCAGACGTTAAATCTTACGATGCACGATGCATACCCGACGCAGCCTCGGGCATACTTCCGGATCCCCTGTCCGGCACAACATTTCTAGGCAGTGGAGCTATCACTCATTAGCCCGGTGTCATACCAACCTAGAGAAATCTCATTGTCCACTTGGACTAATTCATGGCAGAACCGTTCCCGATAGCGAACCCCTGGTCCTGATTCTCTGCCGTCGAGTCGACATTTTCTGTTTCCGCATTGAGTAGCTGAAACGGCTTATGGACCTGGAAGGATTCGACAGGACATAGTCGACCAGCTGGTTCCACCCGGCTGCGCGGTAAACCGCACACAGCCGATGCTCATCGTGACCAGGGATGGTTTTTTTTTCTATTTCTTTTTGCCCAAGCCTGGCGTTGTAAGACGCTAGCACCGTCCTGCTGCTCCACCCTCTTCATCATTCATACGGAGTAGGCATCATGAAATGAAGCGGACGCCAGCCGTCCGCTAAAAGTCCGGGATAAAATGTAACAAATCAAATTTCCACAGTAGCATATGAAAGAGAGGCTTCTACTATTGCTAATGGGGTCTCACGCCAAAACCTCCCTGAGAGATCTGCACGGTCCGTCAAAGGAAATGGGATATGTTATTTTTGACAGTCGCCCTAAGTCTCCTCGATCTGATCCTTTCACGGGTTGGACGCGCTACAAGCCCTAATTCTGCATCGATTCACTCGTATTTAGAAAGTCCTTCGCGCCACGCTGGTCCTCTCGAAGAGGTTTTCCGGCCAGAAGTCGAACCCTGGTCACAAACGACGCCCATCCTTGCAACGAACGACGGCCTGCAGGAACGCCTGGGAAAGGGGCTTCTGGAATCCCTCCACAGTGTCTTTTGCTCCGGGGTTAAGCATTCGCTGCTTTTCACTTTATTGCCATGGCCGCCGACAGCTTGACAATCGAGACGTTTACCGAGTATGCACTTGGCATGTGCTTTCTCCTTCTGCGACTTTACGCCAGAATCAAGTATGTCGGGCTTCGGTCCCTGGGGATGAGCGATGCCCTTGCGATCATGGCAATGGTATGTCACATAGCACCTCAACGAGTAGAAGGTTTTTCGGCTTGCTGACGTCGCTCCCTATAGATCTTTTGGACGATGCAAACCGTTATCATCCACCTCCTCAGTATGGGAAACAGCATCCCCTGTCGTATAAAGAAGCCTTCCATTGACGAAATCCAGGTATTTTCGGTAACAATATCGGGCTTAACGAGCAGACCGCCATGCAGGTACCTGAGTCCAAGGTGCCTGATATGATCCTCGGGTCCAAACTCGCGTTCATGAACTGGATTTGGTATCTGTGCTACATCTGGTGTCTCAAAGGAGTGCTCTTGTGTCTTTACCATAAGATGACGTATGACCTCCCGTTCTCATTTCGGTGTTTCAAGCCCATTGCCCGCTAACGTGTACTGATCTCTCCAGCGATGGGACCTCGTGGCATCGTTTGGTCCACGCGGCTTCGATCTTCTGTGTCATCACTTGGTTGGCATGCATGCTGACGCATATCTGCGTCTGCACCCCCATCCCTCGAAACTGGCAGATCAAGCCCTATGCAGGAGGTAAAGGTCTCCAATGCCCGGATGTTCGACCGTCGAGTTAACATATGCCTTTCAGATAACTGCACTCTTCGGACGCCCAACTACATAGTGATCGCGGTCCTCAACGTGGCGTACGAGATTTACTCGCATCATACCACAACGCCTGAGATGTGCTAACCTGTCGCAGGTCCGATCTCGTGTGTCTCATCATTCCCATTCCCGTCCTCGCTAAGCTTCAAATCCCTCTCGCGCGCAAGCTGGTCCTCGTCGTGCTGTTCTCTTCCGGCCTATTCATTATGATCTGTACCATCCTGCGGGCCTACTACTCGCTGAAGAGTATCTCGACGCTCTCGATTGCTCTCGGCTGGGCCGATCGCGAATGCTTCGTCGCCGCCATGGTCGCATCGCTGCCAGGCATCAAACCGCTCTTCCGAAACACCGGCTGGTTCGGCTCGACGAACCGTGGCAAGTCGTCCGGCAAGCCGACCGGGGCATATGCGTCCTTCGGGTCCAAATACCCCGGCACCAACAAGACGTACGTCTCGTCTTTCGGCAAAGACACGGATCGTTTCGAGTTGATCGAGCGCCAGGAGAAGTCCATGGGAACCCGACAGTCCTCTGCCGGCGACAGCGTTGAGCAAATCCTGCCTCCGGGTGAACCGCACGATCCTCATCGAATCACTGTGACGAGGGAATATATCCTTGAAGAGGATCGGGCCAGTCCAGCCCCGGAGCATAGATAGGCTGCTCCTCGACCGCGCGGTTTCCCTCTTGTCTACTACAATAATGCGGGCACTTATCAGTGGCTCATACCAATGTGATGTTGAATTGCGACGGAATGTCATTCGTTCAAAGTGTCCATGCACGGTCTTTCTTTTCTTCTGTTCTATTCACATCTATAATCATGATATCAATGAATACAAAAGCCTCGATTTGAGCTTCCAAACCTTCGACTCCTTCCGACTCATGGGCGGGCAAAATCATGCTGAACGGAAACTGTCCTCCCAGCCAGAACGGACTCATTGCTGTTGGAGGAATCATTCGCCCTTGGCCTTCCGGGTCTTGTATGCGCTAAAGTATAAGAATGGGTAGACGGTCTCCGGAAGGAGCGTCAGGACAATAATGCCCACGCTCCACGGTGACGCCACATATCCCCAGTTCTGCGGTACGTTCAAGTAACGCCAAATAAAGACCCCGTATGCGGTGAAGCATCCCAGGTACCGAGTGATCCTAACATATATCAGTCATGAATTGTTAACCTGCCAGTTCCACGGAGACTCACCACATCTCTAGCGAATGTCCTCGGGTGTCCCGGTTCTTCCAGAGAGAATACACGCACGTCCACCCGATCGGAAACTGAAGCAAGATCCCCGTCCAGTACGCCGTGACCTGCTCGCGTTCGTCGGGATACAGTCCGGCCAGCAGTTTCAATCCTATAACTGCAATAGCACAGCCAAACACCATGTTGCGCGCCAGCGACCACCGTTGATGGGCCGCATGTGCATGTCGGATTGCGATGGTGGCGAAGGCGATGTCCATTTCAAACCAAATCAGGAATGCCAGCTTTTCGAATGACGTCGACGTTGTTGTGAACGCATAGAACACTTCATATGCCATCGTTAGGCACCTGGTGTCATTTTTCAGTCAGCGTCAAGGCGCCGACCGGGTGCAAATCAACCTACAGAAACTGGATTCCTCCAACACTGGAACCCGGATAGGTCTTGTCGCGATACGTCCGAATCATGCAGAAGAAATAACACAATGCGTACAGCACGCCGCAGGAGACGATCAAACCATCTTGCACGAACAGATAGCTCTCGGGGGGGTCGAAACGCAGGTCCGCCGGTTGCACGATGAGATGGCGGACGCTATGTGCCAGCTCAAATGTCGACATGACCACCGTGGATATTGCAATTCAACTTAATTCTCTCTCGCTGCGCAGATAACTGAGGAAGGGAGGGCGAGTTTTTGGCGGAGTTAAGTAGATTCGGCTGGTCGCGGAGAAATCCCACGATGACATCAGCTGCGGTCGTGGGGTTCACTAGCAACCTAACATACTAGGTTCTTGGTTTCTTCAGCACTTCTTATTTGCTGCTTCTCTGCACTGCTGCCTGCTCGCCAAGCAGCTCTGTGCTCCGATCATTCGAGAACAAGGATTTTCCTACCACGGTCGGCGGGGAAGGAGCGATACTCATTGAGGACCCTATACATACTTCTCTCTACTCGATGACTACCCAGCTTCTTATGACCTACTAGACTGCCAGATTGGAAGACCGTGAAAGCTTGGCTGACTGCACCCGTCTCAAGTCCTCTAACTTCTCCAACTCCGACCGCGTCTTGGTTATTTCGTGGTCTAATTCATCGGTCGAGGCAACTTGATGTCGCAAGCGTAGAATTCCTGCCGATATCAAGACCAGCCCCAGTGCTACGAGAGGCGACCACTGGCCGACCTGCTGGATATTCTCCTGCGGCGGTCCGTCGTTGCGGATGTACCATTCGATCCAGACCACAAATGCGATCGCCGTGAACGGGCTGGCCACGACGCTCAGTCCAAAAGCGATCAGGTAGGCGATATCGATGATCGGAAGAATCCAATGTCGTAAGGACCGCGGGCTGAACAATCTATATAGGCGTAGGGCCTTCACGAAACGGAATTGGGAGTCCGTTTGTGCCAACATCCGTCGGGCTTCGATCAGCGACTGTCGAAGATCTTCCGTGATACCCGAATATATTTGTTTCCGTTCCTTCCAGATGACGGACATGTGGAGTGATGGGATTCTTGACGGATAAGCGAGGAATTGAAATGTCATGAGGACGAAGTTGAGGCCCACCGAAATGGCGATCAGGGCATAAATGTAGCTCTTCGAATAGGTGACCTTGCTCCAGAGACCGCGCTGCGACGTGTCACTCAGCCCGTCCACGGCCACGCTGGCCTGAAGAGCGGTCGCTTGTCGCAGCACCTGACTGGTGTTGAAGCACGGATAGAAGCAGACACTCTCGAGTTCTTGCAGACGTGAATCATTCCTGAACAGGCTCCAAACGGTTTCGTTCCACGTCGACGCCCATAGTTTGGGTTGCCACCCATCGCTGGAGATCATGTCGGCCGGCGGAAACAACGCGTTGCAGAACATGTACTGCGTGGGCGTCCTCTCCAGGGTCGGCCAGTAGACCAGTGCGCAGATAGTGCCCGCCAGCATCATCAAGTTCCACAGAAAGATCACCACGTACTTGGAGCGCTTGTATTGCAGACTGCGCGACCAGCACTGCAAAGGCAGAAAGACCAGATACCCCGTCACCACGATGGCCAGCACCGCGTCGCCGTCTAGGTCCTGGGTAGATGGACGAACAGACACTTGCGTCTGGTTTGTCACTATCGATTGAAAGTCGTCGATTAGAGGGGTGCTATTCGACACGGAGGGAATCGAGACTGTCGTCGCCTCGGGGACACGCTTTCGACTAGCCACCAAGATGAAGGCCTGGATGGCCGCCGTTCCGGCATACGTCGCTGCCGTCCCTAGAAAGACGTCCGTCAGCCATCCCCGCCACCGCGTCGCGCAGGAGACAAAGAGAAGCGCGTAATACAAGTATCGCGGGCAGCTGTTGTACACGGTGCTGATGGGATAGGTGCAAAGCGTTTCCTGTGCCACAAATAAGGGCAAGCTCTCGTTGGCGGCCATCGGCAGCCTTGCAAGGTTTGGTAAACAAAGATGTCGGAGATCTCAGACAGCTCATCACGTACGATGCCTCCCCTCGATCGGAATCGCTGACGTTATCGACTCCAGACAGCCGAGTTGCCACCGGTCAATGGCACGCAGCGACCCGATGGCAGGTTCCATGGTAACGGGGGAGGTTGGCCTGTTCGACTACCCATGTTTTCTTCCATCAAAGCTTTGTTGCCGGTTACTATCCCGTCTTGAACTGTGGACAATGAAGTGTGAGACGTGGGAGGATGAACTGTTCGTTGCAGACGCGCCGCGGACAAACTCGTCCATGACGTCAGCTGACATGTCAGGTGGTGGTGATATACACGCATTGCATAATATGATGTGTCAGCTATGCACAACTACTTTGTGCTCCTCCATCTGCTTCTTCACCTTCACCCAAGACTCTCTCTCTCTCTCTCCTCATTCTTTCACCCTCTTGATTTCCCGGCTATGCCACTTTGGATTCATCGAGTTCTCTCTACATTCGAAGTTGTTCGTCGTCACTTTTCTGATTACCCTCCTGATGCGCTTTCAAAATTCTTGATATTTGTTTATATATATTTTTCTTTCTTTCTTGTTGCGTTTGTCCACCTGGAACAACTTGAGGAAGCTGTACATCAGCCGACTGTACCCATTCGCCAATTTATCATGACGACTTGGCCGAGGATCGTTGCTCAATAGTGATCCACAGGTCTCTCCAGAATCCAATACCGCCCTTGATCAGGAACTTGGGCGGGGGCTTATCGCTGACCACGTTGGGCTTGTAATGCCGGAAGAACTGCAAGGCATGCAGCGTCAGCTCAACATACTTGAGGAATGAAAGGAAAGCTACTTTCGCAACATACCTGCAATGGCCCCTTGAACAGTTCCATCATCGCAATATCCTTCCCTAAGCAGACCCGGGTGCCGTAGCCGAACGTCAACAGATACTTGTTGAACAGCCTCGCATTCTCGGGATCCAGCCACCGCTCTGGCCGAAACTCCTCCGCGTCCTCGCCAAACAAGGCCGGATCGCGCTGCATAATCCAAGGGTTGCCCGAGATCTCAGTTCCTGCGGGCGCAAATCGACCAAACAAGTCCATCCCCGGCTCCGACACGAATCGAGGAAAGATATTGGGCGCGGGCGGGTTCAAGCGCAAGGTCTCGCGCACGCAGCCCACGTAATAGGGAAGATGTTCGAGAATTTCGTCATATTGCGGAACTGGATCGCTGAGGAGGCCCTGGCGCGCCGCGTCATCGATCTCCGCCATCATACGATCGTAGATACCCGGGTTGGCGAGTAGATACTGGATGAGGGCCTGGAAGACGGTGCCCGTGGTGTCGGCCCCAGCGAGCAACACCAGAAGAACCTCGGCCTTGAGATAATCCAAATCCAACGGCTGGCCGTCTTCGGTGCGAGCTTCGATGAATGTTTGCAGCAGATCCACCCGTCCGATATCCTTGCCCTGCTCGACATCCCGGAGACGCTGGTCGATCAACTTGTCCCGGAAGCGCATTAGAACGCCGATCCCCGAGTCGTCCTGCGGAGTCGCCACGATATACTTTTTCAGAAATGTCGTCTTGATCCAACTGGTAAAGGGATGCAGGCGTGCCAGGAAGCCGAAAGCCGGTAAGCCGTCGTGGAAGCCTTGGATGAGGCCTCCGACGTCTTCACCTTTTTCGATGAAGCCGAAGGGAGCGCCGAAGCCAATTTCACTGATAACGTCGTATGCGAAGTATCTTATGGTGGGCTACCGGTTAGTCCACCGCATCTCATACGGGAAAAGGAAATCTTGCAATTATGCATACACGGCCCACCAAGAAAAATCAAAACACTCCCCCGTCTTGACGAAGTTCTCATTCATCTTCTGAAGCCAGTCTCGGAGGCGCATGTCAATCAGCGGTTCCATCTTCTTCACGTTACTGAAACTATACTGCGCGGTGTCAGCCATCGAGGATCCGAACTCGGTGATGAGTGTTCCCTACCGGTCCCGCGATGAGCTTGCGAAACGCAGCATGCGTCTTGTGAGATCGCATGTTAAACAGCGACTCGGTTTCTCCAAACGTTCCCGTGATATAATGGCCGGTCTTGTCTGCATTGCGATGGTAGATCTCGGGCAATTTCTTAGGGTCGCTGACCAGGAGGAGAGTCGGAGTGATTCGGACAACCCGTCCTGCAATACGAAGCGTCAGCCTTGGATCTACACTAGAATCGGCTGAAGGAACGCACCGTATTTCTTCGTCAACGCGCTGACGGTCGGCAGTTCCGTTTCATTCAAGTTGTGCCAGGTGATCCATAGTCGAGTGACAGTTCCCCAGAAAGGGCCCGGAAAGACCGACAGCGGGTGGAAGAATCGATAATAGACAATCTGATAGAGGAAGCGCAGCGCGACGTAGCCCAGCGTGCCGAGGGCGACGTTGATCAGAGTCACCCGGCTCCAAATATCGTCCGCGAAGGCCATGTTTTCGCACCAAAGGTGGAAAGACAGTGTTTGGTCCGGAAGCAAGTCAGGACGAGCTCCATTAAATGCATTTTTCGCGCGCGCAATGCCACCGTCGCAATCATCTCACAGCTTTTTCCGAGGGTGCCCCTCCTGGCACTAATCATTAACTAAAGTGCATCGGCGAATGGCATGAGGAGAGAACTAATCCGCCGCACGGGCAATCCTTCTCCCCATTTCATCGTCATCAATAGGGCAACGAAAATCGGTCGCACTATTGAGCTTGGACGCGAGGGGAAGCTATGGAGTACGGTGCTCGAGACGTTACGCTCGCAGCCTCGCACTCCTGCCATGTCGCCGCTGTCTCTCGCTAAATGATGGCTAGTCGGACGCTAGGAAAATTGGAGTGCAGGCGTCGACTCTGTTTGGCAGGTTGTCCGTGGGCCACCGACGCCGTTGCTGCAGACGATCCACTTGACGCTGTGACGGAGCCATAGAGTTGGCCGGACCAAAATGCCCAGATTTAACTTGCTTTTTCTCCCCCTCTTGTGCGGTCCAAATATCGAGCTGCCAGCTTCTATTAATCTTGAGGAATGAGACCTGTCACCCTCCTCCCTGTGGGATTGATTAACTCCAGTATCCCGAATGCGATGAGAAATGGATAGCTGTCCTTCGGGGGAAAAAAAACAAAAAACAAAAAAAAAAGAGCAAAAATCAGTGCCCCCTTCGGTGTGCAGTTTCCTCTTCACGAGTCAGACATCCGACTCAAGCGCGTCGGTGTTTGGAGTTGGGACTTTTGGCATTCTGGCCGGACGATCAGCGGAGTCGCAGCCGTCTACGATCGTCGGTGTCATCACGTTAACTTTGGGGGAATTCTTCGCACCACAGGAGGCTATAGGCCTTTCCGAATCTCGGCGCATAAGAATACGTAGGGCTCCAACGGGAGACACATACTCAGTCAATCACTGGACAAATCCCATTGCATGGCAATTCGATTTCGCTCGCAGAAGATCAGCCGAACTATCTTGCGGTCGCATGTGATTTATATTCCCCAGAGAACTGCGACTTGCTCGCCCGTCGCCACTCTTCTGAAACGGTGGATGGGGACGCCCGCGATAACCCGATGCCGCTAAGAGCCGCCATGGGTCGGCCAGCAACCCTTTTGTACCGTCAAAATTGGCTATCATCATTGCTTTAGCGAGTAGCGATCTAGTCGGCTAGAAGCCATTGTTGGCTGGATGGATTGGCGAGAAGACGGAGGAATCTTCTCGTGAGGACAATATCTAACTATAGAAAAGCCAATATTTGGGTCACTCCAACGCCGGATGCATCTTGACGATCGCGATAAGCGGATTCAGTGCGAAGGCAGCGAGACCGAATTTCCTTGATTTTCTCAGGGGCTTGTGATCTCCTGAACAGGGCGCAACCTGTTCGTTCGCACGTTCTGGGGAACCATTTTGATGACCGAATCTGACTTGTTCGCTCTTGAATGCCCGGTAACTTGAGTCCGAATCTAGACGTGGGCTAAGAAAAAAGGAGAAAAGACATCAAAAAAAAGTCCCCTTCTCAGATTTCCAGGAGAAACGATCCGAAAAGCGTCGCGGCCCTGAGACAGGATCAACAACCTGATCGGCGTGTGAGTATTTTCTTTCTTTCCTTTTACGCCGGACCTGCCGCAACGTAAGAATTATCATGGTGAAGGTCTGGCCATACTGGATGAAAGGCCCTATCAGCGATTCTTCAAGATTAGGGCGAATTACCGCGGCGTAGGCCTGAAACATCCTTCAATCAATAGAGAAGGGATTGCTGTTCATGCAGTTCGCCACTCTGTTCTGCGCTCGCTTAGGAGTATCCCCGGCCTAGAATAACTCAAATTTCATGGAAGACAGTTGGGCCGCCACTTCCTTCCATGATCGGTCGTGTTCTATCGCTCTGTCGCCGTTGATTCATTGTCACCGAGGAAGCCCGGGGAGAATAAAGTTGATCTGTCATATTGCCAATGCCTGTATCGGATGTGGTGGAGATTCCCATGGGCATTGTCCATCGCCATGCTAGCCTTGACTCAGTGTATCACATTTGCCTCTCAGGCTAGCCCACCGCCGGTCGATCTATTAGCGTTTGGAGAAAAATAGTCGGAAAGCCCACTATTTGAAGAAACGAGTTTGTTCATCCTTGTCCCCTCCACCAGATCCCGATCCCTAGGGGGTTAGATCTATCCAAATGGTTTGGTACCGAGATTCCAAATGCATGAATGCCCACATTGGCATATATAGGTCGTGCTAACCGACTGAACACTGGGTTATGTTTTGTTCGCTGAACCTGCGGTGCGGTTGCTTGACCCCCCATGGAATCAGCTTCGTTTAATGGGGAGGGGACCAACCAACTAGTCGGTTAAAATTATCTCAGACGCACTCTCATATACTCCCCTAATCACTCCCGGACAAACAGGCACTGTACTCTCTGGGTGGCTGTGATGGCATCGGATTCGCAAGGGCCGGTGGTGGCCGGCATTGCCATGGGATTCCTGGCATTGACCGTCATTGTTTTGTCGCTACGGCTGTTTTCTCGCATTGTTGTCCTGGGAAAGATGGGATTTGATGATTGTAAGTCGCTTTTACCTCAATATTTCGCGGAGTACATGCTAATGCATCGTGATTAGACCTCATCATCGGTGCCTGCGTAAGACCGACCTACGGATAATTGAACGAGGAGCGACTGACGTTTCTTAGCTCTTCTCTTGGGCATTCTCAGCGGTTACCGTTGTCGGTATGTTCTTTCATCCCAGGTTTGCTTGCGACTTTTAAATGCTGATAAGAAGCATAGCCGTTAAGAATGGATTGGGATCCCACCTTGAAGATGTTGACCCCAGTCGTCTCGAAACCTATGCTTTTGTATGCCCTTGCACAGCCTAATATTTGGAAGGGCAACCTTCTGACTAAGTCATAGGTCGTTTGGCTGAGCTCGATGTTCTATTTGAGTACGCTAGGGTTTATCAAATCTTCCGTCTGCGTGTTTTACACTCGCCTGGGGGATCGGTACCTCACGCGGCTGTCTTTGGTGATGCTGGTGGTGGTGGTCGCGCAGGCCCTTTCTTTCGTCTTGACGGCTGCGTTCCAGTGCAATCCGATTCCCAAGGCATGGAACACGGCATTGCCAGGAAAATGCGTCGAAATCAACGTCTTCTACTTGGCCAATGCGGCCCTCAACATTGTCACTGACCTCCTGACTTACACCTTACCCGCGCGAGTCATTTTCCGACTGCAGATGCCGATGAAACAGAAGATTGCATTGGCTTTTATTCTGTGCTTGGGACTCTTGTAAGTAATGCATCATCTCGTGCTGCAGCAGAGAGTCTAACGGCCCGCACCTAAAGCGCCTGCGTATCCTCCATTATCCGTATCACATACATTCCCGCCATGCTCACCTCTCCCGACACCACCTACGCCATTAGCGGTGCTATGTACTGGTCCGTGATCGAAATCAACGTAGGCATCTTCGCGTCGTCAATTCCCTCCTTCAAAGCCATCGCTTCGCGCTTCCTTCCGCGTCTCATTGGCGAATACTCCTCGGGCAAAGGATACTACTGGTCGAGGAATAGCAAGAAGTACGGGTCGGACTTCTCGAAAGTGCGCGATCAGAGGATTGCGCTCGACAGCCTTCCAGGCAAGCATCCGGACAGAGAACATACGGTCGGCACGCAAATTCGTGGGCCTTTTGGGAGCAGGTCCAGTCAAGATCGCATTATCATTCCCGAGGGCCAGATCTATACGCAGACAGACATTGAAACGAGCGTGGAAGAATGCCCGACAATCGGCTCACCTTCTTCGGCACATGGGGGACGTTTCTATCCGTAGGATGGTACAGTCACGATTCACTCGATTGTAGCCGCCTATGGGATACGTCATATTTCTTGTACAATTCTTCCGAGATTAGACATAGAATAGAAACTCGAATGCCCGACGTGCATTTCCCCGACTCTGATACCACTGTACCTGATCTTTGTCTGCTCCTGATATAATCCTTTCTCCAGCTGACATGGCAGGACCCGTGCTTCTTCACTACTGACTCCTTTACCACCGTGACCCTGTCAAGTCATTCCAATCTCAACTCGCTCGGGGCCGGCTTTGGATGAGAATGGTCAAGATCGCGCAGGATGAACTGCCTTGAAAAATTTCCACCTGCCCCGATGACGAAATTTACCGTCTCTTCCTCAGACCACTCTCGAAAGCATCGCCAAATGGGTCGAAAACGGAGTGCCGCCCAGCCTACTGAATCCACCGTGCACTGTGACGATGTATGATTATACGTTTCTCTGTACAAAACAGTCACCCTGGCCGGACCATACGCATATTTCGCAGGGCATTCGACTCCTGCAGCTCTGGTAGTCTTTCAGTCGAAGCATTTGATCACACGTACACTCATCTGTGTATGCCGGTGCCTGTCCTGTACGGTAGCAACCCTAGATCCCTCCCTTCAAGAGAATATCATGACGGCACGCCATCATGCCCGGGGACGATCATCGCCGAGTCAGATTTCGGGGGCGATTCCCCCGAGGCAACTCCACTGCCCCGCCTCCACAGCGGGTGGAAAATGAGGGGATCCAAGCCAACTTTATCCCCAGCTTCTGCCCTGCTCGGACTTTCTCCGACTCCACTTCGTATAAATGAGCTTCCCCGGCGTGAGTCACCGTTCCCCAGATCATCGGTGTCGTCAAGATGTCGAAACCAGCCGAGGAATTCATTGAGTTCCAGACGAATCCGGAGAAACTCGAGGGACTGGGCCAGGATGCCTTGTACCAGGCGTATGCGTCCAAGAGTGCCGACTGGCATAAGCGAATGACGCGCCAGTTACTACGCAAGGTGGACTTGCATCTGCTGCCCTTTCTGATCCTGATGTATCTTTTGAACTTTCTTGATCGGAAGTGAGTCTCTATTCTGGAAATGTGAGTCAAGATGTCGCTGACCATCTCAGTAATCTGTCACAGGCTCGACTTGGTACGCTAGAAGAAGACTTAGGCATGAAGGGCACCGAATACAACCTGGCGACGAGCATCTTGTTTGTCGGATATCTTCTAATGCAACTGCCGTCGAACCTGCTGTTAACTCGCGTGCGACCGTCGTTGTTCCTGGGCATTGCCATGGGCATCTGGGGCGCCATTTCGGCGTGTCAGGCGGCCACCCAGTCCTTCGCCGGTCTGGTGGTCTCGCGCTTCTTTCTCGGCTTCGTCGAGGCCCCGTTCTTCCCGGGAGCTGTTATGTTGATGTGAGTTCGCCGTCCAGATTCTCTAAATCACAGATAGTGACTAGTGAACCAGGTCGAGCTGGTATACCAGACAAGAGGTAAGATCGCCTTCGCCACGGGAATTGCAATCCTGTATACTGACCCCAGTAGCTGAGTCATCGTATCGCCTGGTTTTATGCCGGCAGCTCTCTAGCCAACGCCTTCGGCGGATTGATTGGAGCCGGAGTGCTGGGAAATCTACACGATGCGCATGGGATCGCTGGATGGCGTTGGCTGTTCATCATCGAGGGTTGTATCACGGTCGGGATATCCATTGTCGCAGCGTGCGTTCTTTCCTTCCTTCAATCTGACCCCGCTAATCGAAGTCATCAGCTTCATGCTCCCCAATTACCCGGCCACTACGTCGTGGCTTGATGCCAGCGAGCAGTCATATGCGCAATGGCGTCTGGTTGCCGATGCCGGTGAGGCTGATGACACGAACACTGGCTCGATGAAAGAAGCCTTGTATCTTGTGTTTACAGACAAGCGCATCTACCTGTTCATCCTGCTGCAACACACCTCGTTGCTGGCGCAGAACTTCCAATATTTCTTCCCGACCATTGTGCAGACCCTAGGGTATGACAATATCATCACTCTGCTGATCACCGCACCAGTATGGATTGCTACATTCCTGGTCTCACTTGTCGTCACCTGGACCTCGGGGCGAACTAATGATCGTGGAATCCACATTATCGCGCTCATGATGGTCAGCGTGATCGGATGTATAATCTGCACGGCGACCACGAATGTCGGTGCAAAGTTTTTTGGCATGTTCTTGTACGTCCCTCATTCCCCAATCCCCACTTCCATTGCCAGGGACACAACCTAATTTCATGCTAGGATGCCAATGGGCGCTGTGTCAGCCTACCAAATCATCATCGCATGGGTCGCCAACTCCTTCCCGCGACCGTTGGTCAAGCGTTCTGCCGCCATCGCCATCGCCAATATGCTCGGTAACACGGCGTCGATCTATGGCAGCTACATGTGGCCCTCCTCTTCCGGACCACGATACATTCCGGGAGGAGGCGCTACCGCCGGCGTTGCCTTTCTCGTGGCCGTGTTGGCGTTTATCATTCGGATGGTACATGCACGTATGAATCGAAAATTGGATGACGAGGAGGGTCCGGAGGCGGAAGGAGTAGATGTGGCCGAAAGACCGGTGCAGTTTAGATATATTCTTTAGATCAATGCTTTGGAAGGGTTCGACTATGTAAAGAATGCAAAATGAAACCCTTTACAGACGAATGAAAAAGAGGTGTCCGCAATAAAGTAGCGCATCACCAAGACATCGGAATGCTCATTTCCTCCTAGATCATTTTAGTTCGTGACTGGGATTCGTCCACAATGCTGCCTGGTCCCTCCATACCATCGGGAGTCCCGTGACAGGGCCGAAGACGGACCATCTTATCTGATTATCTCATCTGATAAGAGACCCGCTCGTGTCATCCGCCAATCGCGGCTGGCCTGACCCCTGGCGAGCAAATGGGAGGCAGAAGACAAGTCCAGAAACGCCCCAAAGGCTCCACCGATCAGGTAAGTCGGCAGTGGAACGTCCTATAATAGGCTGCAACAGGCCACAATTTCTCGTGCCCGGCACACATCCGAGAAACTCCTTCGTGTCATGTCATTTCCCAGCGTTCCCCCGCCGACACCTTGACACTGTCGAGATCCAACTACTTCCTTGCGGTTGTGACGGGATGAACTGAAAGCGCTGGACGCAGAGACAGTCTAGTTCCCCTGTTTATCAGAGCCGAACCATTCCTGTCATGAGTGTCGTACTCAGGGCCTTGCGCCGCAGGTCCCAGCAGTCCTGGACCGGGATCGTCAGGACAGTGCGAGACTATGCTACCGGGACAGACCCACGCGATGATTACGAGCCGATTCTGGGATCACTGCCAGACGAGGACACAGAACGACAGGCGCATGGAGTGGCGGAAATCGAGGCATTAGCCACGGTCTGGTCGACGAGAACGCTATATACGGGATACGCTCTGTATGGGACTGCAGCCCACGGAATGTGGCACCAAAAGCTAATCGGTTCAGGGTCTTTCTAATCTTCTTCGTCAATTCCTTTCAACAGGAGACAACCGGCAGCTTGACGCCATACGCCTTTTCCGCTTTTACCAATCATTCCCTCATTTCCACCACCAATGTTCTGACTAGCATCGTCGGCGGAGTTGGTCGCCTGCCCATCGCCATGATGATTGATATCTGGGGACGGCCGGAGGGCTTTGGGGTGACTGTTGCACTGTGCACCATTGGTGTCCTCCCTCGAGCTAGATTATTTGTTTGCCTCCGCTAATTCCGTTTAGGTCTCATGCTCATGGCGGCTTGTCGAAACATCGAAACCTACGTGGCAGCCCAGGTATGTTTCTGGCTCCAGTGCGGAGTGGTATCTAATTGGCATATAGATTATCTACTGGTTGGGTTACAATGGAATGGACTACGTCCTGCATGTGTTCTTGTCCGATACTACCGACCTTGTGAACCGAGCCTTTGTCTACGGAGTGGCAGGGACCCCCTATATCGTGACGACATTTCTTGGTCCCGCTGCTGCCCAACAGTTCTACTCCCAAGGGGCTTTGTGGTGGGGCTTCGGCATCTTTGCTATCGTGACTCCCATCGTGTCCGCTCCCCTTTTGGGGCTTCTTTGGAGTGCACGGCGCAAGGCACGGACGGCGGGGTTGATCCGAAAGGAAGAGAGTGGGCGCACCTGGGTTCAGTCTGTCCAGCATTATGTCACCCAGTTCGACAGTGAGTACTTTTCAGACAGCTATGCCATATCAGAATCTTGGCTGATAAAGACAGCGATCGGGTTGATCTTGATTACGGCGGCCTTCGTTCTGATACTACTACCCCTGACACTGGCGTCGTCCCACGATAGCATGTGGAGCTCCTCCTTGGCCGATCGATGGAGGTCTCCGGAGATTATTGCCATGTTATTCATCGGATGCGCCTGTGTTGTCGGCTTCGTATACTGGGAACGCTTCGGTGCCACAGTCTGTTTTGTGCCCTTTATTCGTCTCAAGGACAGAACCCTTCTTGGTGCTTGCCTTCTCTCCGCAACCATGTTTGCGAGCTTCTAGTAAGTCCTTTCATCTGTCTCTTCTGAACACGATGAAACTAACTCCGCTAGCTCATGGGATCTATACCTCTCTTCATATCTGCAGGTTGTATTCAACACCAGCATACGAGATACGGGCTATATCTACAACATTTATACGATTGGGACCTGTTTCTGGTCCGTTCCGTTAGGGCTGTATGTTACCACATGAATGATCGCTGTATCCTACTAACGCTTCTAAGGTTCATCCGACGAGTTGGTCGTCTCAAATGGATCGCCCTCGCCGCTATGCCGCTGACCTTCCTCGGAACCGGACTGATGCTCCACTTTCGATCCCCAGATAGTCACCTGGGGTCTGTCATTATGTGCGAGGTGTTCAAGGCCATCGCGGGAGGCACCTTGGTCATCTGCCAACAGATGGCTGCCATGGCCACCGGAGGACATGAGACCATCGCCGTCTCGTTTGCCCTGGTCGGGCTATTCTCGAAGATCGGCACTGGCGTCGGGTCGGCCATTTCCGGTGCGGTCTGGACCAGCACGGTGCCTCACTACCTGCGAGAGGCGCTGCCGATAGACAAAAAGCACAAGGCAGCCGAGCTGTATGGATCAATTGCCACGGTGTTGTCGTACCCGATCGGAACTCCCGAGCGAGACGCGACCATCTATGCATACGGTGTCGCTCAGAAACGAATGCTAGTGGCGGGAATCTCGATCCTCCCAGCGGCCGTGTTCGCGATCCTCATGTGGGAGGATATCCGCTTGAAGAAGACGAGGCAGGTCAGGGGAAATGTGTTCTAATTCCCAGCGTTGCACTGGAGCTGTTTTGATAACGGCTCTTTCCCGTCGAGTGCTCATCAGAGAAAGTCGTATTGTGATACCCCGGAGGAGAGGAATTCAGTGACCGCCCTGAATTATTCGTGTATAGTCGATAGTGTCTGTTATGTTTTCACCATTAGCATCCCCCTTCTGTTCATTGGTACTAGTCTTGTCTGCGTCTGGGAGGCCAAGGTGCAAAGTAACGGGCTGTAGCAAGACCGGCAGCGTCTGGTCCAACTTGTCAATAAGCAAAGGGAGAAATCTCGCTCGACCGCCGGGTAAACGCTCAACGAGCGACGATAGGTGTTTCAGGTAATCCTGGGGTCCTAACTCGAAGCCGGACGAGCGGAGTCCTGCAGACGAGAGGCAGGCCATGACGTCGATAAGGGTGCACGCAACTTCGAATATTTTCTCAATCTACCAGGATCAGCAATGCCGACAAGGCCAATATGGAGAATATCTCACCAGACCAATTCCGTGGGTTTCCATGCTCTCTCTCGATAGTTTCCACGTTGCCATCGCCAGATCTCTTGCGATCTGCAGCGGATACCGGAAGTCCAGGCTCGCATGAGTCGGTGTGCTGGACAGATACCCAGCAGTCGTCGCCATCTGCCACACCACGGTGCGCAGCCACTGCTGGGATACGCGTAGATCGGCCAAGACGACGTCGGGGAGATCCGAGTCGGCAGGCACTGCACGCTGAAGATGCTCTTCCAGAGCGACTAGGGAGTCTCGCGATGAAACGACCCCGGAACCGTTCCAGCCATTAAGAAATAATGGGTCAAAGGGACGGTAGAGGTCTGCAAGACAGGCGAATCCACGATTAAAGGGATCCGAGCAGGCCGAGAGGATTGGGCTGTCCGCGGTTATTTGCAGCGTGATGGGTCGGCGGCGTCGGAGAGCGTGCGCTCTGTCTCTCGTCAGTTCACTGTAAGAATGCGAGAGACGCTATAGCTACCGTTCAGATATCAGCAGGAGCCAGAAGAGCCGGTTTGCGAAAGCTGAGAAGCCATCCTCATTGCCAACGTCTGGGGAGTCCATAACATCAGCCGTGTAGAGCGTCGTGGCCTCGCGGAGGAAATAGTAAGCCTGTCGCTGATGGCCCAGCCCGATATGGCATCCGTACAACAGGAAGGCAATGATAATTCCCAACTGGATCGGTGCAGCAAACAAGTCCAAATGGCGACGAGCGACCGTGGCCTCCTCCAGCAGGGCGCAGGCCAGCTCGGACGACGATGTCTGGGCGGAGCGATGTCCCGTTTGGATCAGAACGAAGGCGCAAAATACCACTACGAGGCAGTATGAGGGCCCAGATTCGTCCATTCTATCCACATGTTCCTGGAAGACATCAGGGTGTAGGATGGGCACGGTGCCGAGCATGCGCGCAAAGAAATAGTCGGCACAATTCCGGACAAAGCTGCGATCCAACAGCCCAGGATTCTTCGTCCATTCCCCGGTAGCATTGACCGGACGAGGGCTCTCAGGGGAGAACGAAACCGGACTCTCATCAAGTCTATGCAATTCGGTCAGCACGTTGGCCGTCGCGCCTTGTCGCCCTTTCTTCCGCTGGATTCCGGACGAGCGACAGGCCAGCCCGACCGATCGACACGGAGTACAGGGCCGATGAGCGCTGCATTTGACTTTGCGCCGACGACAGGCGTCACAAGCAGGCTGGAGTGATCGAGGCATCGAGTCCCCTTGTCGGTTCACGAATGAATAACAAACGGTGGAAGAAGAACTCAATTGGCACGGAGCGCGGGAAGACGGCAGTCTACCTAGAGAGATTAGCGAACAGTTAGCGCTGCTTTTGCCCCGTGGAACACTCGCCAGGAAGACCCGGAGACGGTCTTGTTGCTATAGAACACCCAGGCAGTCGAGAATTCCTTACGAGGGCTTATATTCCTTTTCTCTATATCTTCTTTGCGAAATAACCCAGGAAGTTGTTTCAATTACATATGCACACGCATGATTGTAGACTGGATGACTTTTTGGGACCGCATCCCAGCGTATATCACTGTTATCTAGCTAGCTATCTAGTATACATCGCACTCTGATCACTAAATCACCGCACCAAAACAGCTCCCACAAATGCCAGCCATGCGGGCGCATCGGCCAGCAGCATGCGAACGCGATGGTATCCCAGCCACGCCTCCATCTCACGCGTCGGTTCGCGCTCGCCCCCTCGATCCTCCACGATGCGCTGAATGCGAGGAGCCACCCACGGCACGAACAATAAATGAGAGACGGCCCCGACCAGCCCGGCCCAGTAGAAAGTCGTGCGTGACAAGGGTAACGGGCGCGGTCGAGGTCCGCTCGTGAGAAGATTGGCCACGGCCGAGCCGATGCTCGTCATGTTCAACACCAGAACAAGCGATACTCCGCGTGGAAAGACGTAGTCATACCATCGGGGCAGCAGGGAATTGTTTTTTTGACGCAACTGAGGCTGCACCCAGGCGCTGTTATGGATAAGTTCGCCCGTGGCGCAGACAAGCGTGCCGGTGCTGCTGGCAAGGGGGATAACGTGCAGCAGAGCTAAGGGGTCAAAGATGAGTCCGGATGCCATGCTTGACTGTTTATGATAGAAGGAATTGGGTTTGAATTGTAAGGGGAGAAGAGCATCCTGGCTCTCTTTATATCATTAAAATCCAACATCACTGCGGACGAACCCAACACGCGTCATACGATCCGTGGCAGTGTCTAGTGCTGACGCCGAGGCCATCCTCGTTCCACGCATGTCGATCTCACTATGCGCGATCCTTTCCGTGATCCTCTCGCACTTCCACCTCCATCCCTTCGTACGGGTCCACCGCCGTCTCGGAGAACTTGCGTGCCGACACCCCCTGCGTAAACAAGACGTCCATTTCCTCGTAGGTGCGACCCTTGGGCTCAGGGACGCGAAAGAACGACCAACACAGGCAGACGAGACAGGTTCCCGCCCAGAAATAGGCACACCGAGCACCCCAATCCCATGCGGTTTGGTTGAGCTGGTAGTTCGTCAACACGTTGACCACGATGTTGCTGACGTTGTAACCCACGCGGGCCAGGACGATGGTTTTGGCCTTGAGGCGCGTCGAGGACAATTCCGACACGAGCGAATAGGTCACTGGTCCAATGGTGAGGTCGTAGCAGACCGTGAAAACAATCAGCATCGCTCCGATCGCCCATTTGGCCGCGCCGTCTGCCTCCGGCGCGAAGGACAAGCTACCGGTGATGAGCAGCAGCAGCACCAGACCTGACAGTCCGACCAAATGAAGCGTACGTCGACCGGCAACCATCATCAAGAACCACGAACCCAAGGTGCCGAGCACGCCGAGCCCATATTGGGCCAGCGATAGGTTGAATGAGTGCACGGGCGGAAGTCCGGCTTGCACACAGAAGTAGGCAAAGTATCCCATCAAATTCTGTCCGCAGAGGGTCTGCACCAGCCAAACGCCGCAGACCACTTCGGTGCGTCGCAGGTTGACGCCGCTGAAGCAGTCGGTGTAGCGGGTGCCTTCCGTCAGGGATTTCTCCAGCTCGTTGGTGTGCTGGATCATGGCGATGGTGGCGTCGACATCGAAGGACAGGTCCTTTGACGAGGTCAGGCGTCGCAATGCCTCCTTGGCCCCGTCGATTTGGCCGCGACGAACGTGCCACCAGGGAGACTCCGGGGCAAACAGACAGCCGAGAAGGATGGGCAATGGCCAGGCCCACTGTACAGCGAAGGGGATGCGATATGCCCACTGATCCTCGCGCTGGACGGACCCCCGGTTGACTCCTACCGCGACAAATTGCCCCATCACCCAACACATGTTGATGAATGTTGTCAGGTAGGGTCGCAACACGACGGGACACACCTCCGAGGCATACGCTGCCGGCAAGGTTTGGAAGATGCCCCAGGGTATACCGGCCAGGATTTCGGCAGCGAGCAGCATCTGGACGTTCACGGCGAAGAAGAAGATGAAGATCACCCCGTTCATCGCCATGAGAGCGCACACCATGGTCCATCGGTATCCCAGTCGCTCGGAAACAAGACCGTTGATTAGCAGGCCGATGACCTCACCGATTCGTGCTCCGTTGGAGAGAGCCGATTGCCAGGAGGCCGGCACCGTCCACGAACCGTCCGGCGTGAGATTGCCGAACTTCTGATTGAAAGCCGGCGAGGCGTACATCGATCCCAGTAAGGCCAGATCATAGCCTTCCATGATCAAAGTGGAGGACAAAAGGACCGACCACCCGACGGCCTTGGGATACAGACGGATGCCCTCCCATAAGGTCATGGACTGTTCCTGCCGGGCGGCCTGCTTGCCGTGCACCAGGGAAGATTTATGCGCGCCATCATGGGCAGTTTCGGAGGTCATTGCGAAGGGAGGAAGAGATAATGAGGCGTGTGACGCACATTCTTCATGCGAAAGACTGGAGGGACGAGGCAATACTTATGTTTACACGATTATCCCGCGACGAAAATCTCTTCCCCCGCAAAAAGCAGACGAGGGGATAATCTGGGGATGCGTCAATCCAATTGGCTTGTGAACGGCCTCAAGTCGGTGTCGAGTCGGAGGCAAGACGGAAGCAAGACGGCGCCTGTCCGGAGTCTGGCGGGGGATCGGCATTCCCCAGCATTCCGTACGTTTAAAACGGACCAGAGTGTATGAACGAGCTTTCTCCATTCTGTCAACTCCGTCAATTCTGTCAATTCTGTCAATTCTGTCAATTCTGTCAATTCTGTCAATTCTGTCAATTCTGTCAATTCTGTCAATTCTGTCAATTCTGTCAATTCTGTCAATTCTGTCAATTCCGTTAGAAACATTCCAGTTCCACCGGAATGGGGTCCTACACAGAGTCCGCTGTCCCAAGTGGGCAGAACAATTGGTGGAAAGAAGCCACAGTGTATCAAGTAAGACCAATCGATTGACTCTCAATTGAATCTTATCTAATAAACTCAGGTCTATCCGGCCTCATTCAAAGACTCGAATGGTGATGGCTGGGGTGACATCCCCGGGGTCATCGAGAAGCTCCCCTATCTTCACTCACTAGGAGTCGACGTCGTCTGGCTGTCTCCCATGTACGACTCGCCTATGCACGACATGGGCTACGACGTTTCCGACTACGAGAAGGTGCTTCCTGCCTACGGTACCGTTGAGGACGTGGAGAAACTGGTCCAAGCCTGCCATGAGCGCGGCATGAAACTCCTGCTGGATCTCGTCATCAACCACACCAGCGATCAACACCGGTGGTTCCAAGAGAGTCGCAGCAGCAAGGACAACGAGAAACGCGACTGGTATTTCTGGCGACCGCCAAGGTATGATGCAAATGGCAATCGCCAGCCTCCCTCGAACTATCGCGGATACTTTGCAGGGAGTACATGTTCGTGACCCAACTTCCACAAATTGAAACGGATAATACTGACACGCCTTAGGGACCTGGGACGAGCACACGCAAGAATATTATCTGCATTTATATGCAAAGGAGCAGCCAGACCTGAATTGGGACAACGAAGCCACTCGGAAAGCCATCTACGACAGCGCCATCCGCTTCTGGCTGGACAAGGGCATCGACGGTTTCCGTGTGGACACGGTCAACAAGTACAGCAAGCACACCGGTTTCCCCGACGCACCCATCACCGATCCCAATAGCGACATCCAGCCTGCCGTGCAGGTGTGGTGCAACGGACCTCGCATCCACGAGTTCATCCGCGAGATGCACGACGACGTGCTGCAGCCCTACGGCGACGTGGTGACGATCGGCGAGCTGGCCAACACGCCGAATCCCCGCGACGTCCTGGACTATGTCAAGGCCTCTGCAAAGGAGCTCAGTATGGTCTTCCATCTGGATATAGGGCACATCGGCATGGGCGGTAGCCTGGAAGACAAGTACATCTTTCACCCCTGGAAGTTGACCCAAATGAAAGCCATCGTGTCCAAGTGGCAATCTTTTATCGTAGGCACCGATGGCTGGACGACAGTCTTTTGCGAGAATCACGACAATGGGCGGTCCGTCTCGCGGTTTGGCAACGATGCGCCGGAATATCGTGCTCGCTCCGCCACGATGCTAGCGATTATGATAATCGCCATGACCGGCACGCTCTTTCTCTATCAGGGCCAAGAGATCGGTATGATCAACGCACCTCGCAACTGGTCTGTGGAAGAATACAAGGACATCGAGGGGGGAGGATATTATCAAGAGGCCCAGGGGAATCCCACGCGCCAAAGTCAGATCATGGAAGGATTGCGCATTCTTGCCCGCGATCATGCGCGTCTGCCTATGCAGTGGGATGCTTCACCCCATGCAGGGTTCACGACGGGGGATCCGTGGATGCGAGCACACGATCTTTATCCGGAGATCAATGTCCAGCGCCAGGAGGACGACCCCGACAGTGTGCTTTCATTCTGGAAGAAAGTGCTGCAACTTCGCAAGGAGTATAGGGAGCTCTTCATTCATGGATCATTCGGGATGGTTGACTTCGACAATCAGCAGACATTCTGCTTTGTCAAGTCGATGGACGAGAAGAAAGCTCTGGTCACGTTGAACTTCACCGACTCAAAGCAACCATTGGAGCCATCAATAACGGGAATGAGGTTGTTGGTGAGTAACTATGCAGGCAGGGGCACGGCAATGTCAGGCATCTCGTCGGAGTTCCTCCAGCCGTATGAAGGCAGGATTTATATCAGCTCCTAGGTGGGCAGAGCAAGAAAATGGCTACGTATGACTCAATGATATGGTAATTGTCGTGTCTCGCAGAATGCTACCAATTTCAAACTAGCCTCTGCACAGCAAACACGAGGGCTCATCAATTTTAGCGATGTAACATACTTTGTGCAGAAAGCAGATCTGCCCCCACGGGCTATTTTTATCGATAAGTAATAGATTAAGGAGTCCCTTCGTAATTTCGCCGCCAGGGGCCGTCTGCATTTCGGCTCTCTACCATCGGAATTTGCACCTTGAAAGTAGGCAGGTAGGTATCCGACTTTGCGCGTACTTCATGCCGTGTAGTGATTAAAAAAGGTACAAACCCATATAATTTTCTGATACAGAATTTTTGGAACTTTGGAAGTTTCATGGATCAGTCTCGTTGCATTCTCTCCAATTTCGACACCTCGTGTTTACCGACTTGGCAGCGCTGCGAGATTGGCCGACCTTCCAGATGATCTTGGAAAGTTCAGGAACGGGGCGATCCTTACGCCTTGTGGCATTGATCATCTTTACTTTGCACCAATGGTCTCTTGCGACACGAATAGGTGGGCAAAAAGGTCGGATTCAGCCGAGGATTGAGGGTCCGTCATGATTCTGTACCCTGCGCAGCTTATGTCGAACCGCTTCTGATTGAACCACAAGCGTCGTATCCAGGGTGGTGCCTCGTTCCGACTCACATTAATCTCGGTCTCAAACGCAGAGTGTGGATTGACGTAATGCATGGTCGGATTGACGGTTATTCTCCTGAATGAGCGGGCAGCATCTTCTGCGAAACCATATATAGAGCCTCGTCCTCCCCCGGAAGCATACTTTCTGTCCACTATACCAAACATATTCACTCTCGCTATTCACCATCATGAAATATAGTTCTCTTGCCGTCGCCGCGACACTATCCGGCCTGGCTCAAGCCAGTCCCAGTCCTAAGCTGGTCACTCGTGCCGACACCGTGCAGGGTTTTGACATCTCAAACCACCAAAGTTCGGTCGACTTCGCGGCCGCATACAAAGACGGCGCTCGTTTCGTCTACATAAAGGTTGGACAATTGTCGCGTTTACTATGAGCCGTCTAACAGTCTCCTCAGGCCAGCGAAGGCACTGGCTTCAAAGACCCCCTTTTCAGCTCGCACTATCAAGGCGCCACCGAGGCCAAACTCCTCCGCGGCGGCTACCACTTCGCTCTGCCCAACAAGTCTTCCGCTTCCGAGCAAGTGAAATATTTTATTTCCAACGGTGGCGGCTGGACAAAGGACGGCATCACCCTGCCCGGTATGCTCGACATCGAATACAACCCGTACGGCGCGACCTGTTACGGCCTCACCCACTCGGCCATGGTTGCCTGGGTGAAGGAATTCGTCGATACATACCGCGACGAAGTCGGCGTGTATCCTTTGCTGTATACCAACTTGGACTGGTGGACGCAATGCACCGGCAACGCGGCTGGCTTCGGTGACAAGACTCCGCTGGTTCTCGCGGCGTATAGCAGCTCGGCGCCGTCGAACATCCCCGGCGACTGGCCCACCTACACCATCTGGCAGAACTCCGACAGTTATAAGTACGGCGGTGACTCGGATATTTTCAACGGGTCGGAGGAGCAGTTGTTGAAGATTGCGCGGGCGGATTAGGAAGGTTCTTGGGGTCCGATGTAGGTATGGTATTCTGGATCGTTTGAACTCGATGGAGACGAGGCTATGTAATGGTTAAGATGTAATTTCGCCAGCAATGAAGATCAATGGATCATATCTAATGCGAATTCCTCCGGATTTAATTCAAAGAAAAAGAAAAGGGTGGGTATCTCGGAGGTACAGCGATGCAAGGGACAGGGGACGGTGGGACAATATCTGATCTTCGCTGTTGCACTGCTAGTCGCAGCAATAATTGGTGGAACCAAATCGATATTGCTTCCTGTGACTTTAGTCGCACAATCACAGACGGTCAGTAGCCCCTGAGCCGATAATCCTTCCTCCCGATTGCTGCACATACCGGACATGCGACCCGTGGTTCCTCGCATCCTGCAGGAACAAAGAGAATATTCGTACGTAGATTGTTATTTTTGGTCATACCGAATCATGTCATGTCATCGATATCCTGCTGCAAGGGGATTCTGTCTTGGGGTCTTTCCCAGCAAGACGTAGATAGAATCAATCAACTCGACTAACACACAAATTTTCCCTCTCTCCAGGGCTATTTGTACGTACAGAGCCGACCATTCAGATCCATTTCCAACCCATCCTGGACTCAAAAAGGTCACACTGCGCCAAGATCGTCCGATGCGGAGATTTCGCGCATTCCCTGCAGGGATCCAGCCAGGGTGCCATGGATGACCTGTCACTTGCGCAGATCTCATTTCCAATCCCTGAAGCCTGGCCATGACCTGTTCTTTGTGCCCAGAAAAGGAGCGGTCAGCCGAGCTCTCCCAGACCTTCGACTTGAAATGCCTCTGCCGTTGGGCTTGACTGATCGCCCAGGGTTGGGATTGGCGCTGGGGCTGGGGCACCGTTTATCTCACAGCAAACAGGGCCAGTTTTGGCTGCTGATTTGGTTGGCGATTAGTATACTTTAGGTTTTAGGCTCTGGTTTAACATCACCCGATCAGGCTGCGATGTACATCGAGTACCAAAGTGTAGAGAGGGGTTCTGGGAGATTAATCAAAGTCTGAATCCAAATGACAGGTGGGATCGAAACGACGTGAACCACAAAAACCAGTGATATCAGCTGGAGGAAGTGATAGAGTGAACATCACATCATCGATTTCGGTCAACAAAGAAAAAGGACACTCCTGAGATGTGGCTGATCTTCTGTAGGAGAAAGGGGGATAAGGCACTCAGGCATCCAGGCACGGTCGCATGAGTCAGCCGGCACATGAGCAGCTGCCCCTTTGGGAAAGCAACCCTAAATGTCTTCAGGTCTTTCTGTACTTTCATTCCTTCATTCACTGCTTCACCACCAGGAATATTGCTCTAGCTGAGTCTATCATTAGTGACCTCTAGATGACTTCATTCTCCACTACTACACAATAGTGCTCTCTCTCCCTGATCCACCCAAGATCCGGAGATCAAGGGATGCGGATCACTCCACCAACTAGCTCCGCCAAGATAAGCCCAACAGTCCCTTCAGTCTTCCCCTTCGTTGCCGTGTGCTGCGGGGTTTTCCGTCCCAAGACTGGCTGCAAGACCATGCCAAGTGCCAGGGCAGTGAATGGTACTGTGCGGGGATTTATCCCATTCACCGTGGTGGGCTTACAATCAGACGCTGTTTGCCCTGCGTGCCGCGGCGCTCGCGATGAGCCTAGTAGATAAATAGAGCGCATGGCCGCATGCTGCCCGATGTTCCTATTGATCTCTTTCCATTGCTTCTTCATCCGTTTGTGTGTATCTGTGTGTGAGGTAGTGCACGCACGCTACAGAAGCTCGGTAGTTCAAACTAGCAACCAGCTGACTGCATCTACCCACACGATGCGTTGGTCTGCTCCTCACTTCTTTTCTTTCTGGCTGGCCCTTGGTGTGTCGGCTCAGAATGCCACCGCGCCCTATGAGCTTAAGACTCCTCCCCTCGATACCCCCTGGACGGAGGATGTTGGCACCGAGCCCTGGCCGGAGTATCCGCGCCCGCAGTTGCAGCGACCTGAATGGCAGAATCTGAACGGCTTGTGGCAGTATCGCAGGGCGGACAGTGTGGATGCAGTGGACAATCCCCCTTTTGGACAGGCTCTCTCCAACGAGGTTCTGATCCCTTCCTGTCTGGAGAGTGCACTGTCTGGTCAGTTATACTTGGTTTCTACGCCGTCGCCGGTGAGCTGACTAATTTTCGCACAGGCATTCAAGGCAAGAATACCTTTTACTCCTGGTTCACTCGAAAGTTCACGGTGCCCGAATCTTGGAGTGACGAGCATGTACTGCTGCATTTTGGCGCCGTTGACTACGAAGCCACTGTTTTCGTCAACGGCAAACAGGCAGGTTTCCACCGAGGTGGATACTTTCATTTCTCGGTCGATATCACCGCTCACGTAAACTTCGACGAAGAAAATGAACTGTAAGTCAAAATCTACAAGCTGACCCTTCCTGGAGACGAAGGACATTTGCTAACCATCGCAGCTTGGTTTTTGTGCACGACCCCACCGACCAGCAAGGGCATGTTATCCCCATGGGCAAGCAGACCCTGAATCCCTCGCACATCTTCTATACACCCTGCAGCGGTATCTGGCAAAGTGTCTGGATTGAGCCGGCACCGGCGAACCATATCGTCCGGTTAGACCTGGACGCGAATATGGACGGTCAAGGTGAGTCGACTACATAAGGGAAATGCCTACCTGCATACATGCTGATGGTGCGACCAGTTAACGTCACCGTGCACAGCGCCACCGGTAAAGCCACCGCCGTCAAGGTCGCCGTGCACGAGGGCGACGACGAGCTGACCTTCCATGACGGTACCTCCGACAAACCGTTCCAATTCGAGGTGGGCGATGTCGACCTGTGGAGTCCAGATTCACCAACGCTATATAATGTCACCGTGCAGATGGGCGCCGACGAGATCACCAGCTACACGGGCTTTCGCACCATCTCCAAGGGCAAGGTCAACGGCGTCTGGCGGCCCCTGCTAAACGGCGAATTCACCTTCATATTTGGCACCCTCGACCAAGGGTACTGGCCGGACGGAATCTACACCCCTCCCAGTCGCGAGGCAATGGTGTACGATCTAGAAGTGCTGAAAGATCTGGGATTCAACATGCTGCGGAAGCACGTGAGTTTACCAGGAGACGTAGAATAGCCATGAGACTGACGAGAGGCAGATCAAAATCGAATCCGACCTCTTCTATCGCGCGTGTGACGAGATTGGTATTCTGGTGATTCAGGACATGCCCTCTCCTCGTCCCCTGCAGTCAACCACCGACGCCGCCTGCAACAGCATCACCATCCTTCCGCAAGGGGCGGCTCAGCAGGAGTTCTCCCGGCAGTTGGAGCTGATGGTCAATCAGTTCAAGAGTCATCCCAGCATTGTCACTTGGGTAAGTTTGTTTAGTCGTCTTTCCCTACATCCGAGCAGGCCTAACATGTAGTAGGTCATTTACAACGAGGGCTGGGGCCAGCTCATCGAGGGATACCCAGAGTTTGCCCTTACCGAACGTGTCAAGCAGTTGGATCCCAGTCGTCTCGTCATTGCTACCTCCGGTTGGATTGATCACGGTGCTGGCGATTTCAGCGTGAGTATCCGATCTGCTCCAAGTCATAGTATGATCGCTCACCGATACAGGACAACCATCATTATGCCAATCCTCAATGTGGAACTCCCTTCTACTCCCTGCAGTCTCCACCGTACGATCCCAGTCGCATCGCTATCCAAGGAGAATTTGGTGGTATCGGTCATAACGTCTCGATTGAGAAGTGAGTTCCGAGTGTCTTTTCTACTCCCCGATAACTACAATGACTAACCATCCCCTACAGCCTTTGGAACGACCAAAAAGCCATCAACGCCATTAATGAGACGTACGAGATTGACGAGACTATCGATGCATGGAACTACCGCAGTCACATCTTGCTGTCCGAGCTGCAGGATCAGGTGCGCCGGTTTGACTGCAGCGGAGGTGTATGGACGCAGACCACCGACGTCGAGGGCGAAGTCAACGGATTGATGACCTACGACCGTCGGATCAAGCGGGTAGACGAGGAGCAGTGGAAGGACGATATTCAGGGGCTTTATGATGCAGCCGAGAAACGGATAAACGCGTCCATGATTGGATAAACGGGGTATTTTTGCGGTGTGAAGTGGTTACTATTCTTATGTCGGAATCCGGCACATGGAACATGAGCACATACTAGTTCATGGTCACATTTTGACCTACAATTATCAGGAAGCCGTTAGCGGTTTTCGAATTTAGGAATGTCTAAATAGGCTCATTAACCGAAACACGAGCGCCATGGCTTTCCACTCAGACCACGATTTCCTTACCATTCGAGCTATCCACGCCACGGCGTTTCCGCATTTAGTCTAGAGAAGCTAGTTCCCAATTATCGTCATTCGCTCATTCTCGAGGTCACGGCAATGGTTGAAATATGCTTCACAAGTAGTACAAAGAAAGTCCCTGTGTGCGGGAGAGAAACCGTTTCTTTTCAAGGTATTCCCTTCCACAAAGATACTCCCCTTAAGACGCTCCAAGGATACGAGGTAAGGTACGAGAGAACGGGAACCAGCATAATAACGATGCCTATGCGACCTCGGGTTCCTGAGTATACCGTTTTCGGTATTTCATCGTGTAGTCTGTCGTCGTCCTTAAACCTGACTAAAGTGGCGATGATGGGATGGGCCTTGACACAGAGTCTCGGACGATGAGCGCAAATCCAAGACAGGGGGTGCTTATTGTTTATATTCAGCCGCGATATTCCTAAAGGACGATAATCAAATGCCTCTCCGGCATTGCATTCGGACCGCAGTCCTTAGGGCCTTGAACGTTGCAGGCTTGGGAAAGGTTTTAAGGCGTCAACAAGCAATGTGCCACTCTGAGTGACGAATGGCATTCTAGGCATCGTAGATGTGAAAATTCCCATCGAAAGAGAAAACGATAGCAACCTTCGGCGAGACTTTTCAATTGATATATCGTGGGTGACGATCTGAGCCCGAGCACTTTGGTAATCGGATAATTTACATGGAACTGCCAAGGCTTCGATAGATGGACATGGAATTGGGATCGCAGAGAGGGCAGACTGATGGATCTCACGTCATATAGACCCTTACAGCGAGAGCAGCCGCGAATGTTTCACATACTCTTCATGGAGAGGCTATCTTGGCCACGAGTTGGACCTGCGAGTGCGTTTCCCAAGCTACTCGGCGAGGAGGGTAGAATGCTAGTAAGATCAGCAGGTCCCATGGAGCGATGTAGGGTTCGTCCGATAGACACGTGGTGATGGTTGTTCGAATAACAAGTCGGATTTCACGATTCTCTGATGATTAAAAACCAACGAGTGCACGTTTTTTCTCAGACAACGCCATCATTAAACGTAGTTCCCTGTTTGTGAAGACTAATTTCCCCTTCCTATCAATTTGTTCTAGTCGCCAATGCTCTAACGGCCCCCCAAGAAGACCGGCGACGCTCTGAACAATCTACTAACGCGAGTGGCTGACGCCACTTACCCAAGCCCAGGGAAGAAGCGAGTATGCTGGAACGATCGGAAGCTATTTCAGATACGTCCAACTCTCCGTCAGCCCATTGACCATGGTTTCGTTTCCCCGAATTAATCAGCTCAAATGCAACGCCCAAAACCACGCGATGCAACTTCACCGCGGCATAACCGCGTCGGGGAAGGATCAACGACGCCGAGCCCTAAATCCCCGCAGGAATGGCCAAAGAGTCCGGAGTGCAGCCTGGGGAGGTCCATGCGGGGTCTCCATCGAATCAGTCTCTCGATCGAGCCCTCGTCCGTCCCCAGATTGGTGGAATCATGGCAGCATGGCTCGTCCAATGTGACAACAAACTTCCTGGCGTGAGTCAAGCACCGGTGGCGGTCGCCATGAGGTGGGAGGCGTCGATAGGTTCGCGGCGACATCAACCCGAGAAGGAATGCCCAGGATGGGGATCCATCTGTGTTTCTATGCAACGCATCAGGAGAGGAGGTGATTTCCTCGAGTCACGATGTGAGCTGATGGTCCGAGACGAGGGGAAGGCTGTCTGTCGCATGGTCTTGCCCAGATCAATCAACACGTATATAACCGGATCTCCCAGCGTTTCCCCGCCTCGTGTCTCCTGTCCTCCGTGCTCTGTTCGCTTTCCTTTTTCTTTTCTCTTTTTTTTTTCTTTGGCTGTCCCAGTCACCCTGGCCAAGCCATGCTTATTGGCAACATCTACGTGATCGCCGGCGTCGCCGTGGTCGGCGGCGCCCTCTTCGGTTTCGATATCTCGTCAATGTCAGCTCAGTTAAACGAGAACTCATACAAATGCTACTTCAACCAGGGTCCCGAGGGGCCGCCCTTCAACGACAGTGAGAACTGTTCCGGCCCCGAGTCTCTCGTCCAGGGAGGTATCACAGCCGCCATGGCCGCGGGCTCTTGGCTCGGTGCTCTCGTCTCCGGTTTCTTGTCCGATCGCATTGGTCGCAAGTCCTCCATCATGGTCGGTTGTATCATCTGGTAAGAATGCATCATTCCCACCTAAGCTTGCCTTCATACTGACAGACGCAGGATCATCGGTTCAGCCATCATGTCCGCGTCGCAGAACATCGGCATGTTGGTCGCAGCCCGCGTGATTAACGGCTTTGCGGTCGGTATTGAGTCTGCCCAGGTTCCTGTGTACATCAGTGAAATGGCACCGCCTTCCAAGCGAGGGCGACTCGTAGGTATCCAGCAGTAAGTCTAACGTGTAGCAATCCTCCTGCCTCCTTTCCTCCGATCTCATGCAGTTCCTTTGCAAAGAGAATCACATTTCTAACCACTGACCTCCTGTCATTAACGTCACAGGTGGGCGATCACGTGGGGCATCCTTATTATGTTCTAGTAAGTCCCATCTATCCGAATGATGTTTAAATATACTGACAGAACGGTGCAGCATCTCCTACGGCTGCTCCTATATCGGCGAGCGCAACTCCTGGGGGTACAATCCTGCCGCTTGGCGGGTTCCTTGGGCGCTCCAGATGGTCCCAGCCATCTTCCTGTTCTGCGGTATGATGGTCCTGCCAGAGTCGCCTCGATGGCTGGCGCGCAAAGACCGCTGGGAAGAATGCCATCGCGTGTTGGCTCTGGTGCATGCCAAGGGCGATATGAACCATCCGTTTATCGCGCTCGAGTTGGAGGATATTCGAAGGATGTGCGAGCTGGAAAGTCGTTTCAAGAACGTCACGTACTTTGATCTCTTCAAGCCGGATATGATCAACCGCACCTTCATCGGCCTGTTCACGCAGATCTGGTCTCAGCTGACCGGAATGAATGTCATGAGTACGTGCTTTTAGCGCTCTTAACTGCAGCAGTTCTCGTCCATTTCACTTCCTTACAATGCTGACAAAGGCCAAAAGTGTACTACATCACCTACGTGTTTGCGATGGCCGGTTACTCCGGTGACGCGAATCTTCTCGCCTCCTCGATTCAATACATCATCAACGTGTTTATGACACTGCCGGCGCTGATCTGGATAGACAAATGGGGCCGACGTCCGACGCTGCTCGCCGGCGCTGTCTTTATGGCGACGTTCATGTACGCCAACGGGGGTATCATGGCCGCCCACGGCGAGGTGGTGGAGGGCGGCATCGACGGCGTTGCCCAACAGTCCATGCGTCTGTCCGGCGGTGCCGCGAAGGGTCTCATCGCATGCACCTATCTTTTCGTCGCCTCGTATGCCCCAACCTGGGGCCCAGCATCGTGGGTGTATCCTCCCGAGCTGTTCCCTCTGCGTCTGCGAGGCAAGGGCGTGGCGCTGGCGACGTCGGGCAACTGGGCGTTCAACACGGCGCTAGGGTTGTTCACGCCGCCAGCCTTTGCCAACATCCGGTGGCAGACATACATCATCTTCGGGGTATTCAACACCGCCATGTTTATTCACGTGTTTTTCTTGTTCCCGGAGACGGCAGGCAAGACGCTGGAAGAGACGGAGGCGATGTTTGAAGATCCCAACGGCATCCGCTATATCGGTACGCCGGCATGGAAGACTCGCATCACTACGCACCGCGTCCAGCAGCTAGAAAGGGGCGAGATGGATGCGAAGGGACAGCCGCACGTGGAAACTTCGCCGCCCGCGACGGCCAGAACGACCGAGCAGGTGGCACACAACGACAAGGCTCTGCCATAGATTGCAAGAGTTGTAGAAGCTCCATTCGCGGGCATCTAGCATCTGGTAAATTGGAGAAAGTAATTTGTACTTGTCTTTCTGACGGAGAGAGACTGGAAGACGGTGGAGGCGAGCATCGACCCGATGATCAGAGATAGTCGTTCCGCAGCTCATTTTGAAATTCAAGAAGTTCATAGGTGTCACTTCGACACTGCGCACGTAGTAAAGATGAATGATCTCCGGTTGGTTTCGCCAAGTCAATAAGAGGTCACATTGATTGCAGTTCATCGAGTTGTCTTTGAAAGTGTGCAGGCGAGCAAAAGAGCCAAACAGCCAAACGTCCACCGCCCTTATTCAACGGGCAGAATAGTCACCTGCTTTATGCATTGTGCCGCTGACTCAGGCAGCGCATCCTTGTTCACTAACCAACTACACTACTTTCCGTGCTTCCTTCATCTCTCTCTTTCTCTCTTCCTCTCATCGACTCAAAACACTCAAGACGCTACCACCTTCCTTGCCTAATCGCTGGTCGACTATAAATTCGATCTGCGCTCGAATCGTATGCAACTGTGCCATGTCCTCCCGCGTGATTCTCCACCCTCGAGCCTGTGCCTCATTCAGGAACTGCATCAGCATGATACTATCCGCAAAGGTCATGATCGGAGCTTCGGGGTCGATGTCTTCTTCCGCCAACCCGGTCACTGCCGCCCAAGAGCCCGTGATCTCCTTCGTCAAGTCGCTTGAGAGGCGCGCCTTCTTGAGGGTCGCTAAATGTCGGGCATGATCCAACACCAGTTGCTTCAGCAGTTTCCTCTGAACCTTCCCAGTCGCCGTCGTTGGAAAGCCCTCCTGGCTCAGGTCGGATCGCACGTCCAGAACCATAGTGGGAGAGAAAGCACGGCCGAGTCGATTCGCTACAACAGCCTGAAGCCTTTTCACCGGGACGATGTCTGGCACTTTCCGTCGGACGATGGCAACGGGCACTTCGCCGGCCACGGGGTCCGGAATTCCCACCACGGCGGCATCGTCGATTTCTGGGATCGCCAAGAGGCACTCTTCGATTGCAGCAGGTGAGATGTTCTCTCCTCCGCGGATAATGATATCATCACACCTCCCTAAAACGTGGACATGGCCGTCGCTATCAATGAATCCTTGATCCCCCATCGCCTTCCACCTCTTTCCACTCTTCTCATAAAAGTCCAGATTCTTGTCTTCGCAGATACCAAGGTATCCCACGATCACTCCTAGTCCTCCTTGGTGTATTTCTCCGATTTTCCCGCGGGGCAGGGTTGTTCGCGATCCCGGCTCACATACGCGCAAATCGGCTTCTTTCGAGTCTACCTTGGCGACCGGCAGGCCATAGCCGGTCTTATTCACACACACTTCATCAAGCCGGTGAAGCGGAGTCACTACGGCTTCGGTTGCCCCGTACCCCACAAATATCATCTGCGGCTGCAACATCTTGGCGGTCGCCAAAGTCTCCGCCGTTATGACAGCGCCCCCAGTGATTATCGCGTACGGTCCAAAACGTCGCCTCTCTCCAGCCGTCGAGAACTGCAATCTCAATGCTTGTAACATCGACGGAACGCAAGGAAGGTAAACCTTTCGATTAGTTGCCATTGTTTTCAAAGTGGCCTGGGGATCGAAGGCACGACTGGGGACGATCAATCTGCCCGCGGCCAGCCAAAATGCCAGATTCAGGAAGATGCCAAAAATATGGAAGTTAGGAAGCTGCTGGCACAGCGAGGATTCGGCGTCGATTTGCAAAGGCTGGCAGACCTGTGCGGCGGCACGCAGAGTGGTGGACGTGTGAGGGCATAGCTTCGGCAATGCTGTGGTTCCGCTCGTGGCTAGAATCAAGATGGTATCGCTCGGCGCTAGGTCAGTTTTCTCAATAATCGCCTCCGACTCCGCTATCTCAGCCCCTACCATGATGCTTTCCAAGGTTCTCCAGCTAGCTGGTAGCCGTTCATCCTCCGCAAGCGACGAGACCAGGTACGCGGAGACCGGCAGCTGCTTTCCTTCTTTGGCCAGCGTCTCGTCGACTTGTCGGGCCATTTCCGAGGTCGCCACGAAGATGGCAGCGGCGTCGATGCTTCGCAGGAGATGGGAAACAATGGCGGGCTGCCCGAGGACCCTCGAGTTCAGCGGCACAAACCGGCAACCCATGCGCACGCTGGTCCAGAACAGGAGCGCCCATTCAGCCTGGTTGTATAGGAAAGCTGCGATACAGCTGCCGGGTCGGAGTCCGTCGCCTCGCAATCGTGAAGCAAGTAGGGTACTGCCACGTCGAAGGTCTGTGAAGGTCCAGCTCACGGGCTGCGGGCTGATCGAGGGGCTTTCGGCACCGAGTTCCAGATGATCCCTTTGACTTGGAGACTGTACCGCCACGTGATCCGGATACCTGGCTTCGACTGCCTCGAGGAGGCGGCCCAGAGCCTTCGGCTGGGCGGTGTCGCTGTTCATCGTTGATGCAGGAATCAGTCGAAAACAGGCGCGGTTATTATGGGAACATCCGAGGTGGAGGAGATGAGGGGAAAGGACATCATGTCGGGGCGCCCTGCTCGCCTGTGACACAGAGCCATCTCTTCATTCAACACGTCGCCTTGGCGTGCAACCAGCAAGGGCCAGGGTTTTCTTTGGTCCCTCCGCCGCTCGTGTGGTCGCATTTAGAATCGGGTGATTTCCGTGGTCTTTCCCCGATATCTACCAGGTTAGATCCGGGACAGATCGTGTTCAGCTGGAAGTGCTTGCAGCCTGGTAAGCTTAGGTGAGCTAGTTACGAGGAGCATCGTCCTCCCCATGGTCTCCCTCGTACTCGAAGCTAGCTGGTTTAGGTGATTTCTATGCGTAGGCACTGGCGTTCTACGCTCTCGGTAATACTATGTGGTAAAGTATATGACTAGCATTTGGTCTTTCACCCGGTAGGCACCTCGGCAGGACAGGACCCCTCCAAAGAGGTGACCGCAGCAGCTGAAAGTCAGCACTAGAGCAGCACTTGCAGGTGTCTAGATCGAACCCTTAAAGATCCGTGCGACCGTTAGGCCGGATGGTTCATGAGATGAGCGCGGGGGTCAGGTGATTTTCAATATATCCGTGAATATAGATTCGGATTGGCATTCATAAAGGGAGAGAACGGCTACACCTACCACACCTAGTTCACGCTATTTACTACATATGAGTCTACCGATCTCCAAATATAGATCCACCGACGGCCGTAGATCAGGGTCAACGGGGACCCTCACGTGGGAGCGCACTAAAGCAGGGCGACGGAGTAGTGTGACTGTGCTACTGTTTGGCGGTGGAAGACTTCTTCTGTTTCCTTTGATGGGTGTGGTTTTTTATCCACTTCTAATTATGAATTTACTATTTATTTCTTGTTTCCCCTGAAAAAGAGGGTTCACTCCACCCGTCCCTGAGGGAGGCAAGCCATGGAACGGAAGGCAGACCAGAAAGGCACTCCGCCCATTCCGCGGACGCTGGCCGCTAACTGGATCGGGCCACCCAGCCCAGAAGGGTGCGACACGACGCTAACCCAATTAGGATCCCGCGGCGTCCCTCAAACGGCATGGTGCGCTAACCGGCAGCCAATGATCGAGACAGAAACCGCGGTGGGGCGAGGTCCCGGACAGTTATTGGCTGTCCCTCCCTGCGGCGGTGCCGGTGGCTGCCAATGAGGAAGTGGCAGAGGCAGCCCAAAAGGGGGAAGGGCAGCCCGACCGGGAAATCGCACGGTCGATCGGAGTGTCGTGCGTCGTCACCTTTTCCTCTCTCTCTCTCTCTCTGCCTTGATTCTCTCTTTCTCTCTTGTCTGTCAACTCAATTTCGCCTTTTCGGTGGCTTCGCGGCTGGTCCTTGCGCGCGTCTGTTCCATCCTGCTGTTCTCTTTTCTTTTTACTTTCTCTTCCTTCCCCTCTTCTTGTTCTTCTTCTTCTCCCTCTCCCTCTCCCATGGCTTTCGTCCGTCATGCCCGTTTTGTTCCTCCCTTCTAATCCTTGCCGCCGGTCCATGACCATGCTCCCTGGCGTCATCCTCGCCCGCCGTCCCGATTGTTGCCGCCGTGGGTGATGCCGCCGTGCTTGGCTCGCTATCACCGCCATTCGTCCCCGGGGCTCGCCCCGAAAGCATGTCCAGAAATCCGTGGAAGAAACTGCGCGACCTCTGGCGGCCCGTCATCGGTAAGCATGCCCTCTCTTCCCCCCGCCGGAGCCCTCGCTGACTCAATTTGTCCGCCCGGATAGAACGTCTCCCCTCGAACCGGTCCAACGCTTCCCATCTGCCTCCGTCGCAGAATGGGTCGACCCAGGAAGGATGGCGTCCGTTCGCCCTGCGCCCCGTCTACCTCTCGATCGTGGCCGCCGTCATGCTCCTCATGTTCGTCACCATCGAGACCCTCCGTCGATACACCGACCAGTACGGAGGCCTCGTCTTGATGCAGGCGACCGACGACGTCTCCAGCGTCCAGTCCTTCGCCTATAACTACGTCCCCATCATCATCGCCTTGGTCCTGGTGATCATGTGGTCCTTTATCGATTTCGACGTCCTCCGCCTTGAGCCCTACTTCCAGCTCTCCCGGCCCGAAGGCGCCCCCGCCTCCGTGCTGTTCATCAACTACAATTTCGGCCAGACCGTCATCACGCCCCTTACCTCGGCCAAACGCGGCCATTGGGTCGTCCTGCTGGTCTCCTGTCTCAGTCTGCTCGTCCGCATGATCCTGCCGGCCCTACAGAGTACCCTGCTGGAGTTGCGCGAGGTCACCGTCATCACCGACCAGGACATGAAAACGTGGCCCACACTCGTCGATCTGAACACCCAGGCCCGCTGGATCTCGAGTCAGGAAGATATCGGCTTCGACGCCGCGACTGACGTGGGCGACGACGATACCGGCGGCGTGCGGAGGGGTCGATCGTCCCATTACGCCGTGGCCCCGGTGGAGATCCCCCGCGAGGATCGCCGCGAGACGACCGTCTGGACGGTCAACCAGACCGTGTACTGGGTGGAGTCCGTCTGCCACGACATCTTGACCAACGACAGCCTGACGGTCGCTATCAACCAAACGGATCCCGAATTCCCGCGGGTCCAATGGAACGTGACCGGCGTCCAACTGGAACACATGGATGCCGCCCCGCGCGATTGCACCTTGGACTTCAGCTACGACAGCATCTTTTTTCCATCCACTGACTTCCTGCAGATCCGCTACTGGGAGCCCGTCCAGGCAAACCGGTCCCTGGTCGCGGAGGACGAACGAAGAGCCTTCACGGCCCGCGGCTGCAATCCGTTCGACCTATACGGCGTGCTGATCTCCGTCAATGCCACCGAGGGCGATGCCGACGCCATCGCTCACCTGGGTGCGCAGTATACCTCCTCCGCGACCATGTTCGCCTGCTCCGTGGATTACCGTCAAGCCAAGGCCGCCGTGTCCATGCACGCCAACAGCTCCATCACCGGCATCGAGGTCTACAACGGGACCGTCCGCTCGTTGAACCGCACCGAGTTCAACTTGGATGAGTTCCAAGGACTCTTGGCCCAGCGCGCACCCTACACGAGCGACATGATCTTCATGCAGTACAACCGGACCATGGGCGACCGAACGATCACCGAACTCCCCGTCGTGAGCCAGGATATGGGGGATTTTGACCCCGTCCTCGTCCTCGACACGTCTACCGTGATGGGCCAGGATGAGTTCAAAGACAAAGTGCTGAGGGGGGCGCGACAGACGTTTCTGACGACGATGAGCCGTCTGTTTAACCCCGACGTGCCTCCCGTCGTGGTGCCGGCCCTGCGACTGACACGGCAGGTGGCCATCGCCGTGGTCGACTTTGCCGCGATGGGCTCCGAAATCATCCTGGCCCTGGGCGTCCTCATGACGCTGACCATGGTCTACTTCTACCGCACCCGCGACAATATCATGCAGGGCGATCCGGGTTCGATCGGCGCCATGTGCAGCATGGTGACCGACATCTTCAGCCCGACCAACATCCTCGGCGACCCCGCGTCCGACTTTCACCAATTCTCGACCCGACAGCTGCGCATGCACCTGCGCAATTACCGACTCTACTGGCACCACGGGCCCATGGGACGAAGGGTAGACCTTGTGACGACGGATGGTACGTCCTTCCCGTCCTCTACCCTCTCTTATTCCCTTCCTATACTAACGTCTAACAGGCTCCCCCGTCAGCTTTGGTGATCAAATCCGGACTCGCTTCGACCCTCGACCACATTTCCTTGTCATCCCCATCTTCATCGTCGAATTTCTCCTCCTCGCCGCCGTCATTACCGTCATGTCCCTCATTATCGCGTCGCTGGCCCACGAGGGCAGCCTCCAGCACCTAACTCAATCGGACTCCAGTTTCTTCCAGGTCGTACTGTCCTTCCTGCCGTCCGTGGTGGCGTCGGCGGTCGGTGCGCTCTGCAACTCCATTCACCGGAACATCAGTATCCTGGAGCCGTGGGTGCACTTGCAGCGCGGCAAGGCCTCGGCCAAGTCGTCCCTTTCGATGAACTACGCCGCGCAGAATCCGTGGGCCGTGCTTGTCAAAACCATCCGAGACCGCAATCTTCTGTTGGGTCTCGTTTCCCTGGCCTGCGCCGCCAACACGATCCTCACGGTAGTGGCAGGCGGGCTCTTCGAACAGCAACTGACCACGTCCTACCTACCCACCAACAACCTGCTCACCAACTACAGCCAGTCCGTCTTCCGTCAGACCGACTTTGCTGCCGACTTCACTGAGTACGATCTGATCCAGACCAGTATCACGAGCGGCGTGCCGATGCTGCCGTGGACGGTCGCCAATTACTCGTTCGTTCCTCTCAAGGTCAACAACCCCGACCCCGACGCCATGTATGGGGCGAGGACCCTGGGCGTCGGCGCGGAGCTGGAATGCCGACAGCTCTCCGTGGCCAACGACCTGGTGACCGACCCGGCGACGGGGTCCCGGGCCTGGCAGTATCAGCCGTTCCACAATGCCAGCCGCCAATGCGTGGCCGCCATGGACCCGCTCACCAAGAACACCAAGGATGTGGCACTCGCCATCCACTTCCTCTCCCCGGTGCCCGAAGACGATCGCGACCGGGACGAGTGCCAGTTGACGACGACGGTGATCGTCGGACGATGGAATTACACGGCGCACGCGCCCCCGACTGACTCGAATACGATCGCGCTGCAGTGTGAGCCGCGCATGCGCATGAAACAGTTCGATCTGACCTTCGATCAGAAGGGTCACATCCAAGACCATGATCCGGTCAACGACAGCGCCATCACGGATGGATCCATGTTCGACAACGCCACCGTCAGTCTGGGGCAGTTCAACAAGGTGTTTGCGGCCATCCCGCAGAGTTTTGTCGGTGAGGATCCGGACGCGCACGAGGGGTTTGTCTCGTCATACGATTGGGCCGGTTTTCTGGTGGCACGGTTGTACAAACAGCGGGAGTCGGCGTTGACGCCCCTGGTGGCCGACGATCTGATGTTCATGTCGCAGACGGTCTACCAGTGGGTCTACAGCACGTACTTCTCGCTCTGGCGCCGGAACTACCTCCAGCCGCTGGCCAATCCGCCCGTGGCGGACAATGCCACGCTGATCTATAACACCTGGGCGATGGTGCCGTCGGTGCCGTCCTTGGCGATCGCGCTGCTGATCATCGCGCTGGACACGCTGGTCGTGCTGGTGGTGTTTGGCACGCGCCGGGGCCGGTTCCAGGGGCCGCGCATTCCGCGCTCGATCGGGGCAGTGATCCCGTGGGTGGCCAACAGCCGCATGCGCGACGATTTGCGTGGCACCAACGGCTGGTCCAGTCGGCGGCGCCGGGAGTATCTCAACGGGTTGGACAAGCGATACGGCTTCCGGATGTTCCTGGGTGCGGACGGGCGCTGGCGTTACGCCGTGGACGAGGAACCCAGTCCCGAGAAGCCACCGGCCGAGCAGGAGCCCCCCGATGCTGGGAAAACGGGGCCCGTGGAACTGCGTGAGTTGGACGAGTTGGACGAGACGGGACGACGCCTTTCATGACCTGACGAGATATGACACATGTATTATAGAAAACGCATTTTGGGACAAGGGACTTTGGGCTTGTATTGTACATAGAACCATGGGAGATATTTGGGAATCGGGATTCGGTGTGAATGGACTTTTTTGGATTTTGTGAATTAACGGGACATCCAGGAGGATCCTCCATTCACTACTACACACACTATACGACATGACACACTACTTACACCCCCTGCACCCTCTGGACTTCTCCATCCCCGATCACCACCGGTCCTGTCCGCTCAGAAACGCGAACGTCGGCTCCGCTCCGATCGCTTCGAGCTTCCCAGGGCGAAGGGTTCCAGCGATCCGAGGGGCTTCTTGGGCTCGGGCGTCAGATCCTTGCCCTTGTTGGGAGGTCCGTGGAAGTCACCGCCGTTGCAAGCGTCGTCCAGGGCGTTGCACTTGTCCTCCCAGATTTGGCACGACGCACCGCCCGTCGGCAGGGTGGTTTCCCAGCAGACCGCGCACTGGTCCCAGCACTTGGACGAAGACTGTTTCAATCCGTTAGTCCAGCGTTCACCATGCACCGGTCAAAGAGTCAAAGAGAGAAGGATCTTACCTCCCAACAGCCATCCTCGTTGTCATAGGCGGGCACCTCGTAGCCGCACCAGTCGTCGCGCTCCAGAATACATCCCTCAGGCTTGAGGCCTTTGTCCTGCACCAACTTCGTGCTCTGCTCGCGACGAGCCTTGCTGCCGGCACCCTCCCACACCTTGGGGCCCACGCGCGGGTAGGGCAGCTTCATGGGTGACTCGTAGATGTTGAAGGTCAGCGCGGGGTTGCTCAGGTCGTAGGTGCCCTCGCCGATGTGGACACCCTCGGGCACGACGCCGTTGTCGCTGCCCTTGACAAACACCTGGGCACAGCCGGTGTAGAACTGGGGATCGGCGGGATCGTCCTGGGTGGCGTGCAGGGCCAACAGCTCGGGACGCACGAGGTAGTAACCGCCCTTGAGACCCTCGGGGATATGCGCGGACAGCAGGCCCTTGTTGTCGTTTAGCTTCTCGGTACACCACTTGCCGGCGGACTCGTCGTAGCCCATCTCCCAGATCTTGAACCAGCCGTCGCCGGCAGCGTTGTTATCGGCGCTGGCATCGTCGACGTGCTTCATGTACACGGCGCAGGGGCCCTTGTGGCTGGGGTCGATGGCCGAGCCGGGCTTCGAGCCGTCGGTCCACTCGCGGAATTCAAAGGTCAGCAGCGAGGTCGCCTCGGCGGGACAGATGCGTTTGACGCCCTTTTCACCGTGGACACCTAGACGGGTTAGATGAGAGTCATTCTAGAGCGTCTACAAGATGCTATTAAACAGGGGGCATACCGCAGGCAATGTCCTTGCTGCTGGCCGGCTCGATGGGATAGGTGCACTTCTCCGCGTCCGGGTTCATACGCACGCAGACACCGTCACCCTGGTTGACGCCGTCAACGTACAGGTTGGTGAAGGTGGTGTGGCTGGCCACGAGGGGCGCCAGGGCCAGCAGGTGAGAGAGTTGAAAATGCATGATACAATCAGCAAGGAACAAATTCGAAAAATCGACAAGAATTCAAAGTCAAGGTAATCAAAAAAGGAGTGGAACCTGCGCAGCAGATATAAAAGGAAAGACGGAATAGCAAATAAAGGAGGGACTGTCTGCCTGCAACACAGAAAGAATGCAATGAAACAACGAAGGAGGGTGTGACTCTAGGTATTCCAACCTCTGGCGATGCCACCGGGCCCTCCCCCTCTATATATACAGCTTACATCTCTCTCTAATCTGGATCTGGATCTGACCCTGCTTTCAGTCCAGCGCCTAGACGAGGCCGAAAAAGGGTCCGCCCAGGAGCATTCCGACCCATTTGGGGGCGTGATTTACGATCCGTCACCCTTGGCAAATCGAGCGTGGGCAAACGAGTCAAAGACAGGAAGCCAATCGCATGGGAAGACCCTTTCGTGCCACAGCAAATCTGCCCAGGGCGCAAACTACAAAAGCGATGCGCGTTTCAGGTGAGTGGGAATGCCGGGTCTGGGGTCACCTCTGAAGGAAGCAGGCTTGAAGCTGGTTGGAAGAGGGACCGAATTCTCCGTGGGACCGCATAAGCGCCCTCAATCCGGTGGCGCTCGTGGCGTTTGGCTCGTAGAATTAAAGGGCCGGACATCTCATCATGTCAGGGCTGGGCGAGTGTTGGTTTGTCCAGAGGCCAGAAGTTGGAGCGCCACAGAGGGTCGGAAAGAAAGGAAGGGAAATTTCTTTCAGTCAGTGGGAATCCACCGTGGATTTGGCGGTTTAATGAGATGAGGGAGATGAGGGAGAACCGGTGTGTTTGTGTGGCTGTCATTCCACCGTTCTTTGATGATTGACTCAGTTCAGCCTAGGGCCCGGATAAGACCGGTGGGCTTTGATCGCAGAGATAATAATCTTAATCAGGACCCTGTAGAACTAGTCGCAGTTCCCGGGCAAGTCAACGGAGTCAGAAACGACTTAAAGTTGATTAAACTCAAGTAACCTTTCCAACAGCACGACGAGTACCAACCTGCCAACCAACCCTCTCTCCGTCGTTTCTTTGGCCCCTCGACCTGTTGCCGGTAACACGACTCAGACTGAAAGTGAAGACTAAAGGAAGAGTGGCAAGGCTCCCCATGCATGAGACACATCGACTGCGGCGGCCCACTTGGCGCCGACAGAGTCTGGCCGGGCTCAGAATCAGATGCAGTGTGATCCGTCTGACCGGTGATCGAATTCGCTGTTTGCACCGTGGATGTTCTCAGCTTAATTTCATTCTCCCTGGAAATTGGACCTGGCGGAGGGTTACCGACCACCGTACTACTGAATCATACGGTGTAGTTATCCCGGTCGGCACGGTGTCTTGCTGCCTACAACGTTCGCTACCTGTCTGCCTGTCTGCCTGGCAGGATAAGATGAACCAAGACGGGAGATCAGCCCTTAATATAATCCATCAAAGAGCTGAGTTTGGTGGCGGTCAATAACCACCATTTCCTACCCGTCGGCTAGAATGGACTAAGTGCTCCGTACGACTACAACCAAGGCCACGGCCAAGACAGTAGGAACCCCTGTTCCTGCCTATCGGATGTGCCGCATTCGAGAGTGTCTTGCGGTGGGACTCATCTGAATGTGAGAATGGTTTGAGTTACTCAAGAGAGCGAGGAACTACGGAGTCGTCAGTAGGAACCGAGCAGAGAGAGAGACACTGCCCACCAGAGGTATGAGACAACACAACCCTGGGTGATTGGTCTGGCACGGAATGCACCATACCGTGGTAGCCTTAGATCGCTACTCAATCTGCCTCCCAGCAAGATCGCAAGTAGTATCCGCAAGTCCAATCTAATCCTCCAGGGATGTTACTATGATTCAGATGAAAGCATCGACTCGGAAGACCTCCTTCTCGGGATGTCCGCGTCCGGCAATTCCCGGGGATGATTGTTCTTCCGCGTCGCCGGAAGCAGCTGCCCGGTCTTGCCCTAACCCTAGCGTCCGGAAGGAGGCTGGTGCCAGGGCTAGTGCGACCCTCCAAGCGGCTGCCGGAAGAGGCAGGCGGTGCGGGTGGTCCGTCCACCCGGTCAGACCGACTGCGCAATCTGCACCCCGTCTCCCCCCGCAATTTCTCCATGTTTACTTCTACACCGTAAATCGCACCTCCGGCTCAACACTACATGTGGTCTTGCGTTCACCTACCATATTTTCTTTCTTGACAACTCAGTATCTGGGTAGGTAGCTACTATAAGCATTAACTATATATGTTTTTACTTTCGGCTAATGCTGGTGCTGGGTTGTCACTTTGTAGTTATAATGACCCGCTATATGTAAGAATATATTTTGCATGCAAATGCCCTCTTTACTGTCCACGACAACGGTTCAACCCCAACACATATAGACAAACCGGAAATAGGTTTCTACCGGAGCTCAAGAGAGAGTATGATTCAAGGCAATTGAGAAATAATTCTATATGACTAAGGAAAAGGCTTCGCTAAAGTTCTAGATCGGTAGCAATATGTACATCCTACTCGCTCATATTTACAGAATACGGTCTAGAACACAGAAAGTCTATAGAGGATCGTCATCTACGGATCTCGAATGATTCGAATGCATCGCCCGACGTCTAGTGTGACTGTGTGACCCGTCGAGCGTCGAACTCTCCGTGCTAGCACTGGATCTGCACAGCTGAAGAACATGGCTCTGACAGGCAGGATCTCATGTCAACAGTAAATCGGTTCGGTGGAGTCAAGAAAACCTTGAGCATGAACAGCGACGTATGAAACGACCTGCATACGGATCAGGCAATAGTCAATGCTCAATAGAGTTGAGGCTGACCCCTCTTTCTCCCGCGCTCTCGTCCACTCCCACTCTCCTAGACTGTCAGACAAGCATCAACTCCGGCCGCCAGACCATGCCCACCGACTGCGGCGCCGTCTCCACGAACCCGTTCCGCGTATATAACCTGCGTCCCGCCGCGTCGGCCGACAGACAGACGTACGGCTGCGGGGGTGCCCTGGCCGCGATCTCCTGCAGGAGATGCTTCAGCATGACATCCCCGAGCCCGCGCCGTTGGTGGTGCGGATGGACAGCCATATCGGCGACGACGAAGTACCAGCCGCCATCGCCAAGCACGCGGCCCATAGCGACGATCTCGGGGTCGGGTGGCTTCGGAGCGGTGGATGTGGATGCGGATGACGACGGGGCATCCGAGGTCGTAGTACTAGTAGTAGTAGTATCCGTCCGGACGACGTAGCAGGCCGTCCAGCTCCCTTGCAGAGCGGCGATCGCTTGCTCCGGCGTTCGTACGGACAGGCCGGCGGTTTGACGCAGGTGCAGGTAGGTGGACACGGAGGGGACACCCACGTGGAGGGCGTAACCGGCGGGAAGTGACATACTTCTGGAATGCTGGATGCTGGAAATCTGGAGATATCCTGTCTAAAAAGAGGGGAGGGGGTTACTGGCAGCTGTGAGGTGCGACGAGAGAGGGAAGAGATCCTCGACCAACGCCCGGTAGGAGTCAGAGAGGCAACTGGAACGGAGGGGACGATCCATTTTTATGGCGCGCACGGATGCTGTGATTGGGGGAGAGAGACGTCGGCGGCGCAGGTTAGGATTCCTAGCGTCGAGCAACCCCACGAATCAGTAATCACGTTATGGCGACGGACTGGGGATTCGATTAAACGCAACGCACATCCGGCCGGTCAGATTCGGCAGACATGCTTAGTTGAGAGGTGCGAGATGGAAGTGTATTACTCCGTAGGGAAGTGGCAGATGAGGCGTATCAGGGGAACCGAGAACTCTTTTCCGAGGGTTTGGACGGAGAACCAGGGGGGATGAGTCCGTACTCCGTTCGTCCATCGTGGAAGTAGTCCGTAGTTGCTATGGAGTAGTAGGAACTGCTGTGTACACGGAGGAGGACGAACTGCTGCCGGGCGAAAGGCAACCTCAGGCAATCTCAGTCAGGCAACTTGGGCTCAGGCACCCAGGCACTCCAGGCACATGCGACGTAGGACGCGGCACGTGATCACGGACCACCCGAACGAGTAAGTGGCGCCCCCGGGCAGCGACGACGCTAAACCCGATGCGGTAGTTGAGGACGGGCCGTGGACTCGGCCGCACGTGGACCGCGCAGCCCTCATTGCAGACTTTTCCTGGCCGATCCATTATTGTCGGTCGTCGCATTGTCTTACCTTCCACCACCTCTGACCACCGGTCGGAACAATAATTGCTGGGCTGACTGCATCGTGCGTCGCAGCTCTTCCTCTGCATGTCCCGATCCACGCCATCAGGGTCACTTCTCCGCACGGGGACGGAGTCAGGCGAGGACCAACCGACGTCTGTTCGCCGGCTAGCCTGACCGAGCCCGGCCGGTCTTTCCCCGGTCCTCTTTCCTTTACCACGGCTCTTTTAGAATTTTTTTCCCTTACGGAGTAGGGCCAAGACGGTGAGGGACCGGTAGATGGCCTCATCTAAGAATTAATAAGGGTGGCTTTCATCTCGGTTGGGGCGTTCCAGTGGTCCAATCGCCACTCGTTACCACCAACAGCCAGCCGAGCAATGCGCTGATTGGTGTCGACGGGGGCATCCCAAGAGGCCCAAGAAACTTACGTGAGAGACTAACCGGGATGAGACGATAGCCCCGTGTCGGTGCAGGAGCATGTGTTAGAGGCTTTATTGTGGTCGACATGCTAGTTTGGGGCCAAAGCTGGACAAGATCCGACAAGCGGCTTGGCTAGTACCGCCGTCTATGTCATGGAGGGTTTGGCGCCGAGAGGGATCCGATGGGGGCTTGAGGGGCCTCGGAGGGGCCCCCTCTTCTTGGGAGGCAGCCAGGAAAATGAACTCCGTCATTTCGGGGGGACGCCAAAAGGCTTCTCGTGGTGAGTGCACCACCAAGAAGTGAGGCCCAAGAGTAAGAGGAAGAGGCACTCTTGGCGCCATCCGATCCCGCCCCCCCGCGCCGACTCCACTCGGTCGGCTGACCTTCCCCCGCGGCCTGGCGTTTTCGCGTGTTGCGGCCTTGGCGCTAACCCGACGGCGCCGGAAGCGGCAAAGCAGCCGAGGCTGCATGCGAAGGAAGTCCCCCGATCGACGTCATGCCAAGTGCCTCTTGCCCTCTGCTGGACCCGGGGTTGCGGAGATTTCTGCCAATTACATCGGATGCCCTGGGGTTCACTGGGGTTTGCCGTTTTGGATTATGGATTTATGGATTTTAATTTTAATTTTTTTATCGATTTCATTTTATTTTTTTCAATTTTTTTTTTCTTTTTTATTCTTTTTTATTCCCCGAAGGCAAGTCGCCCGTTTCTCTCTGTCCGTCGACGGTCATCGCAAGTTATATAAGAGCCCCGTCGTCTCCATTCTCGATCGAGGATCTTACTTCTTTTCTCTCCGTACTCCGTTTGACACTTTCCCCTCTTCTCTCATCGTCTGCATATACCTCAACCGGCAATATGTGGACTATGACCTCTGGCTTCAAGGGGCGGTCGCTCCGGATGGCCATCACCCTCACCGCCGTCATGGGTTTCTCTCTCTTCGGTTACAACCAGGGTATGATGTCTGGTTTGATCGCCGGTACTGAATTCGTCAAGTCCTTCCCTACCCTAGCTATGCCTACCGACCCGACCGATGCGGAGGATCGACACATCAACGTCCTCCGTGGTGCCGTCACCGCCTGTTATGAGATCGGTTGTTTCTTCGGCGCCCTCTTCTCCATGTTCTTCGGTGACAAAATCGGCCGTACTCGTCTGATCATGATGGGTGCCTCGATTCTGATTGTCGGTGCCCTCATCTCGACCGTCTCCTTCGGAGACCACTGGGGTCTGGGTCAATTCGTCATCGGTCGTGTCGTGTCCGGTATTGGTAACGGTATGAACACCGCTACCATCCCCGTCTGGCAGTCTGAGTGCTCTAGCGCGCACAACCGTGGTTTCCTCGTCTGCTTCGAGGGTGCCGTTATCGCCGTCGGCACCTTCGTTGCCTACTGGGTCGTCTTCGGTCTCTCCTACGTTGATTTCGACGTGCAGTGGCGATTCCCCGTCGCCCTGCAGATTCTCTTCGCCATTTTCGTCTTAATCGGCGCCTTCATGTTCCCCGAATCCCCTCGTTGGATGGTGATGCGCGGCTTCGATAAGGAGGCCTGTGAGGTCATCGCCAAGCTGAAGGGCTCCTCGCCCGACGCCGAGGACGTCCTGCACGACTTCAACTTCATGAAGGCCGATGTCGAGTCCTCCAAGGCCAACGAGGCCGGATGGGGCGCCCTCTTCACCGGCGGCAAGACCCAAGAGTTCCAGCGCATGATCGTCGGTTGCTCCGGCCAGTTCTTCCAGCAGTTCACCGGTTGCAACGCTGCCATCTACTACTCCACCCTGCTGTTCGAGGACAACCTCGGTCTGGCGCACCGTCTGGCTTTGATCATGGGTGGTGTTTTCGCTACCGTCTACGCCCTGGCCACCATCCCCTCGTTCTTCATGATCGAGCGTGTCGGTCGTCGCAACCTCTACCTGATCGGTTACATGGGTCAGGGTCTCTCGTTCGTCATCACCTTCGCCTGTTTGATCAAGGAGACCGAGGAGAACTCCAAGGGTGCCATCGTCGGTATCTTCCTGTTCATCACCTTCTTCGCCTTCACCTTGCTGCCGCTCCCCTGGATCTACCCCCCCGAGATCAACCCTCTGCGTACCCGTACCGCTGCCTGCGCCGCCTCCACCTGCACCAACTGGATCTGTAACTTCGCCGTCGTCATGTTCACCCCCATCTTCGCCGCTACCAGTCCCTGGGGTGTCTACCTCTTCTTCGCCCTCATCAACTTCAGCGCCGTGCCCTTCAGTTGGTACTTCTTGGTCGAGACGGCCGGTCGTGAGCTCGAGGAGATCGATATCATCTACGCCCGTGCCCACGTCGAGGGCAAGCGCGCCCACCGCATTGCCAGCGACATGCCCAAGCTCACCTTCGAGGAGATTGCCCAGCAGTCCCGCGAGCTCGGCCTGGACCACAGCGACCACCACGGCCAAACCGAGAAGGCCGAGCTTGGTCTCAGCAGCGGCAGCGGTAGCGGCCAAGACCTGCAGGAGGTCGAGGAGAAGCGCTAAGCGTCTTACAGAAAACGATGAAAACGGGAGCAGATGTGAATTTCTTGGCCACTTGATCTGAAGACTCAAGTTCCAGAAATGGATGACACAACCTTTGCTGCCTTATGTTGAAAGGTTTTTTTTTTTTTAATTTTTTTTTGGTGACCACGGTGCGGCTAATAACCGCCATACATACCCCTTTGCTTTTTGGCCCACCGCCGCTTGTTTAGTAGATAGATATAACTACACATGTTGATTATAGAAATTGGCTATTCTACTGTTTTATATCTATGTTAATTCATTTCATTTCTTTCACGATAGATATCCCAAAGCCATCGATTTCAATCGTCATGACTAGCCACAAAACTTTTCCAATCCAACTAATCATGCCTTCGGAGTACAGTGCAGAGTTTTCATAGAACTTCCTTTTCTCTTATGTCAAAATCCACCAATCCCCACCCCGGGTCTAACCGCAGAATGCGCCGTAATTCTGACCGACCGGGCCCCTTGAAGGATGCAGCTCTAGTGGGAACCACGTTACGATATTGGCTGCCACCTGCAAGGGTTACTCAATTACTAAATGTTTAGTTATTGCTGGTCGATGGTTCGGACGTCCTCCGTCCTATCAAAAATCTCATTATTATTGAAGTGTCTCCGGTGCGAACCATGCCGGTGCCTGAGGCCTAATAAGCCAGGGATCTATTATTCTGTACGGAGTACTCCGGAGTAGTATTCGATTATCAATTGACTCTGATGTCTTACGGAGGACAACAATCCGACAAAGCCATTCAATACACGTCTCACCGCCGATCATTCATTTTGTGGCTTGAATGACGCTGGATCGGGCATCTGATAGGGCTACTTGTAAGCCACTGAATAATTAATTCCGAAAAGCGCCTAATTGTGAATGTATTGGCGGATGGCGTATGAACATGTGTTGGAATTTAGTTTTAGGAGAACGGCAGGTATTCTATGGATGTTCGCAGGCCTGAGGTGTAACCTGCCAAGTATCGTGCCGTTGCTTATTTTCTATGTCTGCATATGTAACACTAGGAAGATCTCTTCTACGTACCATCACACTATCCTTACTTGGTATTATTCTACTTGATTAGACTCAATCTTTGGCTGTAACAGATAACCTGCCTTGTATTGAGTACGCCTACATGCTGCGAGGAGGAGTCCCTACAGCTGCCGAGGTGTTGATCCCCTTCCTTTTTGAGTGGCCTCGAGGCTATACAAACTCAATATTAATCATATTGTCGTGGTCATCGCAAGAAGAGCATTTTTTCGTTCATGAAATTATTTCAAGGGGCTACCGATTTTACCTGTTCTACCCCTTGATATGTCGAGCTTGAAGATCAATAATTGATCGATTAAGGGCTACTTTAGGCTTATTCCTATCTATTTCTTCTACGGCAGACGAATCTATATAGTGAAGTCGAAAAAATTTAGGGACACTAGTTATTGCCCGAATTAGCGAGCCATTAAATCGATGTAACTAATACGACGCCCGATTTTGATCGTTGATTGTTTGAACTATCTATCTAAGGTGATCAAAATGGACTTTGCCCCTTTTCAAGTAAGGGAGATATGCTACGTGTCAGCGGATTGCCTGTCTGGTTTATTATGATAAGCTATAAGATGGCCTATGGAATAATTGGACCAAATTGGTTCTCCAAGCGTGATCCCTAGTGTCTCGGAGACCTATAACATTAGAATTCTGTGTTATCTAAAGTTTTATTGGTTTTAAACCATCCTCTTATTGCTAGATTGCCCGGAGCTGTGAACGGTTGTATTTTTCCTGGAGATGTACTCCGTAATGAGCACATTGTGCTATTTGAATACCTCTCCATGGGCTTAATACAGAGGAAGACATACTCTTTCTCAAAACCAACCCCTTATCCATCAAGAATAACCTTCCGTGCATCCCATGCTGGCACCTCTTTCCTGCAATCTAATTTCGAGCCCCTTGCACTTTGATAGTCATCCCATGCGTATTCTACCCCCTACTGTCAACATGAGTGAATGATAGAGGGACATCAGAGTAGTTTGGACGGGATTTAGAAGCTTTATCCTAGGAGAATGGTACTTTTATGTCCTAATTTCTAAATATCAATTCAATTAGCTCGCACTAAATTAAATAACAAATAGCACTATTCTGCATGCTCAACTGCCGAGAAACGAAAAGCTCGGTTTCCATCCAACTATTCTCCGCAAGTCAGGGACCGCACTTTCATCTTCGCCGTCGTCATCGGTGAAATTTGCCATGCATAATCGCCGCTCGAGCCCGTAATCCGGAGCTCAGCGCAAACATGTGAACTCCTGAGCTTTTGATCAATTGACGCCCTTGACCGCATTACCTGGTCATAATATGTGTCGGACCAAATCAAAGAATGCGGGGATTCCAAATAGAAGAGGTCTGGTCTCAACATTCCCGGTACCAATGACTACATCGTGAACTCATCGGATGAAGTTAATGGTGTGCAGGTATTTGGCAGGTCACCTCCGGAAGAAAGGCTGGCCTATTCCTGCACCGTGGCTATGAGAAAAGCGGTTCGGACATCTAGAAGTAGGAGTATAGTTGATAGATTGCTACCCTCAACTTTGGTTGTGCTAGGTCTGCCATCGTGGCGGAGAAACTTGGGTCTAAGCGAAGTAGTCTAGGCCAGGTAAAAGTATGAACATCCTATGTCATTTTGAGCTGTTTCCATGGACAAAAACCCTGGAGTTCAATCTGGGCTTCCGGAAAGAATGTCCGAGTGCTCAAAGGAAGGAGTTCCGGCCTATGCGTCATGAAGTCCATCATTTCAGCTCATAACCATGGCTATTTAGAAGTTATGACCGCATGGAACTCAAGGCCGCGATACGTCAGTGTTACTTCATCGCGTTAACTGCGAAGAATAAAAGATGTCTTCGCGCGCGAGTGATAATATCGTCACGTACTCACATCCTGACTCATTGTCCAGTTCTTTGGAGCTGATATATTTGTACAAACAGTAAGTAATACTACATTGAGAATCATCACGGTTGCTGAGAGAACCGAGCCGAAAAGAGATCAGATTCTCCGAGATGAGCCTATCCGGACCGGTTATCACTCTGATCTTATCTCTGGCGACCAGTGCCTCTGCTGGACCGGCAGCTTACGGAGTGTGTCAAGCAGGTTGCGCCGGAGTTGTCATGGCATGCTATTCTGCTGCAGGAGCCATTTGGGGTGCAATCATGGCAGCCACAGCACCGCCTTCTGTGATATGGTGCAATTCAGCTTTCGGTGTTTGTCAGGCAACATGTGCTGCTGTCACGCTGGTCCCAACTGCATAACCTGCGTCTTCGATTCGAAATCCACGAGAATGCACACAGTTGATTTGCGAGGTATATGTGCCGCATGAAACAATCCATCAGCGTTCGGGTCACACGGGCCATTTCGTCTCAGATAAGATTGCCCGTTGGTGTCCGAAAAGCGGTTGAGACGTCGGACTTAGATCTGACTGGGGCCTGTGTTTCGTCTTCAACGGTTCGAGAATGATTTCATGATCCACAATATTGTACGAGTCATGCTATCCCCGCAGCATGGTACCTCGGAGATTATCATTCTTCGGCATTTGTAGAATACTCGGCTCCTGGGTTGATCGTGGATCTTAGATCATCGATTAACCTGGATTTTGCGGGACAATTAATTCGTTGAAGCTACCTAAATGTAACCTTATGAGCAGTTTTTGTTTCAAGTTCAAAAGGCGAATTGCGAGGGAGACTGTATGTCGTAAAGCGATTGTCCACCCCGTTTGTCTACCTCTTTGTTAACCGCGAATGATTGTTGGAATAAGGCTTCTTGAAGGCCCATGACTTAGTAACGGTTAGTGTTGTTCACAGCAATATGTCTGAGGAGTGCTCACTGCCCTCGAAAAAGAAGACTTCTCTTCCTACCGAGTACACCGTTCATGTTTCTTCATTTCAATTCTCCTTCCCTCCAATTTGCTTTGGCATTGTGGGGAAAGTGTACTCTGACCGGGATAGATGGTATTCTAGTAGCCCACCTCACCCACAAGGCCTAGATCATTCGATCGTATAAAGTCCCTAGAATCCAGCGAAGATACTTGTGCATACTGAGCCAATTACCGTATAGAAGGCTGGAACATCGCGTGGTGGAGTGTCTCCCCGGGCAAGATTCCTACAACTGGACTTTGACATTCGCCGAGAAAAAGTCCTAGCTCATTACTAACAGGAGATGCGATCCATTTGATTTCAAACCGCACGGTACTTGGCCATAACCAGTGAAAATCGAGAGATCCACCCTCTCCATGTCCGAAAACATTGAAGCCGTAGCCCCTTCATCTCAATCAGACAAACAACATCACGCCAGACTGCGACGGCCCAAATCAAATGGGCCTTAATTGCGGCCCCTGTTATGATATCACAAAAGTCCAGAAGCGTCCAAAATGCCTCATGGCAAACGGACCAATCCTAGGTCCGTTTGGTGCAAACTCGAGCAGGCAGATTCAAAACTAAAGGCCAGATTAAAAGTACTGACTCACCCATAAGTTGCTTCCACTTCCTTCCTAGACGCTAGACCACGCTGTCCTCACTCCCTCCTACTCCGTACTAAAAAAAACACACCAAGGAACGAACCCCCAAGCCTCGAGGAGCGACCAACCGGGAGGATTTCGGGGAAACCGATCGACAGGGACCATTGCCCCATGCGGTTTAGGGCGACGCAATTTTGGGCAAACCATTAATCAATCTCGCGATACTATCCAGACTAACATGCATCCGGCGCTGCTTCCAGTATGGTCAGACCAGCCCTACCTTGTCTACTTGAAACCTGAAACTGCTATTTTGAACCAGGCACAGGCACAGGCCAGGATCGACCGATCACATTTTCGCTTCCCCCAAAACCCAACGGGCAGCGGTCTCACGTTGAGACAGTGACGGAATCCGTGTCGCGAGATGGATTCTGACTTTTCCCTGTCCGCCTGGGGGGATTGAGTGATTGAGTTCAATTGTAGGGCGTCTGGTCCGCGGATGCTGTGATGACCGTGCTGAACCACTCTCGAGTGTCGAGTGTCGACGTTGACATGTATCCGGAGGGCGCCGACCGAGTGGATGTGAGCTGTCTCACGCCAAAGGAATGGCGCACTATCGAGAAAGACTAGGAGAACCCCTGCAGGGGCACCTTGTACACAGACACACAGCAAGAGAGCCATGTTCCAAGTATACAAGCTCTCGCGAACTGCCGACATCACCACCGCAGAACGACCTCGGCGTCGGGCAAGTAGTGAAACATCTCCACTGTTTCACCCAGCATCCCGATCCTCGACGGCCCTCAGATTAGTCTATCACTAAGAAAAAACCTTATCCGGATCTGATTTTGGGCCGCCGACTAGAAGTATAAAATCCCCGGGTCTGCACGGCTCAGTTTCTCCTAACCAGCCTCGCTCATTCCATTCATCCATTCCATACAATCCGTCCATAGAGCTGTGCTCTAGCCTTTCTTTTTTATTTTTTGCTCTGTTCCCTCACTTTCGTTTTTGATACAATCTTCCTGCCTCTCCCAAGATGAAGACCGCTGTCATTCTCAGTATCGTCACCGCCGCTCTGGCAGCGCCCACCAAGACCGTTGAATCGCGTCAACTGCCCGGCCTGGGAGGTTCCGGCTCGTCCAGCGGGGGCGGCCTGAGCTCTCTCGCCTCGCTAATCCCTCACCCCTCCGGCGGCGGAGGTCTCAGCAACCTCCTCGGTGGTGGCAGCAGCGGCAGTAGCAGCGGCGGCCTGCCCGACCTCAGCAGCCTTCTCGGCGGTGGTAGCAGCGGCAGCAGCAGCGGTGGCCTTCCGGACTTTAGCAGCCTCCTCGGCAGCGGTTCAAGCTCCTCGTCGGACTCGTCTGACTCTTCCTCGAGCACCGACTCCAGCACCGATGCAAGCAGCACCGACTCTAGCTCTAGCTCGAGCGGCGGACTCGGCGGGCTCCCGGACATCGGCAGCCTTCTGGGCGGCGGAAGTGGAGGTTCGTCGCTGTTCTCTCGGTCCGACGAGGCCACCAAAAGAGCGATAGTCGAGACGACTAAACGCGCAGGACTAGGCTCGATCACGGAGAACGACGTCACCAACAACAAGGGCTGCAAGGAGCTCACCTTCATCTTTGCCCGCGGAACCACCGAGATGGGCAACATGGGCTCCGTCGTCGGACCCCCCGTTGCACAGAACCTGAACTCCTTGACAGGTAACAAGGTCGCCGTGCAGGGTGTCGATTATCCCGCTTCTGCTGAGGTTGGTCTTCCCCTTCTTGCTCATCCCACAGGGTTGCGGCACTTGGATCAATGCTAACGTGAGACAAATAGGGCAACGCGATGCTCGGCGCGGCTGGCGGCCCCAAGATGGCCTCCCTAGTGCAACAGGCTCTGAAGCAGTGCCCCAACACGAAGGTCGTGCTGGGCGGATACTCCCAGGGAGCGATGGTGGTCCACAACGCGGCCAGCAAGCTCAGTGCCGGACAGATCTCTGGTGCCGTGCTCTTCGGCGACCCGTTCAAGGCTCAGGCTGTCGGCAAGCTGGACAAGTCCAAGACCAAGGAGTTCTGTGCTTCGGGCGACCCTGTCTGCGAGAACGGATTCAACGTCATGGCGCACTTGACCTATGGCGGCAAGGCCAAGGAGGCAGCACAGTTCCTGGTGCAGGCTGCTGGTCTTTCTTAAGTTCTTTCGTTCCTTTGTGCTCTGGGTAGAGCGAGGGTTCGGTCTTTTGTTCCTCTCGGTGCAGGAAAAATCTGTCGTTCTTTTTGAATACGGATATGGATTGGTGTACTTATGGATGGATAGAATTCTGGGTCAAGATAGCGCTGGACGCGAACCAGTCATTCAATGATGAATCAAGCAAGCTCATTATCAACTGCCTATATTTATGTAATCTGTATCATCTGTATCGCTTGTTCTTTCAAGCCAATTGTTTAGAAGACCTTAAACCCACCGGGCATCAACCGTTGGAACACACCCTCAGGATCATACCGCGTGGCCATCTCCTGCAACTTGGCATGGTTCTCCTCTCCGTACCCTTCGAAGATCTTCTGGAATCCCGCCGAATCACCCATGTAGTTGAACGGATCATACAGGCCCGCCTTCATGGTCGCGTTGTTGATTGCATACGTGGTCTCCTGAACCCACTCGGCCACGATATCATCGTACGCCGAACCGATCCACTCGACGACCTCTGCGTAGCAGAGGTAGATCTTCGAGGGATCAAGACCGAGGGCATTTCCGCCGCGGGATGCGGACGCGCTCATCCAGTCGGCGCCGATGGGCTGCCAGTCCAGCTGGATGGTGGAGATGTTGGCCATGGGGACCTGGTCCAGGAGCTTGGGCAGCTCGTTGAAGAAGGTGCTGTTGATGATGGTGATGCCTTCAAGGAGGGATTTGTAGTCAGTGCCAGTGACGGTGCCGGCGACGAAGACATCGCTGCTTGATTGTGAGTACTTCGTTTTCTGGGATATGTAGAAATATGGAGGAAACCTACTTGATGTGCGGCACGACCATCTCGCCCGTCTCAGCTGCAAACTCGCTCAAGGTCTTAAAGCCCACCGTGCTGCTGATCGACGGGATGTCCGTGAAAGGTTTGAAAATATCTGGATAGCTGACCTCCTCGCTGTCGTAGAACAGAATGACCGAGGCCACTAGCGTCTCGCCGGGTACGAGCGCAGGGACGATATGCGTTTTGGGGTCGGAGATGTTGGCCGCATAGGTAGCAGCGGCCTAGGTTTCGTTAATCTCATAATCTCATCGCGCCAGGGCTACGAAGACAGGGAAGGTAGAACGTACAGCCAAGAATTGGTCCACATACTTCGCCTCGACAGTGTGCGCACCTGCCCACACCTTCGGAGACCGGATCGTTTCCATGTCGAATCGCGTCACGATACCAAAGTTGCTGCTTCCCCCCTTCAGCGCCCAGAACAGATCCGGGTTCGACGTCTTGTTCACCTGCGCGACGGTGCCGTCTGCCAGGACCACCTCGTAGTTGACAACGGTGTCACACGCGAAACCCACCTGGTTACCGTAGAAGTTGACGCCACCGGCGAGGATCAGGCCAGGGACGCCGACGGGACCGAGACGACCTCCAGCGGCGGCGAGGCCGTATTTACCAAGGTAGGCGTAGACGTCAGACCAACTGGTGAGACGATTAACACTCTTGGAATTTGGTGGGAAGAAAGTCGAACATACCGATAAGCCGGACCCACGGACAAGATGGATTGATCCTCAGAAAGCTCCATGGTGGTCAAGTTCGACATGACAATCAACACGCCGTCATCGATATTGTTCGATCCTTGAATTCCCATATGGCCGCCTCCGCGCACGGCGAACTGAGCATCTGCGTCGACCAGCGCCTGCAGACCCTGCGATAACTGGTCGCTCGATTGCGGACGAAAGACGCATCCCGGCGACAAAATCTCGGTGTTAGACCAGTACTCCTGCGACTCGTACTGGTAGACCGAGGAATCACGCGAAAAGACCGCACCGGAAAGGGATGATGAGAGAGCCTGGCAGCCGGGTGAAATGGACGAGTCGGCCAGCGAGAAGGGCGTCATGCCCAGCGGGAGAACGGTGGATGCGAGACGCATGTTGATGTCTGGGGTACAGCACGGTCACAAACGGTCAACAGTCACCAACAGCTGGGAAAGAAAAGAGAAAACCCCCCTGGGAGAGAGGAAAGAAAAGAAAAGAAAAGAAGACGTGACAGACGGAGCATCCCGTGGTGGATCCCACGAGTCAAGAATGTTTCGGTCTGGAATGGGGCATTATTCAGGCGTTGAGAGTGGCATCCTGAGCCGGAGTGACTCCATTATTGCGTCCTAGTCCGGGGACGGTTCGCCGACGGACAAAAAGAGAGAGGAGCAGAGATTGCGACGAACAGTTCGTCGGAATTCCACGGGTCTGGTTGATCTTGGTTTCACCTGCATCTCATGCAGGCTGGCGCAATAATAATGCGCTATCGTTGGCGCCGGTGCAATGGACTCGGTGAAGCGAGACTAGTCGGGTCCACAGCAATATGACGATCTCTGGCCAATTTCAATTAATTTACTACGGGTTAGTAGGCTATCGCCGCTCAGTAATTATGATTATTATGAAGGCTATCATACAGTATTAAGCCATTATTGTACAGAGGTACCCCGTGGAAATCATCAGTCGTCTCGCATGCCCATTTCCTCAACTTCGGCCGGTATTTTCAATGTCAAACATCACGGTCCGTAAAATCCCGTCTTCTTTTGGGCCTGGAGACGGCGCCAGAATGTGCTCTTCGCTATCGTTATGAGCTTGGGCGGTTGTCGAATATTGGTGATCTCGCGGGGACGCAAAGTCCGGCTGCGTGCGAGGAATCGATCCCAAAGGATGTGCGTACTTCCTCGAGCGTGACGAGTTCTCGGCGCTTGACAGGCCCAGCAACCGGGGGAAATATCGGCGGACGAATGGACGCATGGCCGTGACGCAGCCTCCAGTGATGCCGAGGTTCAGCTCGATCGTGCACCACATTAGGGCATCAGTAGTGGCCCCTGGATATGGTTATTAGAAGTCGGGGGCGTGTCCATTCATGTGTACTTACAGGTCAGATCTGGGCTTTTGAGCAAGTCGTAAAGGGTAGCTAGGCGTATGCAGCTAACAATTCCCACGCTGTAGCTGTTAGCAACTTATTGTCATCGGAGACTGTTGGGTTCACTCACAAACATCCCATTGCCAAGATCAAGGCAACGGCGATTTTCTGACGCAAAGGCATCTGCAACCGACGCAGCCAAGGGCTGTTCACATTAGAACGCATTCATAATATGGTCGTGGGAAACATACATCGGAACAAGAACCGTCGCAAAATCCGTAAAAATTCCCAATCCGGCATTGGCAAAGTAGAACACCGGGCGGTTCATGCAGCTCCCTTTTGTGATTGTTATGTCCCAAGTTTTTGCAATAGGGTCGCAGCCAAAGACATTGGCGAAAACACTCGCCACATTGTATAGAATCGCAATGGCCGCGATGGCCCAGACGCAGATGTGAAAGGTTCGGGTCGGGAAGATGCGAACGTAGAATATAAGAACGGAGACCTTAGTAAATCCGGTGGCAGCGCAGTAGAAAATAGCCGAGATCATGTTTAGCTATTTTCGAGAGATTTGTTAGCTCGAACAATCTTAATTGCGGATATCAAGTGCAGTCTCACCTTGAGAAACCATGGAGAGTAGTCCGTTGCGTATACATCCCACATGTGTCTTCCCAAGCCCCGATTCAGCACTGTCAACTCAGTTAATCCTGCTTCATTGGGATCAAGGGATTTCCTATACTTTCAAGAGTCACCCCTGTCAATACACATGACAGAATCTGTAAGCGTCAGAAAGAAACTCAATCTGCCGTGGTCGCGAATCGGCATACCCAGGCAAAAATCATGAGATCTACTTCTGTTAGCTACGTCTCACAATTCTCGGGCCTGCATACGCACAGTCATCCGATCGAAAACTATGCACAATGAAAAGGCGAGTCCATGTGCGCACGAACAGTGCGATGGCGGATATCGGCAGGAACACACAATTAACCACCAGGAATTTCGTGCCAATGTACGCAGGGTCCACGAAATTGGATGACTGCCCCGGTGGCGGCGGCATCGCCGGGGTTATCGAGTCGAATTCCACCATGATGTCGACATGAGGCAAAACTTGAGAATGAATGTCGAGGGAGAGGGGGCTGTCAAATAACTCTAAGAGCCACAGGGGGTAGGCAAAAGATGGTAGACCCAGTCGCGACACTAGTTGATAAGAGTGGCCTGGACAGCCTCAATGACGATTAATATGCGACCAAGGCATGTGGATTCAGCCTCCGTTTGGAGCTGGATGTCCTGGTTGAGTTCTGATATAAGACCAGGACGGTCTGGGGAAGTTAATCGTCCTTTGCAAAACCTTCTCGGCCCGAATTCGATAGTTTATTGAGTCATGAAAAAGGAAAGATTCGTGTGGTTCGGCCCCTGACAATCATTTGCAGAGGTTGTTGCGTGCAGTGTAGCAGTTCCCCTTTCAGGTTACCAGCTACTGTCTCTTTCAATTAACTCTGACTTCTCGTATTCCTCGCTTCGTCGCCACCACGATTTGCCTATTATGTTGAGCAGTGCATTCAAATCCTTAAGCTTGGGCACGAGGAGTGGAGAAGACTCGCTGCATTCATGCAATGACTTTTCCGTAGCCCGTAAATAGCCTGGCATCTGCCATGCAGAGTGGAGGAAAGCAAGTTCTTCGAATGATTTGTGTTTGCCGGCTCCAGTTTATCGTCATTACACTCACGATTGGGCAAGGATATGCTCGGTGAAAACTTTTTCCCCTTGTCTCTTCCTGTAAAATTAACTTTCATCTAACGAGGGAAGCCCTAGGTGAGACTACCAGAGCCCGAACCAAAATTTGCGAATTCTTGGGTCGGGGCACAATTGCCGAGGCCGAACTCTGCTGAGTGAAATTCCATAGTAGAAACCACCGGCAAACATCTAGCCAACTTGCAATCCGTACTCCGCAATCAGATCCAGGCTGGATTCAATCCGCTCGCGATATTTTCTCAAGGCTGGACTGCACAGGGTTGCAGATCTATCGGTGATCTCATCGTGAAGGATCAGAAAGGCGCGTGGTGAGGGACCGAGCAGAGGAGAGACGCCAGGCTCTGCGCCCGGCATGTCGCATGGCCACCAAAGCTGGAACCATTGAAGGAACGGATCAATGCCATTGGGCTAAATCGGCAAGCGGCCTGCCTGGCCGGGTATTTGAGCCGGCCTTTGTGAACTCTGAAATATGGCGCGGCGTTGTTTTTGGAGCGACTAGTGAGCGCTAGAACGATCAGTCTGGCATGGCCGAAGATGCACAGCACAGGAGCCTCGGGATAACCTCGGTTCAACTGTCATGAAGACAAACAGGCCGAAGAACAGCATCATTCGGATAAATGAATAGGCACCTTGACTGCCTAGTATTCTAGGTTTCTAGGCTTTAAAAGCCGGGCTGGATTGCGACCGATGCTCGCTTGTCAACATGACAGAGAAGGCGCAATCAAATAAACTTTCGACGGTCGGAAATCGTCGCAGTCGGCGAAACCGCGAGCTGCAAAAGAATTGGAAAAGCCCATGATTGAGGTCCAGGGCCCACTTGGTGCGAGTGGTCGGTTCCGTGGGACGGCGAGGCGATTAGCGAAGCATTTGATTTTCAGCCGTGTTTTGTGGATCTTTGATAGACAGACAGATAGAGACATACTTCGTACTCTGCATTTGTCAATATGGAATTGATCCGTCGAGACTGAGATCGCAGGGCGTTGTCGATGGCCGGTCGGGGGAGAGTAGATTGTAAGAAAGAAGAAAGAGAAAGAGGAAGAAAAAGAAGAGAGGGAAGGCTGCCTGAGGCCGATAGCATGATTCTGTCAGGTGACTTTCCCCTCGTTTACTCCAGAAGTAGTGGTGTGGTTGTTCTTGTCATCTTTACTTCACCACGCTCTCCTTCAACATGATTTCCTATCGATTGAACGGGCAAAGAATATCCCTCAAGTTGCCCGATGCAACTAAACAGGAGATGGATTTCCTGGACACCTCCTTCTTTGCTGCCAACCCCGGTCGACGACTGCCTACGCCGTCTGAAATAAGAGCTCTATCAAAGAACGATAAATCTGCCCAACCAAAACCGATATTCATTGAGGATCTCAATCTAGTAGTCAAGTTTGGGCCCTTTGTTACCGCCGTCGAAGCCCTAAATCTCTGGATGGTTCGACACATATTCCACGACAAAGTTCCGGTGCCCGACGTCTTTGGTTGGCGAATCGATGACCGGGGCTCTGGGTTCATATACATGGAGCTTATTCCGGGCCCCACCATCCATGATTGTTACGACACTCTTACAGATGGCCAAAAACAAACTATTTGTGATCAACTGCGTGAGGTCTTGAAAACTTTGCGCCAGCTTAGGCAAGACCCTGAGGACCAGTTTGTTGGTATGGTGATTTCCAACGAAGTCCCCCTGCTGGAGACTAACATCGTACACAGGATCAATCAACCGGCAGCATCTCTCAGACTACGTATTCATAGATCAGCCGAGGGGGGGTCCGTTCCCCAGCGTCGAGGCATTCAATGATTGGTTTGCTTTATTGCATCAATTGCGTTTCCAACACAGATACGAGGATCCCAATCGGTGCTTGTTGCCAGACAACAGAGACATAACGTTTACCCACACAGACCTGCACCGAGGAAACATAATTATAACTTCTTTCAACCCGCTCCAAATTGCTATTGTGGACTGGCAGCAGTCGGGGTGGTACCCCGACTACTGGGAATATTGCAAACTTTTATACACATGCTCATATGAGGATGAGTGGCGCATCAAATTTATTGATACCTTCCTGCAACCAGACCCGGATGTTCATCTGGTGTTTTCTGATTATACAATGGCCATGGGTGCGGTTTGACCCTTCGAAGGATCACACAAACATTCAATCGCGCTTCTCAGAGGCGTGAGTGAAACCATCCCGAGCGCTTGATGAATATGAGTTGGCCTCTTGTATCCCTCAATACTACATATTGTTGTGCATGTGTAGCGAGGCCTGATCTGCATCAGTTACACATCTACGTGAATTACGTTCAAAGAAGGAATGCCAGTATTCGGCAGCAGCATCAGAATAGCTTTCATCACGTTATCATGACTCATTTCAAAAGTTGGAAGAGCCTGCCCACCTCTACAGCCATGTCACAGTGTCATTGAGACACCCTACGTATTATCTTGGCTCTGAAACCGCTTCATGGGCCCATACGTCGACGTTGCTCTCCGCAGCCTCACTCCCCAAAAGAACAACGGAATTGCGAGTAGCATACTAGCCACTTGGATAGCAGTCATCTCGCCAAATACGGCCGCCGGGCCTTGACGAGTAATCCAGTCGGCAGCATACAGCGACAACAGCATGCCAATAGTGTTGCGAATGACAAAGATGATGACCAACGCTTCACCAGTAACCTTTGCAAGAGTTAGATAGCCACATGTTTTCCATCCTAAAGGGAACCTACTGGCTTATAACAGTCCAACGAGTATGTCACCGCAACATTGGAGATAGCAGCCACTCCGAACGCCTGCATGGAGTATCCGACGGCAGATCCCATCCAATGGACCTGGTTCGCGATGCATAGCCCGAAGATGAGGAGACCCGCCGGCCCGATGGTGGCGGGGATGACGATGGCAGGCAGTCGATACTCCGGAAGACGTTGGCCATGGTGACGTTTCGTATACCGAGTGGAGATGACATCAATGAGTCGACCACCCAGGTAGAAGGCCAGGACAGATCCGATGAAACCGGAGAGTGATAGGAGGCCCAGACTGCCGGCGGGCCAGTTGTACGGTGCTGCCGTAAAGGTCCGTGACGCAGTCAACTGAACGACGATATTCCTAGATGAACATTAGATCAACCGGACGCTGAGTGGAATGTTGGTCTTCGAAAGACCTACCAGCCCGCGCAGATGCCGATGGAGAAAGCCGCCCATATCAACTGTGGATACGCCGCGCTACAGATGATATCCAGCAAAGTGCGACCGAAGGAAGCTTCGGAGTTGTATCCTCGCGTCACCGACATCCATTGCCACCAGGTCCGTTTAGAATTCGAAGCATGCCGCCTGTTATAGGAGGTTTCGCGAACAGTGAAAATAGAGACAACAAAGACGACTCCCACAGCAATCGCGACGAAATAGCACATCCACCGCCAATTTTGCTCTTGTACGAGGTATGCATTGATCAACGGTCCGACGAATAGCCCGGCCGTCATGGCCAAGTGGAAGATCATCAGGTAATGGCCACGCTCGTGCGGTGCCACCATGTCGGAGACCACCGCGGGCACCGTTGCGTCTGCGGCGGAGGCGACGAAGCCCGATAGGATGCGCGAGGCGAGCAGTTCGCCGTAGCTGGACGCTTGACTCGACCAGACGTTCATCATGCTCAATGCGAGCATGGAGATGAGATATACCGGTCGCTTGCCGATCACTCGCATCAACGGCACCCAGAAGATGTTTCCCAGACCGAACAGAAAGACATTGAAGCAGACGAGTTCGCCCGCCTGGGTTTGCGAGACTTGAAACTCCTTGACCACGGCCTGCGTGGCGACGGTGAAATTGCTGGAATTAACATTGGCGAGGAAGGTAAAAGAGCAGATAGTAAGGTAGGTCGTCAGCCGTCCTGTCGTAGACCAGTTCTGGAAGCCGTCAGCCAGGGATCAAGTGCCTAAGCGTGGGTTGCTGCGTGCTGAAACCCTTACCTGGGGATCATTTAGATCAACTTCCCGGTACTCTTTGCTATCCGGCGGAATGTCACCCATTTCCTCCGCCGCCCGATCGATATGCGTGGAGGAGGCCTTGGAATCGTCCATGATGCGCGGGTGAGGTGGAGGACGGAGCGGACGAGCCAAACGCCACGTACTTAACTTAAGCGTGGACGATCTTCCCCACAGGGGCAATCGTGAGTCCGAAGACTCCGATCGAAAGAATGAGGAGAGCTGGAAGTCCCGCTGACTTCAGTCGGATATCCCGAGTCGATTTGAGCGAACTCATTGGCGAAGGATTGCAGGATCGCCGGCTGATGCCATCGTCTCCTCAAATTACTCGTCATTCTTCTTCTCTATCTTCGCTTCCCCCGGATTTCCCTGGTTACCCCGGGCGTTCTCCCCACAGTCCAGGACGTCCCACAATCGTAGTGGCTCCGACCAGGTCGCTTCTGTTGTATTGCGCCTCTTTACTTACGCGGTAGTCGAATTACTAATTATCAGCGCGGTGTGGTAGGTACTAATTTGGTGGTGGCGACTGGGAATGGCGATCATGCTGTCGGTCTGAACCCCCTTGGATACACTGTGAATTAACATTATAGTATACGATACGATTGATATGAAATGGTATCAGATATCAGATAGTTGTCCTCCACCAACCCGGTTATACAGTCTGTCCATGCCTCAATCTCCCTCGGTTGATCTCCTCGCGAATCTGCTCCTCTTGTTGTCTCTCATCCACTTCTCTCTGTCCTTCTTGCTCTCGCTCACGCTCCCGATTCTGATTCGTCGTGTCTCTCCCCTCAAAGATGCGAATGAAATACTCGCACAAGCCGTGATGTGACACGCGCTGCCATTTACCAATATCCACACGCCCGTCGTCGCCGATGCTCCTATTGCCGAGTCCTAGATTGTAGGGGCGATACTCAGGGTCGTGCTTCAAGCGATAAAGCACGCTGCTGTGGATCCTCGCATTGTCCGGCAACGGACGTCGCTGACCTCGCGCATGCCATCGACTATCCTGTACGGATCCGTCGGGCGCGACCTTGGGCCTCTTGAAAGGGAAACACTCCAGGACGCGCCAGAACATCGTCTCCAGCGTCTTGCCGGGATCGGAATAATGCAGCGAGTCGTGAAGCTCGGCACTCGCCGCCCTCCGTACAATGTCAGGATCGTACTCTTCAACGTGCGGATCAAAGCATCCCATTTGCGTCATCTGATGGTGTTCAAACGTAAGGCCTGCCAGCGTCGCCTCCTGGACCATCCACATGAGCGGGATCTGACTGACGGGCCACTTGTCTGTAGCCCATCCGCCTCCGACGTCGCTGTGATCGCCGGCGAAATATACTTCCTCGAAGTCCGGGTTCAACGTGAAGGGCGCCTGGCTCATCAGATCGGAGTTTGATCGCGCCGCCCAGGTACTCACGCGAGCGAGCCTCGTCTCGCCACGCCGGCCGCGCGCATCCTGGAAGAGCACGGGCTGGAACTTGATGCGGCGCTCGTCGATACTCACGGCGTGACGCATCGTCTTTGGGTTTGGTTGGATGGGGTTTGATGTCTCGAAGTCCCAATTAATACTGGCGACGCTGCTAACGGTGTCGAAGAGACCGAGGAAATCCACCCATCCGATCGACCGGCAGAGCGTGTCGCGACTGATTCGCAGACTGGCCTCGGCGTCGTCGCGCTCTTTTCCGGGCGGCGCAAACTTCCAGGACGTGAAGGCTTGCCAGACAAAGGGGATCAATTCCTCGTTGTCGGCGGACAAAAGGCCAACAAAATCGAGCATTTCGTTCAGGAACCGTGCCGTGTATGCCCCGCGAGAGAAGCCGAAGAGGTAGATCTTCGCGCCAGGCTGCCATCGGCGTGCGAGGAACTTATACCCACTGAATACATGTTCGTCGAAGGACGAGGCGAATGCTTGCTCGAAGATCGTGTGCGTGGGGAGGTTGCTGAAAGGACGAAGGGCGGCGTTGGCGAACGTTCCGGGGGTGGTTTCTTTTCCTATGCCGGCTGGAGAGGGCCATTAGCTCTTGGTACTCAGCGCAAAAAGTCGGTGGAGTGAACTTACGTTGGTAGTAGCAAACTAAGTCGACGGTGTCAGCATGGTCCACCAAGTGCACAGCCGGAGCTCAAACTTACATCGATTTTCCCTCTTTCGGTCCAGCATGCGAAAGATCTTGAGGATGTTGCTCTCCGATCCATCAGCCCGAAACGTATTCCCCGTTCCGTCAAAGCAGAGGATGAGTTCTCGCTGCGGAGGGCATCCACAGTCACTCGGATCCGACATGTTGACCTGTGCTTCACTAGGGTGGAAGGTCTGCTGGACAGACTGATCCGTATAGGGCCGACCGGGCCTTAAGATATCCCGGCTGAGCCCCCAAGAGCAACCGAACTAGTCAACCGGCTCTGGGCTCGTTGCCGATGCATGGCAAGGCTTAATGCATGTCGATCCTCGCATCGACGCCAATAGCCCGGCAGTAGTGTCTTAGAGAGGCGTCCACACCGCGCCTGCCACGACTGCTGAAGCTGGGGCTACTGGGTTTTGTATTTGGCCTGTCCCATTGCTCGGTCGTGGCACATGGCCTATCGAGGCTGTCAACCTGTTGCGTGGCATTGCCCATGGACTGGGTTGGTGGAAGATGCCTTGGAGGCAAACTCGCTGGAGGTCGAAGGTGAGATAGAAGGCTAGCGGATCGTCGGCGAGCAATCCGGTTGCACATTCCGACATGCAAATGGTCTCATTTAGTGGCATACAGTTCGGCTCTTTTAGGATGGTAGATCAGATACGTCATCAAGGGTCCAACGGTGCCTTTCCAACTTGATTCTCAACATGGACTGGGCAATCGTTGGCCATGCGCTACACGCCGGTAGAAGTGACAAATTAGCAGCTGAGCAATCAGTTCAGCACACAACCTGAACAGTGTGCTCCTCTATGACACCCTGAACCCAGTCGGGTCCGTCTCCTGCAATTGCCTTGTGTGTTCACTTCTGATTGTGACATGTCACCTTGCACAACAGCCAGGCTTGCACACATTGAGTGTTGCTCATTTGATTCGTCGATCATATCCTAATATGCCCAAGATGTGTATGAAAGCGGTTCATGTGAGCTTGCATACACTTCCACCTTCGACCTGTTGCTCAGAGACAGCATAGTAACCACACAATGTTTCATCGTCGATCAAGAATCCAATCGCATTCAGATTCAACGGAACCTAAAGATCTTCCCTTATGTAGTCAATTGTTACTGTACTATTCACATGTGTATATGGAGTACTTCTGCTGATAATCAGCCCTAACAGAACACGTCACAGATACCGATCTCAATAAGCGATATCCAGATCGAAGATCATCATCCAGGTCATTCCCAGTCAGCGCACTCCCTCACAGACCAAAAACGGAAACACCATGATCTTGCCCTCCTCCTCACTCTCCCAACCCGTCACCTTCTTCTCCAACCCCCACCCAACCTCCACCTTGACGTCCCTGTACCCAACATCCCTCATCAAACCCTCCATCCACACCCTCTGAATCCCATGTCTTTCCACGCCCTCCAACTTCGCCTTCGGATGAAACTTAATTGCCTCGGGCCCAAAGTCCTCGAAGTCCGTCAAGACGACTCTCCCGCCCGGCTTCAGGCACCCTAACAACGTCCCCAAGAACGTCCGTAGATTGGGAACATGATGCATGACGAGATGCGACAAAACGAGATCAAACTTCTGCCGTGGACCGTGGGGGTCAGTTCTATCTTGAGCCGGGAGTGCCTCATCCTCAGGATCCACCAGTAATTTACAGATGGGGACGATATTCCCAAGACCAGACGAATTCGCAACCTTCGCCTTCAACATATCAATCATGCCATCGGCTGTATCGACCGCCACGACGGAGCGTACTAGTGGCGCCACGCGAGTTGTCAGGAGGCCTGTCCCGCAGCCGACCTCGAGGACGTCAAGCACGGCATCTGTATTATCAATCTCATTGGCATGACTCTGCCGCGACAGTGACAGCGACAGTCTTCGGATAGTAGGTTCCAAGGTCTGAAAGGCCAGACGTGTAGATTCCTGCACGGAGGGGTTCAGGTCCCAGGTTGCGGCTTCGTCGTTGAAGCGGGCATTGCTGGTGGGGTTTGGTTCGGACATCGTATATGTGTATTGTCAATATAGTAAAGCATCAACCGAGGGGGTATTCGTGCGTAAGTGACCAGGTAAACATTGATGAGGGCATGCAGCGTGACTGGGATCGGGAGGATCCGATCCGTCGGCATTCGGTTGCCGACGCGGGGAAAGTACGGAGTAAGCAGTGCAATTGACCGGTTTGTTCTATTCTCTATAGGGTTTAGTTTATGAGCGCATTGTATGTTTATAATAGTCTCAGACCGATAGAGTGAAAGCATAATGAGGAAAGAAAAGAAAAGGAAAGAAAACGTGTCATCATGTCATTTCTTGAACCTAGAGATCTAAAATATATCTACTGATACTTGCAACACTGCGGTAACCACCAAAACTAGAGAACAAAGACTTATAAGCCGTGTAGACCCGTTAACGAACGTTGTAGACCGTCGGAAGTAGGAAAATAGAAGCCTTCCATAGTATTGCGTACACACAATGGCGGCGGAAGTTGCATTTCAGACATCTCCCCCGCCCACATTTTGGTCTTACACAGTCACAATGACAGTGTACCTTGTCGATGACTCCGACAACACCCCACAGGCTCATGACTCCATAGTCCTTATCACCGATCAATTCCCATCGAAAGCTGATTTCACCAGAACGGCAAGTGAGCCGCGGAGAAGGATCGAGGCGGATTTCTTAACCCGATGGGGAAGGCTTCGGGCCCGATGCGGTTGTCAACACACCGTTCCTGATTGGCCGAAGCATGCGTTCGGGGCGAACATTTGTCAGCGCCGCTTATCAATCTCTGCCGTCCGATATCGCCGGCAGCATTCAAGGAGGGGTAGAGAGAATTGGAGATAGGAGGGTTCTACGTAGATACTCATCGTATGAAAAATCTCAGGAATTCAGAAGGAGAGAAAGAGAAAATGTATAGTCACTTTTAATTATCCATCCATAACAAAGGTATTCATATCATCCATCTAGTAAAGATAACGCAGTCCAAGTAACAACGCCTTGCGAAAACCGTAACCCATTAATCTTGCGCTCACAACTGGATCGTGTCGTTCATAATCTTGACCTCCTCGCCCGGCTTGAACGGGGGCAGTCCGATGTACGGACAGGTCGAGCAGCGGAAGGCGTCGCCGAGCGAGCAGCTGTTGCACGAGCTCGTCTTGCCCTGCACCGTAAAGTCCATCTCGTCATTCAGGTCGTCCGCCTGTAGCTTGAGCACATTCAAATCCTTGGTCGCCTGCTCCTGACGGTCTTGGTCCTCCTTGTCCAGCTTCTCGGCGAGACCACACGTGCAATCTTTGCAGGGACGTCGGCGCTTCTTGGCCTTTTCGGGCTGACAGTTCGACGCTGAGATTTATTAGCACGAGAACCGACAGGTATAACAATGTGAAAAACAACATACCAGTCTGCAGCGGTCGCTTCATATCATCCTCCGACAACAGATCATCCTCATCAATCAACTCGTCACCATCAACGAACCCAACCCCATTTGTGCCGTTCGTGAAACCCACGCCATTGCTGTGCACGCCGTTAATCCCGTTCGAGATTCCGTTCGAGACCCCATTCGTAGCGGGGGCAGTCTCCTTCTTGGCCTTCTTCTTTCCTCCGCCCAATTTCAAGGGCACCGCGACCGACTGGAACACCTGTTTCTCGAACCCGCCGTCCTTCTCCACCAACCCCGCCAGAATCGCCTCGAGTCCCTCGTTTGCGCCGAGCGAACCAGCCTGCAGCTGCAATTTACCCCCCGCCTTCATCGCCGGCACCAGAGCGGTGTATACATCACGGGTGAGTAGCCGAAGCGCCTCGTCGCGCCGGGCGCCGTTGGCGTCCGTGAGGACCAGGACCAGGTCGTAGGTATCGGCGGGGAGAGGAACGAAACCGGCGGACAGGCGGTCCAGCATCTGCAGATCGGTCGTGGTGCGATCGAAGGTGGTGAACAGGTCTCGGAGCTTTTCTTCGTGGGCGGCGATCGAGGGGGGCGCGAGGAGGAGGCTGCGCGTTTGGTTTTGAGTGACGATGGGTTTGGTGGGTGCCGGGGAGGGGTTGAAGTCATCGGCCATGTCGAGAGTGACGGCCATTTTGGCGGTTAGAAAGAGTCTATTTCTAATTGATGAAAATTGGGTGATAATTAGGTGAGAAATAGATATTTGAAGAGGGGAGAAGGACTGAGGGAAACGGAGAGTGAGCAGAGAGATGATGAAACGAAAAGAAGGGAAAGGAAGAGAAGAAGGAGGGGAGAAAATGGATGATGCTGATTAACAGTGGCGTAACCGTTCGTGCCTAATTCTTCAGGCGCCGTTGCCATTGCGGATCCCGGTGGATGCCTGAGGATCTCCGCGGGCGCTTGGCCGGATTGCATTACCTAATCGGGTTGGCCCGATAAGCTGATAAGGAATGGGGCCTGAGGCAGGTCGGTCTTCAAGAGAGGAGAGAACCCTAACTCGTGCTCTACCGTGTCAGGGTTGCTGTTATCTGTCAGGCAACCCCTCAGAAAGGTCACCAATTTGAAAGTGAGGGACTGTTGCGTTGCATGCCTGAGGCATGGTGCCAAGCATTTCGCTGCTTGCTTCCAAAGGCACCTTTTGGATAGGCAACAATGTGGAAAACCTCGATTCTTCCTACATCAATCAATCAAACCAGTATGGACCAAGACCATCCACTCAGTTCATTGTCTCTGACCACTGCGTTTCAACCGGTCCCTGCCGAGCGTCAACAGGTATTGGGGGTAATGGCACGGGCAAACTATATATCCAGGCTATGCCTACCAATTGATGGAATCACGAAGTATGACCTAAGTGAATAAATCTGAAATTATTCTGCTCCAAGTGAAACAGTTGAGATTTACTCCCATGCGGAGAAAAGTGTCTTACACTAATATTGACTGTCAGTGGCAGCTGGGATTGCCTCTTGGAGAATTATCTTTTGGATCTAATAAATAACGCATCGGTGAGCGGACCTCCGATGAGAGGAAAACATCGGCGAAATCAGGGGTAGCCAAGGGGCTATGCCCGAAAGGTCTTTGAGTGAACTGCTCAGAATGCGAAGTATGCATGCGTACATGGCAATCAGGCTGTGAAATGCAGCAAACAATCAAAGAGGAACAAAATGGTCCGGCTCAGCCAGGGCAATTCACCCGATTTCTATCTTTACTCATTTACGGAGAACCTGTCAAGTGACTCGTCACATAAGCGACTGCGAGGGATAAACGGAACAACAAATGAGAACATGTCACACACTCAGCGGAAGGTGGAAGGCCTTGCTGAACACTCTGCATCTTGAGCAGCTTAAGAGGCGTGGTTGCTCTACGGGCCTGAACGCAGTCAACCTCAATTCCAGTGGCCTTTTATAAGGTTATTGACGCCTGAATGACGAAGCTCTCCATGAGAAGCGGCTTGAGCTACACAATGGTCCTTACAGTGCAACCGTCTGAGCGTCCCGTCGCCCAACGACCACACATGGTTTTTGTAGGGTCCCATGCAAGGGGCGCCGAAGGAATGAAGGCTGATCGGGCACGTAGGGACCCACGGCCACCGTGGTGCTATGTATGTGCGGGTGAATGATACGTCCAGGGTTACCTGGAACCAATAGTTCGACATCATGCAAGCCCACGCTGATCATCCCCATAATAGTAACTGACTGCTGGGGGCCCTGGAATGTTGCACTTGCAACGCTCGAGTCACCCAATGTAACCCGCCGCTTAGCTTTACACGCGAGTTAAACATAGTGAGAGGAACAAGAGTCAGTGACCTCTAAATAGCTCGCTCGCATTCCTGGAAGTAAATAATCATTGGCCATTTGGTAAATGCAAGAGGCATTTGAGTGCGACCCCTCAGACCCGACCAGTCATATTGACTGCCAGTTCGGTGTCCTAGCGGGAGAATTTATCGGTGAAGGTGAATGGATGATCATGCAGTATGGCATCCTTGCATGAACATTGAATCTCGACGCCAATAGTGTCCCTGTTCACAACGCAGACCGACTTTCCCTGGCAGCGAGAATGTGGAAGTGCATTCGTATAGATATCAGGTCCATCCTGTCCGCCAACACTAGCTACAACTTTCCGCAATTACCAAGGTTCCAATACCGCGAAGCCCAGCAAAGATGGTCAATCTCACCACTCTTAAGCTTCCCAATGAGGTGATGTTCGAGCACCTGGTGCGGCTGCTTGAAAATGATCCAAAACCCGTGATCATTGACCCTCGGGATGGAGTCCAGGCGGGTTATCCTCAATTGTTGGCAGATATTCGGGAGACTCGCCAGAGAGTTTATCAGACTCTTCCGGGGGATTTGTTTGACAATAAGGGGAGAATTAGTAAGGACAGGCCGTGCATCGGCGTCCTGACGCCTACGAGTTATGACTTTGTCGTCGCCGCCTTAGCCATCCTGGCAATGGGAGGTGCTATCGTGCCTCTTGGTGAGTTCTGTCTGATAGGAATGGGGAGAAAGACACGCAGGCCACAAGGCAATTGAAGCAGTGTTAACGCACGACAGGTCTGAGACTGCTACCTGAAGAAGCGGGCGAACTTCTCCAAAGGTCTTCCGCAACGGGTATTTTGACCAGCGCGAAGTACGAGGATTTAGCCCACGCGATCCAGGCACATGGAAGCTCCAAGGGCCAGTCACTTCCCATCATGAACATTTCCATCTACCACGGTCAGCACTCGCGGAGCAAGGACCTGAATATCCGGGCTGAAATCGACCCGGAAATGACCATTCCCGAGGATACGTGGAGTGCCATTCTGTTCACATCCGGCACAAGCGGGCCCCCCAAAGGCGTAGTGCACGTGCGAAAACTCTTCAATAACAATCCGCTACTGCAGACGGAACCGATTACATCCCTCTGCTATCAGCCACCACATTGGATCAGTGGCTTTCTTCTGTTGCTCAGTCGCCCGCTGGCCGGACACCCCCTGGTGATGAGCAGCGGCGGATGCGCGGAATTGTGGGAGTCGCTGCGGAAGGGCGGTATTGACGGGTTTTGGGCAGTCCCGACGACCTGGGAAAAGATGAAGACTCATTATGACGAGGTCTTGAAGCTTCTCCCTGCCGAGGAGACGGAGGAATACCTCCGGGGAATGAAGGAGGTTAGCACATTCCGGGTCACGGGAGCCTTTGCAACGGCTCAGGTGCGCCAGTTCTGGCGAGATATCTTTGGAAGACCTCTGGAATGCGGTTTCTCAAGCACCGAGCTGGCGGGTCTAGGTTGTACATATCTACCAGGTCCGGATGACGGACTCGGAATCGAGGTAAGATGATGAGTCCAGGGAGATACGAAGACCATGCTGATTATGGATAGCGTTGCATTGGAGAGCCGCATCCCAACGTGTCAATCAAGTTCACCGATGGCGACTCGGGCGAGCTGTTGGTGAAGGGAAAGGGGATATTTTCCCAGTAAGTGTTTCGCCTAGTATAACCTATGCATCTAGTTAACCATGCCAGCTACCTGGACAATCCTGCAGCTACAGAGGCAGCTTTCGATGAGGAAGGCTACTTCCGAACGGGGGATTCGGCGCGTCTTGTTGGGCCCAACGTTGTCCTGGATGGCCGCTTCAAAACAGACTGTAAGTCCAACATTCTGTCCCCGAATTCGTTTTGTTATGCAGCAACGCGGACCAGTATCTCATTGCCACAGATATCCGTACCAAAGGACACCGGATTACCATCTTCGAAGTGGAATCCGAAATCATGAAGCTCCCCTATGTTTCGGAGGGATATATCTTCGGCGCACCGGACCGCGATGGAGATCGACTGGCAGCATTGATTCGCTTGGAACCTACCGCGCTCAAGAGCAGAAACACGCCTGATCTGCGACAGCTGCGCGTGGACCTGCACAAGAATCTCTATGCTTTCCAGTTGCCGGTCGCGCTACGATTTTTGCGCGACGGGGAGGATGTGCCTCGAACCGACACCGGGAAGCTGATCCGCAGACATACTGTTGCACAGTATTTCGTCCCTAACGAGGATTTCACGTACGGTAGCGACGTGGAGACGTGCGACTGGAACGAACCGGTGGCAGACGGAGTCAAGGCCTGGGATTGGGGTGGAACGCCGTACTAAAGGAAGATCTGGGATGGAGATGGATCTGATAGAGTAGTGGAATGGTAGGAGTCCACATTTGGATGGATACTAAGGGAATAATTTGGATTGTTCATAGCAAATCGAAAGTAGTGTCGACGGTGTTTAAAGCTGCGCGAGTGAAGAGAGAAGAGAGAAGAGAGAAGAGAGAAGAGAGAAGAGAGAAAGTAAGAGCTAAAAGTCTTGGCGTGGAGCGTCTCCGCCTTTCGTCATCGCCGCCCTTCCCCGTTCCTCTTCCTCTTCCTCTCTCCAACCTCCTCCGCTTCATCTCGGTCACTCATCCACAATGGGCCTCATCAAGCGCGTCTTCAAGCTCACCACCTATGGCGGTGCTGCCACCGTCGGCGCATTCTTTTGGGGCACGCGCAAGTCCACCTTCGTGCCTATGAATCCCTCGGATCCCCTCTTCAGTTCCTCGTTCCATCGCGCCCAGAACCCCGAGGGTAACCCTCAGACTTACGACTTGTGCATTCGCCGAGTGCCGCTTTCTGAGATCAATCCTTCCTTGCTGGAGAAGAAGGGCAAACTGACCGAGGCGTTCTGTGCTGGAGTATGGAGTGGCTGGGGTATTTTGTTTTACGTCCCTTCTCCCGACCGTAGGACTCGGTCCGGGATTATACACGCGACAAGCAGAAGCATTGACTAACCACATGAAACTTAAATAGGATATGCATACCAGCGCTCCCATCACGAACGTAATGCCCCTCGGGAAGAGACCAAGGATCACCTCTGGACGCCCGAGCAATTGCGCTCCTCGACCTATGACGTCGGTACTCTGATCACGGACCACTTCGAGGTTCTGGAGAAAACGCCCGAGCGGATCGTCGTGCGGTGTGGTGATACACCGCGCACCAAGGGCGTGCGCCCGTCTGACGGTCTGTTTGAAATGTCGGCCGTTGTGAAGCCCGATGAGGGTGTTGCGGAGTTTGGTCTCAAGAGCCTGTTCTTCCAGGGGCTGGGCAAGGCCGAGGGCCAGCCCATGCCGCCTCATATCGTGTGGCTGCATAAGCAGTACACCAAATTGTGGATGGAAACAGCGCTGCCTAATGTTCGCCGGTGATGGATGACTGATGAGCTCAAACACTGTTCGGCAAGGGGATAGAGGCGGAATTCTGACCAGTCGGCATATTGTCTGTACATACGAAGCTATACGAATCGGATACTCACGGAAGACCGTATATTATCTGTCGAGGCGCTATTCTCCTATCGAAGTCAATAATCATACGCACATTCGCGAGCATCTTTGATGCCAAGAGCTTATACACACATAGCTGCTGTATATTTCTGCTTGTATATGGGTTGGAGCGAGGCTAGCAAGGTTGATACGGCCAAATTGGTCACAAATATGGTCAATTGCAATCGGAGATAACCCGCCATTCTCAGTTGTGAATGACTAACAAGAATCGGAAGGGGTGCAGTCAAAGACAATATGGAAAGCAGTTGCGACGATCGAGGGAGAAGGATGAGGCTGAAGAGATTGCTTTTTGGGCAATGTATTGGTCGCCAATTTCAGGGCCGACCCTTCGCTGCTCAACGCCCTTGATATCCGTTTGCATGTTTGCGGATATGAATTGGTGTGTTACTCAAGGGCTTTCCACATCTTCCATACAATAGACCAGCAGACTGCGTGTGACTACAACCGGGCTCTGGGTCGTGAACAGATGAGGCGAGGGAAGACGAAGGGAAAAGCCATGAACATACAAAGCGAACTGGTTGACTTGGTACAGTAAGTTGCTTGACTTGATGAGACGTCCTTTATGAACGATAGGGTCCTTCAGACTTGGTTCAAGCTAACAACGAAGTCAGCAACATCCATTATAGCGGCGCAAAGTACGGGTTCTACTGTGACCGAATGCGGAATATGCAGGCGAACAGTGAGATCAAGGTGCTCTGGCTTGTCAATTGTGAATGCATTACGACATGCCATCCAATTTTGTATTCCGGCAGATTCTGCTAGCTGTCCTCCATTATATTCAACTCCGTTTCCGGGTACAGGTGCACACCAACAAATATGCCGTCGTCTGCCACAGGCATCCTTGGCCGTTATGTCTCTTCATACCATCATTCGCTCCGTCTCTGACCAGTCTTCCATCGAGCGAAGCCATAGAGATCATCGTATGTGTTGGCTTGGGCCTAAGTCCTGTTACTTCGCACTCAATGGGGTACGACCACTCCGCAAACAGACCCTTTCAACAACCTACACATCCAAAGTCGTCGCCACTATCCTCCGATCCTACGTTACGGTCTACGTCTGGATGTCCTGGGGCGCCGGAATTCAATTTTCGTCTGGAGTGATCTACGTGGTCGTTGAAACCCATGGGGCCCGGCCGGGGCCTTTGCGCTGCGATGAATAGGGTTATTTTCCTGATTTTCATCGCTTATGTCGTCCCGAATCGCCCTGGATATCCATCCGACGAAATGACCCCGACCAGGCTGGAAACTGCCTCATGCAATTGCGCCCTGACACGTTGAAGAGGAACAAAAAAAAAAAAAAAAAAAAAAAAAAGAAAAAGAAAAAGGAATAGAAGGCGAACGCCACGCGTGTGCATATTCGTTATAGAACGCAGCTGGAGAAGCCGAAAACTGCCTTCCATTCATGAATCGGTGAGGTTGAGGATGTTATTTGCCCCCGGTAAGTATGGCTGTCCCTCCTGTAGGCTCATACTACAGGTTCGGCAAAAGCCGACATGCTCGATAACTAGCATGGAACTAGAGCTTCAAAGCAGCGCTTTACTTGGTGAAATTGTCGGCGCTAGATCTGGCTTCCTAAGACGAGGGATTGAACGGTTGACGAGATTGGTTTTTGATTCGATCTTCGCGTACCGGCGAGAAGGTTCAAGCAAAACTAGAACCGATAAACTCAGGTAACGAATATAGCTAGCACCAGCTGCTGAACTGAACCACTCTATGGGGCAACACATCTGTCATCCCTAAAATAAACACACTCCTTTCCCTCATGTGAACACATTACACAATCCCCCCCTGGGCTGACATCTATCAGCATCAACATAGCACAGCAATTTCCTATTCAAGACACAGAAAACAGAGGGAAACCAACCTGTACCACAGTCAAGAACGTTGAAAACAGTGATAAGAGTAAAAATAGCACCATCCCCCACCCACTCCGTATTCCGAACCAAACTCCGTGCCCACCAATTCTCCATCTCCTTCTCCTTCTCCGAAGATGGATACCACCACGACGGTAGGATTGGGGCTAAGGGACCATGGGACCGCCAAACCCTGAATATCGTAACCGGTACAAAGGAAATGAGACGTTCCATGCTAGGCCAAATTAGAATTCGATAGCCTCGTTTAATCATCTATCTGCCCCTGTCTTTATTTCAAACACAATCCACATGATCTGTGGACGTTAACCAACCAGGTATGTACAGTACTTGGCTCAGTTCAACTTACGTACGTACATAGAAAAGATGAAGTACCTCCAAAGTAAGTTACATACTGAGTCCTATGGGTACCCAAACGAACGAGAAAGGCAATCTAGCCAACGAACATCCAGCCAAACCAGGCAGGAAACTCACCCCCGAAACCATAAGTAAAACAACAATTAAACACCAGCGGTGAAACAGGCATGACTCAATCTAGGAAATTGAATCTGATATGGCATTTCCAATCACCGTAGAGGAGGACATTGCATTCATCTTGCATTTATGGGGATGGAGCTGCGAGATGGATATGACAGGTCGGGTGCTTGTATGCAAGGGGCTGGAGTAACGGCTCTACGGGGATTCTGGGCACTGCATTTGTTGTAACTAAACGCATGTTGCACTTTTTCTTAGTTATGCTTTCAAAAAATGGAATTGAGTTGGGGATTCAGCACCAAAGACATAATGACTGCAAAAGAATCCTAGTTCATTGCTAGTAACACATAGCCGACCTCCCATCCCGTCCGTCTACATATCAAGTACCCAGAAAAAATAATTAAAATACAAAGTACATCAAGACAAAGAAGAAAGAAAGATCCCCACAAGGGCGACTACTCCGTTATCGAACGCCGTGGCACCGCCTCAATCACCGACTCCATGCCCGGGCTCTTACTCCAAATCCCCGTAATTTCCAATCCCGCCTCATTCAACAACTCCCTCCACTGTTGCTCGGACCGCTCAATACCCGACCCGATGCTCATCATCTGGATGTCCAGCGACGCCTGCATGAGCGGTGTGTCGGTGTCCGGGAGCACAAAGTCTACAATGATGATGCGCGAGTGCTCCTCGTCCATGGCAGAGACGGTGTTGAGCAGAATTTTCTGGCAGATGTAGTCAGGCCAGTCGTGGAAAATAGCACGGAAGTAGTATGCTCGAGCTCCTATCTTTCGTTAGAATTATAGCCCAGCCATGAAAGCAAGCGGTCGGAACCTACCCTTAACGGGCTGAGGATCTAAGAAACTGTAGGCCATCGGCTCAATGCCCTTCCCCGGGGGCGCGGAAACCACCTTGGGGAGATCCTGAACAACCAGGCGGCCCGGGACTTCGGGATGTTTCTCGCGGAATCTCATAAGATCGTGGCCTTGGTTCCCACCGACATCGACGACGAAGACCGCGTCATCATGGTCGATCGCCTGCTCCGCAAGACGCTCGATGGGGTAAACGTCGAACCAGGACGGCCTCCCGTGGCGCCGGCTGGCCATGTACGAGTTGAAGAGGGCTTGGTGCTCCTTCCGTTGCGCCAGCCATTCGAATTGGCTTTGTCCGACAGCCCACCGCATGGGGGAGCGCGAGTACTCCTTCGGGGTCGTGTAGTTGTGCTCACGGAAATACTCGGGGAGCTTGCTCAGCGTCGGCATGGTCAAGTCGTATCTGTGCCGGAGTCAATAAACCATAACCCGAACGGTGATAAAATCAAACTTCCAATAGGCACAAACACATACATGCAGGGTACGCCGTCGCGCCCAATAGGTTCGGTCATGGCCCTCGTCTTGTCGGTGGGAGAATACACTTCGGGCTCGTAGCTGGCACACAGACCCAGCGCCGTCATGACGCGCATCAAGCGCACTGGATTACCGTTAGACCTCTTGCAGATGGAGTAGCATCTGGAACTCTACCGATGAGAGCTTTTTCAGCGCCCGAGTGAACCGCCAAGTCCTTCGCCGACCGCCCGTCGGGATGTTTAACAAGCAGCTGGAAGAGGCCCAAGTCGATGACGGTGCGAAGAGCTGCGTTTTGAGGAGGCTGCGACTGCATCAGCGAAGAACAGGAGCAGTGCATGCCGGACATCGCAACTCACCTGGTAGATCAACCGCAATGCGGTCTCGGTGGGAGTCTCGACGGCCAGTTTCAATTGATCCACAAGCCCAAGCAGGCGGAAATGTGGCTGTGCCGAACTTGCATCTGGCGACGAAGCAAGCAGCTTGATGTCCTCCACTAAGGAGAGGACTTGGGAAGGTTGACAAGCAGTGGCCATATCTACAGCGACAAATGATGCACAAGAAGCAAGAAAGACGGAAGGAAAAGATTGAAAGATGAGAGGAATACGAGATACCCGAGGGGCGGTGAAAAGAGGAGATGCAGAAGGCTTCTTATAGGAATCTTGTCCGAAGGTTGATTAGGTTGATCTATGCAATACTTCGACGTAATAGTTGGAAAGACAAAAGGAAGAAGCGAGGGAGAAACCCAGGGAATTGATCGCCCTGTCTGAAAACGGCAGACGTGACACGTGCAGTGATTCACATTCGACTCTGAAGCTGAAAAGCTGAGAGTCAGCAGCAACAACAGGATAGGGAGATGGACAAGATGATGGAGTACCATTGGAAATAGATTGACTTCACACCATCTCTGGCTCTCCATCGGCGCACGTCTAATCAGAAACGTCGGCGCCCGCAGAACTGAAGTGTGGCGTCAGACCCGGTGGAACTCTCATTTCGTCACAGTTGGTCTGGAAGGGACCAGTCGAGAGAAAGGAATATTGGCAAACTGTTGACATTCTCCTTCTGGCTTCTACGCATATTCGGCAGCAAACACGTACGAATTTGCGCCCAACCATCTACCACTGCCCGAAGCCACTCGCTCCCAGTAGCCCGGGATATCTTCATCTCGACCAACCGTCGGCGCCACCGCCGGAAAAGAATCGATTTTCTTTTTTTTTTTCTTTTCTATAGGACTTTTGTTCAGTTGCTGATTCACTTTGGTCTTAGCTCGTCCCATCGGAGAATGGCCTCGCTCCTACTCCGTACGTTGAGAGATCGACTAGTGAGTGGCCCTGATCCCACGACAAGAACGAGGCTTCATGTGGATTCCAGATAGTGTCATCCGGAAATGTCCGTCCGGCAGGATCCCCGTCTCCTGCTAGCCGCTACAGGGGTGATTTTGGACCTATGGGAGTACTTGGGAGGGAGAAAGATTCTGTAAATCTTACCCCGGTGACTAGTAGTTGATCTTATCGCGGCCGCCCAGATCGCTCGACCTCCAGCGCATCCCTAGCGTCAGCAAGTAGAGGCCTGTGTGTATTGTTGCATTGTAGGGTTGTCGACGCGGGGCCCTCGAAAGGGGTTCTCGAGAAGCTAAGAAGTTGGCAGGATTCTCGCAGTGATGGCCGTGAGATTGACTTTCGATAAATCCAGGAAAGTCCGGCCCGGGAAAAGCATCCAATTCACCGTTTCCACCGCAATGAGAATCAGAGCGACTGACCGATGAAGTCGAGTACCTGCATTATTGGTATCAGGCCCAAACAACGGATGTTTGCGCGGTCCAGAGCAGAAGTTCCCGTTGAGAGTCGAAGCAAAGCCCGAGTTCGGTGACCCCTGATTCATGACGATAGACCTATCCTCTTTCCTCACGGAAACCCGGGGTCTAGATCCGCAGGTACCTGACGAGCCGAGTTTGGTAGTCGGAACAGAAGCACGAGCCTGGGACTTTGTGGAAAAAATTTTTCTTTTTCCAGAGGAATGCACCGTAGGTCTCCAGCGGCACGGGCCAAGAAGATGTTCCGACAGTTGACGACTGGGATGATGCCGCAAAGGAAAAATAACGCAATACCGATATTTCCTTCTTGCGTAACTCCCTTGGTGGTGGACCTCTAAAGGCGACGGAAATTTGTGGGAGAATCGGTGAGCGGCTGAGCAGAGGACCCAAAAAAAAAGCAATATACAAGCCATGTGGATACGCGCAGGATCATCGCTGGATGTTCGCAGCACACGGTCGCACACTGTCGAGAAAAAGCTATCGAGACCACTAACAATTCCCACGCTCAAACCTATGACATAAACCATAAGCTGGCACATTGCATCCAGGAATTGATCCCAGCATGGCATACTCATACGGAGTACTGCGTCCGTACATGCGGAGGAGCGTCAGCAGCTTCTGTTCTGGGACGCCGGCAGATTCATTAATTGTACTTCGTAAGACTGGTTGGACAGGTCATATATGGCCGTCGAACCTATCAAACATCTTGAAGGATGCCTTTAGCGCGTCGGATCGACCGTGTGGCGTCCCGGCAGAACAATTGTGAATTTGTGACCAAGTTAATCGATCGAGGCCTCGGACAGGGGGAAAGAATCCTGGTCTTTGTTTATTGACCCTAGAGGGCTATGACCCACCGGTGGAGACAGCATGAGTCGAATAAGCCCACAATCTGGAGTAGTGCCTCTTCATGAATCAGAATCGGGAGGCAGCAGAAAGAAAGAAAATAAGACAAGTTCGTGGGTCAGCAAAAGCAAAGGAAGAAAACATGCGATTTGTCGGGGCTTGCAGGCAGAAGATGCAGATCGCGATTGCGGACGGTGTTCATGCCAGCTGCAGAATTTTGCCACGCAGGTTCGTCAGAAGGTACGCTCCCAAGCAACTATTGATCAGGAGCCACATTCCTTTCTCGGAAAAGTGGTACCGTGCATACTCATGATTTCATCCCTGCCATTCCGCGGTGAAACCGACCTTCATTCGAGCCAGATCCCTCATCAAGACGCAACACCCTACGTCTCCGATGGCCACGAGCGGTCACAGCAGAATAAACTTTCGGAGTCAGAATTAAATATAGCCTCGGAGGAAGGTTGGATACGAAATGTGAGGCCTCAGCTGTCCCTGACTCCCTGCACAGTGACACAAAGTACATTGTTCGTGCGGACGTGGGCGATGGTGGTGGTGGGCCCGTGGGTGGATGTTTTCGGGCAATTCCACTCTTTTCATCTGAACCGAGATCGAATTTTGGAAGCCAGCCAACAGAATACCCGAGGTGTGAAGGGACAGGGATGGCTGAAGAAAGTACGAGTGCAGGAAACAGGGCGAAAATGGGCACGGCGATACGACGATGCGCCGACATCCTTCGATCGTCGATCGATCGAGTTCTTTGCCCTGCACTGTTTGGTCATCATGATCGAGTCAGGCCGCCGGGGCCGTGAACCCGGTCCTTGGGGCCATATCCCTGGTTGCTTGGGATAACTACCCAGGGATGGTGGTGACTGGTGGCTGCCTGGCGCAATGCAACCACCCCGATGGGATTGTGATCCTGGCACCATCTCGTGCAGGCGCTGCAGCGTGACCTGACAAATTTTGTAGCTCGGCCAACTGCGCATCAAAACCGAGTAATTTGGATGGGGCCCCCGGGACCGCTGGATGCCGATCTATCGCCCTAAATCCGTCCCATTCGGCCAACGACAGATCCAGATCGCCCGGCCACTTGGTGCAGCTCCATATGATTGTAGACACTATGGGTATTAGCATACCCATTCGTTACCGACTGACGCCATACAGCATGCACCAATTGCCGTGCTTGCAGGAGCTCGATCCGCCCCTTTCGCACATGCTGGGACCTTTGAGACCAGTTAACAACGTCATCTGGGACCCGTCTGGGCCGCTGAAAATTTTCGGATACACCGCTTCAGCTGGGTGCCACTCGGTAAATGAAAGTCTGAGATTAAGAGACACTGAAACGACCAGAAATAGGTGACGCCCTATTTCTAAATGCGGTATGAAGCAGCCCAACCGAACGCAGAGCCGACGAAAAGTGGGCGCCCCCTATAGCGTCCTGTTCCCACACATGACTCCAGAGTATTCTTCTTAAATACGAGGCCTATTTCTCTCGGGGTTGGTCTCAGTCCGTTCTTCCTTTGGCGTAGATTGACCACTCTTTCACTATGGGGATCCGTCAGTATGAACTAGACGATGCGCCCCAAGCTAGTGCCTCAGATCGGATCGTGGCACGGTTTGGGCGTCTTCACATTCTTGATGACCTCATTCGATTGCGAGCCGAAGACATTGTTCAACATCCTATTCTCGCCTACCCCAAGCCATCCAACAATGACAGCGCCTCGTATGAGTACTTCACGGGACAGGACCTGGATTGCATGATTGACCAGGCAGTATGTACCCTGATGGATTGCGGGTTCAAGCCGGTACGTAGTATCATTTCCTTCTTGCTCTCTGCATAGAAACTCACGTCATGATAGCCCCGGGGTGGACAGGCAGTTGTTGCTCTGTTCACACTCTCGGATATGCATATGGTGGTCACATTCTTCGCACTCAGCCGTCTAGGGTACACGGTGATGATGCTGTCGCCCCGACTTTCGGCAGCGGCCTGTGTATCACTTCTCGACGTCGTCGGCTGTGACACCATCCTCTATGGCCAAACCTCTAGTATCCGGGCAACAATGGGCGAGATACTTCGCCTCAAGCTGGTAGCATGCCGTCCTTTGATTCAGAGACCTTCACTCCAAGATACACCTGACTCCACTGTCATGGTACTTCATCGCAGCCGGAACCCAGAGATCCAGAAGAACAAGACCGCCTTGATCCTTCATTCGTCCGGTTCGACTGGCACGCCCAAGCCTCTTTTCCTAAGTCACAAGGCCTTGATGACTCACCCGACACGAGGCCCAGGGCTTACCTCCTTCAATTCCCTGCCCTGGTACCACCTTCACGGCCTATCAACCGCGCTCCAAGCTATGTATATGAAGAAAACCGCTTTCATGTGGGACGCCTCTCTGCCGCTCACTGCCACCTCGGTGGTCAATGCTCTCGAGGCTGCGAGGCCGGAATCAGTTCAAGGTGTGCCATATATGCTTCAGCTCCTAGTAGACAGCCCTAGGGGGCTGGACGCCCTCAGAGGCTGCAAGCTTGTCACATACGGAGGAGCCCCCTGCCCTGATGAGCTGGGCGACAAGATGGTAGAAGAGAAGGTGAGATTCGGAGGATCCTTTGGTTTGTAAGTTGTCTCTGTCACCTTTCAGGAAAGCACCATTCTCTGACTAGTCCATAGAACCGAAGCTGGCTTGGTCGCCGAATCCATTTCTCGCCCACACGGCGACCCATATTGGAACTATATGAAGTTCTTCGAAAACATAAGACCCTATATCTGGATGAAACCCATCAGTGATAGCCTCTACGAATGCGTTTACCTTTCTGGACATCCAGCCTTGACCACATCCAACTCGGATCAGCCACCCGGCTCCTACCATTCCAAGGACGTTTTCACACCGCACCCGCAAATCCCAGAGCGGTGGAAGTATGTCACACGCTTGGACGATCGCATCACACTCGTGAATGGAGAGAAAGTGCTCCCGTTGCCCATTGAAGGATCCATCAAACAGAACCCGCTCATCCAGGAAGCGGTCGTCGTAGGTGTGAGTCGCAGTGTACCAGGCCTCTTGGTCTTCCGATCGGAGGAGGCGAAATCCTTCTCCGATCAGGAATACATGGACCTGATCTGGCCTGCTGTCCAGGATGCAAACTCAAGAGCAGAGCAGTTCTCACAGATCTCTCGTGACATGGTTCTTACACTGCCGCCTGACGCCGTCTGTCCTCGTACCGATAAAGGCTCCATGATCCGAGCCCAGGTTTACACCAAATACGCCGATACGATCGATTCATTGTACACCAAGCAGGAAAACAGTGCGGATGGCTCTCTCGAACTTGACGTCGGAAGCACTGAAGAGCATCTGACGAAACTTTGCCGTGATGAGCTGGGATTTGACATCTCCAGCTCAGAGGCAGAATTCTTCGCGGAGGGACTCGATAGTTTGAAAGCAATCCACCTGCGCCGTCTTATCCTCAGAGACTTTCGCATTGAAGACAGCAAAGATATTGGTCAGAATGTCGTCTTTGAGACCGGGACTGTCTCCAGACTGGCGGAGCATATCCATGCTGTCCAATCGGGCCAAGAGACGAAAGCGACTGATGATGTATCATTGATGCCTGGATTGATAGAGAAGTACTCCTCCTTCGGCAGCCATGACCCCAGGGCTCAAATGGTCCCGACGAATAGGAGTGTTGTATGTTGAGATGATTCCGACCACGATAAATGCATGCTAATTCCTTTTCAGATCTTGACCGGCGCGACTGGCTCTATGGGAGCACATACACTTTGTAGACTTGTGAACGATGATTCGGTCTCTGCAGTGTACTGTCTGACACGCAGAAGCAATGCCAAAGAGGCAATCATCGACACCTTGGAGCAAAAGGGACTCGTGGTTCCAAGTTTCCGCATGAAGAAGATCATCGCACTCAACAGTGCTCTGGACGAGCCAAATTTCGGCTTGAGCCAGAGCATGATCGATGAGATGAAAAATTCCGTGTCCCTGATCATCCATACGGCATGGCCGGTCAACTTCCATCTGCCGCTGTTGAGCTTCGAGCCACACATCAAGGGTCTATACAACCTAATCAACTTCTCACTCTCTGTGAACCTCTCTGCGCCAGCCGTCCTTCTCTTCTGCTCCTCAATTTCCACAGCACTGGGCTCGAAGACCTCCGAAGTCAACGAAGCTCCTATCGAGGACCTTAGTAGTGCCTTGGAAATGGGCTACGGTCGGTCAAAACTCATCGGCGAAAAGATAGTCAGCAACGCGCGGAAAGCAGGCGCCCGGTCGTACTCCCTCCGTATCGGCCAAATCTCTGGACACTCGAAGAAGGGTCTCTGGAACGACTCTGAAGCTCTTCCGTTGATGATCCGATCGGCCCTGACGCTCAAGTCCCTACCGGAGATCGACACGACATGCTCCTGGCTTCCCGTCGACAAGCTCGTCGCCTCGATGCTTGAAATTGCCAAGGCTTGCTCAAGCAAGTCAGCAGAAGACCAAGACACGAATGAAGACGATACAATCTACAACTTATCCAACTCTCGCACCTTCGAGTGGTCTGCGCTTCTCGACACTCTGCGACAGAACGGGTTCAAATTCGACACCGTCCCATTCGAGCGATGGCTGGAGCTACTGCGAGAGAGTGAAGCACGAGGAGAAGAACTGGTGAATCCCGCCGTCAAGCTGGCAGATCATTACGAGGCAATGTACGGCGAAAATTCTCTGACGCCGCCGACATTCACCACGGACAAGGCCGAGCGGGACAGTATGACCCTGAGAAATGGTCGTCTGCGGATCATCAAGGATGGAATTTTAGGCCGGTATGCGCGAGATTGGTTGAGCCGCTGGCAGACGGCCTGAAGGGGGAGGAGAATGGAAGCTGATGTCGATTCATGTCCATATTATGATATCCTGTCTATAGTTGTTTTTTCTTGTTTTTCTTTGGCTCATTGAACATACCTTGGTTAGATTTATTGGGAGATAATTTCATTCATTCTTCATATAGATGAGATGAGGTGATAAATGATAAAAAACATAGCAGGGGAGTGATGGAAGATGGAAGATGGAAGATGGAAGACGGACACCGAAGGAAGCTCGACGCATCTGGGGAAGTCTCCTAGCAGGTGACATCACATGATAAAGATGAGGAAAGTAAGTCATAACTATCATTGAATCTTCATTTTGAACGAAAAAGTCTGCATATTCTAGAATACGTGTAAAAGTGAAAGCCAGCAATAGGCAGAGAAAGGAATTTTCCCAACGTCTTTTAAACATGACCATACACAGTCAGAACGAGTGGACAACGATGGGGTATGATATTGAAACCAACGGCAGACTATTATACAAAAACAAGACTAGAGGGTATTGTCACGACCTCTTACAGGATATAATGGCTGAAAAGGGATATCAGAATGAAACCGAAAGAAAATCGCGAGAAGACACTCATGCCAAGAAAGCCAGAGCGAGAGCGCCAAGGAAGCCAGATGTGCTCAGAGAGAGCTTGCTAGCGGCGCCAGTGAAGAGAGGGCTGATAGGAGTAGTTGCGCTCGGGATGGGAGAAGCCGACGATCCGGAGAATCCGGAGTTGACCGAGGCGCCAGAGCCGGAGCCGGAGCCGGAGCCAGAACCAGAGCCGGCACCGGGGGATCCGCCAGGCACAGAGCCTTCGTCGCCAGTCGGAGAGTCACCAGCGGGGGGCGCGGACGTAGGAGCAGGTGCGGGAGCAGGGACAAAGCCCGACGAGGACACGGTAATGCTCTGCGGCGGCGAAGGCGGGTTGCTGGGGTGGGAGCTTTCAACGGGGGCGACGTTTGAGGGGCTTGAGGGCTGAGCACCGGGAGCAGTGGGCGCAGAGGGCACGTCTTCCTGGGACTGAGACTCGGCGGGAGCGTCTGGGACTTGAGATGGAACCACGCCGGAGGTACCCTCGGGGGCAGGCTGGGAAGCAGGGGCGGTCGGGACGATGGAAGAAGCACCGCTTTCAGCGGCGGCACCCGACTCCCCAGCGTGGATGGCAGTGGCGGCAGTGCCCTGAGTGAGGGCGCAAACGGTCGTAGTCTCGGTCACGTAGATGGTGCTTCTCGAGGCAGACTCGGAACCCTTAGAGCCTTCGGAGCTACCGGAGCTACCGGAGTCACCAGAGTTGCCGGAGTTAGCAGAGGCGCCAGAGCTGCCAGAGCTTTCAGAGCTACCGGAGCTGTTCGAGTTGTCGGAGCTGTCGGAGTTGTGAGAACCTGCCGACTCCTCAGAGCTTCCGCTTCCAGCGTTACCGGAGCTGCTTGAGCCGCTGGCAGGGGCGGAGGTAGCCGCGCCGCTGGCTTTGGTGGTTGCGGAGGCAGCAGACGTGACTTCGGCAGCGGGAGGGTTCGAGGCAGTGTGGACGGCAGCGGTTTCCGACTTGGAGCTGGCGGCTTTGGTGGTGGCGGGAGCCTGCTGGGTAGTAGAGGTGGAAACGGCCTGGGACACGGCATGAGTGGCGCTTTCGGCTTGAGAGGCAGCCGACGAGATCTCGGCGGGGGTGTTGGAGCTGGTACCGATCTGGTACAGCTTGATAGAGTTGATTTCCCAATACGCCTCCTTGAAAGCTTCGGGATTCTCAGCGACGTAACTAACGCAGCTCTGGATGGGGTTGCTGGGGTCCTTCACGGGGCAACCAGAGTCGCCGAACACACCACCGGCCCAGTCACCGCAGAAAGTGGTGTCAAGAATGAATTTCTGGGACTTGAACCGCTCGTGGAAGTCGCAAGAGCCCTGCAGATGGGCCATAGGGGTGCCGAAGGCGGAGGTATCGGGCTTGCCGGTGGTGATGGACTTGGGGATGTCGCCGCGAGCGAAATACCAGATCTTGAGGAAATCAGCGGTCCACTCCATCGCATAAACGCCACCACCGTTCTTGTTGAAAGGGTCTCCGGAGGAGCCCTTGTTACCCTTCACCACGCAGCCGATGGTACCCGAGGCATCTCCACACTCGCTGGAGGTCATGTCGCCGAGCATTTCGTGGTCGCCGCCAACGTCGCAAGAGCCGCTGGTGTGCAGGACGATCTCATTCGACTCGTGCTTGTTGACACCTTCGATGATGTCGATTTCGCCGTCGTGGGGCCAGTCGGGGCCAACGGACCAGAAGGCAGGCCACGTTCCGCAGACGCTGCCGGGCATGTGTGCGAGGTCGATAACGTACAAACCCTCGTCGTAGTACTTCTTGCTCTCGATACGGACGGAGTCACGACCAGGTCCCTCCGGGCTGAGAGTCGTTTTGTAGTCTACACCCATATAGAAACTGCCGCTGGAGGTGATATCGATCAGGCCGGTACTCTCAGCGTAGCTCTGGTTGGTATAGGTAACGAAGCCATTGGTCGGGTCGGCGCCAGTAAAGAACTCGAAATAGTCCAGGAATTTCTCGCCTTGCCAAGATTCGTGCAGTTGGTAGCTACCGGAGCTACCAGTCGAGCCTTTGGCAATAGCAGGCGCAATGAGAGAGGTAGCAGCGAGCGATCCCACGCTCCAGAGCAGAGATCGGGAAGTCATTTTAGCCGGAACGCAGTTCAGATAAATCAGTTATTGGAAGACAAATGAGCGGAAGTAAGCACAGCTATAGGCAGATCAACACGAGGGAAGATGAGGATCTGGGAGCTGTCAAGAAGATCGAAAGAAATCGGTCTAATTACGATGTAGACCCAAAGGAATGAAAGACAACCGTCTAGGCTGTGGCAACGAAGGTACGATAGAGAAAGGAAGGTGTAAAGAATGCAGACTTCGATCTGCGACTGGGAAAATGACGCGAGAAAGAATGTGAAAAGGAAGGATGGCGAGTTAAAAAGAAAGAAAAATGAGAGAAGGCAAAAAGAAGAAAAGTCACAGGAAGGTATGGAGGAAAGGCATGATAAAGATTGGGAACAGTCGGTATAATAAAGGAGGGGAGGTCTGGCCCGCCGGGGAGTCTTGTGTTGCACTGAGCTGGAGTGAAGACCATTCCCTTAGGGTCAAAGTGAAGGAAGTGTGAATAAGGGAAATGGCCTATTAGTGTCCAAGAATCCATCGAGCCGGCGCAGTTGGGATCCACGACTGGAGATTCGGCGCTTGGTGCCTGGACGCACCAAGCGAGCTGCGACGAATCAAAATGGGTGTTGGGAGCGCCATGGTGACGGAGCCCGGACTACCAAATGCCTGCCATGAGTCCATGACTCCATTCCTCTTTGCCCAGGCATGCCGAGTGGGCCGGGCGACCAGGAGCTGGCTTGGTGATAGATGTGCTCGGCAGGCGGTCGGCCGACCTGAAACGCGACGAGCCTGCCCTAAGGTGCATATGAAACAGGAGGACGCCCATCTTCCGGGCTAAGAGAGAGGCGAGAGTTTACGGGATTGGGTGTGAGTGAGACAGCTCACCCACCTCCCCCTTCGGCCAGTCGAGTATGCAACAAATAAAAACTTTGATTGATCCATTCATGAGGAACCGTCCGTTGTTGTGCTGAGTCTGACCCCCTCATTATTCCTCCCCTACCCCGACAATTATGCATGATTAGTGATTACGGTTGCAAGTTGTCCGTGCCTCTCACTGCCACCCCCGGCAACTGTCACATTCTCGGCAGGGGAGATGTGCTGTAATCGTCAGGCAACGGAAAAGGGGATCATCCAGCGGGCGGGAAACTGAGGGCCAAATAGCTGATCCGGGCGGCCAATCCGATCGCATACCGTGGACGGCGCCAGAAATTGAATTTTGGACGGAGTTTTCGGTCGATAGTGGACTCGTCTAGACGCTGGGAGTGGAGCACAACGGCGAGTCCGTCGTTTCTCGGTGGGTGGGGAGAAGACCGGGCGAATCGCAAGGGATTGGAATAATGGGAGATTCTAGGACGTGGCAACGGGACGATCTCTGGCGTGGGCAGGAAGCGACCAGAATGCACACAACATCAAAGAAGTAATGATCATTGCGATCGAGACGGGGTCTGCGAATCCTGCAGTTGGCCAAGCAGACGATGAAGAAGAGGAAAGGAAAGGAAAGGAAGGGACCACAGGAAAAATCCTGGGAAAGGAGACTCCGCCCGCACTCAATCGGGTCTAGCGTTGTAGCCACGCTCGGGTGCTGAATCAGCGGGCGCCACACTTTCTTTATTTGGTCGGGGTGGCTGAGCCGAGTTTGTTCCTTATTCTCTTGGTCTTACACTCTTCTGTTGTTGTTTACGGTGTACACCCCGTCAGATCGTTGGAATGCTCCAACATAATACGGGGTGGAGGCCATTCTTGAACTCTTGGTGTCTGGTCTTAACCTCTGCAGAGTACGTTCCTGTAATCAATCCTTCCATCCATCCCCCCGTCTCGGACTCAGAGTCAGGAGTATCTCGACGGCCCGACCTGGTGCCATGGGTCGGTTCCGCCCTGAACCACTTTTACGCCCAAATATCGCAGGGTGGATCTCCTTTATTTTGAGCATACTCCGTCAAAAGTATGCATTCGATAATTCATACATACGGAGTAGGATCCTGGAAATTGAGCACGGGTCATCCTCGCGCGGTTTCTATTTTGAGGAGGGCACTATTCTCCCGCAATTTGCATCCACGGCCCCTTTTGGAAAAGACACCGTCCGAAGGCAGATTTCATATTACCCTGAACGGCTATTTCCGCGCAGAGACTCAGGGGTTACCTGCTGTCATTTCGCCCATCCCAGGACTGTTGATTGTTAGCTGGCGAGGATGTTCATTGATCATTCCTTTCGAGCTGTCCGCATCGTGCTGCCCATGTGGTCGGTGGTTCCACATTGGCCCAGCGAATTGTTGCCACCAGTGACTCTTTTACCACGCCTTCACTTAGACGGCTACAGGATATTCCTGTCTTGTTGCTTAATTCACAGCTCTTGTTAGGACTAACCTTGGAAGGAAGACCCGACTAACTATCCTGGTGGGTGCGAGGAAATCCCCAGCATTTGGTTCTCCTCTTGAGCCACCCACACCTCTCCTCCTTGTCCTTTTCCGTATCTTTGAATTCAGGGAGCACTCGGCTAATCTTCCTTATTGAGGGGATGTTGAGTTCTTTGGCGAATCTTGGTCAATATTAAACTTTCATCGGAATGTCGGTCGCCATATCTTGAGCCGTTGCTTAGCTGAGCCTAAAGCTGCGAACTTGGTTCTAGTTAATGTAAACTAATAATTCTCGGTTACTCTGCCAACTTACTTTAAGGACAGAGGTTTGAGTACTTCAGGTTTGGGGGTTACCTGATGCTTATATTGCTGCTCATTATTTGATCATCGCACCCTGCATAGACCGCGCTCGGACTCGGGTCGATGTGAACACGGTGCACATTGTGTCAACGTTCCTCTGATCAATGCACGCACTGAATGCATATATACCTCATGTCCTGATTCACCATTTTGAGCTCAAGTCACGATTCTCTCGACTGACGAGGTCCACGCTTCAAACACATTGAAAACACAGTGTCCCCGATGGTTCCGCCCTTCCTTCACCCTTACGGTAGTGGCTGCGCTCTACGCAGAACTTCTCATCGGCTTTACCACGCCCGGATCCTTCTTTCTTGTGTCGATTTCGGACTTATCCATATATTACCGCAGCGGACCTAATGCCTCCGATGTTGATTGAGAGTACACGTACCCCTTAGGCCCGTACACTCGGTCAAAGTAGTTTCATTATGGCTGTTTTTGGCCGTCCGTAGGCCGTCAAGCCATATTTTACAATAAACTTCCGGTCTAGAAGATGATTATCCGCGAGAGGCGAGCGATACTTGAATGATCCTTGAGTTGAGGTCGGAGGAGCTGCTTGCTAACAAGGTCTCCAGGAGTAGACGGGTTAGGATGAAGTGCGTGAAGGGCTCAGCAATGGCCTTGGTATATCCTGTCCCTCTGATTCTTGGATCGCATCTTTGATTGAAATCGTACCAGTCAAGATAGTAACTTTGTCAGTCCATCAACGATGCGAGCATTATCTTTCACGATCTAAAGAGCGGTTGAGCGCCGGTCCATGCTACGCAGCGTAGGGAACGGTCATTGTAGTAATTGTGGTCTTGGTGATACAAAGTCGTACTCAAGGAGCGAGTTACCATGGTGAATATCAAGCCAGAAAGAAACCAATGTTCAGGATTCTCGTTGTCGCTATGATTCAGACAGTTTGCGGACATGAGCGGACAATGCGGACAATGCGGACAATTAGCCCAAACCGGCCTAGCGCGCCTGGAGGGCGGCCCACTTTCTTTGGGGCCAGCAGCGTGAATCATCTTTCATCATCCTCCATCCTTCCAATAGTATGCATCTGTTGATGCTGATTCCCAATTTATTCGCATGATGCCAAATGACGCTGATTAGCGTTCGTGATCCTGACAAAACATGGACTGTTGCTTAGAAATTCGAACAATCCGGCAAATGTATAAGAGGCATCAGTACCTGTTGTGATAGAAAATATATTTCAACTCATCACAGTGCGGAATATCATTACCGACGCAACTTGAAGTTACAAAATGTCTTCCAAGCTTATTGTCGTTCTCGGCGCCACCGGCAACCAAGGAGGATCGGTGATCAAGTCCTTCATCGAGGATCCGGCCTGGCGTATTCGCGCCTTAACCCGAAGCACATCTTCCTCCAGCGCGCAAGCCCTCCAACGATCCGGAGTCGAAGTCATGCAGGCCAATCTAGACGATCCCTCGTCCCTCGAGGCGGCCTTTCAAGACGCAAATGCCATCTTCGCCGTCACCGACTTCTGGAACAGTTTCGCCAACCCCGAGAACCAAAAGAAGAAGAGACCCGACCAGCCGATGAACGCATGGACCTACCACTACGAGAAACAACAGGGCATGAACGTGTTTGACGCTGCCGCTAAGGTTCCCACGCTCGAGAAATTGATTTTCTCCAGCTTGTCGGATGCCTCGAAGTGGTCGAAGGGAAAATACACGAACGTGATGCACTTTGATTCCAAGGCCCATGCTGCAGAATATGGCAAGAAGACGTATCCCGAGCTGTGGAAGAAGACCAGTTTACTCCAAGTTGGCTGGTATCTTTCCAACTTTCTCTCGCACCCGTTACTACAACCCCGAAAGGTAAGCTTGTTGTCCGTCTTTGAATGGGATTATAGGCTTATACTCTCACCTAGAATGCGGAGGGCGTGTATCAGTACATCACTGGCGTGCGCGGTGACGTGCATCTCCCAGCAATGGCTGCCGAAGAAGATACCGGACCAGCCGCGAAAGCGCTGATTTTAAGCGCTCCCGGAAAGCACCTGATCGCGTACCGGGGATGGATTACTCTGAACGAGTTTTTCGACATCTGGAGCCGTGTGCTGGGTGTGCCTGCCAAGGTGGTGACCCTTCCTGATGGCGAATCCATTCCGGGAGTCCCGGAGGACTTGAAGCAGGAGCTCATCGATAACTGGGCGTATTTCAATGACTGTGGATATGAGGGTCGCGATGATCCGAGCGTCATCCATCCAAGACAGGTATGTGGTTCTGAGATACCCTGAGTGAAGAACATTGCTGATTGATATAGCTTGAGGTACCGCTAAGCCTGCCTTCGGTGGAGGAATGGATACGGCAACAGGACTGGTCGGGCGTTCTGTAGATACTTATACATCTTGGACTTTGCTGTTTTGTTGGGGACATTACAGATGCATAATCAAGTGTATTAATCAGTGACTTTTGATTTTCGGGTCCACTCGCAGCTTCTATGAACTGCTGAATCTCGTCAGCACTGCTCCTACCTAGTTGGAAAAAAGGCAAGGGGGCACTTTGCATAAGAGGAAACAGGCATCAGCACGGAATGCAGCCTGTCGGACCGCCATTCACTCCCAGTGAATGGAAGCCTACACCTTCCATTGGCTGTCTAGAGCGCATATTTGATTTTGAATTAGAATATTAGGATATTACTCCTGTTCGGATACTTTCAGCGACGCAGTCAGAAGTCCGAATCAATCAGTCGTCATGGGTTCTCCGTCCTCTGAGCTCCCCAAACCGCCAATTCCCTACATCCCGGGCTTGAAATTCACCGTGCAGTCGCATGTATGCCCTGGTCCGACACCGGTTACCGTCTGGTGCTGCCATAACAGCGACCTAGAGCGAGTCGAGAGAAATCAACTCAGTCCGCTCGAAAGATGCCTACAAAATCCTCCACTAGCAGGGCAAGAGTCCAGCCAGCCACCGCGTAGCTTTGATTTGAAAATTATTCATTCAGTCAGAATTGGAGACGACTATAACTCTCAGGTCTTCGTCGTAAAACCCTCAGGGAGCCATCCTTTACCGGAAGACAAAGACACTGGTGGCCAAGGTATACGACCCTCTTTACCTCGATGACCATGACGGAACAATCAATCCTTTCAAAGCGGCGAATCAATTCTATACCCACGAAGTGCGCGCATACGAATTGCTGTCGGAACTGCAAGGCCATCGCGTGCCCCGATACTACGAGTCCTACACAATGGACATCACCGCAGACGGTTCCAGAGTGCGCGCCGTCCGCCTCATCGTGATCGAATACGTCGAGGGAATCACAATGCTCCAGGTGCACCCCAACGGGTTCTCCCGAAATATTCGCCAGCGGATCATGAAAACCATGATTGACTTTGAAAGCACAGTATATCACCGGAAGGACATCGTGCTCAGAGACCTCAGCCCTCGCAATGTGATGCTATTAGAGACGACGGATCTCGAACCTAGCAGACATCTCGTTTTTGTCGATTTTGCGAGCGCCTTGTTCAATCGCAAACTAGATTACCCGTTTCTTACAGATGAAAATTTCTTCCTTGGCCAGTATGTGTCATCTCTGCTGCGCTGGAACAAGGATATGGCTCGGGAGTTCTTGGATTGGATCGATTGGGATTGGGAGCCTTGGGTCGAAAAGGAGTATGCTCATACGGCTGGCACAATCACTCAAGGAATGCGGGATCGATATTCTCTGTGAGGCAGATGTTTTGTTTTGCGTATCAAGTGCTGCCATGGGGGTTCAAAGTCACGACAACCGAGGACAGTTCACTCACCTTATGTTCGCGTGTGAAGGATCTCGTCAGAACACAAACATTTTATCTATATTGATCGTCGCTGAGGCATGGTTCTCCCATTAGCGAGTAAGCTGAGCATGAGAAGATCAATATATCATTAGAGAGCATAATTTAAAATGAAAATTGGCAAGACCTTTTACAAATAGCGCAAAGGTTCAAGGTTAGTAGGTTTCATTAGATAGAGGGGGAATTGAGATGAGTGGGGATATAGGATCTGCTTAACAATCTGCAAAGGTTTCAGGGCCTGAGTATAAAATCAGGGCAGGCTGGGTTAGCCCCGTGACACCCTCTTGCTTTAGCCTGGGTTCATTCACTCACCACCGCTGGCCTTTTGTTTATAGTTCCTGCCACCCCCAAGCCTTTCTCTTTCCACCATCTTCCGCTTCTTATTCTTACGTCAAACCAACGCGAATGGCTTACAGGGAACCCCAAGACTTCTTAGTTTGAAGAAGGCATATATATCAGCCGAATGCAGCAAAGAGGAACACAATGGCTCCCATTCTTATATGTGCCAACTGGAACCCAGAGCAGACTGATTGCAAGAAGAAAGGGAGATACACATGCAAGGGTTGCTTGCTAGTCATTGTCAGTGGGCCTTCCAGAATGAATTTTATTATCTTGAAAATATCATTAACATCGAGAGTTGCAGTATTGCGGCCCAGAATGCCAAAAGTCCCATTGGCCTCAACACAAAATTGACTGCAAGTCGGCCCTGGCGAAAAAGTCCTGGCAACCAACCTGGGTCTTGGGAAATAAAAGCCCTGTATCTGGCGCGGAGGAGGTTATAGGAAGAAACTTTCTCTGGGGTAATGTTCCTGCGCTTGACGTCCTGAAATTAGCATCGAACGAAGGAGAGAGCTATGCCGAAGATCTTCGCCTCTTATTTGCAGGTACAGTACATGTTGACTTTTGTTAATTCTGATGACCTTTTCGAATCTAATCTATTCCATAAACAGCTCCAGGAGACCTTCGCAATGTCATAAAGACGCTCGCTGATCTTCCCACGACCTATAGCTAGTCCCTCAGTATCACAATAAATGACAGAGATTTTGATGTCGTGGCCCGAAACCTCATGATTCTTCTTGTTGCGTTGGTTGTTGAAAAGAAGGAAGCTATCGATTGCATCATTCACCTTTGGTATTCAGCGCTTGTGCGCAACTCGGACATCGCTATCCTTTTGAATCGGGTTCGGCGTCTGATCGAAGATGTCTGCAGCGAAATTCAAAACAATGCGCCGGGAGTCTTAATTCAGAAGACCTGGACATTCGGAAGTTGCTCTTTGAGAATCACCCTTGAGACATCGTCATGGGTGTACTTTGAACTACCGGCTGGTTTAACGACTGAACAGGCCAAAGAGCTCCGCGCAGACACCACGCTGGCTCATTCTAGGAGTGACATCCGCGACCAGATCATGTGCATACTTTTGCCACCCCAACGCATCCCATTCTTGAAGTTCCTCCAGGACGGTCTGTTGCTTCCCTTTGGAATGCCACGTCATGATTTCAAGAGGCCAAACCCGTGCGTTCAGCGGTGTCGATATGGCGTATAAATGCAATGCTGATACTAGAATAGGACATTGTTTCATACTGCAGACGCCTGGCCGATGGCAGATCATTCAGATCCTCTTCATGGTTGGGATGTAGAAGAGGTTTTCCATACATCCAGCGGACCCGCCACGGCTGATACATACGGCAAGCTGTATTTTTACCTGCGAGAAGTGCTTGAGTCTTTCCTGGATCGAATTTCTCACGCAAAGGTGGCTTTTGAGCTTCATAATGTTGACGCTTCTTATCTTCCTCGACGCCTGGAAAAGGAATCTTTCAGCCGGATCGAGGTGAGTAAATACAATGTTCTATAAACTATATGGACATGACACTTTATTCTGACAAAAATACTAAACACGCAAATTCAGGTCTCAAATATCTCGGATGAGGGTTGGCTGGGCATTCATCGCACCCTGCAGCTGATGGTGCCCTTGCTGCAACCTCCCACACAGAATCCACACGCCACTCTGATAACCCTATTCATCAATGTCATCAAGGACATGTTGACTGACGCAGAGAGATTACAGGGTATCATGCTAAATAGTCAAGTAAAAGACGCTGTATTGAGATTCGTTTCTCCTTATAGAAGCCCCAAAACTAAACATGACCCGGTTGATCTGAAGTTTCGTGTGGCGGCAGGCCTCGTCATGAATTGTGATCATATCTTTGATAGGTAAGTGAGCATGCGATCGAGACAGATTCGCCTTGTGGTCACAATGAGAGCTTCCTATTGATGTTCAGAATCTAGATATCAGAAGATCTTTCGATTCCGTGGGGTGGAGGAGTGTCTGGGCGTGAGGATGAAGGAGCATCATACAGTGATCGATAAATGTCCCTACCGGATGAAACGCTGCCCTGACCAAGAAGGTGCGAAAGAGAAATTTGATTGGCTCATGAGACAAGGGTCTACAGGAAGAGAGTACTATTTGGAGTGGAAGAGAGTGAATAGGGTCATGCCTTGAGCGACGCTGTCTGCCACGTTCTTGAGTTGTCTTCTTGGTCAGGAATTGAGGAAGGGATGTTCGTTCAAGGCTGCTGTCTGCAGGATGTACATTGCGGTCTATTCAATGTCTCACGTTGGCTGAGAAATTTCTGATTGATGAGAATGAATCTTAGAATATTGGTTTACAAATACATTGATTCCCAGAGAGTCGAACAAATGGAAAGATGGTGAGCAGGAATAGTAGTGAATATCCACAACTATACCACCGCTGAGTAAGCAGACGAAGCAAAACAAGCAAAAAGGGCCGACAAACCGCGCCAACTCCAAGTTCTTCGACTTCTTCGATTTCATCAAGATGTTCGGAATCATCAATACGGATGCCTCACGCGCCACATATGCTTGCCTATCATGCAGGTACTTATCCCTGATGGCAGTCAGTCGCCTGGGCGACCGCTAACGCATGCGTGCTCTTGTAGGACCCAGAAACGGAAATGCACGCGAGAGTTGCCGGCTTGCGCCGCGGTGAGCATCACATTTCTCTATCTCAGGGCTATCAACTGATAATATACCCAGTGTCTACGTTCAAACAAGGCCTGTGAATACTCTGTAACCAACAAGCGAAAGGTCAAGCTGGGGCCAGTGTTGACCACTGCTGCTAACGGGCTCGGAAGCCAAGAGGACCCCAAGCCGACGCCTCCCACGACTGCAAGATATTTTTTGGACTCGGATTCTCATCAACCAGCCAGATACTCTAATGCGCCGAGATATCCTGTGCCACAGATCACGATTGAGTCTCTGGCATACGTCGAAGATTACCAACCGATCTGTGACGCGTACTTCTCATCGATTCAATGTTGGCTACCGTTTCTCAGTGAGAAGGCGATGGTCGGACGATTAATGGAGAATGGTTCCAATGGCAGCCTAGAACTCACGTTGTTGCTGCTCTCCATGAGACTTGCTTCGACGACGCCTGATGACTTGGAGGGCGCTGTGTGCTCACCGCTTTACCAGAAAACAATTGAATTGTCGTCGTGGATGGAGAGGCTGGGTTTCGTCTGTCTTGAGCTGCTACAGTCAGCAATTTTGATCTCGGTATACGAAACAGGCCAGGGTATTTACCCAGCCGCATTTACAAGTGTAGGTCGTGCGGCTAGGCTAGGCCAAGTACTGGGGTTGCATGATCGGAAGAATGCTCCTCAATTTTTCAAGTCGCCTAATACATGGACACTACGTGAAGAGGAGCGCCGTGCATGGTGGGCGGTGATTATTATGGATCGGTAGGTGATCATTCTTCCAAGCACAGATCGTTCACATGCTAACCAAGATAAGGTATGTAAACCTGGGAATTGTTATTTCGCTGGCTGCACCAAACCCAAACAATGGTGACCTCCTACCGTGCACGGAAGAACGATGGAAAGAAGGGCAGATTGGAATCAATGAGCCCTTACTCGTCGAGTATCTTTCCAAGGAGTCAAATATTGGTGTTTACGCGAACACCTGTCAAGCAGCTCACATTACCGGCCGCGTTCTCGAGCATCGAAATCGCAGCAAGACGGGAGCAGACCATCGGTCTCAAGTAATGGAAGGCCAGCAGTTGCATCTGATCATCACTTCCTTAGGTACACATTTGTTCGAGAAATTTACTCAGAAAAAACAAAACATGGGCGAAAATCGCTTAACTGCCGTGGCACTGTGTGGTTCCGCGCGTCTCATTTTGGCCAATATGTACGGCTGCAATGAACATTATCCAAACGACAACGGCCCTCGCCTTGCCGAAGAGACTACCATGCAGGAAGCATCCATCAGGAGCATAGAGGAAATGATCGACCGTGCCTACGATTTGGGAGAATACATATCATCTCTGGATGATCACGGATTGGCTTCCTGCAGCCCGGTCGTCTGCTATTTCCTATATCAAGCTGCCTCGGAATGTGCCTGGGTCGTTCGGGAATTTTCAAATCATGCGCAGAAGAGCCGGCTCAATGGTATCGTGCGGGGACTAATGGCATTGCAGCATCGCTGGAGGATAGTTGGTAAGTCACAATGATCTATAGAAACGGTTTTAATGAGGCTAATGAGGTTAGTTGAATACCTGAGGTTGCTCAAAGCTGAGGGGATATGGGATATCTTCTATTAGCTGACGGGAACTATCATTTGTGCCATAGGCATCTGCAGCGATCAACCAGTTATGCTGTGACACCATCGTACGAGACTACATGGCCGCTCACATGGCACGCTTGTCTACAATTATTCACTATCGATCCAACAGTACCCCCAATTAGATTCACAAAATCGCATAATCCTCAATCATAGTGGGCAGAGCAAGCAGAACAGAAAGCTTCGAAGGCGATATTTTGTTATCGTATCCGGCAGTGGCTCCAGCGAATAAAGAACGAAGATCCCGGCCGACTATGGCACATGCTCCGGAGCACTTGCTCTGCGGCCGCGGTCCTTGCGCCCTGGCACAGCGGTTTTGCGTAGGGCCCTTTGAGCTCGTTCTATCGGGTAGTTGACGGGTGACTCTCCTCCGGTGAAAACCAGCAAATCATACAGAAAGGCGCCGGTGGCGGCACCGGTCAAGGCTCCCAGCCACGGCCCATAAAGCCAATATGGGTCAGTGAACAACTCGGCGCCATACCCCAGTCCCAGTAAAACAAGTCGGGGGCCCAGATCCCGACTGGGGTTGAAGGCTGCTCCGGTCTGGTCGGCAAACGTGATACTCAAGAGAGTAATCACTAGGCCCAGGATGAGGGCATTCATGCCAGCACCAGGCGGTGCATTCTGATCATCGCCGAGAGCGAGAACCGCGATCGTCAGGAAAGCTGTACCGACGAATTCGGTGAAAAAGGCAGTCGGGGGCCCGATCCATGGGGCGCGCGGTCCAGTCACAAAACTGTTCAGGATGCCTAGTTCAGAGCTGGTGTCGAGGTATAGTTCGATGGACGGATAGTACAGAGCGTACGCGGTCATTGCAGCGAAGACGGCCCCGAAGAACTGAGCGGCAAAGTAGCCCGGAATCTTGCGCGTTGGGAACCCGCGATAGAACCACAGCACGAGAGTGATCACAGGGTTGAGATGAGCCCCAGATACACCACCGGAGATGTAAATGGCCAACATGGTGGCAAAACCCCAGGCCCAGGCAGTGGTGTTAGGATTTCCTGCGTTGGCCAAAGTGACGGCGAGATCGGCGCCGAAGCCGAGGGTGAGCTGCACGTACACCGACAATGCCTCGGCCAAGGCTTCACGATAGTGAGTACGCACGACGGACCATATTGTGTGATGATTGTGCACTTCTTCTTCGACCAACTCCTCCACCAAAGGGTGCAGGTCATCACACTTTTCCAGTGTCGCGAAGTCTAGCTCATTTGGTTCGTCTACCAGGAGAGGGTCAGTCTCCTGGGGTTCTTCCGACGGTTGATTGATTTCTGCGTCTGGCGGAGTATCGCCTTCCGGTACTGTGGCGAGCTGGTCTGGCGGCAGGGCCCAGGTGGAAGCGCGTCTCAACCGACGAGAGGACGATGACAATGATGCCGTATCCCCTCGCAGGATCTTATTTGCCAAATTGGCCTCGCGCTGGATGCGAGCATCTTCGACTTGGGCTGCGATCTTCAGTGGGTTTGAAGTTGACACAATGCGACCTTTTGTCAACTCGTCAGGATCAACATCCAGGCCAGCGCGATGTGAGCGAGCTGCCGGCCACGGGGCCTGTCTATGGGCCTGTCGCAGCTCCTCTAGCGTAGGCACCATGCCGGGTCTCACGACGCGCGGTAGAGGCTTTGCCAAACTCCAAACTGGTCTTGCATTAACTCCTTGCTCATACTCAGGATTCAACTCGGCATAGCCAGGCTGGACAAATGGCTCGTGAGCCCGACGCATCTGGGGAGTCTCGTCGGGCCCAGCCAGGGTGAATGGTTGCGTGCCGTCTGCCAGAGAGGCTCGGCCGCCTATACTAAGGACCCCGCTGCCACTACGACGTCGTGGCATAGGCTCATCCCATGCGGAAATTCTCCTTCTGGGAGAGACGAGTCGATCACCGATCGGTGAGACCGGGGTCTCGCTGGCTGCTGCGGACTAGTCCGATTATTAGCACCCAAGTTAGGCATCATGGGGACAGTCGCAAGGGTATCCTACCCTAGCTCTTGGGCGTCCTGAATCTTCTTCTGCCATTCTCACGAATATGCTCTAGCGATATTGTCCGAAATTCTGTTCGAGGTAAAATCCGAAGAGAGATCGAATAACCACCACTACGAGAGACAGCGATTAAAAACACCCAAGAGCCAAAGATCAACCAACCCCGCCTAATCCCGTGAACCTCACGATAGTCGAGCTAGCAAGACCAGCAAGTAGAGATTGCAGTTTACGTCCAGTGGGGACTCACTCCTGCTGAGTGCGAACCCCCGATGTTCGAGCTTGACATCATACTGCAGACCGGGTTTCCTGATCGGGTAAACCCGTGGGTCGATTTGGAGCTGTGTATTGGATGTTGAACCGATCAACGGATCGACAATCAGGATATCTGCGATTCCGATGGTGTTATCATGGAATACGAGTAGCCCGTGGCGACGGTACGAGTTGAGGATGTTGAGCTTATCAACGGTTTATGTCACAAAGGTTGGGCGACTGAGGTGATCTCAACCCGCCATCTGATATCTAGCCCCTGTTCAACATATGCATTATCTAAAGAGGATTGGTGCTCCATTTGGAGTGCGACCTCATGTTCTCAACCACAAAAACAGCACGATCGAATAATACACGAAGCAATACTCCGCGTAACAGTTCTCGCGACGAGTGCGCATAAACCCCGGAGTAAAATCACAATTTCGACTGTGCCTTGGCTCGTCGTCCGGTATCCACCTCCGTCCACCATGGAAAGTTTGGCGGCGCATCTTCCTCCAGCGTGGCCTTGAAGTCCGGTTTGCGTTTCTCGAAGAACGCTTGAACGCCTTCATGTTGGTCCCTGCGGAAGTCAGTATCGCTCTTCAATTTCCACACCAGGAACACGAATAGCCAACGGCGAGAGTCAAACCTTCCACTAAACATATGATACAAGACCGCTGAATCGACCAAATGCGACTCCTCGGCAGACGCAGGACCCCTCCACATCAGCTGCCGACTGAGATAAGACGCCATGGGACTGACATTCTCCGCGATTTCAGTCGCCAGCTCCAACGCCCTGGAGACCACCTGCCCAGCGTCGGGGTAGGTTTCCGCAAACAGGGATCCGAAATGCGGCGAGGTCGGAGGGAACACTCCGCCGGTAGTGACCAGATACATCGCATGAGAGTAACCGATCAACCGGGGCAGAAAGAAAGAGGAGCTCGACTCCATCGTCAGACCGCGTCTCGGGAACACGAATCCATATTTCGCCTTATTGCAGGCAATTCGGATAGCTGCTGGAAGAGTCATCGTCATTCCGAGTCCGACAGCGGAGCCTTGCATGGCTGCGATGGTAGGCTTTCGGCATCGATGGATGGCTAGGGCGAGACGGCCTCCTCTGGAGTGTTGTTAGTCACTCTGCATCGTCATCCCCATCAGGTGAACTTCAGTAAATGAGAAAGCAGTCTCACGTATCGCGATGGTCCATAACCCTCTCCTTCTCGCCCTTGAATCCGCGCTCGAGATCTGCGCCCGCGCAGAATATCTTCCCGGCGCCGGTCAGCACCACGACCTTCACTCGTTCATCTACGTCGAACATGGGGTAGATCTGTTCAAAGTCGTCCATCATCTCGATCGTGAACGCATTGTGCTTTTCTGGTCTGTTCAGCGTCACCACGACCACCGGCGTAGCCTCGGGGCTGCCAGCCGGATGATGCGAGACTTTGACATGGGTAAGGGGGAGAGATTCGTAGGAGGTTGGAATAGCAACGGGGAGTGGATTTGCAATCATCTTTGTGGTAAAGAACTGTGATGTTTTGTTTTGTTCAAATCAGAAGAGTAGAAGGGGTTTATATCTGGGGAAAATCCGGGGTGCTCCTCGGTTCTCCACTCGGATGAGAATATCAGCGTTCACTAATCATATTTTGGCGGGGTTGGAAGTATTGAGCTGTTGGTTGATTTGATCTGCAGATGTATGGATGAACGAGTCATATGAAATATACTTGATTATAATATCATTTACCAAATTTGGTAAAGTAAGATCGTTTAATCAGGCTCTCAAAATGATACAGACACTGATTGAGTATAGAGCAGAACAACGCAACTACAACTTCGAAAACATCGTCTCCCTCTGCGCCCTGACATCCAACTCCTGAGTCCAGGTGCTCCTCGGCTGCTTATGCAGATACCAATACACCTTGGCCAAATCATCCGGCTGCATGAGATACCGATCCTTCTCCTGCAACTTCCCCGTCTCGCCCTCCTCCTCCCACCTCTTCCTGACCACCGACCCAATAATATCACTCTCAACCGGCCCATCCACAAGCACATGGACCGCATGGATGCCACTCGCCTGGAACTCCCTCGCAACAATCTGAGCCAACGCCCTCAACCCAAACTTCCCCGGCGAGAACCCCCCAAGGCCAGGGCTCCCTCGAATCGACGCCGTGGCGCCCGTGAAAAGGATAGTTCCCTTCCCCGCTTCCAACATATCCGGAATGACGGCCTTGGACGCATAATACGCCCCAAGCATATTAATCTTCAGAAAATCCTCAAACTCCGCCGACGGCGTCTCCACCAGGTTTCGCCCACGAATGCGTCTCGAGCCAGCGTTATACACGAGGACATTAACTTTGCCAAGCTCGGACCTGATGGCCGCGAAGGTGGCGATGATGGACGATTCGTCGCGCACGTCGGCGACGTAGTATTTTGCGCTGTGCACGCCGTGGGCGGCGCGGATGGAGTCCTGGATGGTGACGAGCTTGGACTCGGTGCGCGCGATTAGGGCTACCGAGAAACCTTTGGCCGCGAAGTGGCGGGATACGGATTCGCCGATACCTGGGCCGACGCCGACGACGGCGAGGACAGGGCGGTTTTGGGGGTTCAAAGTCATGTTTGTTGCTAATGAGAGGGATGAGGGTTGATGATTGATGAGGATGAATGTGGGGATGAAGAGATGGTTAAGTATGAAGTTGAGGTGGTTGGCGATGACGATTTCCTTAGCCGAGGCTAGGTTGATTAGTCAATTCGGGGATTTGTCGAAGGTCGGCGATGGGATTAGTCGTTTGTTGAGATACCCCTGATAAACTCTTACCGACGATGGCTAGTATTGGAAGTAAGGGAAAATTGAATAGAGGGGGTACTTTCAGTCCAGGGTCAAATAGTTAGGGCTTAGTCTGTTCGTTGGCAAGTTCGTCTATGATGTCAACGCTTATGAACGGGACCGAATAGCAATATTGAAAAACCATATAACAAAACAAAGGTTATATCTGTGAAACTGACTATAATGCAACATGGAATATCAAACCCACTTTAAACTCTCTCCCTCAACTCAAGCTGCTGCCTCACTACATCTTCCACCTGCGCCTCCATACCCAAGAACTCCATACCCAACTCCCTCCTGGCCTTTCCCGCATCAACACTATACGACTTCGCCTTCTCCTGCACGTCCTTCCATCGCAACGGGAAACCAGGGAACTCCTTCCTCACGAATGCCTCCACCTCAGCCCAGGTGCTCTCCTCCGCCGACAACAGATACGACTCGAATCCGGTGATCATGTCATCCAGCGCCTTGACATGCGCATCGGCGACATCCCGCACATGAACGCCCCGATACTGACTCATGAGCGGCTTCTCCGCAGCTAGCGTCTGGAACAGCATGCCGTTCGTGCCGCCCAGCTCGGCCGCAGAGTCTTGGACCAGACTGCGTCCGAAGACGAAGACGGGGTGCAGCGTGACGACGTCGAAGGACGGGCGATGTTCGGCCACGAAGTCCAGCGTGGCTTTGTACGAGGCGAGTTTGCTGGCGTGATACTGGCCTTGTGGGTCCATAGAGGGGACCTTTTCGGGGTCGACGGTGTAGTCGATCTCGTTTGTTTCTATGTGTATGGTTAGCAAGAGATCCACGCTCGGGGCATTGAGCGAGAAAGGTAGGGCAAGAAAACGAACCCCGAATAACATCCAACTTGTCAATTCCGCCCAACGAGACCAACGACAAGACACTCGCCGTGATAATAACCTTCTTGACCGACGGAACCTTGGCCGCAGATTCCAAGATTGACACCGTGCCGCGAACCGCGGGCGTCAGAAGATCCGCAGCACCACCCGGTAGGGGCGACGCGACGTGCAGAACATAGCGCACATCCTGGAGAGAAGCATCGAATGCCCCTGAGGCGGTGATGTCGGGCACAATGGAGAAGTCGAGTCGGTGGGGAGCAAGAACTCGGCGCAGCTTGTCGGCTTGATCGGGCCGACGGACGACGAGACGCCCTCGGTATCCCGCGTTCAAGACGTGCAGGGCGACTTGGGAGCCGATGAAGCCAGTGGCTCCGGTGATCAGGACGAGAGACATGGTAATTGTCGATGAATGGATCTGTGGCAAATACAATAGTGTATAGAAAATAATCGGGGATGTTGACTGGAAACACGGCGGACTAAATACCCACATAGTCGAGTCACGATGGAAGAAAAGCTGACAAACGAGTGTCGAAGATGGTGGAACCGGAAGATGGATTGTAAATCATTGCGTTTGGACTTTCATCTCACTGTGGTTGGAGCAAGCTCAACGCGGTTGGAATGGGATCAGGCCGCGTGAACCGATTAGGAAATTGGTTGAATAACGGCAGATGCTGATATAAGACATACATAAGAATTCCGTGCTCGACAGTACCAGCAGTTTGTAGACATAAATCCAGTTCACTTGCCAGAGCAGATGTTTAATAATCAAAGAATCACTAATCAAAAAATCTAACCAAAACACGGGGATGAGGTCATCAATTAGGGTGGCCACCCACACCCACAAGCTTAATTCTTTGGACCCTGCATTGACGCTTTATGATTAGTGATACTGATCCCGATTGTGCCTCGGATTCTCTGGATGGTGCTATAGTATATAGGAATGATATAATGTGCTTATCCGCATCGCACTCCGTAATAGCGCGGAGATCATTTAACCTTATTCTTACTCACTGGATCTTTGTGGCTCTTTTAATGGCAACCCTCCGCTCGACCATACACTACTAAGCGAAACCGAGACGATCTCTTCGGACCACCATTACAGAAAGCCCAGTTCCGCATGAGACAATAAGGTCGAGCAGCAGACCGACGGAGAGGCTAAATGGAATCCCGGTGATTGGGAGAATTGCACGACCGGTTGGGCCTGAGCAATGAGACACGTACGACCCTAGCCTGCTCTAGGCACCGAATCCGCATCGCCGCGTGGGCAGAATGATATAATGGCAACTGCATAACGCACTGCCAAAAGAAATGGGAGGGCTTCTGCGATGAGTCGACAAAACGCTTGATACAGACGGGAGCCAGCGCAGAATATAGGATGGTGTGAATCACAGGAAGATGGGTGAGAGAATGGAGAGCTTTAGGTTCAATTTCTTGCTGTCGAAATATTAAATGAGGCATGCCATGCCCGTTACTATGTCAAATTGTAAATATCAACAGGCCAGCCCATAATAAGAATCGTAACGTCATTAGTCATTGAGATTTTCAAGGCAAACTCAAGCCCACATTGCGGCGCGAAGGGCCTTTTCAACGTCGCGACGGCGAAAGCCCGGTGTGCGTCCTAAACAGAGCGCTTTGTTTATTAAAGCTGTTTCTGTTAGCGCGGTTCATGTGTAGGAACAAGAAAGAAAGCTCACCTGGTATGAAACGTGTGACATTGATAGACAGTGGCGACGGCTTTGATTCCGGCCGAGAAACGAACAACTGCACATTCTTTTCGCGAAGGAACCCCTCGAGGTCCTGGATGTCAAACCAATCTCCGTCCAGCTCCTCTTGGAACTCTGGCGGGACACGGGACAGTGGGTCCTGCACAGTTTCCCATCTGTTGTAACGAAGTGGATACAGTTCTAGGGCCGACTTTTTAGGGGAGGATCGAGGATAGTGTGATCCCGCACCACCCAGAAAGAAGAAAGGGACTTCTCTCCACTCGTCTAATCGGCTCTGGCCTACCTTGGCGTGTAGCGCAGCCTGGAAGAATGATACCATGCGTGTTCGATCCATGACTGTGAAGAGTAATCGGAAGGGTCGTCTCAAACGATCCATCGAAACTGCAGGGTTCGCGAGAACCAGATACGCCTGGTAGAGACACGCCATGTGCAGGCGTTCCATGAATGCAGACAATTCCATGTGAGACATGACGATGTTCTCCGACGGCGACGAAGTTTCGGAGTTTGTATGCGGAGAGCACACATAGTCCTTTACCTCTGACAGTGCCGGGGACAGCGGGTTCGACTTTAGCTCCGGGGGGATGGAGTGGCCAGTGCTTTGTCCGGACGAAGACTGCGACTTCTCGCTACCAGGCGACAATTCGGGAAGATCGTGATCCTCGCTCGCCTCTTTGGCCAGATCCAGACATGTCTGGACCGTCTCACGCAGATGCCCAGTCAGATCGGCATGTGAGGCCAAAACGCCGGACTGAACGAGTTCGTCACTGAATGAGATCACCGTGGTACTCATCTTCTCGACAGCCGATTCCAACTGAGCGATGCGACTTTTGAGGGATGAAATATTGGCTTCCTTACGGGATCGGTATGCGCGCTGGGCTAGGCGAATTTGCATGCGACGTCGCTAAGTTCAACCCCATCAGTGACAAGTCTAGAGAGTAACACGAAATTCAGAGCTAACACACTTCTTCCGGATCCTCGCCCAACTGACCCTCCATGTTCTTGCGCGGTCGACCGCGCTTTCTCGCCGACGCCTCCGTGGTGGTCGTCTCGGTGCGCTGGCGTTTAGGTTTCTTCTTTGGTAGCTCATTGGGCTCTGGAGGAGGCGTAGGATCGGACAAGATTCGCCGCGGTGCGGGGATCTCGCGAGGGACGGGGGTTTGTCGAGCTTGGTTATCGAGCTGATAGTTGCCATATAATGGGACCTGCGCATACGGGTCGGGCACGCGCTGCCCTTGCGCGTAGAAGGATTCAGGAACGGGATATGAGGAGGCCGAGAGCAATGATGTTAGATTCGAGGTAACCAGGGGACCGTCGACAAATGACGGACGATGACGGGGAGACAGCAAGAGCTTCTGATAGACCTCATCCCAAGGCAGCAGCGGGCCATCGGAGTCGGAGGTCCCGTCATACTGCTGCAGCGACATGGCGCCGTCCATGGGGACGAGGGAGGTATTCGGGTTCATGTGAGCTGGGCTGAGATGAATGCGACGATGCGACGATGAAGGACAGATCGCAGAGCAGGAGAACAGAGCAAAGGGCCAGGCAGACGAGCTTGACGACAGCGGAGGAACGATGGATTCACGCCACAACGGCCGGCGTTAACGCATCGGGCTATCCCCGATCCTGCCAACCTTATCTTATGCTTGTATGTGTCAGCTATGCTTCAATTATGTCTGCATACAGGTTCCACTAGATCTATTCGGGAAGTGCCTCGGCTCGGGATGTTCACTAATCATTTTCCATCGTGAAAATTTCGATTTTATGATTACTGATCCCCCCTTAAAAGAGGGTCCAGGTCCAGATGACTGCCATGACATGACCGGAATGGCTCCAGATTACTGACACAGGAGGACTGAGACTCTGAGTTTACTTTGTTCTTCATAAATCGCACCATAATGCTTGTGCTGCCAGCATCTGCTGTCTACTGTGGGTCCGACGATTGTTAGAGACTAAAATAGTGCATTGGACCCTTAAAATAATTGTATAATTCTCTCCTTGTGCACGACAACAGTCTACTGTATGCGGGTTTTCGCGGCTTCAATTCGAGATGCCACTTGCGCATGTGACTGCGCAATACGGATGCCAGATATCCCGGCAAAGATAGACTCAATCTCACTGCTATGCGGCATCTGATCATTGGCAGTCATCGCATTAATTTCTGTTTGGGGCTGCCTAAGGCAGGGTTCAACGATGAGAACCACTCGACACCGGCCTGGACCGTGGAAAACCCTCTACTTCAAGGTTGGGTCTAAGCTTCCAGTAAACCCTGCTTGTCGATAGTCCCCGACCGAGTATATCAGCAAGCAGAAATTAACTGTAAGTCTATTGTGACAGCAGATGCATGTACTAAGTAGTAATGCATTTTAGAGTCCTGCATCAACCCATTTCAGGGCTTGGTGGAACCCGTGACTCCTTGACAGCACACCATGATATATGTGCTAGACTCACACCCAAGGATTTGATCAAAAATGAACGGATTGAATCATAGAACAAGAACATACATTAGCACCCACAATTAAACCCAATTATTCTCCAAAACCTATTTACTCGGCCCGAAAATATTCAATCAGACGAGAAAGATCCTCCTCTCCATGCCCATCACTCACAGCCCTCTCCAACAACCACATGATCGGAAGAATCATCTCAGATGAAACACCTTGATCATCTCCAGCCGTGACGATAGTTGGGATCGAAGCCAACTGCATCCCCAGATTCGAGTCCCGCGTCGCATAGTCCCCGTCGTCAATCTGCTTAGCGAGCACCCCAAGATAATGCGTCATATCAGTGAGCCACGGAGCAAGAAGGGGTATAAACTCCGTGGCTGATGGATCGTCTTTAACCACTGTGGTGTAAGCACCCAGAGTCACGGAGCTTCTACAGCCAGTACGGTGGCTTCTCTGAATAAATTGAAAATACATCGTCAACTTGCACACCAGACAGCCAAATATCGACCAATCATACACCTGCACCTCAAGAAGCTGTATGTACAGGCAACTAAGATAATGGCTCATCGTCCCATGTGTCATCATGCTTAGGTTTAATATTTTGTTCGACCCATAAAGTGGCCTTTCTCTGCGATATCTCTGTGCCATCTGCGTCTGTGTATCGGTGGTCAGGGTCGTATTTGAACAATATATGCCCACGAGCAGTTCGATCGAGAAGGGGGCTGTCCTTATCCAGAGCCTTGTATTCCAGGTCGATCCAGCGCCCTGGCTGCCCAATTGCTGGAATGATTTCAATCACGATCTCCTTAATTTGATTCCATCTTCTCTCGTAATACTCCTCAAATATGACCTGTCTGTCTTCGTCGGGCTTAAAGTTATCCGCAGGCGCATTGGGATGCATCAGATAGGCTTGAACATGATCATTGTCAAAAGGACCGGGTTTTAGCTTTTTCTGCTTTGTTCCAATGCCATCTCGAAGCCCTCTGACAACACTTTCCTCGAAAATGTCCCTTCCTATGCGACGGTAATATTTTTCCCAATCCTCATCCGGCGCAAAGGATATATTCTCCCAGTAGTGAGCCATATAAACTGCTTCCCTGCTGATGATCACTAGCACAGTACATCCGCAAAGTCCGCTGGTCCCAATACTGATGGATTTGTGATCTTTAAACTCCTCGTAAATGGCGGTGTCGAAGTGTTCTGGCTCGCCGGAAACCATTCGGTGCCAAATCAATTTCTGGGTGACATCCACTATCTCATCTCTCATGAACTCATCCATAGCTTTCTTACTGTTTCGATTCGGCGGAGGTAGAGTCATGGTTCTCGCGACGAGCGTGCGATTGCTATCGAAGGGCTCATTGAAAGCACGCTTCTGCTTGGATTCGGACTGCTCGAGCGTTGGAAAAGAACACTTGAGTCGTGCAGCTGTAGAGGCATCGTCGCGTTTGCGTTGAAATCTTTCAATGACATTGTCATCATAGGGCCCTTGTTATGCCTATTAGCCTGATGCACATACTTTACAAAGAAACAGAGGCCTACCTTGAACAGCAGTGCTGTGGACTCCATGCAAAATGGCAAGAATCGCCAGTATGAATGTAAACCGCATGTTGGACACAGGAGTTCCACACAAGTTCCGCAGTCCAGGCGACGAGACGTTAGAAAACGGATTAAGGACTTTACTAGAGTATATGAAGTCTCTCTCTGTGGTGGGATCTGAAGACTGGAAGTATAAGGTGTAGATGATGAAGGGTGGAATCCGCCTTCAAACGAGGCTTTTATAGCTATGCGTACTGTGCCTAGTGAGAGCCTTGTAAACTCGCAAGCGCACAGCTTCCTTGCACGTTCTCTACCGCCAGCCTCCCGAGAGCTTCCAAATCAATTGCACATGCGTCAATACACAGTCCAACGGCGCTAAAAGAAGACAAAGAAGTGGCCTGTCTAATTATGGCACTTAGGGCAGCATTGCCCCCGTGCCAAGAACGTGATACCCTTGTCCCTGGCGCGTCCGTGCCTTGACTTCTCCGCTTCCGCTTCAGCCCACTACATCTTTCTCCCTGCCTACCACTACCTACTCGATTACCCCGCCTCCGAAATAGCTCAAACAATACCTATTTTCAGAAACGAAGCGCCGGTATAGACTATGGACTTAGAAGAACGCCTGAGGGCAGCCTGTGCGGATGGCAACGCCGACAAGGTACGGGAAATTCTGGAGTCTGGCCAAGACATACCCCAGAAGTGTTTGGACAAGGCTCTCGGCACAGCTGCGTTCAACGACCAGCCTGAAATTCTGAAAGAGCTTCTTGAATATGGCGCTCAAATCACTGAACTCGCCGTTATCGGTGTTTCGAATTCGGAGAGTGCTCCGATGTTCCAGCATTTACTGAACCATGGCTGGGATGTAAATTCAATCGCGTCACAGAACCCAGCTCTGAGGTATCACCTATTCCTTCCCGCCCAAGAAAGGTTTGAGCGAAGAAACAAAGATTGGAAGAATAACGCAATCTGCAGGCTCGTCGTCACAAGCGAAGAGTGTACGCGCCTGCTGCTGGAGAATGGCGCGGACCCGAACATCCCTGGAAGACTGGGTCTTACGCCTCTGTCGACAGCCATTGGCCACGCAACAGTGGCAGTCATGGAGCTGCTTGCTGCATATGGAGCGAGGTTGCCAAGTGGTAGACTTGGAAAAGACCTTTTATTGAGTGCAATACAACGGAAAGAGGGAGCCCTGGGCGCTACAAAGTTCCTTCTGGAGCATGGAGCTGACCCTAACCTGTCAACTTCCCGTGGACCTCCATTGTATCTTGCAATCGCGATGCACAAAAAGGAAGTTGTTTCCTGCTTGTTGGATTACGGAGTGGATGTGTCAATGGTCTATAGAGGCAAGGCATTCACGCAATTAGCAGAGGAAATGGGCCAGATGGATATTGTTTCCCTCTTAGCGGCGAAGACTGACACGGCCTCACTTCCCTTGGGGTAAAGGCAAGCCTCGGAGTAGCGTCTCTCTCTCTCTCTCTATCTTAGTTTGGCCACCCATTCATGTTTTTGTTGCTGCTCTTGCTCCTATCCTCCTTTTTTCGTTGGTCCTCCTTGTATTGCTTTTGCCTGAAAATGGAGGCCTAGTGCCCTCGCTCAAATGCTGTGCCGCTGCCCTTGGCATCGCTCGCTGCTCCCATCCAGCTGAGATTACAGGGTTACAACCTCTTTGCCCATTGCCCTAGACACGCAAAGCCTAATCGTGCGTTTCAGAATGTAACCTCGACCAGTGGCCTAGTCCTGGTCAACGAAGCATGTGCAACAGCAGGGAAATTAGACCAACTCGTAACTAGGATTTCTACTGGCTATCGATGGACATATTCTTGGATTCGACAGACCCCTCCCAGTTAGTTCTAAATCACCTTGGGTGATTGGGTAGTGTAACAACAGTTGCCGCAGCTCTCGTGCATGGAGGCTTGCCGCGGAGACAAGGGTCCTCAGGTCCAGCAAGGCTGAGAGCGCGAGTAATTGAACTGGTCGGAATCAGAGCAGTAATTCCCCGATGCAGGGATTAGCTGGCCTAGACGGACTGGATTAAACGCCGTGGCCTGATTCTGCCTTGTTCCAGTTGGTGGGAACAGGGATAGCTAGTATCTTGCCCGGAAGGCTGTGCCTGGAATGCCACTTCCCAAACATCCCAGTCCATCAATATACAGCCATCGAGAGAAGAGAGCGGTTCTAAAGTGGATATGATGGGCCACTAAAAATAGCGGAGTCCAGGCTAGATTCTTGGATCATATCGGACGTTTGAATGGGAAGAGATAGGCCAACAGTGCTACCTTTGAGACACACTTGTGACGAGCAGTATGGATTTATCGGGACTCTATAAGAGGCATTCGTTATCCCTGGCTGTAATTTAGTTGTGAATCAGCTTTCACTTGCAATATCTGCTATCTGTCTTCCCATATAGCAAAATGCGTCCTTGTAGCCTTTTGGGGCTGCTTTTGTCCGTCGTTTCTGTTTCCAATGCCGACCCGGCAACCCTTTCGATTGGCGACCTTGCCCAGTACTCGGCGAAGGCGGTAAGTACTCGATGGCTATTCCGCCAGGAACATACCTAGCTTATTCTCAATTTAGAAGGAAACATCGCCCTTGGCTGGAAGGGCCCTTGATATCAGGGACACGGGGAATTCCGAGGATGGGGTAGACGTTTACTTCTCTTCGGAACTCCAGGATGAAGTGAAAGAGGTCATCAAGGACCACTGTAAGGAAGTAGACAGTGACTGTATTGTGTCTGTTCAGGGTGTGGTAGGAAGTCCAGACACCAAAATCGAAGCTCGCCGAAAACCTCTACTGCGTGGTAGCATCTTCGGTGCTATTGTGGCATTGTTGTGCACGCTCTGGCAGGGGCAGAATCAAGACGCACCGCCAATCAACATCCACATGCCTTCCCAGATAATGAACTCAATGTCGGCTGTTGCCACTGAGACGGTTGTGGTCCTGGTTGGGCCGTCTGAGACACCAACTGTCACTATCACTCAAGCGCCGGCACCCACCACTGCAACTGGGTAAGTACAATGGCTCTTGTTCAACAGTACTCGTTATATCCCTAACGATACATCGTGATATAGACCTCTCCGGCCTTCCTTCACTAAATTTTCTTCGTCCGAGGGCGAGCATGCCAAAGGCGACATGATAATATCTCTGCCAGACAGGATGGTCAACAACATAAACAGTCACATGAGTCTAGTCTGGCAGGGATGTCCCGATGGAAGGGCATACGACAAAGAAAAGTCCCGTCGGCGACTGGAGGACTACAGTTCTGTTATATGCGGCGCGGAGACTATACTCAAAGAAGCCAACCCCCGTGGCGTGTTTGTAGATCTCCTTCTCGTCCAGGCTCACCCGCGTCTAGAATGGACGGCTGGGGACGCCGTCCGGGCTTTGAACGTGGTGCTTGCATTTGCCCGTAACCGCGCGAACCATATGGATGTGACTTATGAACAGGCAGCTCAGGTGGGCCATGTTGCATTTGCACTAGCCTGGGAAGTCTTTATCAACGGCCAGCAATTAACCACGCATAACACCATTTCCGCCGGGGAACTAGACGAAGCAAACACAGCATCATCATGCTCCACAAAGACGGCCAACGACTGTGCCGTGGGATGCTCTGTACGGGCAAACCTTGCAGTCTGCCACACGACATGCACCAAGACAACAGGATGCAGCGCGACAGGCACGATTGCCACAACAACTGTTGAGCCTTGGACGCTCGCAGCACCAAGTCAACCTACCACGACAGTCACGCCAGAGCCCTCATGTGACATGGATGAGTCGTCCGGCCTGCCTGCCAATATTTTCAATGGCATATATGACTCCTTCTGCGACGAGGTCGACGGATTCAGCAATCCGGCCTGGGTCGTCGACATGGAAGGCAATCGAAAAGACAAAGATTTAGAGCCGAGGACACCACCCGCGAACCCGAAGAATTATGAAGAATATCGAGCAGTTCTGAGCTTTGAAGCCAGCCAGAAGGTCTGGGGTTGCTCGCTAAGTTGCATGGATACATACAAACTCTTTAGCAACAGTCCATGTAAGTCAGATATCTATCACTATATACCACCCCATGAATGGGATTACTAACCAATTCTAAACTAAAATAGGCGGGCGTACTGCAGGGCAACAGAATGCCATGGCTCGCAAGGGATCTGTGGACGTCGGCTGTGGTACATATTCCTATGAAATTCAGAGCCACGGAGGGTCGTGTCTTGATACTGTTGGAGTGGCAGGTCTCCTTAATGTGCCTGAATGCATGTCTGACAAGATAGTTTGAATGGTCTGTAGATTTCATCTCCTGTTATTCATCTATTCAAGAGCCCTTGAATTTCAAATTGAACAGATAAAGCCAAAGGAGCAATTCAAAAATATGCTCCACGTTCAATAATAAGAATAAACCCAGACAGTCCTTCGATTGATACAATGTGATCTTACATAGCTTGAGCGCTACCTACACACAATGACATTCCCAAGTGGACATGAAAGACCAAGAAATCTCTGAAGTCTCATCGATCTGATTCCTCCAATTCAAACCAGGTTTTCTATAACTTCCTACCAGGAGCCTTTAGTGACTATTTGAATCGAATGGGTGGTTAGTTATCACCAAGTCGACTTCTATATCCTACGAAAACGGACTAGCACCGCGCTCTCCCAAAACCAACTCTCATCTTTTCATATCTAATTCTTCTTGTGGTTTTCCTTTGGTATACCTACCCTCTCGTTCCCGTTTCCGGTTTTGTTATGCGAAACCCTCTGTTTTGTGTTCATTTAACTCCAACAAGGCATTCTGGGCCAGGGTCCAAACGTTCACGACAAAAGATATAGGGTTGAATTGTAAATATAACTACAGAACATCAACAGGAACATCAACAACCTTATCCCGAGTATAATCTGCAAACCCCTTCCCAAACCCGTCCAACCGACTAGAACTACTAACTCCCCTTCCCAGAATGCCATAGATGACAAAATGTACAGCCTGTATGCGCGGAAATTCAACACGCTCGATATGATATTCGTCCCTCCAGTCCTGACCCAGAAGGTTCCTCATCCTGGCAATACTCATATACGAGCGCAGCCAGGACCACTGCTCTTTGGCTTTGGGGAATATTCCAAAATTGAGGTTTCCGCCTTTGTCGCCGGAGCGGGCGAGGGTGATGTCGCCGAGACGGAGGGATTTGGAGTCTCCGGTAAATGGCACGGTGTGGTCTGGGTCGTAGCTTTCTCTTCCAGCAAGGGGCTTGTATTGTCGAGGATGGCCGGTATCGAAAGAGACTGTTTTATTTCCCTCCAGGAGATTAATTGATTCGGTGAGGTCAGACTGATTGACAAGAGCCGGGTAGTATGCTAGGAATGGGCGTGGGATAGAGGTTCGGGTGTCTAGAGTAGTATGGAAACCTGTGATTATTAGCCAAGGACGTTAGATCGATTTATTGGGGGACAGGCCAGTCTGTACCGGAGAAGTGCTTGAGAGAAATATCTTTCATGGCCTTGGATACTGCAGCGACAGGGCCTGCGGAGCGGGAAGCACTGAAGATCCGGAGATAAGTAGTGCTTTCACTTTGACAAACGGGATTGAGGGCAGGGACGCCGATTCTAAAGATGAACAATTAGCATACAGCGTGAGATTTTGGGTGAGAAAGAACCATCGTGACTTGCCTTTGGAACTCAAGCGTTTCAAGCTCGTCTTGCACGTCGCGTGGAAGAAAATAGCGGATTTGCCGCTCCAGAAGATCCCATTTCTGAGACGTGGCATACCCAGTGGCATTGAGAAGCAGCTCAGCTTCGTACCCTCCTCGATAGAATACAGCAAGCTTCGTGGTAGGAGATGGTGGAGACCCAGTGACTCCAGATACGCGGACCCTAGCCTCGTGAGTGAATCTCCGTAGTTGTAGTTTGTGTAGATACGTACCGGTCGACTGCCGCTTCCTCAACGGTGATATCGCCAATGTGCGCAGTGACATCGCTGTTCAAGTAGATATTCCCCTGCAACTCATATAGGAACTGACACCTCACGGTATCGACATTGACCATGCCTTGAGTACCCTCATGCTTTGTGATAACGCAGGTGCCATCCGCTTCAATTTCCGCGATAGGGAAACCAGGGGCAACGAGGTTTTCTAAGGGGTACTGGTCGAATCCTGCAAAGTTGGAACCGGTCACATATGCCGAACATTCAATCAGATGACCCGCGATTAAAGCTCCCGCCAGTCGATCATAGTCCGTCTCTGTCCAGTCGTGCCAGAACCAAGCGGCAGCGACGACTGGGCTGGCATCGGAGACACGTCCACAGATGATGATATCTGCGCCGCGGCGGAGTCCGTCCACAATACCGCGGGCACCAAGGTATGCATGTGCAGACACCATAGGAACAGGTGCCAATTCGGGGTTGTTCAGAAAGGCGAAGGTCAAATTAGAGAGGACCACAGCGGGATTTCCAGAGTCAAGATGCAGGAGTTCCTCTTTTGATCTAGGCATATTTGGTCCGAGACGATCGTACAAATCATCCCCTGTTAGGTATGTCACACGAAGATTCAGGTCCTTCTCCGAGACCTGCGAGGGATCAGTAACTGGCTATCAAACATCCGAGCAAGCAACTGACCAGATCCTGCACCCTTAATGCTAGAGCCTTCGGGTCTAACGCTCCCCCGTTGATTACAACCTTGATGCCTTTCTGAGCAATCACGTCGATCGTCTGCTGAATACCGGCCCATGCAGTCTCTTCGTACCCGGGGTGCTGTCCAGCCCTCCAGGCCTGCGCATTGTTGGCCATATTTACCTCTCATTGAATTAGCACCTTGGCCCAGTGATGTAAAAGAGAATTATAGATTCAGAAATACCGGCCAGGTAATCTCCCGTGATGAAATCCACATCTCCCAGAGTCGCCTGACGATACATTTCATACGAAGGGTCGCCTATTTTGTTCACTCTTTAGCATAGATCAACCCTTTTGGTGCCAAGGTACAAACCATAATATCCGGAGCAGTTTGCTACCCTCACCGGGCGTTTCTGCGAGGTATCGGCCATATTTTTCTCGGTTATGCTCAATGAAACCTCCAGTATGGACAGTTGAGGCCGGATCAGACTTGAACCAAGGACTTTATACACGGCCGTAAAAAACCCCCACAATTCTCTGACGCCCCTCAGAGATCGTCATTGACCCGGAACTCCAGGGCTTCTGCTTCGTCGACTCCTTTTTGGTGGTTCGCGATGTCGTTGGCGGACCGGCTTTTCCGTAGGCCTCGGGGAAATAAATCCCACGGCGCCGGGGAATTTCGTAGATACACCCTAGGTACTTCCTTCCTCTTTTTGGAGAACTTAAAATCTCCTGACGTCCGTGAAGCAAGTGCTACCTTGTGCAAACCTGAAGCAGCCATCTTTGACATTTCATCCATTTTATGGAGTTGGTTGGCTCTCACATCACACTTGGGCTTCCAGAACGCAAGCAGGAACTATGGCTCCCTCCTACAAAACCATCCCCGGCACCGATATCTAAAACCTAGGGACTTACATTGACAAGAACCCTCTCCCGGTCTCCGAAGGTGCAAATCGAGTGTTTCAATACCTTGCCTCTCACACGCCCTTTTTCAATCAAAATAAGTCAGTATGGGACACGGTCCGTTTTAAAGGACAGCCGGATCCGATGACTCCTGGCCCGATCAAAGCCCCGGTGGTGGCGGCTGCGTTGCACGCGATGTGTGGTATCGTCACCAACGAGCTGCTTAAATCACGCGATGGAAAGCCCTAGAACGATAGCCGCGTCACTGTCAGCAGAGACCACGTCTGGCTTTGGCTTGGATCAACGTTCACCACCTCGATCAGCGGGTCAGATATCTCGACTCTCGCGCGATCGGGCAAGCCGGGCTCTCTGTTCGATCGGGATTTCGAACAAGGGTTTGAAAAGGACATTGCAGGCCGAACAACGACCATCTATCAGACCACGGATCCAAAGGTTTGGTACCAGCTTCATGGGTCGTTAGACGCCAAGAAGACGCTCGAGTCTATGGGAATCGACAGCTCCGTCACATTCAGAACTCCAAGGGAGTACTATGACTATATTCAGAAGTACGTTCGTTAATGGATCCCTGACGAGCTCGAGATGCATAATGTGCGGCATGATCTCTGCTCCTATGCTCTATACATGTAGTGGAGTTATAAATATGCTTTTCTTTGTAGAAGCCCCCTTCTCATACCGGTGCGTCCAAAGGCTACGCCTAGTAGGTTTACTAGCGGTTCTGATGGATAGTTCTACAGAATGCTTTTTCACATGAAAGAGAAGAGAAATAATCAAAGAATGTCGTGGTCCAATATACGGTCGGAAATACCGTTGCCCAACCTGCCAAACACGTGCTCCTTCATGCCCTAGATAGGTATAGAGTCATATGTCTGAGAGAAGATTACCTCAAAGCTCAATCACAGGTTTGCGGACTTCAACAGATAAATCAAAAGCGAAGACCAATTACTAGTGGAAATCCAGTCGTTCATTGTTCATCATAAGATGAGAAGTATCTTGTTAAAATGGTCACAATCGCTTTTGCTGGTGGCTCGCAGGGCCTCGGGAGCATGCTCGTGCAAGGTCTTGAATCTGGAAGTCAACGACATTCACACTAGCCATAGACAATGGCGGTGGCGAGTCTCAGATGAACCTTATCGAAGCTGCCGAACTGTCCAAATCAACCCACAGGTTCAGGCCCAGTGAATTTGGCATTGTGTATAAGGAGAAGTATGTGTGCTACCACGCGTGAGTACATCCAAAAGTTCGTAAGAAGCTAACCAGATCTTCCAAGATCTAATTCGACGCATAAACTCCCCTCGACATAACTATTTCTTTGCGAACCGGACCAGCAACCGCATAGCCAGGCCAGTCAGTCCGAAGTTTCGTAAACCAGAAAACGTGAAAAGAAAACACTACCAAATGCATACTTTCTAGACAAATGAGGTAGGAAAATTCCCACCGCCAATACATTTACGAGGAAGCCGAGCACAGAGCAAGATAATAAAGTATCAATATCGTTCATTGTTCATCATAATGTGAGGGGTATCAAGTAGTAATAGCCTTTCCAAGGCATCCAGGCATCCAAATAGCCTTCCCAAAACCCCGTTTGTAACGCCCATATTGTTTGGTATACCCATCCCAAATCCAAATCCATGTCCATGTCCAAAAGAAAAGAAAAAGAAAAGAAAAAATCAACGCCAAAGGAAAGAAATAGAAAGAAACACGCCAAAAGAAAAACAAACCAAAAAACCAAACGAACGCAACGAACGCCACACACACAACACACAAAACACAAAACGCACACAACACACACCACACGTAAACCATGAAAACATAGTATACACACGGTACAACCACATACATAACACATAACGAATTCGTAGAATTCATAAGGAATAAGGAGATTCATCTAATCTATCGTGCGGAACATTTCTAAGTTCCCTCGCGAGAAAACTACGCGGTGTATGTAAAGAAACTGCATAACTTTTAAACATCGAATGCCGGGAAATTCAGCAACGCAAGTCAAACAACGCAGAAAACGGGGTCATCTGCCATGACACGGATATCAGGGGACTTTCATCATGTACAAAAGATCCCTGAAATGACCTAAGGCGCCATAATCAATGCAAGCAGAGCCATGCGACAGTAAAGGCCATATCTCATCTAGATAGAAGTTAGTATTGCCATGAACAATTTCAGGGGAAGAGGGGGGAAACTAACCTGGCGGAAGTAAGCGGCCCGCTGGTCGAAGTCAACCTCCTCAGCAATCTCTGCATTTCTGGGCAGAGGGTGCATCACGACCATGTGGCTCTTGGCATGCTTGAGAAGAGCGTTGTCGATGATGAAGCTGTTCTTGAGACGCTCGTACTGCTCGAGATCGGCGAACCGCTCCTTCTGCACGCGAGTGGAGTACAGAACGTCGGACCGCGCAACGATCTCAGGGGTCAACTGCTCATACTCGACAACCCGCTGTCCGGAAGCACGGATCTGCTTGCGAACCTCCTCGGGCAGAGAGAGATCCTTGGGAGCAACCAGCTGGATGTGGACATCGTAGAACTGGAGCAACTTGATGAGCGAGTGGACCGTACGTCCGTACCGGAGATCGCCAGTGAAAGTGATGGTCAGACCAGTCACGGTTCCAAGTTCCTCACGGATGGTGAAGAGGTCAAGGAAGGCCTGAGTGGGGTGCTCCACGCTGCCATTGCCACCGTTGATGACGGGAACTTGCGAGAACTTGGCAGCAACCTCGGTGCTGGTCGGCTCGGGGTGGCGAAGGACGACGGCATCTCCGTAGCAGCCCAGGGTGCGGAGGGTGTCCTGCAGGGTCTCGCCCTTCTTGGTAGACGAGTGCTCGGTCGAGATGATGACGGTGCGACCTCCAAGACGCTGCATGGCGGCATCGAAAGAAGCGGAAGTCCGGGTGGAGGGCTCGTAGAAGAGGGTGCAAAGAACACGGCCCTTCAGGAGGTCAAGAACACCTTGACGCTGGACACCGAGGCGCATCTCCTGGGCGACAGTAAACAGCAGATGCAGATCAGCCCGAGTGAACTGATTGACGGAGAGGACGTGCTTCTGCTTGAAGGAAGACCGCGAGAGCATGTCAAGCAGAGACGACGACGCCTGGGGCACGGTGGGGTACAGAGGAGGCCCAAGCTCGGTCGGGGCTCCAACCTGCTCCAGACCCTTGCGAAGAGGGCGGCTAGGGGTACCGGAGATCGACAGGCGTCTGTCAGCCTGCTGCACCAGAGGCGACATGGCCTTGACGGAAGGAGACGCGGGCACGATGCGGTGTCCGGACATGTCGACACCCTTGGCGGCATCGGGAACGACGGTACCATCGAGACAAGAAGTCTTGCCCTGGAAGGTCACGCGCTGAACAGATCCTCTCACGTGCTTGCCGTTGAAAGGAGACCAGGCCTGAGGGCTCTGGTACAGGTAGGGACGGTCAATCTCGATCTCAACGGAGCTATCAGCCTGGTCGTGAAGCTCGAAGATCTTCTTAGGGTTCTCATAAAGGCGAGCAATGATGTCCTCAACGGTCAGGCGACCCTCGGAGACTGCGGTAAACAGCAAGGGCAGGGTCTCGGCGATACCAACGACGGGGGAAGCCTTGTCACCAGCCAGCTGGTAGGGGATGCTGCCGATGGAGAAGACGTCGATAGTGCTGAGGTGCTCCCACAGGGCCTTCTGATCTTCGGCGGAGGGCAGGAAGCTGCACTCCGGGAAGTCATCCTTGGAGAGGAAGAGGCAGAAGACGGAGACATCGCAAGTCACCTTGAGACCCTTCTCCTTGCTGAGCGCGATGAGGCCGATGTCCTCCTTGGAGGTCACACTCATGACGTGGATGTTGCGGCTGTGCAGACTGGCCAACAGCAGAACCGAGGCAAGATCAGTCGACTTGGCGTCGGTGATGATGGGCTTGCTGGAGGGCCATGCGGCAAAGTGGCTGGTGACCGCGGCGACCTTGCTGATGTTGCCAGAAAGGTGGTTGAAGGGAATGAAGAGGGATCCCACGTCGCCAGTCACCTGGCCGATCTGCTCCGAGTTGGTAGAGGTGGCCACAACCGAGAAGTTGAAGTCGCAGGACGCGTTTTGGGCGTTCTGCTGAACAACTCTCAAGGCGCGGGCATCCGTCACGGAGGCATCGACACCGGCGGGCATGACGCGCACCATGCTGAATCCGGCCGCGATCGAGGCCTTGGTCATGGCCTCGAAGTCCTTAGAGCCAGGCTTCATCAGGTCGGGCACGAATGCGGCAATGTTGATCAGTCCGGGGAGGATGATGGTGCGGTGGCTGGTCTGGTAGTCGATGGTGCGCACATTCAGGTCATAATGGCGGGCAATGGCCTCGATCAGGATCTTGGCGTTCTTGACGTTGGTCACCAGGGGAGTCTGGTAGTCAACGGCCATACGACGCGTCTGGTAACCCTTACTCATGTAGTTGGCAGGACGTCTGAAGCGGTTGTTCGATGGCAGGTTGATGTACAGGTCGATGAGGTTGTTGGCCAAGTGCTGAGTGAGAGAGTACTCCGACTTGATGTCCTCCTCCTGGCCCGGGAGAACCTCGAGGTACTTGACGGGAACACCGTTCTCCTTCAAGAAGTCGGCAGTACCGGCGGTAGCGAAGAGGTTGAACCCGATGCGGTGCAGCTTTTCGATCGAGGGCAGCATCTCGAGCTTCTCCTTGTAGGAACCAATGGAGAACAAGATGGCGCGCTTGGGAAGGCGGAAACCAGTAGACAGGAGCGCCTTCAGGTATGCCTCGTACTTATCACGACCGAAAGAAGCAACTTCTCCGGTGGAAGCCATCTCAACACCAAGGACGGGATCGGCTCCGGAAAGACGAGAGAAAGAGAACTGGGGCACCTTGACACCAACGTAGTCCTTGGGGATGTTGACGGGAGGGTATTCCGCGAACGGAGCGCCAATCATGGCCTTGGTAGCCATCTCGATCAGATCAACACCCATGACCTTGGAAACGAAGGGGAAGGATCGAGAGGCACGGACGTTGCACTCGATGACCTTGATATCGTTGTCCTTGGCAATGAACTGGATGTTGTAAGGACCGGTGACGTTAAGGGCATTTCCGATCTTTCTGGTGGCCTCCTCGATGCGGCGGACAGTCTCGGGGTCCAGATCCTGGGGCGGCAGAATCAAGGTGGCATCACCAGAGTGGACACCAGCATTTTCAACGTGCTCGGAGATAAAGTGTCCGACCATGACACCGTTGCGGGCCACAGCGTCCATCTCAATCTCCTTCGCGTTCTCGATGTACTTAGTGATGACAACGGGGTGGTCACGCGACACGTCAGCGGCCTGGTTCAGGTAGGTGGCCAGGTCATGCTGGGAGTAGACCGTGTTCATGGCGGCTCCCGAGAGCACATAAGAGGGTCGGACCAGCACAGGATAGCCAACCTTGTCGCAGAACTCGGTGGCCTCCTCGATACTGGTAAGTTCCTTCCAGGACGGCTGGTCGACATCAATGCGGTCAAGCATGCGAGAGAACTTGTAACGGTTCTCGGCGCCGTCAATCATCTCAGGCGAGGTACCCAGGATGTTCACGTTAAGACGGTGGAGAGGCAGGGCGATGTTGTTGGGGGTCTGACCACCCATGGAGATGATGACACCGCTCGAGGTTTCCAGCTGGTAGATATCCAGGACAGTTTCCAGGTTGATGTTTTCGAAGTACAACCGGTCGGCCTCGTCGTAATCCGTACTGACGGTTTCAGGGTTGTAGTTGACCATGACGGTCTTGTGGCCCTGTTCGCGGAGAGTACGGATGGTCCGCACGGAACACCAATCGAATTCGACGGAAGAACCAATACGGTACACACCAGATCCCAGGACCATGATACCCTTATCATCGAAAGCAACATCGTGCTCAGACGCGTTGTAGGTCAAGTACAGATAGTTGGTGACGGAGGGGAACTCGGCAGCCACCGTATCGATCTGCTTGACGATGGGGATAATACCGGCCTCAACACGCAGGCGTCTAACCGCGAGCTCGTTGGAGCTGAGGAAGGTGGCAAGCTGGCGATCGGAGAAACCGAGCTGCTTGGCCTGGCGGATGAGGGGCTTGGGCACCGAGGTGGCGTTGTAGTTCGTCATGAGCTTGCCGAAGTCGCTGAGGTTCTTCAGTCGGCTGAGGAACCACTTGTCAATCTGGGTGAGCTGCCAGATGTCATCGACAGTGTAGCCGGCGGCCATAGCGTTGGCGATGGCGAACAGACGCTGGTCAGAGGGGGTCTGCAGCTCGCCCTTGATGGACATGAGCGCGTTCGTCTCGTTGAAACCAAGGTTGTTGAAGTCAACGGAGCGAATGGCTTTCTGGATCGCCTCTTCGAAGGTTCGTCCAATGCTCATGACCTCACCAACACTCTTCATCGAAGAGCCAAGCTGGGTCGACACGCGAGTGAACTTCTTCAGATCCCAGCGGGGGATCTTGACCACGCAGTAGTCGAGGGAAGGCTCGAAGCACGCGCATGTGACCTTGGTGACCGAGTTCTTGATTTCATTGAGCGGGATTCCCAAACCGAGCTTAGCCGCAATGAAGGCAAGAGGATAACCGGTAGCCTTGGAGGCAAGGGCAGAGGATCTCGACAGACGTGCGTTGACCTCAATAATGCAGTACTCCTTCGAGAACGGGTTCAAGGCATACTGGATGTTGCACTCTCCGACAACGCCGAGGTGGCGAATAACGTTAACAGCGGTGGTACGCAACATGTTGTAGTCCTCGTCCGAGAGGGTCTGCGAGGGAGCAACAACAATGGAATCACCCGTGTGGATACCGAGAGGGTCGAAGTTCTCCATGTTACAGACCGTAATGCAGTTGTCTCTGGCATCTCGGACGACTTCGTACTCAATTTCCTTCCAACCCTTCATACTCTTCTCGATGAGGACCTGGGGGCTGGCAGCGAAGGCCTTGATACAAAGGTCCTTCAGCTGGTCCATGTTCTCAGCGAAACCACTGCCGAGACCACCCAGAGCGTAGGCAGCACGAACGATGACAGGGAACTTGATCGCCTCCACGACCTGCAGAGCCTCCTCCAGATTCGAGGCGGACGCAGACTGAGCGCACTTCTCATTGATGGATTCCATGCTGCGCGCGAAGAACTCACGGTCCTCAGTGGTGATGATCGTGTCGATGGGCGTACCCAGAACCTTAACTCCAAGGCCTTCGAACTCATCCTTGAGCTGGATACCGACCTGCAGCGCCGTCTGACCACCAAAGGTGACGTAAATAGCGTCGGGACGCTCGTGCTTGATGACCTTGCGAACGAAGTCGGCGTTCACGGGCAGGAAGTAAACCTTGTCGGCAAGACCCTTGGAGGTCTGGATGGTGGCGATGTTGGGGTTGATCAGGATCGTGTAGATTCCTTCTTCCTTCAGCGCCTTGATGGCTTGACTACCGGAGTAGTCGAACTCTCCGGCCTGACCGATGCTCAGACCACCACTTCCCAGGATCAAGACCTTCTTCACCGAGACGCGGGGGGAGATCTTGATGTTCTCTTCCTTCGTGCCACCGGGGAACGACACAGGCTTGGTAAGGGCGTCGGGAGAGGCAATAGTGTCCTGGATGGTGTTGATGAACACATCAAAGAGATACTCGGTATCCCTGGGACCGGGAGTGCTCTCGGGGTGGAATTGAACACTGAAGAAGGGTCGGCTGGTATGTCTGATACCCTCGTTACTGCCATCGTTGGCGTTCACGAAAAGCTCCTCCCAGCCCTCGGGCAGGGACGAAGCATCGACGGCATAACCGTGGTTCTGAGAGGTGATGTGACACTTTCCAGACACCATGCTAGTGCAAGGAATGTTGTGGCCACGGTTACCGAACTTCATCTTCATGGTCTGGGCACCGACGGCACGCGAGATGAGCTGGTGACCCAAGCAAATTCCGAAAACGGGAGTGCGGCCTTCGGCGATGGTCTTGGACAGGTTCTGAACGGTGGTAGAGAGAGTAGCGGGGTCACCGGGACCGTTGGAGACAAAGAGACCGTCGTAGTCCTTGCCCGCAAGGGTAGGGAAATCGTAGTCCCAAGGCACGACCAGGACTTCAACGCCACGCGCCAGCAGGCAACGGAGTTGGTTGAACTTCAAGCCAACATCCAAGCAAAGAACGCGGACAGGGCGGCCCGAAGGGTGTTTCAGGGCAACATTCTCAGGAGGGGAGAAAAGACGGGGTTCCCGAATGGACACTATGACAATGTCAGTCAGAACGGAGTCCTTCTTCTTCTTATTGCGGGGCAATTGGCTGTAGTTACTAACCTTCATCCACGAGGTTCGTCGTGTTGGGGTCCACCCATTCAGTCTGCTCGAAGAATGACCTCCAGGTATCCTTCTCGGTGGGAAGCGAGTCCACAGCTCCGTCAGTCGATCCGGTCTTCTGCAGCAGCATACGACCCAGCATGCTACCCTTCTGACGGATGCGCTTGGTAAGGGCACGAGTGTCAACTCCGTGCATGGCAGGAACACCCTGCTCCTTCAGCCACGAGCCCAAGGACGACTCGGCGAGGAAGTGAGAGTAGTCCTCTCCCGCGTAGGTAGAAACAACCAGAGCGGCAATGTGGATCTGAGTCGATTCAAAGTACTTGGGCAACGTCTTCAACAGCTCGTCCATGGTCTCCCTCGAGGGAACGCCATAGTTACCCACAAGGGGGAATGTGACGACCAGAATCTGACCCCGGTAGGAAGGATCGGTGATGGACTCCGGGTATCCAACCATACCGGTCTGGAAGACCAATTCACCTGCCACGCTCTTCTCGGCACCAAAGCTGTAACCCTGGTAGACCGTGCCATCCTCGAGCTCGAGGGCGAACAGCTTGTCACTGCTGCCTCGGACTCGGGAAGAAGCAGGAGGGATCACGGCGCCATTTCTCAAGTTCATGGACGGCAGCGGCTGCAATTCCTTGCTGGCCTGGTTATAGGCCACGGCCCCTCCAGTCAAAGGGCTCGTAGGAAGCGCGGCCTCCTCGTGACCGACGGACTGCGACATTGCTGTAATTGTGGGGGGAGGGGAAGGTCCTCTCGGGGACAGTTCGGTATTGGTATTCACTCTACCGTAGCATCAGCAGCCTCCAAGCTCTGTTTAGGATAGAGAGAGGCCGGGGTGAGGGGGAAAGGAGGGGGGTAGAAATTTTTGGCTGCTTCAGCACAGGGAGAGGAATATAGAAGAAAGGAAGAAAAAAGAAAACTCGTTCGGATTTGGCAGAAATAAAATTTTGTGTACGGCGGGCTGGTCGAGCTTGCTGATTGGGTCTTCCGCTTCACCGATCCGGGGATCATCAGTCGTTCTGCCGACACCCACCGCCTCGTTTGCAAATTTTTTCCCTTTTTTTCCTTCCTTTTTTGACTTTATTAGCGGCTTTTTGTATATCCTGTGGTCATGGATATTACGCTGGCCCTTCTATAATCACCATGCTAAGCGAAGTATACATCGCGTCAACCCCAATCTACCAATTCTAGGAGAATCACAGCGTACAGACGTCTCCCCACTGGTTCTAAACCCAGGCAATAATGGGGTGACTCAAACAGCCGTGCCCATCTATGGAGCGGGACACCGTAGCCCTTGACATCACCGGAACGCGGGCAATGCCTAGATCGGAGGAGCAGACGACGAGTTTTCTTCCGCACTCGTTTTGGAGGGGCAGAGTGGACGCTACGGTGGACGCTAAGGCAAACTGCCGACCATACTTGGCCAGGTTTTGCCACCGCAGACCCACTCCGCTTGCGGCGAGTTCGTGGCTTCGGACTTGGTCTGGATTCGGCTTCTTCTCGATGCCTTCCTTGACAGTTAATTAATCAACATTGCCCTGAGTAGAAAACTTATTACATGTTATACTATGTTATTCTAAAAAGGCCAGTCCTGCAATGGCTCCTGCAATTGATCGACTAAGTTCCTCTTGCCTCCTCGAGAGAAATGGTACTCGCAAGCGATAGATGGGCCTCGGCAATTTCTCTACTAGTGTTGCCACTGAACGGAGCCAACCTGTGAATAGCCTCGATCTGGCTCGTCCTGGCTTAAACGAGAGAGCAGAATCATCAGGATACCTGCTGCACCGGACTCATCCCTAAATAACTCTCAATCTGCATTATAATGACTGATCTAATGTTGCTGGGTTGCTTTCCATTAAATATGTTGAATTGTATTAGACAGGATTAGAGCCAACATATTCTTCCTCCATACATGTTCAAAGTTCGGACTACCGAAAAGGGCTTTGTTTGCGGCTTCTGCTAAGCTGCTTGTTAAAATATCATCCGAGTCAACGGCTATCAGCATCCACAATATGTCATCGAACCGACAGTTCTATACATCGGAATGCTCCCGACAACGCCAACATGCGGAGTAAAGCACATCCTCGACTGCCAGAAGTGGAAATACATACTGACCCGGAACATTTTAGAAGCCTGTTTTGTGGGCTCTCCTGAATTGGGAGCCCGTTGACGCGAAGATATATTTTATAGTCGTTGCTGGACCCTGGGAACATATACCTATACATACGGTGTATATATAATCTCTCACTATCCTTCGCTTGACTGCTTGTACTGCCTACCAGGAATTCTTTTCCTCTTCTGGTATAGACCATTAAATATCACATCACCAGAATAGAACCATAGTCTGTGCTTGTATAAAGCAACGTCGATCTCCGATATTTGGGGTCCTGCTACTCCGTAGACCAATACTGCTGGGGCACGTCCAGATGATTCATGGTTGACGATGACACAATAAGATGCAAGGTAGTCAGTAAATGAGCGCATACATTCCTCATCTTATCATCAGGGAGAGGAGCTTGAGAAGTAAGGGGCGTATCGTCACGCGGAGCTAATATGAGGGCCACATATCGGAGTATTTTTAGGTCGATCCTCGGCTTTGATTAAGGTCGGTAGGCGTAAGATAACAGTGCTACTGCAGATAGGTTTTTCTGTCTCTTCCATGCATTATTATTTCAGGAATTAATATGACTCTACACCGTAGTCAATGGCTGTTTCAACTGCTTTGAAGTAAGTTTCGCATAAACAGTGGAACCCGTCGGCTAACAATAAACAAAGACAAGTAACCAGGAAGTAGGGAGGGCCTCCAGGCTGCATTGCAAAACGGTGTAACACAAGGATGAGAAAGAATATACGAGGGATTTTTCCTAAGCAATAGCATTAACATTTTTCTTAGTGATGGCTGTGGCGACTGAACAGACCATCGCATTCGCCAAGTGATGGATCGAAAATCAAGTATATTAGCAATTTAGCACCCTAAAACCGTCGTAGTGGGACCACCCCCCGGGCTCGCTGCAGCAGCACCAAACTGATCGCCCTGCAGCAAATCTCGACATGGTCGCGTTGCCCCCTCCATTGCTCCAGGCGCATGTGAGCTGCGTGATTTACCCCCGGCAAGTCTCCGTAAATGCTTCGACCTTCACCTGCCATTGTCCCGTTGGTCCCTTTTTTCCCCTCTCGGTCACGCGAAGTTTCTTTGATCATCGCTCAATGGAGCTCTATCAGTCTCTTATCTAGCCAGTTACACGACGCGTCTCGCTCCCTCCCCCGGAGATGATGCCTTGACCATCTCAGACCATTCGATTGGGAATCTCAACAGATCGTCGATATCGCTAGTTTCCCATCATGCTGGCCTCCCTGCTTCGCCCCAAAAAACGTCGAGTCTACGCCGAACGCTCGCCATTCTCGTCGCCGTACACCCCGCGACAGTCGCCATGGCCATTTCACCAGCGCGATCCCGAAGCCGAGGGAAGATACAATGGAGATGACAGAAGGACATATGAAGAATCGGAGGATGTTGAGGGTCGCGATGAAGATGAAGAAACCGAGGCAGAGGAGGACGGTCCTCTCGAAACCACGCCTCTCCTGCCCATCTTTTCAGCCTCTCACTTAGGTATGGTTATGGTTGCACACTTGTGAAAGCGGGATCGTCCGATGATTGGAATGAGATAAGCTGATTGCCATCCCCAGACACCCTCCCTGTTTATGATGTCACACATGCCATTCGATCGCTGATTATCTCTCGCTGCGAAACTACACTGTCTTGGGATCAATTGCGCTCGCCTCAAATCTCTCAATTTCTCGTCAAGCCTATCCAGCAAAATATTAGGGCCTATCACTTCTCCCGGGCTACCTTGTACGCCCTGATGACAAACTGTCTGCAGTTCACCAAAGAGATTCAGCTTAATCCGGGAAACAGTGGCACGAGCCAAACTCGGGCTATCGTGAGCGAGCTCCTAGCGATCAAGTTGCTCAGGGAGTACGACACGAGAGAGCTGATCGATGCTTTATCATATGAATTCTACCCTCTACAAGGTCTCACTTCGACTGGTACGGAAAGCTCCCATCGGGCTCCTGGCTGGCAGGCCTCCCAAGCCAGCAAGCGGCAAGCTGGAGCTGCCCGGATCTCTTGTCTCGAGATAGCCATCCGTGCCCAAGCCAAACGACTGCTGTCGCATCCGCTGGTGGTGCAGCAACTGGAAGCGATATGGGCAGGAACTGTGGTCTTCCACTCCGCGGCCGACCATCTTCATCGATCGTCGGCTCAAGTCCGTCCTAGTGGCGCAACAACGCGCAACAACGGAACAATACAGAACAACGTTGCTTCCATCACCTTCGCCACCCAGTCAAGTCCCAAAGGGTCGGAATTGCGACGTTCGGTGACGCTTTATGACCCTAGAGATGCGTCTTTGTTTAAGCTCTCCAGATTGAGGGTACCTCGGTACAGACAGTTCCTTTCGACCTTGTCTTTCGCTGTGCTGTTAGTTTTGTTCCTTGCCGTGCTGCAAGAACGCCGTGTGGAGATTACCGCTCTAGAAGTTCTCTTCTGGTTCTGGAGTGCAGGATTCCTGCTGGATGAAGTCGTCGGCTTCAACGAGCAGGGATTCAGCTTGTACCTGATGAGCTTCTGGAACCTGTTCGACTTGGGAATCCTGTTCCTCTTATTTTGCTACTACTGTTTACGTCTATATGGTGTCTTTCTGCCGTACACCCGCGCACCTGCAGTAGCAAATCAGGCGTACGACATCCTGGCAGCAAATGCGGTGCTTTTATTCCCTCGGCTCTTCTCGATTTTAGATCACTATCGTTACTTCTCTCAGCTGCTCATCGCGTTCAGAATAATGGCTTCTGACCTTGTCGCTGTGTTCTTCTTGGTCATTGTTGCCTGCAGCGGCTTCTTCGTGGCTTTCACCCTGTCTTTCGGCAGCGGCGAGGTTCATTCTCCGGGATCTGTTGCGTATGCTTTGTTTCAGATGCTCATGGGCTTTACTCCAACTGCTTGGAGTCTCTGGGAGGAATATAACGTTCTGGGCAAGATGATCTTGACCATATTTCTCTTCATTTGTCATTTCGTCGTTGTCACCATTCTCATTACTGTCCTTACCAACTCCTTCATGGGCATCGTGCAAAATGCCAACCAAGAACACCAGTTCCTCTTTGCCGTGAATACCATCTCCATGGTCAAGTCGGATGCCCTTTTCTCCTACGTGGCACCGGCGAATATTATCGCCTGGGTGATTGCGCCCTTGCGCTATTTGATGCCATTCCGAGACTTCGTGCGGATTAATCGCACGATCATCAAACTCACCCATCTGCCCATCCTCTTTACCATCTGCTTCTACGAGAAGGTCATTCTAAGTTCCAAAGTCTTTGACTCGACAGACCTTGTCGATCCGCACGCCTCTGAAGGTCGTGAGCGCTCTCGGCCTCCCCGTCAAGGTCGCTTCAGGGCTTTTAGTTCCCAGGCCGCTCGACTTGTGCGAGAACCATCCGTTGCAACTTACCAGAAGGATCGTGCTTTAGACGAAGTATTCCGGCGGGTATCGTACGATGGGACCGGTCGACGGCCTGCCAGGCGCTACGACCAAAGGACCAGCACCAATCTTGTCAACAATTGGATGCAAGACATGGGCTCGGAGCCGGTCAACCCGCCCGACGAGCAAGATTCCGATGAAGTGAGCCGACTTGAAAGAACGCCTCGAAAGTTTCAGCATCCGTTCAAGAGGAGGCTCACTCGGAGTTTGCGCGATTTTACAGAGTCCAACCGATCCGCCGTATCGAACCCTGAAGAGCACGCTGGGCAAGCAGTATCTTCACCTGCTACGCCCCGCTTTACCCGAGAATTCTTGACTCCTAACAGAAAGAGACAGCTCTCACGGCATACTGGCATGGAAGGTGATGACGAGCTCACCAGCGACGATAACGGCTGGGTGGATGAACAGCAATCCAATGATGATCATACAGTATCTCAGGATAATGATTCACGAACCGAGGGGGTCAGTCCTGGTAAGACAACGCCCAAGTTCTACAGCTCCCGACCGTCCACGGCACGCATGAAGTCACACAAGACCAGCCCGAATCGACGCGCTAGACATCATACCCGGAACTATTCGGTCGCCACTATTTTGTACAACCCCGTGAGCAATGACGGAGAGGCCAGTGTCTCATCGATCCCTGTCAGACCTAGGGCTGAGACCCCGAACGGCGAGGTCGCGGCCGTTTCAAACTCTGTTGATCGGTGGACCCCGAGGCGACATAGCATGGACACCGGAAGAAGTCGAATCGCTACCATGGCCCGGTCCAACCCCATGTCCGTTCCCGACTTCGGCAGTGTCTTGGTTCCCAACGCTGAGCGGAGACAGCGCCATCGACCATCTATCTTGGATGGCTTGGGATCGGACCTGGGTGACAACAAGGCGATTGCGAACGGTTTCGTGGGAGGGGTGCCTTCAAGTCTGACGACACAAATGGTCTATGCAACCGGCGGTATCCGTCGAGCTGAGAGTTCCAACAGCAGCCAGGACTTGCTCAGCAAGCTCGTGCTCGCTCGCATGAACAATATTGAAGAAGGGTTCCGCGAAGTGATCAAGGAAGTCAAAGACCTTCGACGCGAAGGGACCAGCCGAAGCCAAAGTCGACCGGACGAGCTGCGATCCAACCAACGAGAGAAAAAGAAGCGGGCGGACAAGAAGGATGTCAAGAAGAAGCCCAATGGTTCTCGTGGTGGCAGCAATATGAGCACTGATGAAAAGTCAGAAATGCCATCTGGAGAGTCGCAGCAACACGATACACAATCCGGCCTGGAGGAGTGATTATCAGTTTTCCCCTTTTTTATCTTGACGGTGCAAGTGCCTGATTATGTATGTTGTATCTTTCTTGTTGTCTTCATTGCGTTTCCTATGTTGTTGCACATAAAACATTTGGGTGGCTGTTTCATGGATACAGTTCGCTATTGATACCCTCGATGTTTGTCAAAGACAGGTTGTTTTCGAGATTTAGTTTGGGCCAATTAATTAGTATTATCTTTATAATGAAGCATCGGACACATCACAATCGTTGCAGATCTTCAATTATTTGCATGGCTTACGTGTCATGTGATCACCTTGTAGGAACCTGGAAGCTCTTTCTGACGTTCGACTCGATCCCTCTTCCATTCACCCCCAGCCATAAGCATATCCCTTCAAATCGAGCTGCGAAGTGACTGTCCATTGCGATCTCCATTCTTCAAGACAGCGAAATCACGTGCACTAATCCGGGGTTCTTGGCGCGCCGACGTCACGGAGCCCGATCATCACCTCCGAGAAGTCAGCCAGACCAACTCTACAACAAACATCTTCTAACCCACCAAGCCGGCAATCCTCCCATCATTGCCAACATGGCCTCCTCATCGAAACCCCCGAGCTTTCTGCTCTAGTACGACGAACCCCCAATCCCTCACCTCCCTCCAACACTCAAAGCTAACCCATCCTCAACCCAGCTCTTGTATAGCCCACCGAACAACCATCCTGGCCGAACATTCCGCCCCAGGCTCCTCCAGCACGTCCGCCTCATCCCTCGCCTCGATCATCCTTCCCAAGATCAACCACGACAAGTCCCAGAAGCTCACCTTCACCCATGAACGCCTCTTCGTGCACTACATCGCCGACTCCCCGACCGGCTCGTCCGCGGAGGAGTCATCATCCAGCACGGAGCCCAACTCCTACGCACCCCTCAGCTACATCGTCGTGGCCACCGCCGAACAAGGCCGGCGTATCCCCTTTGCCTTCCTCCTCGAAATGAAGCGCAAGTTCCTATCCACCTACCCGCCGTCCAGCGCCGACTTCGCCTCCCTCCCCGCCTACGGCTGCGCGGCGTTCAACACCGAACTGCGCGCCCTACTCCAAACCTACAACACAGCGCCGCCGGCTGACTCGCTGGCGTCGGCGCGCAAGGAAATCGATAGCGTGAGGGACATCATGACGGAGAATATCGAGCGGGTGTTGGAGCGCGGTGAGCGCATTGATCTGCTCGTGGATAAGACGGATCGGTTGGGTGGGAGTGCGCATGATTTCCGGATGCGGAGCCGTGGTCTGCGCAGGCGGATGTGGTGGAAGAATATCAAGTTGATGGTGTTGTTGGCGGTGGTGGTTGTTTTTCTGCTGTATTTGTTTATCGGCATGGGGTGTGGATTGCCGGCTTGGGGGAAGTGTGTCGGACATAGCGAGTGAGGAGGACGAGGGCTGGCTGTTGAGCTCAGAGATACCGAATTACTCTGTCTATCTGTCTATGGACTCTGGGCTGTTGGTCTGGTTGCTATGGTTCATATTTTGATGTTTTATTAGCATTGGTCGCTTGATGATCTCATCTCTTCTGTCTTTATTATTTTCTACTTCGGTCTAATGGTCGGCTTTTTTTTTGTCGTTTCACTTCACGTCGAGCGCCACTCGTTTGTTATGATATCACTCGGAGGGTTTATCTTATTGATTTAGTTGCTTTCTATTGAAGATCGAAACTTGATTAGTTGATCGCCTACGGAAAACACCAATAGTTGTGAATAAGAGAAGTGACTTTGTTATAGGTTGCTACCAATTATTCGGGACACAAGCCGTAGCACATGTACAACACCAGACCTTCCAGAAGCAACTAAGCATACTGCTAAAGATTTCCACCCCAATACCATGAACAGGGGAGAAGAATATCCGCATGAGAAAAAGAAACTTATATTCGCACTACCTAAACCTAACTAACCCGACCAAACACCACATCTCTACGTACGCACCACATACACCCGAAAACAACGATAAATAACAAGCAGAAAGGAGAGAATGTATCTCACTCTCAAACCCACAGCTTCCTTGCGTTAGCATCAGTGCGGGTCTGCAAGCGAGGGCAGAGATTGGTCTAACTTATAACCGAACCTGCGAATCCTTCTGCGCCAGTCGTTTACCTCTTCAACCATGGGGGTGTGATTGACGAGGAGATATTGTGGCGGGGTATGGAACGTTTTATTTGGGGGTAGGGGAGGGGAGGATGTGAATTGCTGCGTGGAGGAATTGGGGTTGTTAGTTGGGATGAGGTGTTGCCAGCATGCAGGGTGATTTCCCGTATCCAAAGTCTGTCATGAACTCCTGGGACATCGGACCCAGACATGGTTCGAGTTCGCAACATGAAGCGAACTGCAACATCCACGTCGAGGAGCATCGATGGGAGTATCATCCAAGCTTGTTCAAGCTTCAGGTTGTGGTGACCTGGTTGTTCAGAGTCCCCAGAATGAATGTCGAGTGAGCTCTGGCTGTTATGCTTTGCGCATATCCTCGACACTTTGCACGAGCTTTGGACAGTGATGAGGCCATCGTTAGCTGCTGAAGACAGTATTCGCCAGACGATCTCTGTCAAGACCCATGTCTTCGTGCAGTGAACGCCTGTAGCTCGAGGGAAGACGAAGGAAGAAAAGAAGGCCGGTTAGCGCAAAGAACGAACCGGACATTGTGCGTCACATGACCGTACTAGTACACCATTGTCCATGATTGGTTGAAACGTAATCTGCCACAGACCCACAGAGCCGTGTCTGACCGCCTGGCAGAGAAGCTGCCAAGCGCCGCGTTCTGCCCATCGACAGGGGACATGGTGAAATAGGGAAGGCGGTAGGGAACTGATCCGGTTTGGCGCATCAAAGATCGTCCTTTCGCGATGGACATCGCGAGTCATTACCCGCATTCACACGGTGTTCTCAGGAACAAGTGACTCAACGTGACTTCATCCTTGCATCTATGTGTTGATCTGCCTATGAGGATCTCTGTTCATCATATTTCGCTCGAATATGCCCAATGGATAATAATCAAGGACTACAACTCCGCCGCGCAAAATGTCGGAACACGATTATTACTGGCTTCAAAGCTTCCTGCAGTCGGGTGACTATCAGAATCCTTTGAGATATGATGATCCCCCAATACCATCCTTTCATGGACTCCCTGGGCTCAATGACAATCCGCCTCTACCGTCTCAGCAATCCTCTCAGTTCTATGACCCTCCGATGCCATCTACCCAAAGAATGCCTACCGTCGAAGTCAACCCATCTCTACCGTCTCGTTCCTCTCAGTTCTATGTATCTCCGTATGCCTCACAAGCTCGGAGTCAACCTCAACCTCAACCTCAATCTCAGTCCCAATCTCAGCCTCAACCGAGGGCCCAACCTTCACTTCACTCTCAGCCTCCCACCCATTCGCAGACGTATCCTCAACCGCCGCCTCACTCTTTAGTACAACCTCAGAACTATGTGACACCAAGCAATATCATGCGCTCGATTCCTCCCAGCTCAGCTCCTCCGTCGCGTTTGTTCGCCATGGCTCGACCACCATACACAACACCAGGCCAGGCCCAAAACTCGGCTCCATTAAACTCCAACCCTCCGCAGCATGCGCCTCCTCCGAGCCAGCCCCCGAATCATGATAGCCACGATGCCAAAAGACGCCGCGTTACCGACGAGAGTTTCTCTGCCGCCAGAATGTACAAACAACCTACCGGTCAAGTCCCAAAACCGCCTCCCAGTCAAGGCTCAAATCCCGGGGGTACGCCAGGTTTTGGAATGCTTGCCTCATACAACTACTCTCCTAGAGATCCTACGAGCAAGCTGGGCATTAAAAACCGGTCAGACATCGCAGAGCCCATGAAACTGGCCGATGCTGCGGAGAAAGAGACGTACGATCCCTCGACGATTGCAAGAGATGTTTTGATTGCTGTTGGACGTCACCCGACCGAGAATTGCTTAAATCACCATTTGCTCCGCCTGCGCGATGTATTCCCCCTCCTTGGTATCTCGTCGGATTTGGAAACCTTTCGTTGGGACTTGGTAGACCAGGCGGCAGAGCGCGCGACTGCTGCACGTGACCCTGTCCAAATCCACGCGCCCGTGCCCGCGCCCGCACCAAATTTCGGCGTGGTTCCGCCTGCCGCTCCACCAGCAGTAGTGCCGCCTGTCAACAAACCCACCGCCCAGCAACTGCCACCACCACCCAGACAAGTGCTTGGGACACCTGCTCAGCAGCAACCCCAGCACCTTGCAAAAAACTATCAGCTTCCTCCTCAGGTCCAGATTAAGCATACCCCACCCCCACCACAATCGCTTTCCCGTACACCGCAGCAGACCCCACAGCCTCCCCCGCCGAAGCCTCAGACAACACCCAAATCACAACCAAAGGCTCCGTCGCAGTCGCCGGCCAAATCAGTCACTCCAACTGTGCAAATACCGTCGGTGAAGATGATCGGGAAGAGGCCTCCTGGCAGACCACCGGGCCGTCCGCCTGGAAGCACCAACAAGGTCCAGAAGGTTCAGGTGGCTGTCCCTCCCCCAAAGGTCAATTACCCGGTCTATGCGTGCGATTGGGAGGACTGCAAGGCTAGGCTGCACAACCTCGAGATGCTGAAGAAACACATCTACAAAAATCATGTCACATACAGCATTTCTTGCTCGTGGAAGAACTGCGACCTGGAGCAGACCATGCCGGCTGCCGCGCTCTACAAGCACATCAAAAAACAGCACATTGACCCCATTGCTTGGAAATTGGGCGATGGGCCGTCAGTACCTGGAACGGGTGAGAAAGCATCTAGATGACTTGCTTTTCAATTGCGTCATATCATTTCGTTTTTTCTTTAAAGGAGAGTAATTGTTAATGATGGTTTTGAATTACCCATGTCACAGGCGATACTAGCGCGACTGCTAGTCCGGGACCTTTTACCCTTCCGTCCTCTAATCGACCTCAAGGCCAAGATTCCCTCATATTTCCAGCCAGTTACAGCTCCATTCGCGCATTCAATCGGGTTCACGGCAAGAACACCCAGCACGAGAAGGCGCGTGAAATCTTGAAAGCTGTGCAAAGACTCAAAGGTCAGATTGGCGTTGGCTTGGACCCGGGTGGATGTCAGCTGGCGACACCCGCCAGAAACGAAAGACTTAGTAATGACGAAGAATATTATGAAGTGGTATCTGGTGGATAAGGATGTGAAGGGAGGGGGGTATTCTGCATTTTGTGAACGAAGACGTTGGGGTTTTGTTCTCGACCTTGTCTACACCGTACATTGCATTGGGCCGGAGTGCTTCGAGGAATTGGCGTTCGGAGGACATCAAGCGAACATTTGTTCTGTTATCTTTCTTTCTGGCTTTTTGCCTTTCAAATTCTGTACTCTTACTGTACCTCAGGTCGCGTCCGGCTAGATCGTGGTTCTGTCAAAAGACGATTGATTATTTGGTAGTCCGTGATTAAGGGACATAATGGAATTGTCATCCAGTATCATACACCACCTGTGTCTCGTGCAAACCCACCAATCCAGGAATTATAAAAGCAGGGGGTATCCATCCATATCAACGCTGGTAACTAATCTTCACCTATTCACTTCTCACACCTGCAGAAGTCAACCGTAAGCCAGTGATCCAGACTGATTGCATTGTAATGTATTGCGCCCATGTCAACCAATCAAACCGACCAACTAGCCCATCAATTGATTCCTTCTTCCTCATACACTCCACAGCGAACTCATACACAAGCGCCCAATGAATCCGTTTATTTCCCACTCGCCACGCCACCCTCTGTCGAAGCCGACGACCCAGCCGCCGCAGCAGCCCCCGTCACTTTCTTGCCCTTCTCTGCGCCCGCATCAAGAGCGTCGTCTTTAGAATTGACCTCGAGGAAATGGTACAGTACGATCATCATCATGGCGCAGGAGCCGAGGAACACGGCGAGACGGTGGAGATCGTCGTCGGAGATCATGTTGGATGGTTATGGTTCGAGGGAGGATGTGTGGAATTGGATTAAGATTAGGACGCGGGAGCGGAAAGAGAAGGCGACTGCGATGTTCGTTCGTATCAATGGAAAGGATGGATGGATCGGAGTATCGTGATGAGCTATCCAGTAGACCGGAGATATCGGTAGCAAGCAGAGTAGCGTGGATAGAGATCGGAAGATGATAACTGAACGGAGAAGCCACGTTAGCTCCTCCTCGTCACGTCACGAGCGGGTAGCTAGCTTGGGGGTGGGAATCAACTTACATTTGGAATCGCAGATAGTAATGAAAAGTTCAGATATGAGTTCCTTCAACGCCTCAGGACCAGGAGGGTAGGATGGAACGAGCGTAGATGGTTGTAGTGGGTAGACGATGCGCAATCGTAAACTACGGCGGAGATGCGGCCAGAATAGTGACACCTAAGGCGGAAACCCGACGGTCGACACCTGAGGCAGAATATCAAGGCTCAATCGGGCGTATCGCAGGTCGCCACAACGGTCGAAACTTAATTTCTACACCGAGTCATGACATTTTCCACTTCTTTCTTGTGGTTCGTTCATGTCAGGACTCGGTGTGACAGTTGGTGGTTTTCTCGCTTCCTATGGGAAGGATTGGTCTTGGTCTTGGTATTGGGTGGATATGCTGGGAACGGTCATGAACGGGCGAAGACGAGAGATTGATGCATCGGGCATCAATTGTAGGGAAGATCCTTGTAATAACTGCTGGTGTATTTCTTTTTCCGGTCAAAGATTGTGAATTGGCTGCATCTTGTTGTTCTACAGGTTACTTGGCAATACACCGTAGGAGCCCGGGGGGATTTGATTATTTTTGCTGGGCCAATTGAGTGAAAGCTTTTCTAGAAAATAGCTCGCGCGAATAAGAGAGAAGGATAACTGCGAGTTTGGTTCCTCCATGCAGATGTGCTGTCAGAGCGTTGGTCTCACAACGGCTTCAAGATCGATAGCGTAACAATCCAGATGAATCGCCTTTCTTGGCTCCACTTTGACAGGCTAACGGACCGTCCGGTGGATCCGCTGGTTGGTCTTTTTTTCTCTGGACTCATCAGCGTCAAGAGTCAAAACTCAACGGTTATCCTGTTATGAAGGAGGAACACTGCATAGTGAGGACTGAGTACTTAGGAGTTACTACCAAATTGGGTCGTGGTTAGAAAATGATTAGATAAGCGGCCTGCGGGGAGACACCTGAGGATCCAGGCAAATACTGTGCTGCAGATCGACTGGGATCGACTTCTTCGTCCTTCTTCTCTCTTTTCTTTTTCCTTCCCTCGTCACTCCTTCCACCCTGCTGGGCTGTCTGTGCTCCCGACTTTGCTTTCTTTCTTTCTTTCTTTTTTTTTTTTTTTTCCCTTCCTCTCCTTCTGGCCCGTGACGCTCCACCAATCTCCCCGCCTCGCCCACACCCGACGCCAATCTCGATCAATCTACCCACTTCCTGCACAGTTACTGACTGTCCTTTTTTAAAAATCGCTCCCCCCCCTCTTCTTAATTTTCCCTTCCTCCGTGTTTCAGTCTCAGTTTATTTCAACGGATATATGGGTGGCCTGGTCCAAATTCGAACAATTCATCGTCTCAATTAGTCCGTCAAGATGAACGAGCCATTCAACCCCCCCACGAATGTAAACGCAACCGCCGTCCCTAAAGGCGCTGGCCCTTCGCTCTTGGCCTGCCTGACTTGCCGACACAAACACCTGAAGTGCGATGGCAAGACCCCCATCTGCGGCCGTTGCCTGGCCACCAGCTCTGAATGCCAATACACCCCTTCTCGTCGCGGTTATAAGGGTCCCTCGAAGAAACGCCGCGCCAACCCGTCCTCCCCCGACCAGCTGGCTGCAGACCTCGCCTTCGACCCCCAAAACGTTGGCTTGATCAACGTCCCTACCGACTGGAGTCTCCAGGCCAGCTTACAATACATGCCGCCGCCTCCTACGACCCTGCCTTCGACCTCCTCCGGCAGCCCTCTGTTAACCACCATCACCTCCGAATCGTCGCAACCTGCCCGATTAGACCCTCTCACGCCCGACTCGTCATCCGCCATTGGCAATGATGGCTACCTCATCGATATCTATTACACCTTCTTCCATCCTTCACACCCAATCCTTCCGCCTCTGCGTCTGTTCCAGAAATTCTACATCCCGCCCTTCCTCGAGCATGTGATCAAGTTCGTCGGCTCTCATTTTACCCAGGCCACCTCCAGTGAGCCGTATCGACCTACTGTGAAGACGTCGGTCATGGAACAAGACGGCACCATCGAAAAGTTGCAGGCGCTGGTGATCCTGGCTATCGTGCTTCATTCGCGCAATGAACGAGGCGAGGCCGGAGAATGTCTCGCCATGGCGGTTGACCTCGCCTTTGAGCTGGGATTGCACACCGAAAGCTATGCGGCCAGAATGGGCGAAGGGGATCCGGTCCGGGAGGAGAGCTTGAGACGGACGTGGTGGGAGCTGTTCATCATCGAGGGCATGCTGACCGCCCTGGGCGTCCAGCAGACCTTCCGCACGAGCCTAGTGCCCCCGGAGGTGCCGCTGCCCTGTGAGGAGCGCATCTACCAAGATGGTTTGACCCCGCCCCCGCCGCCGACAATCGCGCAGTTCGACGACCGGGTCTTCGCTGACGAGGAGCGGGACTTCTCGTCCTTCACCTACCGTCTGGAGGCCGTCCGCATTCTCGGCCGGGTGGTGGCCATCCAAGATATGGTCGAGGGCCAGCAGGACCACGTCGAAGCCATCGACGCACGCATCACCAGTTGGTTCCACCACCTGCCCGAAACCAAGGCCGAACTGCTGCGGTCGGACGGCACGGTCGACGAGATGATGTTCCAGGCGATGATGATCGTCAACGGCGCCGCCATCTACCTCCACTTCCCGCGCTCCGACCTGCTCTCGTCGCCCGCCGTCGCCGCGGAGGTCATCTGCGGCCACACCGGGCCGTGCAGTATCCCAGCCTTCTCGCACCACGCGCACGCCATGAAGGCCGTCAAGGCCTCCAGCGAAATCTCCTCCCTGGCGTCGATCCGCATGCCCGTCTTCAAGCATACCCCATTCTTCATCTGTGCCCTTGTCATGAGCTCCATCGTGCAGCTGGCTGCCTGCTCCGTCAAGGCCGGACAGATGCCCGACCCCAGTCGGGACCGACTTACGCTGACCATTGGCGTTTTCAAAACGCTCGGCCGCACCTGGGCCATCTCGCAGACCATCATGCGGCAGATCAAGGCTGTGGCTCGCGACGTCATGGATCTCGGCTTACGTCCGACTATCGACCAGATCGACTTGACGACTGTTCTTGACAATAACGGTCGATTCTGGATGTCTTAGAGTGAAAAAGAAAGAGAGAAAGCGATATATATTTTCAATACAAGCGAGCAAGCAAGAATCGAACAAACCAATCGATATAAAAATTTTGCATATTGTCATGAAAGAAAAATCATAGCATCCTGATATATATTCATGGGTGGAACTACTAGTTGTTTGGATTCCACCTTTTTTGGCTTTTTGTGTTTGTTTTCAGTGCATTGTCTATTTACTATATCTAAATCCTGTTGATATGTTATGATCTGTTATGTCATGGCCAATATCCAACGGATCAATACTGATGTTGATGTTCATGATGACGGTGGTATTTATTGATGTTGATATCAAATACTTGCTTATTCAAAACTATAATGATACCCTTGTCCATCCGCATCTTGATTTCTGGGATGAAAATTTCTGTAATCGAGTTATTGTTTATCTTGTTACTCATAGGAGCGAACACTGCATGGTCTGCGGACATATACTGTAAGAGCATATGGAGTCAGATCAATCTGGTAAACAGAGGATGTTGGTGTAATTGTTCTCTGTCATATCATGTCATGTATATGTTCATTGTTCTATATACATCTCTTGTCTAAACTAGACTGAATAGACTAGACGAAGTCCCTCCCTAGGTACCTACCTAGTAAATCCAATCGCCAGCAAGCTAAGGCTAAGGTGGATGTGACAAGGAACAACAACAGAAATCTAGATAACTGGATAAATGCATCGATGCACAGATGTGAACTAAATATGCACAAGACAGCCAAGATAAGAAGTGAAAGAAAAGGAGAGGGATGAAGGAAAGACCTGATTCTAAACCATGGTAAAATTAACGCCATATCCATTTAATTTACTCAAGAGATTCCAGTCCAGACCCCAGATAACAACAATGACAATGATAACCCCCACCAAAAGATAAACAACCTAGTCTATAGATAGATGAAGAATGCGCATGGGCATAAACATGAAGAAGAAAGATATGAGGGATAAGGAAAGACGAAGAAATGGTATCATGGACATGAAGAACAACGATGAAGCTAGAAATGATGGAAACACCGATCATGAGTGAATGAGAACAAAAGGAGCGAAAGGGGTATATAATCCGAGGATGAGACTTTATTGAAGAATGAATGTATTTTTGAAAGGGATAGATAGGATATGTGGAGGAGTATCAATCAATCCGGGGATCAACTGTCAGTATCTGCATTTGACTGACCACCTCCGAATTCTCGCATGTCTCGTAATGCGTCTGCTCTGCGTGCCACCACGTCTTCGCGACGGACTACGTTGCGCAAGGCCTCGCTGGCTTGGATCAGGCCGTCGATGCTGATGGCGTGGTTGGTCATTTGATGGTTGATGTAGGTGTAGATTTCCGCAGGCGTGGAGCAGGTGGTCAAAAGCTGCTGCTCGTTCAGTTTCAACAGAGCAAGCGCGACTTGAAAGAGGAATGTACTGCCGCCGCCGCTGCCGGACGCAACGTCTTTGGCGGCGGACGCGTTGGCATCGTTCGCGTCTCGAGGAGCGGTGGTGGGTTGGTTGGTCGAGGCGTTGGAGCTGTTGCCGTTGTTCACGACGCTGGTGACGTTCAGACACAAAACCACGTCCCAGACACGATAGAGTGCCTCTGCCGAGAGACAGTCGGTGAAGACGGATAAGAACCATTGGAACGTCAACGCCTCCAGCTCGACGCCCAGTGTCTCAAGATGAGCCGCGAGTTTGGGCAGCACCTGGGAGATGTACTGCCGCAGCACGACTTGATCGGCGCGGGACGCAAGAAGACCATGATCGTAGTAATGCTGCGGGAGAATGACCTCGATCATCGACGCCAGGATCCAAAACGCATCCTCAGCTGTTGGGGTGATCAGCAGCAAAGACGCGGCGATGAGGTTCATACCCTGGCAGTACCCAACTTCCGAGTTGCGACGAGAATACGCCAGAAGAACCTCTTTCAATTTCGCCACACCAGGCCCCTTCCGAAAGAACACATTATCAGTCAGGGTGCGGTTGATGTCCATGTCGATCTGCGAAACAACCGACGCATCTGGATCGTAGCCGTCTGTCCCTTTCACGAGCTCATCATAGTATCCCGGTACCCGCATGGACGACGCGCCACTGCATTCGGACCAGACCTTGGCACGGAGGGCGACGGGAATGCCCCCGAGTACAAGCGTCCGGAACTCGCGCCACTTGGCCCGGCCTACCTTGCCCTTGTTCCCGAGGCCAGCAATGCCCACCACTTCGCCGTCGGCGAGAGACGCTTCCGGCGTGTCGACGGATTGCAGTGGTCGGTCTGCTGCGGCCGCGGCGGCTGCCGCAGCCTCGCCTTCTTTCCTGCGCTCCGCGCGCACCTTGCGAAGGAACTCATTCCATCTGACTGTTCTGTCGCGCTGCAAGGTGTCATGGAGATCGGTGAGCTGCTCAAGAAGCAGCTTGACAGGTTCGTTCTCCTTCGCCGCAGAAGATGTAGCTGTCACGACCGGCTCATCGCTCGACACGCCGGAGAATTCAGGGCGGTCGGCCGTGATCGTGGATGTAGATGCCGACGGTTCAAGATTTTGATTAACCGAAAGAGAGCCACGTTTGTCAACGCTCACTGCTGGATTCCGCGGGGGTTCCCCGGTTGCTAACGACACGATAGGACCGGCAGACGGCGTATGGGAGAGTAACTCTGCCGGCCCTGTGGCAATTCTCAAGTAATCTTGCCACCTCCGAATCGCAACGCCGCCGGCCTCGGGGTCCTCGGGAGATGCCGAATCCGGGGAGCGCTGTGATCCTGCAGACGGTGGCTGATTCAGAGATTCGCGCTCGTCGTCGCCGTCAGAATTATCGCTTCGAAAGCTGCTGAGGGTTTCCGCGATGCTCAGACGATTGCCGGAATTCTTGATAGAGCCGGCATCTCTTTGTCTCTTCTTTCGACGCTGGTCGTAAATGAATCCGAATCTGTCGGTCAAAAGCTCGCCGGGCTGGTAATTGTAAATGTGAGACAGCGTTGGAGGTCGTGACTCCATCGGGAGGATGGCATCCATCTCCACAGGCCCAAGGTTGGTTGCGTTCTTATCGGCACTCTCCGAGGCGGATCCATGCGAAACGCTGGTGGCCGCATTCCTCCGCGCGACTTGGTTCGATCTGGATAGGCTGGCCGACCCGTTCCCCAACCTTCCCGGCGCGCCATGTATGCTGGCATTGCTATTGATTCGTTTCAAGGCTGCGACCGCCGACATGGCGCCTTTGGGGTTCGCCTGAGCCGCTGACGGATCAGCCTTACTTCTCTCCCGTGCGTTTGACGAAGCTGCAGTGCGCGCGCTGTCCGCATCGTTTTCGTCCTTGCTCGGCTGGGAGTTCCCTGCAAACAGTTTGAGGGTCCAAGACGATAGGGATTTTGAAGACTTGCGAGAGTGGACGCTGTTATCGTCCCCATTGGAAGTCACACCTAGCTGCCGCTTGCCATCTCCCGCCACAGGCACCGCCTGCCCATCGGGTGGCGGCTGAAAGAGCTGGTCGTCAAGAGCCTTGCGTCGAGCCAATGAAGGATTGCTGCCATTGCGCGGATGCTGGCCCTCTTCCTCGATTTCCCCAACCTCACTCATGATGCTGCTCGCACGGCTGGTCTTGCGGCTGCCGGCCGTGCTTCCAAAGATATAATCCTGCCAGCTGCGCATGGAACTCTGTCTCTTGCGAGTGGTTCCTGATTCCGCGCTCGAGGTGCCCGATCGGGAGTCGCCCTCGGCGCGTTGCTGCGGACGGAGGGTGGCCTGGGTCTGCGGCGCTGAATCCGAGGTTTCCTCGTGCGTATGCGTGCCTACTCCGTCGGTCAAGGCTTGCTGCATTAGCCCGTGGACGCCAGAAGAAGAATTGACCGCCGAATCCATGTGATTACCGTCATCTACTCGATCCTGGTCCGATTTGCTCGGGGCATTCTCTAGCCCGTACAACCGTCGCTCGATGTCTTGGTTCGAGACCGAGACCTCCCGCAGCATCCTCTTCAACTCCCTCTCCCGCGCGTCGGCCCGTTGCCGCAGCGCCGAGATCTCGGCATCACGCTGCGCCAAGTCGCGGGCGAACTGTCGAACCAACTTGACGGCTCCGGTGCCCGCAATCAACCGCTCGATGTGCGCGTCGTCCGCCAGATGCAGCGCGCCGGGGACATCGCGGATTGGAACCGAGTCCCCGAACAGAGAAGCGCGACCTGAAGACGGCGGGAGCCCACCGGTCAGCTTGGCCAGGGTGGCCCGGCGGTCCCGACTCGTGTCGCTGGCCGCATCACCGTTATCACTATCCAACAACGCGTTCGACAAGGCGCTATTTAAGGCGGGCTGGCCGAGGAATCCCTCGGGCGAGCGATCGGGCGAAAGCGAGGGGAACGAGGTCAGGTCGGTGGTGGTGTTGGACGAAGCGGATAGACGTTTCTGGGGGATGGCGCGGACGGTTTTCGCCTTCTGGCTATGCCGCGAGGACGAGGAGGTGCGCGACGACGAGCGACGCTGCAGCTGTCGGGCATCGTGCTCCGCCATGGCTCGTGGGGCGGTGAACAGACCAGACGCAGGGTTTGGCGAGTGCGGACTTCATGAATGCGTGTGGATTCGTGTGTTGGCACTCATTCGAGGCGGTCGAGCTGAAGACTAGATATAGCACGGAGGATAGTTCGGGCAGCGTGTGAACGTGGACGAAATGGGATTGATGAGACGGGACTTTTTGTGCGGTGGATGGCGTAATCGTTGTTTGGGCGATAGATAACAAGGACCGATAGCTGCTCCACTTCAAACCGACAATGACTCAAAGAGGTGTCTGGTGTTTTAAGTCAAGGACCACCCTGGGGAGAGAGAAAGAAGGTGCTGACCAGGAAGAGGCGGAGGAGAGGAAGATAAAAGAAAAGTGATGGAATGCCCGAGGAGTTTCCCATGACGTGTGGCCGCGCGCAGCTGACTGACGGTCACGTGAGTGCGGTGATGTCAGGTCGACAGTTCTACAGTAACAGTGAATGTCAACACTTCCAAATATTTCCAGGTTTGCAGTCTAGACCTGACAGTGGTGGCAATTGCAACAACCCTGTGCTGACTACCTAGGTGACTATGTACAGTACCAATGCTGACAAAATCTCACTCGAGGGTTCCAGAACAACGGACGAGGACCCTGGATGCCAATCGGTATGACTGAGAAGCCAAGATCCAGACTAAGTGGAGAACGCACTTCGACATCATCGGGCAGAAGCTTCATCGTTCTGGAACATCATACAGCGTGGTAGATACTCTGGTAGTGTCCCCCGCGCGCGGCTCTTTTCCACTCCAGGCGATGCCAGCTCAGCATTGTGGATATACCAACACGGGTGCCCACCAGATAGAAGCGTAGCCTCCTTGCTTGGGGGAGTATGATCGCATTGATGTGTTTGTGTGTATGAAACAAAGGCTAGATAATTTGCACTAGACTGGTGGTCTTCTGCAAGTAGATACCATTCAATATATAGCTCGTTCAAGAGACCCGATCTTTCAATTCGCCGAAATGAGAAACGCCATAATATCATCGAAAGTACCAAGATGGTGAAGAGCGTCTCTCTTGAAACCCTTCTATAGAAATGCATAAATATAAGATGATGGTGATCGCGCAGAGGCAGCTTAGAAAGCCCCACGTGACTTATGCTATCCAATGATTAGTCATCCTTGTGAATTGATGGCCGCCCCAGATGCCAGGCAGGAGCCGCAACCACCATCACCTTATGCATCAAACCATGAACGAGATATTGACCTCGTCTTCTGCCCCTCTTAGATCAACACCCCATCTTGAACTCAAGTCCTACTCAGAGAACCAGGACTTACTTGCCCAAGGAGGAACGGAACCTAGCAGCCGCTCGCAAACTTTGATATGCTCTGTGAACGATAACAGATGGTGGATCAAAGTAACCCTCCTGGGTACAATCACTAACTTTCTTGACAATGCCGACATTCAACAGACTTCAAAGCGTCAGAGACGCATATTCTATCAACACTTTGTTACGCAGATCAACTACGAATCGCTCCCTCTCCTATCTGACACCGTGACTGAGATTATCCTCCAAGGTACAACAGCAACGGGTCAAGAGATGGAATTTGGATTAGACGATACCGATGATACAATGAGTATTCTCAGCAAGTCCCTCAAATACAGGATTAGGGAAGACCCTCTCAGGGTCGTCTATCCTCCATGCAACGAGTTCCCTTATTTTCGAAAGTTCAACGATGAACAGCTAATAACGGGTTCCGAAATCGCGGACGGAGTCTACTGGGTTTACAAGGATGAGATACGGTACATTCTCAAGATTTTCAACCGTCCTCTTTATGAACCCCGCGACACCGATGTTTTTCGAAAGGAGCTAGAAAATCTCGAGTACTTCGCAGGCCTGCCTAACATTGTGCAGGCGGCCGGTATTCGAGTGTCTACCAATCCGTATGCGACTTCGACTGGCAGTGATAGATCGCTGGTTGTCACTGGGGTTCTATTGGAGGCCTACTCTGGAGGATCATTGCGGCAGGTTCTTCTGGAGAATCGTCTTACAGAGTACCTCTGGAAACAATGGCCTGTCCAGATCGGAACCGCATTGAATCGCTTTCATAAGGCAAACAAAACTCATATGGACATAAAGCCTTCCAATATCGTCATTGACAGCAAAGGAAATGCAGTAATCATCGATATCAGCGGTATTGGCGGAATAACCCGCCAATGGTGTTCACCGGAGATTCAAGATGAGATGTCTCCTTTTGATCTTCCATTTGAACAACGTCAACTTAACGATCTCTGGGCATACGGAAGACTTCTATCCGAGATTGGCTCACACGCAACAGATGACCCATACGCGAATACGTTGAAGCAGGTTGCAGAATGTTTGATGAAGGGGAATTGCCAAACACTCATCTCTGATCTGCCTGCTTGCCTGCCGTAGATGTAGGTCCCTACCCTTGCCATTTACCTTATATTATTTAGCTAGTCTCTACCTCTATAGAAAGATAATCAAGTTCTCGTTCTAATTTATCTCCCTTACTACAGTAGTCAAGTGAATTTACTTGCATAGAACATTATAATTCATATGGTAGAGGAATGTTGGTGTCTAATGTACTCTGATATTTTTCGTGAACTGCGCTGAAATCCGGGGTGTTGACACGTGCGTTTCGAAGACTCGACCGGAGCACGACAACTATAATCATAGCTAGCTAGCAAGTGAACCGAAGCAACTTCAACAAGAATCTTTGTGTAGATTGATCTAAATTACATAAAAATTGGTGAGACCAACCCCTACTAGTAATTTATCTGTTTCTACAAAAAAGACATACTATCTACCGGAATCACCTGACCTCGAAACAACCTCGGCTCCCCGCAAAAGCAGCCGAGTTGTCGCATACTTCGTCTCGCCCCTAACTTGACATCTTCCTACCTCCCCTTTTGTCCATTGCCAACCCTCACATCCACACTCACATTTCTCTACTCGTCTACAACAAACCCATACATCATGTCCGCAGCCAAACAGCGTCTCCAAGCCCTCAGCCAGCAGCTAGTCGAAGGGATCCCCGACGCCGGGTCTTGTGAAGGTGTCCCGGGGATCCGGCAAGTCGCGGGAGATTCGACGGGACCGTATGTTCTCCTTCTCTTTCCTTGACATTTTTAAAGACGCGGGGTTTGTGTATTCGATGTGGTGTGAATATGAATGCGCAGGTTGCATTCATTCTACATATCATACATGCTTTTCTATCACCAGAGTCTCTACACCACCAGCTGGTTAAGATAACAGCTAACTAACGCCTTGACATACAGCCGCGTCAAGGGTAAAGTCGCCATCGTCACAGGTACGCCCTCCACTATAACTATAACCACACCCCTCCCTAACCTGATCAACAGGAGCAAACTCCCCCCTCGGCATCGGCCGCGCCACAGCCTACCACTACGCGCACAACCACGCCCACGCAATCTACATCTGCGACTACACGCCCACGCACCTAGAGACCTACGCGCGCGAACTCCGCACCCTCCACCCCTCCGTGAAAATCCACACGCGCCAATTCGACGCGGCCGACGAAACCGCGATCCAGGCGGTCGTGAACGACGCAATAACGACCTACGGCCGACTGGACATATTCTTCGCGAACGCAGGGGTGGTCGGCCAACCGAAACACATTTCCCAGGTGACGGGGGAGGAATTCATGGAGACGATGCGGGTGAATGCGCTCGGTGTGTTCCTGGGGGTGAAGTATGCATCCGAAGCTATGAAAATCACCACGACAACTTTACCCGAGGGTGTCAAGGACCAAGGTGCAGACGGGGCAGAAGGGAAGAAATACCCAGGAGGTTCGATCATCTGCACGGCGTCCGTAGCAGGACTCCGGTCGAACGCCGGGTCAACGGATTACTCGGCTTCCAAGGCAGCGGTGGTATCGATTGCGCAGACGAGTGCGTTTCAGCTCGCCGGGACGGGGATCCGCGTGAATGCGATCTGTCCCGGGTTGATTGAGACGGGGATGACGCAGGCGGTGTTTGACGCGGCGAGGCAGCGCGGGACGCAGCGCAAGATAGGCCAGCTGAATCCCTTGCAGCGAGGTGCTGTTGCCGATGAGGTTGCACGGGTGGCGCTTTTCCTGGGAAGTGACGAGAGTAGCTACGTCAATGGACAGGCGTGGGCGGTTTGCGGCGGATTGAGTGCAGGGCATCCATTTGTGCCGGGTAAGTTGGCTTGATCAGACAGGGATCTAGTGTATATACTATGTGACAGGGAGAATTTATCTTCAATTCAATTCCAGCAGATGCCCGCCAGACTTGTTCAATTCAGAATTTCTCAGACGGCAGCTTTCAAAGCAGCCCGTTCCGGAACTATAGACAAAGGGAAATATGTGGATGACAGCGAAAAAGGAAACTCAAAAGAATGAGGATGGGGTGGATGACACAGCCAGGACCCGGAGGTCGTGGATAAGAAGCGAAATGAAAAGAAAAAGGTCAAGAAAAGTAGAACAGCTGTGGTGAAAATCAAACCACCCAAATAAAACAACACTAGAATGAGTACAATATCCCCCATTGAAGAATGTAAATAAATAGATAGAAAAAATGGTCTCCAAAACCCCAAAAAGGCAATAGTGGGAATATCCAACGGCAAATGATCAAGAATGTAAAAAATTCGAAAGCCAAAAAAAAAAAATAACAACTGCCGTTGCACAACTCGCTCAAGTCGTGTCAGAGTCGTCGTTGCATCTCATCTTTTGTCGAGTGCAAAACTAATTTACGCGACCAGTCGGGGGTTGCTGGTGCGCATGAGATCCTCGCTGCCCTGCTTCGACAGGGTGCCGGTCTCGGTGTGGTCATCAAGACCATCGGTGTCATTGGCGTGCTCGTCATCATCCTCGACGATTCGCGTCGGAACCTCGCCTGGTCCGTACTGCTGGCTCGACCTTTCCGGGAAGGTCGAGTTGCTCACCATCGACATCGACGTGCTCGACCGGTTGTGGACGAGGTCCGGCGTCGGGGGCACGCTCGAGTGTCGGTGGTCAGGGTGCAGGGAGTCCCCCATCTCGCTGCCTTCGCGGTGGTCATCGCCATGAGGGGCCAGGCGGTCTCCATCCTTGCCGGGCTCCTCGGAGTCGTCCAGCTCGGCATCCTGAGCCAGGTGGAGGCCCTCCACAGCGGCGGCGCACTGGTCGCTGATGCTGCGGATGATGTCCGAGATCGCATCGGTCTTGTCCCGGAGGTAGCGATCTGCGACATCAGTAATGCTCAAACGGGCAAGGCGCTTGTCACCTTTACCAAGGCTCATGAGATGCTGTTCCATCTCAGGGTTCATGTCCCTCGTTGGGCCCGTCGTGGCGCCGCGGGTCTCGGACCGGGAGCTGCTGCGGCTGACCTCCTGGCGAGGCTCGGCGACAGCCGGTTCCTCGAACTTGGATGCGTCAGTGACGGCGGCCTTCTCCTCGACGGACTCCTGCTGGGCCAGATCAGAGAGGTCGGCCGAGCTACCAATGGAGCGAACAATGTGCTCCATGTGGTGAGACTGGCCGTTGATCAGGCTGCGAAGGTGGAGCACCACACGCTGAGCATCATCGCGTTGGCGAAGGAGGTTGGCGTTGTTGTGCTGCAGGCTGGCGAGTTCCTTCTGGTTGCGCTTCCTCTCGCGCTCCAACTCCTCGGCAATCTCCTGCTGAAGAACCAGCGCCTCCAGGGCGTCGTCCCGCTGCTTCTCGGTTCCGGACAGGCGCAGAGTGAGACGGGCGGCGTCGTCCTTCTGCTGGTCGATGAGACCGCTGAGGCGACGGTTCTCACGCTTGTGGTTCTCGATCTTGACCTTAAGCTCGGAGGTCTCCTTGGTGAGCTGCTCGGCGAAGGTCTGGAACTTGAGGAACTGCTGCTTCCAGGTCTCCAATTCCTCGACCAGGAAGTTGTTGCGCTTGGTGACCTTGCTGAGCTCGGTGTCCATGCGGCCCTTGAGGTTGATAAAGTCCTGCCAGGCCTCCATGGCATCCCGCGAGTACTGGTTGCGCTCGCGGACGATCTCGTTCAGATGGCGCATGGACACCTTGGTCATGAGAGGCTTCTTGACCGAACCGCCGAAGATGGCCTTCATACCCGTGTTGCGGCCCAACTTCTCGCAAACGTGGTCCATGACGCCCATGACGGAGTCCTGGTTCCACCACGACGGTTCCTGGACGCTTTCAACCTCGCCTCGCATCACGATGATCTGCCCCGCGGGGATCAGCTTGCCGCCGGCGTAGGCCGATCGGAGGTGGTTGGGCACGCCGGAGGGCGAGACGTCGCCGTTCATCGCCTGCGTCAACCGGTTGATGAACTTTGTTCGCTGTCCGGGGTTGAGGACATTAGGTGGGCTCGACGTCAGCACAAAGTTGCGATCTAGATCCACCACCAAGGCATCCGACGGGGCGTTGAACAGGGTTCGGCATTCCGCCGTGACACCCAGAATGTACGGGCCGGGTTCTTGGACCAGGTCTTTAATGTGACGGGCATGGACCACCGGCACGTACAACCCGCTCCACTCGTATATCCGAACGCAGTATCGGATCGTCTCGGCGGCGATGGTGAGCATGGCGGCGTAGTGACTGACAAAGATGATGCGGCGGGTCGGCGACACCGCGGCCTCGATAACACCCACGATGTTGGGAATGGACAGACAGGTAAACAGGGGCCACATGGCAAAGTTCTGGAAACCCGTGGGAGACGAGGGGAATTGGTAGCAGAGGGCATAATCCTTCATATCGATGCGGACCAGGTCGTTCAGGCGCGGGGCGGGGAAGCTCAGAATCCTCGACACTTCCTCCGCGTGGAACAAATTGGTGGCCTTGTTCCAGTGAATCCACATGCCGCGCAGGTAGTCGCCGAGCAGGTCGTACAGGGGATATCTCGAGAGGAAACTCAAGCAGTAGGGAATCCAGTAGATCTCCTCGGGGTTATCGTAGAAGTCGGGCTCGGTCTTCTTGCGGAGTTCCCGGATGGTTTCGGCACGCTTCTCGTCGGCTCGGGACCAGACGCGCAAGGCAATACCGTAAAGAGTGTGAGACGAATCCTGCTGTAGAACGAAGGCATGGTGGGCGCAGTGAGGCTGGGTCTTGCCGGTGCAGATCTCGACATCGTGAGGGAAACAGGCCTGAAATCGTTAGCTGGGAGTGCTCGTGATGCGCTCATTGATACAGTTCATCGGAGGTCAACCCACCCTCATAGCCGAGTGCAAGGACTTGGCAATCTCGTTGTCCTGTTCCAGGCGAGGACTACTGCCCAGAATTTCGGGCAACCAAAACTGACCGACGGCACCCTTCATATGACCGATCTTTCCCTGGGCGGGCGCGGGAGCCCTCACCCACTGGGAGGGCTCGCGGCCGACACCGCAGACCATGTAGGCATGAGTGAGGGTCTTGGGGGTCTTCTGGGCGGGTTTGACGTTGGACTGCGAAGGGATGGGTTGCGTAATGCGGGAGTGAAGCGAGGAGGTGCGACTAGGAACGACCAGCGAATTTTCTCCTTGATCGCGGGTGGACGGCCGGTCGCGCGTCGACGGACGGGCGAAAGAGGAGTGGTCTCTCAGAGATGGACCCATGATGAGGTTGTAGGATGTATATATAGATTCGGCGGAGTTTGTTTATCGAGCCAACCGTGGTTCGGGAGATCCGGTCGATTGGGATTCTTGGGACTTAGCCGTTCCGAGAACGAACGAAAGGGATTCCGAGGGGGTTCCAAGGTAGTTGTAGCACTTCTCGAGTGCTACCGGCAGGCCGTTAAGAAAGGATAGACGAGATTCGGAGTGGCAAGTGAGTGTCGAAGGTAGTCGGTAAGGGGAGTTAAGCGGACATGGAGTCAGTGGTGTACAACTACAGCCAGCGAATTGACACGAGGAGCATCTCCCAGCAACCGCCACACGTCTTTGATAGATGAACGAATTCACCCAACGTGTTGAAGCGAGGGACGATGTCTACACTCGCAGCTTCTGGAGAAGGGAGAGGATGAGGCCAGAAGCGGGAGGGAGGACGGGAGGGAGTGAACGAGAGGGAGAGGGGAAGGGAGAGAGAGAGAGAGAGAAAAAAGAAGGAGGGATGGACGGGGAAGAAGAGAGGAAGAAAAAAAGGGAGATGATCATTGACCAGGAAGAGTAAAGGGGGGAAGGGGAAGGAGTACTTTTACCGTACCCGTACGGTACAAGCGGAGTACCTCGAGGCCCTTAGCGGAGGACTAATCAGGGACGGATGGAATCCGTTATTCTTAGTAGTATTATTCCTCGGTATTATTAGGAGTTCAGGATATAAAAAATAAAAAATAAAAGGAAAGAAAATAAAATAAGGAAAATAATATAAAATGAAATGAAATAAAATAAAATAAAATAAAGAGGAATCCCAGCAATGATCACTCCAGAGACCAACAGAAATCCAGGAAACTTGCCCGTGCGGGGGAAAGTCAAAAAAGAAGCTCTTCAGTCGAAGGTGCGTCCGTTTGGACTAGACCGAGCAAACAGACGGCTCGGAGAATGGAATAAAATGGATCCTCCACGAGTTTTCCGGTTTCCCCCCTGCTTTCCACCGCGTTCCGGACGCATTTTGACTTTTGACTCCCCCTTCGACTGATTTGATCAATTCTTCCTGATTTCTCATTTTGTCAATTCTTAATCCCAGAAAATTGACAAATTCTCCAGTAACAACAATGGCTAAGAAAAACAAACGGCCCACCCCTTTATGCGAACCGCTCGTTGGAACTGGACGGGTCGCCTTATATTGATTGCCTTCGCACCGAACCAGCAACTGATCGACTGGGCAATTTAACTGCCAGGCCTAGTTTCAGTTGTCGGAGACTTCGGAAGGATTTGTTGGATATCCAGAGTATCCAGAGTATATTCTGTCTCCTGAATTGAGTAAATTAGAGAGATTAACCCTCGTAACTATAGAAGAGATAAGGACGTGTTTCAGCGAGTGGGTGAGATGGAGACTAAACTTTGCCCTTCCATCTTATTATTTCCTTCAACAGAATCTGTCAACCGCCACTTGCCAGATTGATTGCACTCCGGGTGAAAACAAACCTAAAGGATATTATTCCTGCAAGTACCCTCGCCTCGTCCCTTGGAATCTGCCACCTGAAAGTTTCTCGTTATGCCTTGCTACTCTGTAAGTCTAATTCTAATCAATATCCCCAGTGTCGCTTCTTCAAATCCTTACTCCGTACATTACTCGACCTTACCTACTATTCTCCTACCGACACACAGAGAACCACATCTCGAACCCGTAATTACGGAGTCTGGACATTCTTGTGAATGGATCATTGGATATCCAACCAACCTGCAGCCGTCCCACGACGCGTTTGCCCTTTGCCGTCTACCGGGGTCCACAGAGGAGACCTGCGCGTAGCCTCACGATGCTTCTCAACCACTCACAATCTCTGTTTCCGACTGGCGGTATTTCCGAGATGATGGGAATTCCCCGATCCGGTATGATTCAGATCAGGCACCCGTCAACATGACTCGTCGCTGCCATTTACCGAGCATTGAGCAGCGGCTGCGAGCGGGTGGAGGTAGTGTTTCGTCTTCACTGGCTAGCTGCACACGAACATCGTCGGTACTGACACTGACACTGACAGTCTGAAGACCTAACTACAGACTCCTCCGGTGGCGGTGCGAACGGGCGCTCGTCCCGTTTCAGTTTGTTGGAGCAAGGATGATTGTTTGTACCTGCCCAGTCCTCGGCCTCGAGATCGATCGAAATGATCGGAAAATAGACGTATCAATTTTGCTGAAACAAAGGAATCGGAAACGGTGCACGGGATCTGTTTGTAGAGGCAAACAAAGCAGGAAATGACAGCTCTATACTAAAGATAGAGAAAAGAAAATAGTAAAAATCTGTTTGTGCTGCACTTGGCCACTGACACTGTACACAACTCCATCTTATAATAATTAAATTAATCTACTGTAAACCGATAGAGGCGTTGCTTTCCGTGGTTCGTTTGACGGACGGGTCGGGGCACTGACTCTACACTCTACAGCACTGACTAGTAGAATCCTTCTACTAGTTACTACGGTAGTTAATCAGATGAGATATGATCTCATATCGCGTGCTGGATTACACCGTAGTTACAGTGGCAACTTCAGGCAAGTTGGTGTTACAAGGACTGTCCAAAGATCCGGTTTGGACCTTTCAACTCCCGGTCGGGCTCCACTTCGGCTCGCTTTGATCTTAAGTTCTGTCCGTCTAGTCGATGGGATATTCAGGTTTATGATGATAAATATTGATGGAATGTTGGTTTCAAGATCCCGATTGATTGCTATATTCTACCCTGATAAAGTGTTATAGCTCTGCTTGGTCAGCTTCAGGGTGTGTAAATGAATGCCACCAATACAAAACAATAAATAAAGTAGACTTTAATGTCTAATAGGCATATTAGATATATCTTAACCCTAGCCTATCCTAATAATAGTAAATCTTTGTATCTTATAGTTGAATACTATAAAAACTAAACCCGCGAGAGAAGCCCTAAAGATAGTATACTACACCCGTATTGACTACAGCGCATAGCGACTCTACCAACCCAAATATACTAACGAATTTGGCACCAAACTAGCTCGATCTCGTAGTGTTCTCTGTATTAATAGGAGGATAGCCACGGTTTCACACCGTCAAATCCACTGCGACTATCCAGACGTGGTGGCCGTCAAAATCTAAACTCTCGAACTTCAGTACCTAATATTCTCTATCTACATCCTCCCAATCGTGATATAGGACGCACTTAAAGCCAATAGTGTCTATAGTATCCTAATGGAAATTCAGCGAACTATTTCAGGAAATACTCAATAAAGTAACTGCACGATAAGCCTTGTTTTTCTTTCAAAACCACAAACTATAATAGATATTAGCCTCTAGGTACTGATCATCCCTTGTCGCCCATCTGCGTTGCTTTAAATCTTGATCAGCGGGATTTACTTTCATCCCATTGACTAATATGTATGTCAAGATCGGCGTGAGATCGAGGGAGATGAAAGCACTTCAAAGAATAGACATGGATGCTTATTCCGGTCCTCCCTCCCATGTTGCCTCCACAATCCCCAACGCTGAACCCGGTACCGTCGAGGACCGAACGGAGGAAAATCTCTTGTCGGCCTGTTTAAACAACGAGGCCCACTCGTCTTCATCCCTGAGACGGGACTTGTACACTCCCAGCATCAGCATATCCATCCACCGAATGTACCGTTCTGCAGCCAAGGACAGCGAGCCACTTTCTGGACACAGATTCTCGTTGACCAGCACCTTAACACCCGGACGCATAACAGGAACCAGCTGCTGCAGGATGGACACAACCGACTCGTCAGGCCAATTCATGAGTGTCCAGCGGAAGATATAAACGTTCGCCGCCACCGTCTGCGGCGTGAAGAAGTCGTGCGCGTCAAAGCGAATGTTGTCTAGATCTCCCCCTTCCCCATGCGTCGCCGCCTGGAAATCCTTCGCCGCGAAGGGCAGATCCTGAACCACCACGTTGATGCGCGGGTTTGCCTGCGCGATCAAGCGTCCGACGTGGCCGTTGCTGCCGCCGATGTCGACCACCGTGGCTCCCGCGGGGAGATCGGACCAGGGATACCGGTCGACGAAGTATTTGGGCGATGCTTCAGGGACGCCGACGGAGAAAAATTCCATGGCTTGGGCGAATTGTCGCCCTTTGTCCGGTCGCGTGCTGAGGTAGTCGAAGATACCCTGGTTGTTATGGGTAAGGGCGTACCCCTATGACAAGCTAGGTGGTTAGCTCAGCTTAGGCAAATACCATAGTTATCTCGTACCGACTCGTCGGGCTTATGTCCCGGGAACTGATCCATCGCGTCGACAGTCTAAATGCAATTGTTAAAAAAACTCAATAAACGGCATAGATGCACAATGAACACACTTTCGAAAAACAGTCGTACCACTCCCCGATTTGCGCCACACCAGCGGCGGCAATTGAGCTTTCGACGAGGGAGCGCGACGCAGCGGAGTGAGAGACGTAGCCCTTGCGCTCCTCACAAAAGACTCGGTGATAGGCGATCACGAATCGAATATACTGCTTGAGATCATGGACGTGGACGCCTGAAGCCTGAGAGAGATCTTGATAGGAGATCTCCCCGTTCAGCGGGACATGGTTGGCGATGCGATATCGCGAAATAGCCTGTATAGCCGCGCCATTCCACTGATTGAATAAATCGCCAACTCCATGATTAGCTTATTACTTTTTTCCGAGCAAATGCACATTTCTCCGACGCACCAAAGGTAGCAGGCCTGCTAACGGCCCTTGCAATCGATCCAGCAGTTCCATACACGCGTTAATGGCGTCATGCTTTGCTTTGACTTCCTCTTCTGTCGAGGGAGGAGTGGTCGGTGTGGATTTGGCCTCGAAGGTATGTTCAGTGGTATTGTATCCAGACTCTGATGCATCAAGTATGAAGGTCGCACGAGAGATGATCAAGGCGAGTCGCCCAATTTCTGACTGCATTGGCGCGTTGTGTTCCGACTAGTACTCACGAAAGAAAGTTGTATGTTATATCATACGATGCAGGCCTGTTGAGGTATAAATATCCAATCAATGAACAGTTCATCCGCATATTCCGCATATCCAACGTTCGATTTTATAATGATGAAAGTACTAAACTATACTATAGATAGACATGGCCCCCGCCGGAGTCTTCCGTGGTGCTGCTTACGCCGACGTGGAGCCTTTCGGAGAGTGGATCTCCTTGGGTTACATTGAGGCCCGGCTTGCCGTCTTACTCTCTTTGTTTGCTGATCCCCGCTGGTGGGGATTCAACAGCAGACAGCCAATCCTCTCTTCTGTTACTGGCACAGCGTCCCAAGGATCATAGTAAAAACAATGAACACCACTCCTGCCTAGCGAGTGTTCTAATCCTTGCCAGTGTGTTGGCTGAGTTGACCGGGGGGGGGGGGGGCGAGGTGGCCAAATACCTCGACCGGCCCTTCCTCCAGTCGCAAAAAAAGATCTACACTCGCTATTTTAACCCACCTGATTGTTTTTTGCCCTTCTACTGCCTTCCCCTTCACTACCGTTCGCCATGCCTGAGACGTACGATCATATCATTGTTGGCGGAGGCCTGACCGGCTGTGCTCTGGCGAGTCGACTGGCCGAGAAGGACGAATCACTGCGCATTCTGATCATCGAGGCTGGTCCTAACGTGGTTGATCATCCTCTGACCAGCACCCCATTGGCGTGCTTCGCCTCTCATCATTCGCCGTTGGACTGGGACTACACCACTGTCCCGCAGAAAAACCTCAATGGCCGCGAATGCTACAATAGCGCAGGCAAAGCATTAGGGGGAGGTACTGCAATCAACTACGGCACCTGGACTCGGGGAAATGCCGCAGACTATAACCTCTGGGCCAAGCTGGTCAGTGACTCGAGCTGGAGCTATGAAGGTCTTCTCCCTTACTTTCAACGCACCGAGACACACTACGACCGCGATGCAGACCCAGCTGTTCACGGAACCAGCGGTCCTATCCATAACACAATTGTCGAACTTACCAGCCCCGAGCGCCTATTTCCCCTGAAGGAGCCACTTCGCTCGGCATGGGACCGGCTCGGCGTTAAATTTAACCCAGATGCCAACGCCGGAAACCCTCTAGGGCTGGCGCACTTTGGAGAGAACTGGCGTGAAGGACAGCGTCAGCTTGCCAGCGAGGCATACGGGCTCTCGAAGCGTCAGGGCGTCACCGTCATTACTGATACATTGGTTGAGAAGGTGATTGTCAACGAGCAAGACGGACAGAAGATCGCGACGGGAGTCAAGGTAGTTAACGGCCAGGAATACCACGCCTCGAAAGAGGTGATCATCTCCGCCGGTGCATACCGGACACCACAGGTTCTTATGCTCTCTGGAATTGGGCCGGCGGAGGAGTTGGCCAAACATAATATCCCACAGCTAGTGGATGCGCCCGATGTAGGCCGCCATTTCCACGACCACTTCTGTGTCCCGCAGTGGTGGAAGCTGCGTCACCCTGAGCGAGGCCTCTCAATGGGCACGCCTCTCTGGACCAGCCCGGCGTATGGGATGGGAGTGCCGTACGATTGGAATGTCACTTTGCAAACCCCCTCGGACGTGTTGACGCGGGCATTGCAGGCTGATAATGGCGAGGCTGACAATAGCGAGGCTTCCAAGGACCATCCGTATTTGGATCCCAACTTCGCTCACACTGAAGTTCTGGTTATTTATGCACCGATGAGCCAGGCTGTTGCCGGGTTTGAGACGCCAATGGACGGCACGCATATTAGCACGGCTGTTCTGTTGATGGCTCCTACGGCGCGCGGTCAGATTACACTCGCCAATGCGGATCCGGCAACTGCTCCCGTAATTGATCCGAATTACCTTGGAAAGGAAGTAGACCGAGCAATTGTGAGGGATGGAGTTCGAAGAGTGGCTAAGCTTCTTCTTGATACCCCTGAGGGCCAAGATATGGTGGAGTACGAGGTGACCCGACCAGAGAATACGCCGATAAAGCTCGACTCCACCGACGACGAAATCGATGCGAATGTTCGCCGCGGAGGCATCACTTTCTTCCACCCAGGTGGATCGGCATCAATGGGCAAGGTGGTTGATACTCAATTACGGGTTAAAGGCGTAAAGGGCTTGCGAGTGGCGGATGCCAGTGTGTTACCAGTGCCTCTTGCGGCGCATTACCAGGCGATTTTGTATGCAGTGGCCGAGAAAGCGGCGGATCTGATTTCGGGTTAGATGTCTTGTATTCAACGAGTCTGTCGGTAGAGAGAATGCCTTGTGAGGATAAGCCATGCTCGATTTTCTCATCATATACGTAGACAGAATTGGAGAAAAGCACAGACATACGGAGTACTCTCTTGCAATGAGACGCCCGAATTAGCGCATGCAAGCAGCCAGTAAGCGAGAGAAAGTACTTAAAGCTCGGCCTCTCCATAGTATGTCAATCCTTCGCTCATCCCCAAATCTACACTCCTTGACCAATTGTCAGGACCATGGCAGACTCGCGGTATACACAGCTTGGGTCGGCAGAAAGCTCCCAGGAACTACCTCTCAACAAGCCGTCTCGCTGGAATGGGGCCTGGAAGTACTTGCTCCTGGCGCTCGGCGGACTTCTTTATATCTATCCATTTATATTTACGGCGAAACACGCCTTTTCAGAGCGAGCACCCAAAGAATATGGTAAGCCTGTTCGATCCCCCACATACCTACATGACAAAGTGACAAACCTGAGCCATGTCCAGCCCAAGTCAACACTTTCCGCACCGTGTGGAAGCCATTCACATGGAATACGGAATACAGTCCACAAAACCACAGCGAAGCCGACCCGCTCTGGGCGGCCATCAACCCTGCCCACGGGATCATCTCTGTCGACCGCGAATGGGCAGAGGAGAACCACTGGCCAAATTCGATGCCCATGCCTGACGACGACAAAAAGAGCGTCTATTTGCTAGAGGCCTACCACCAACTGCATTGCCTTGTACATGGCCCCTCCTCCATCTCGCCCCCCCCTCTCCTTATCCTCAGTCATGAAAGATCACTGACCCCATCTAACGCCATACAGCAAATGATTCGCCTCACTTTCTGGGAAGCGGTTGAAGGACGGCCGTATACCCACCAACCGTCGAATCACATGGAGCACTGTTTCGACTATCTGCGCCAAGTAAGCCGGATAGATGCCATTGCCAAGGCCAATGATCTCAACTGACATTTGGGACAGATTGTGCAATGCAACGCCGACAACACACCCCTGTATACATTTGGCGAGTTCCAGGCCGGAGACGGCCAGCTCCACCGGTGCCGCGACTGGGGCGAATTGCACGACTACGCGACGGATCATTCGGCTTGCTATCGAGACAGTGTGCATGGGATTCCGCTCAAGGACCACTTTGGCTTTTGTGACAGCGCTAAAGTAGATGGCTTGGAGAGGACCTTGGATGGTTAGATTGGAGTATGCAATGTACGTTGACCTGTTGGTTGAGCGAGTGGCTGTCAGGTGTTTTTGAGAACGTGTTGGGTTTTTCTCGCATGAGGCGCCCTTGCCAAGCGTACTAAAAATGCATGTAAGACGTACATAGCAGTTGTTTGGCTTTGGAACTAGTATATGCTGGGGCCAAAATATGGAGTCGGTATCAGCTTGGTGATTGTGAGGGGTTATCGCTGGCTTTTCCTAGCCCCCTCATCCCTCAATTCATTTATCCTGAGCTTCGAGGAAGCCTAATAGATGTCTGCATAACAATGAATTCACTTCTAAGAGGACGGCAGTATGATAGTTCCGCCAACAATGAGGGCTCCGATTCCGAAGTCGAGGCGGAACAGTCAATGTTGCCTAAGGAGGAGAAGCAGGAGCCAACAAGAACGCGAATATGGACTAGGTATCTGCTATCCTGGGTTTGTGGACTGTGTGTTGGTGTCTTGATTGTGATTCCGTACAGTCATCTACGGTTCTCGGCACAGTCTACTATTATTCTACAGGGCGCGCTGCCTCGAGGTATGCATCTTCGGTCACGAAGGGACAAGAAAAATACTAAGCAACACTGTAATGAATTAGTTTCCCTCCAACAATGGACTGTTAATCATGTACAGCGCAACCGCAGTTTTGAAGCTCCGCCCGCGGAAGGAGCCACACGGGAAGCCATCTGGGATGACCTCCTACCTAAAGGTTTGGGATACGTCAACCATCCAGATGTAGCTGCAAATCGCTCTATACTAGGTGTATTTCACTCTCTACACTGTCTAGTATGTATTCAGCACCTCTGTTTTAATTATCTTGTATTCGTACGTGCTGATGGTCTTACAGTATACCATCCGTCGCGCATACTATGACCCCAACTCCACGAACGACGTCCTGGACCTGGGTCTTGAGCGCGAGCCGCACGTAGGACACTGTTTCGATTACCTCCGCCAGAGTCTCAGCTGCACGGTCGACCCGACTATCGAACCTGCGGATAAACACCTTTTCGAGGATCCGTCCTGGGGGTTTGATAAGCATTGTAGGGATCTCGAGGAGATCAAGGCCTGGGCGGAAGAATTTCGGATATGGGATATAGAGGGGACATTTCTTCCGTTTTAGTTGGAAAAAGAGTATGTAACCTACTTGGTAGGGAATTGATACGATATACAGAGCGAATTGCCTATGAACCAACCCATCAATCGAAGTTTTTGAACTTGGCAGAGCCTATTTCAACGGTGATGAAGCAATGGCATCTGTAGGGGCTTTACCAATCGAAGTCCAATCTAGGACGCGTATGCCATAATGACGACATTCTCTACGAGCAGTATGCATCGTATATTTTGCCCAAAAGAAGAAATTCCGATTGTAGGATTGCTAATTCCCTCGGCTTCTTGCGCAATTTGGTGAGTGATACGTGGATCTACCATTGATCGTATTCATGTAAAGCATAATTCATTGGATGGGGTTTCTGGCTAAGTACAGATGCATGAGTATATTCCTTTGCCCGAGCCACGAGGACCGTTTGAGAAGTCGAGAGTCAAGTCCCATAAACCCAGTCTGAACCAGCGCCCGTTCATAACACATCTTAATAGGCGTCGCCGACCTTCTCGAAGTCGGCCTTCTCGGCACCGCGCTGCTCTACACGACTGAATTAGCATCTCTGTCTCGTACAAGATAGGGAAATTTCTTACCGTTGGTGGAGGGGGAGGCAATGGCAACAGAGGCCAGGCCGAGGACGATGAAGGAAACAATAGCCTTGAACTGCATTTTTGGAATTGGTAGCTGTTGAGTTGAGAGGATGGAAGATCGATTGATGGAGATAGACGGGGATGGATGGTTGAGAAGGGTCAAGGATTTCTAGGAATCAGCTGCCTTCTTATAGTGCTCGCTGCTGACCCTTATCAAGAAGTATACTACCTGAGTTGTCCTTGAACAGCGGGGATCCTCGGTCTATCCGGGCCAAGTATACAGAGTGCAGCAAGTGGTCATGCAGCATTCATCACACGTTCATACTTGGTGAGGGGTTATACTCTCGCTAGCTGCATATCCATAGAAAGTGTCGCTCTCCGCACACTGCTCCGAGCCTCATCGTAGACGTTATCGCTCGCCTCGAGGCGATGTTAGTGACAGCGGCCACTCACGTCCACCATAGCGGCCCGTGTTGGATTGGATTCCCTTGCATGAGCTTACGGGTGGATTCATGCATCGTACTTCGTATGGCTTGTCTTACGTGCATACTCTTTAGACCCAGAACTTTTGTCAGATCCCTCGGCTACCGTACTCCGAGAAGGCGCACCACTGACTGATTACTCCAATTCGCCATCCATGATTCGCTCACATTGTTTTCTCTTTATCTTATTCTCCAATTCTTTTCATTAATGTTACATCTGCTGACGGAGGTTACAATCCGTAGAGAAGTACTAGTGAGTAGTTCCACCGGCCGGCCCGGATACCTAATCCCGTCTGACTGACGATCATCGCGGCTTGCACTATTCACTCGGGGTTCACGGGTGGCTTGGAAAGAACGCACGTTTAATGCTCCGTGCTTTTGCGGTGTCGGCATAGAAAGGGTTCACCACGGCCTACTGCCATCTAGCTTAAATTGGCAGGATCTGTGGGTGGTATGAGCATTAACCGAGATTATCAGTCGATCGGTAGTGGATTCTCGACCAATTCGAAGCTCCTTGGGTGATAATATGTAAATGAACACAGATATACACAGATTGCTCTACCTATACACAAGCCTATATCGTCTAGCCAGCAAGACAAAAAGAACGAACAACGCCAACAATCTAAAAATACAAGATATGCTTTTACTCTTCCCGTCAAACGAACGTCGTCGTAGACTGGATATCATGCTGCACCGATATCTGCTTGGCATTATGCTTCGACGGCGACGGCGATACGGGGGGGCCGCCCTGCACCTGATACGTTCGACCCTGATTTGCCGAGGACCCTTCTGCATTTTGCGTCCAGTCATCCGTCAGAGGAATGTCGTCCTGCTGAATATACCCGGACTTGCTCGAGACCGTGGCGCTGAACTTGCCCGATCGTACGTAGCCACTACCCCCGGACGGGCTTGTACTTGTACCCGATCTCCCTCTAACCAGAGGTCCTAGCATGGGCAGGCATGCTGCAACAATACCCACGGAGATCTCGACGAAGGACCACATTGCAGCGCCGACTGCTGTCCCTGTATGATATTAGTTGGATAGCGCAAAACGGAAGATAGCAGGGGATACTCACAAGTTGGATCGACAAGACTGAGTTCCGTCATTGCGACGGCGCGGATGATTCCGAAGACACAGACACTGGAAATAAGAAAAAAAAAAAAAAAAAACACATATCAGCTCCGTTTGGTGGGTATTTGTACTATGCCCAATGCGAAGGACGACTTACACTCCTCCCAGTAGGAATATTCCCATCACCTGCACTTTCCGAGCCGATTTCATGTTCAGATTCATCACCGGTTTTACGGGGAGGGCCAGAATGAGCACATCGGTGACTATGTTGACAACGCTAAGAAGACAGACGAGTCAGTACCTCTCCCGAGAGCGTGACTGTGGGGGGACGATTGACTCACGCCAATCCAGTGAATGAAGGCTCCGTGTTGATACATGACGGCCCACCAGTCCAGAGATCAGACAGTGGAATACACTGCAGCCCGGCGATCAGGATGACCGCCAGGTTGTACAGAACAACAATGGTGCCGACAATCCAGGAGGATGTGTATATCCATTTCGACCCGAACAGTCGACAATAAAAAAGCAGGACCGAGATCTTTGTTACCATTACCGTAAAGGAGTAGCTGACGATGGCGGCAACATATCCCTATTCCCATCAGTCAAAATAGGACCTAAGACCCAAGCGCTGTGATCTTTTGCCTGGACAGAGAGACCAACCTTGCTGAAGGAGACCGCGTCCTTGACAAAGATAATATGTCGCCCTTGACCGTTGTCGATGGCCTTGGCAAATACAACGGCATATGTGATCTCACCCATCTGCAGCAACTGTCAGGACCCGACTTCTCATAACGACAAACGTTGCGAATCGTACCATCGCCGCAATTATTGTCCAGTCTTCCGGTCCAAGCGTAATCCTGGAGATGCGCCGCGCCGCGAATCGTGCAGCGACCGCGACGATGGCCGCGAAAAGTCCACACACGAGAGAGGCAATTTCATTAGGTCGCTTATCATCGTCGGCATGTGCCGTATAATATTCGAGTTGCTCAGGGGTTGGTTGGGCCATCTTCGACCTCAAGGTTCGGGGCGTGCCCCGGTGTATCCGCTTGAGTCACGTAGATGAGGCGGGGGAGAAAGAGAACATCTAAAAGAACAGGGACAGATAGGGTGCAACGAGGCGGATAAATTATCGAATTATGGAATACCAACCACCTCCAGACGATAATTTGCAGACGCCCAAAAATAGGGAGTAGATGGCAGGGGGCGCGGCATGTTAGAATTGAAGATAGCCGGCTGTTAGGAGAGCGATTTTGGGGCCGGCGAGCTCCTTGTTCAGGTAAGCGAACGGCCCTAAAATATGTTTTAGCTAGCTCTTGGGTTGGTTTTTGCCCTTCAACATCACCCTTCCTGGCTACAGAAGAGTACTCCTAGCGAGACCGAAAATCGTCTTCAGATCGGTCATTGATGGGCGCCGGCCAGGCGTTAGGTTCTGCATGACCTTCATTATTCTCGGACCTTGCTGGGGCCAAACATTACCAGAATATGGGGCCAACCCTGTGTCCGATACCGAGAAAGGTCCCCAACGGACTAGAAGAACACGCCAGAGAAACCGGATCAATGTTGGTACCTGATGGGAAAAGAGACACTGCCGTGATTTTCACCCCAAAGGACACATCGGCCCAGTCTTCGCCAGCTAACTCGGTAGGAATAGAAGGGGAGGGTAAGCAGCAAAACGGAGCATGTCGTCAGTCCTGCAATGTAACGTCGGGATGACTAGGATCGGCGTCTTAGGGCTTACATTCGCGGTGCTTACTCTTGGCAAGGGGTGGCCAAAACGCAATCTGTATCGCAATAATGATCGTACGGTGTAGATTGCGGTCCCTAGAATATGAACATAAGTGTCACTGCATAGTTAGCGCGCTCCATAGGTATTTGTGAATTTCGCTTAACGACCCTCATGAATATAGGATAAGACAAGAGGCGATACTCCGTAACTAGTACAGAGGTACATTTAGTCAATCACCAAATTATGTAGGAAACGTCAATTATGCAGACCAGGGATTTGTAATGTGAGTCAAATCACAGTAGAAAACATTGACCGGAATGACTTTCTCTTTTCTGCCAAAAGGACAATATATTCCTGGCATCAATGGCCTTCGGGGCATGGTATGCCCCAAGATCACCTCGTGCGCTGCCTAGCCAAGACATACTATTACCTAGGCCGTATATGCTGGCAGTAAACATAAATGCTGCCCACTCAGACTAAACACGCATCAAAAAAGGAACTAGAAAGCGGTATAAGTGGATCTACATCTTATCAGTAGCCAATAAGCAGGACGATATGCAGAATAAATAATACCTAGGAAGGTAATCCATGCAGGCATACGTACTATGTATGACCCTACACCGGTGTAGTTGCGGCTGTGTTGGAGAATATACTGCACACCGGCACAAGGCATTTCGAAATTTCCCATTTACTGCACTCAGAGCAAGGCGTATTTGCTCAATCTCGCTGAGTCAAACACTTTGATGCTTCTTCTTGGTGAGCTTTCGTTCCTTCTTCAACTTATAACCTAAGATTTACAGCTGCAAGCATCAAGCCATGGGCGCCACCAGCGGCAACGAGACACTGCGAAAGTAGTCCCCGGATGAGGTGTTAAGCACCAAGTCAAAACCACGGCCGCCGGTGGGCGGTATTGAGCTTCAAGTAGGTCTCCGTGCTGCGCGAATCGAATGTGACTTGCCGGGATGCCCATCTCCTGCAGGAGTTGTCGTTTGGATTCGCTGCCGGCCGTAACGTGGACTTCGGCCCGGTGTAGACGGGCCACGGTGATGGCAGCGGTGCCGAACCCTCCTGTGGCACTCTGGATGAGTACAGTTTCTCCAGGCTGGAGGCGACGTATTTCCGAGATGATGGGAATTCCCCGATCCGGTATGATTCAGATCAGGCGATTTTACTGAGCATTGAGCAGCGGCTGCGAGCGGGTCGAGGTAGTTGTGGTTTCATAAGTTCTTCCTCTTCACTGGCTAGCAGTCAGATGAAGACCTAACTGCAGACTCCTCCGGTGGCGGTGCGAACGGGCGCTCGTCCTGTTTCAGTTTGTTGGAGCAAGGATGACCGAAATAATTGAGAAAGTGACGTATCCATTTTGCTCAAGACAAAGAGATCGGAAACGGTGCACGAGATCTGCTTGAAAGAGGCAAACAAATCAGGAAATGACAGCTCCATACTAAAGATAGAGAAAAAAAAAAAATAGGAAAAATCTGTTTGTGCTGCACTTGGCCACTGACATCTTAGAATAATTCAATTAATCTACTGTAAACCGATGGAGGCGTTGCTTTCCATGATTCGTTGGACGGACGGGTCGGGGCACTGACTCTACAGTACTGACTAGATCGCTATCTACGTACAAAATCCTGCGAGTCATTAGTTGGCAAGATAAACTCTCATCTCATCCCCTGCTAGACAGCAGGTCGAGGCGCTATTCATTACACAGTTACTTAACTAGGGATGTTGGTGTTACAAGGACGGTTCAAAGATCCGGTTTCGACCTTTCAACCGGGCTCATGTCCATGCTGATAAATATGGATGGAATGTTGGTTTCAAGATCCCGATATATTTGTATAGCTCATTCTGATAAGTGTTATACCTTTACTTGGGCAAGGGTGTGTATATAAATAGCTATTTAGTAAGTAAAATACCATAAGTATGAATACTGGGTGAGTAAAAAAGAGAAATATATCCTCGCCTACCTAGCCCTGTACCTAGATTCCTAGCACCCCTCAATATATTTGATAACAATCCTCGATCCTCTTCACCCAGATATTGTACGTAATCAAAGAGCGATAGGAGAAAAGGAGTAAACTTGTTTCCAGTAGACCTCAGTTCTTCCGTCCAAAAAGCCAAGGCATCTCCATGATTATCTGCAGCATCTATACACGTATACTGAGTCTTTTTTCTACAGCCTGCAATTATAGTTAATTAAGCTAGTCTGTATAGTCTAGATGAGTGACTTTTATAATTTTGTTCCCTAGAGATAACCCACTACCAGTCTACATAGATTGAATCGAAACAAACACAGAGCGAGCGACAAATCAACCCCCTCCACCTCCCAACTCCTCAGCAATCAACCCAACCAATCCATTCACAGTCATATTCTTCTTCAAAAGCACAACAAACGGTACATCGACATTCCACGCCCGAAAGACAAAAGTCCGCAACTCAGCCGCGAGCATCGAGTCCAATCCGAAGCCACTTAACGGCTGATCCGGTCCCAGTAGCACACCTTCTGCGAGAAGGACCAGGCTGGAGATCTTTCGGGAGACGGCGGTGCGGAGTGCGTCGATTGCAGAGGAAGGGTTTGTGTCGTTGTCGTCGCGAAGCCGTCGCTTGATTGTCTCTGTCTCGGGAAGGGGAGGATTTGCACCATACTTTGTGGTTTCTTTGCTGGTGGCGGTGCGGGAAAATGACGCGGCGAAGAGCGCGGCTCGAGGGTCGCTTAAGATGGGGTTGTCGCTGTCGAAGCCCCGAGCACCAGCGTCTTGATGGCCCCTGAGGCTGATGAATTCCATCCCAGAGAGAAGATGCGAGCCCGCTAGGTGATCGTATCTCGAGTCCCAGGTAGCGGGTCGTTGATTTGTGACGGCCATGTTCATGGTCTGGATGAGCTCGTCTTCGTTCATAGGGTTGATGCCCTTCCGCTTGATGACAGTCTCGATATCTGGATGTTCGTGCAGGTAACCGACTTCGGAGACCATGCCGTAGCCGATGGAGATGGCCGGGCTTATCGGAACCAGACCGTCCGAGGAAGACGAAGTGTCGAGCACCGCAGGTCACCATCCACTCCGATAGGCTGCGACCTAGGCCGCCGAGACATCCGACCATGAGGTAGCACTTTTGGGAAGAGAACCTGGCCTCGTACCTCTTCGGAATCAACTTGATTTTCGTGTTGATATCCTGAAATGACACGGCTACTTTGCCCACCCGTGTGCCGAGAGAGAAGTGCCGGAAGGCATTGATAATATCCGATGCGTCGAACGTCTTTATGGGGGAACACGGCTTACAGATCTTAGATCGAACGAGAACCAGACTCTCCGTAAGCAAGGTGTTCCATAGTTGATGGTGGGCTTGTTTTCTCGAGAGGTAGAGATCGGACAAGTCAAAGGCCATAAAGGAGATATTACGGCTGAATGTGGACATGTCCAGAACGCCATGATCAAGAATGTCGCGTTTCCCAATTTCGACAAATCGTCCAAAGTCAGCACATGCTCCAAGGCTGCTGTGCAGAAGGTCGCCGGTGAGAGAGTTCAGAACGACGTCAACGCCCTGACCGGAGGTTGCGTCCATGATGGCAGGGAGGAACGACGAATCGCGCGAGCAGAAAATGTGTGAAGGGTCCAGATCACAATTCTCAACCAGGAATGACCTTTTTGATTCGTTGCCAACTGTGGCAAAAACCTATCAAATGGTTCAGTAGCGCCTCCAGATGTAATTAACGCGATGCATAAATACCTTTGCTCCGAGATGCTTCGCATATTGGATTGTTGCAAGACCTACGCCACCGGCGGCGGAATGAATAAGGACGGTCTAATTTCTTCAGTTCATTTTATAAGAATCGAGTCGGTAAATGCACCTACCTCTCCTGGCTGCAGATTTGCTCGATATTTCAGTCCATAAATGACGGTTGAAAACATAATAGGAATGGTAGATGCCGTCTGCTAATGTGAGCCTTTGCTTCGTAGGGCCTTCGAAACGTACCGTGAAGTCTTCATCGTCACTCAACCTACACACTGCCCAATGTGGGAAGCGCTCGATGGTTGCGAAATGACCCGGCGCCATTGCAACTACACGATCACCAGCTCTAAATTCGGAAACATTGCCGCCGACAGCTGTAACGACACCAGCGCATTCGCAGGAGCATGTAGCATCCTTGGTATCCACCCTAGCGCTCACCGCATATAGATCCTTTTCCTTTTGTTATCAAAGCCAGCAATGCATTCTAGCAAACAACTCACCTTTGCATTCATACCTACGCTCTTCACACTTATCTCCACATAATCCACATGCAAAGGGGTTTCATATTCAGTTTGCACAAAGTGAATAGTGTCAATTTGCCCTGGGCTCTTGATACCCAACTCACAACGCCCAGCAGCCGCAAGAGGAAAGTCAATCGTTTCCTCATTCTGCTTCAGACGGAAAGCTTCGTTGAGACGATCGTCAGGCTCCCAGCGAGAGATATGAAGCACCCCATCTCGCTGAACAAATTCGAAGTCAGGCTCAAGCTCATGGGATACTCGGCCTAGAATCGTCATGATATTCTGGAGTGTGTCGGGCGACGAGGCTGACTTTTCGTCTACATCCAGAACCGCAAATTGGAGGGAAGGCTGCTCGATCATGAGCGTACGGGCGAGTCCGCGAACTGGAGCAAAGTCGGGACGTTCTCCGTCCAGCAAGCCTCCTTTGACGACCCATAGGATTTTGGCAGCACGATCGGTGATACTTTTCAAATGCTCTATCTCATGCTCATCGGCCACGCTCAGGAGAGGTTGCTGTTGTTCTAGAGTGGATATGATGATCGATCGGTCCGGCACTGTCTCGGGGCTGACCTGGGACAAGCAGATTATACTAACAGTTGATCCCAAATGTCCCTGCAGCGTCTTTTGGAGTTTGAGAACCAGAGAAGTTGGGCTACCATCTCGGGTCACCTGTGCTATTGTTAGAAATCTCACAGTCGGAAGGATATCTGAAGGCATACCACAATTGTGGGAGTTCTATCAATCTTCGCCTGGCTACTCAGATCGCTGATAGTTGTCACTGTCACAGGAAAAGACCCGGATCCTTTGACAACTCTGTTCCAAGAGATTTCATCGCTGAGTGCATCCCCCCTCCAGATTACAATTGCCCCAGGTGTGAGCCTGCTAGCAAGGACCGGTGTCCACAGATCGGCCTACGATACGTCAGTGTAAATTTGGACTGAAATTGCTGGGCAGCAAACATACCGAAGGGACAAGGACTATATCGAATTTCCTCTTTTCTGGGATAGCTGATGAGGTCTGTGGCTTCTGCTCGTCTGTAGTCTCGACCAGATCGCCATTGCAGAAGATCCCACGGCTGTAAGAGTTATATCGTCTAAAAGAAGTACCGGTGCGCAAGAGTGCACGAACAACCTCTGAAAATCCCGGTTGATGGCTAAGTTCAAGGATATTGCTCGTACACCGCTGGTGGCAAGCCAAATCCAGTGCACCGGCTAGGCGAAGCCAGCCCTGATCAGCCAACCGAAAGCCGCACTCCTGCGTAAACCAGTTGAGGTACTGATCAAAACCAGTGTTAGTAAGTGCGGTAAAATCCGGTTTCCACACGGCTCGGGCAAGGGGGTTCCGTGGACCAGTGACGTCCGTTTGTCGGTTTCCCTGATAAGCAATACAACGAGCCTGGCCCATCCTGACCAAGACTTGACCAGACGAGTTGAACAGCTCTGCATCGACTTTGACCGTCCCAAAACCTACTTGCTCGGATTGAGTGTCAATGACCCACGGCCTGTCGGTGTCCATATGGAGTGCAGCCGGAGGGGCGATGTAGACAGAGTCCATCGCTACAGGGACCGTAGCCCGGAGCTTGCGTATCCAGCCGCCAGTAGTAGCGACGTAGGCAGTCTGTAGAATGGCGTCTATGGATATCGGATGTGCAATATATCGGCTCCCTACGTCTTCCCGTCGGAGATGTGTCGTTGCTGCTGCTTCGTGTGCCCTGCGCTCGCGATCTCGGAAGACCTCCTCCAAGACAGCAAACTGGGGCCCCCAGTTGAGCCCTTCTTGGCTGAACTTGCTGTACCAGACACGAACCGCGTCCTGCTGCATCTTAGATTTATCAAGTTGAATTTGCCGATTAATTTGCGATGAGGTTTCTGATAAGCGGACGACCGCAGTCATGTGCAGGGTAGACTGAGAATTGTTGTCGACCGAGACAACACTGAATGTCCACCACTTGTCTGAAATGACCAAGTTGGAGATCTTCATCGGGCGCATCTCGGTAAAGATCTCGATTGTTGGCCTTCGCTCGGGATCCATATCAAGAGCTTTGATGAAATTGAGGTCGCGAAGTTCCACACCGGGACTGTCTTCCAACTGCAGACCTGCAACCTGACACATCGCCTCGACTGCCATAGCAATATACCCAGCAGCAGGGAATACCACCGATGGGCCCAGGCAATGATGCTTAAGCCATTCGGTTTCGTTCAGGCCCAGTAGATTCCGCCACGTCACCACTGCGGTGCTGCCTCCAGGCACTTGGGATCCGAGGAGCTCGTGTCGGGGATACTTGCGGTTACGGAATTCAGTGACAACCCGAGGTTCAGACCAGAGCGCGGGAGAGCTGTAGTCCCAGGGATAAGGAGGCAAGTCAACCAAGACGCGAGGCTGAGACCCATCCGCGAACGTCTTCTGGTATTGAATGTCATCGTGTCCGTAAAAAAACAATGAGCCAACAAGCTCAAGCATCGTCATCCATGCATCCCTGTGGCGGATCAGAGCGGTGTCATAGCGATAGCGATTCTTTTGGAGCGTGGACGCATTTTGCATGATGGCGAGCTGAAGAGCCGAGTGCGGACCGAGTTCCACTAGATGGTAACTGCCACGCCCCAGGATGAATGTGATGGCCTCGTCAAATCGCACCGGGGACTCGAGATTGGTGCGCCAGTACTCAGGCCGCCCGACCTGGCTTGTACTGACTGGCGCACCGGTTACAGTGGAAACCGTGACCACGGACGACCCTTGACCCTCCATACTGCCATTGCAAACGGTGCGATCAGGCATTTCCCAATAGCGCTCCAGTAAGGCCTGGTACTTGGGCCCCAGAACCTTCATATGATGCGAGTGGTATGCCTTGCCTCCTGTTTTCAGCTTCCGAGACCAAATTGACCTTTCTTGAAAGATTTCCATAAGTCGATCTACGACAAGTGTATCCCCACTGATGGTCGTGCTTTCTGGCGAGTTCGCGCAGGCAACGGTGACATATTCACATAGACCAGATGCTTGGATTATCATCTGAACCTGCTCCTTCCCAAGTCCCACGGCAGCCATGGTTCCCTCAGCGGAGCCCTCAGCGGAGCTCTCAGCGACAACAGCTCCGCGGAAAAAAGAAGCCAAGATGGCTTGCCGGAGATTGATGGCCCCAGCGGAATAAGCTGCTGCAATCTCGCCGGAGGAATGTCCAGTTACCATTTCTGGCAGAGCCCCCATGTCTTTGAGTACGTCCGTTAGCGCAACCTGCACGGCCGTACAAAGTGGCTGTGACATTTCGGCGGAATTGATGTCACTAGTTTTATCTGTTTGCAGAGCGCCTTCCAGGGTCCATGCTGGCGCAGATTCTGGGCCGAGGGTTCGTAGACAGAAGTCCAGATAACGTATGGCCTTCCTGAATACGGAACTGTGAGTTAGAAGCTCCTTGCCCATTCCAGCCCACTGTGCACCCTGTCCGGTGTAAACAAAAACCAATGGAAATGGTACGCCACGGGGAGAGTTGCTGGTTCTAAAGGCAGCACTATTGAGGCCTTTATCGATGCTTCTTTGAGATTCGACCAAAAAGCCGCGAGCGGCCAACTTGGAGCGACGACAGGTCAATGTAAAGGCCAAATCCTCAATGGCAACCTGGGGAGTTGTATGAGAAGCGTAGTTCGCCAAGTTCTTAGCTATTTGTGCGAGGGACGTTTCGGATCGAGCCGAAAGAGGCAACAAATATAGCCTGTCTGAGTTTATGTCTTCTTGTGAGCCATTGAGTCCATTGATCAATGGGCGCTCTTGTGCTGCCTCAAGAATAGCATGTCCATTCGCGCCCCAGAACCCAAAGGAATTGATCGAGGCTCGTGGGACACGGGATACGGGCCATAGTTGGTTACCAGTTACGATATCCACATTCCATTCATTTGTTTTGATGCTCGGGTTTATGTCGTTGATCCCGATGGTAGCAGGTATCATGCCCTTTTCCAGGGATAGAGTGACTTTGATTAGGCTTGAGAGACCACTCGCGCCTTCACTGTGACCGACATTCGGCTTAATTCCTCCGACGAGGGTCGGTCGTCCGGTCCGATGACGAATCACACCTGCTATTGCCTCGATTTCAATAGGATCACCGACCTTGGTGCCCGTCCCATGAGCCTTTGGCTGTCAGTATTATTCTTTGCCAGTACCGAAGATGCTTACTTCGACGTAGTCCGTCTCTCCCAGATCCAGGCCTGCTCGACGATACGCCGCTCGAATGACGGTCTTTTGCCCTTCTACGCTAGGTTGAACGATACCTGGCGTACGTCCGTTCCTGGGGTTCATAATAAGCATCTACATCCACGACCAAGTGGGCAGCCTACCCGTTGACCGAGGTTCCTTTGATGACAGAACGAATTGGATCCCCATCCCTCAGTGCGTCGCTCAGGCGCTTCAGATATACCGCTGAAACTCCCTCCGCTCTACCATATCCATTAGCCGTCTCGTCAAAAGTATGGCACGTCGAGTCTGGTGATAGAATTCCGGCTTTGACGGCGGCCATCTGCTGCTCTGGAGACTGGATGAGGTTTGCACTGGCCACCACAGCCGCGTCACAGTCCTGAGCATCAAGAGCCAAACAGGCCGAATGAAGAGCATACAGTGACGAGGAACAAGACGTATCAACCACATTGGATGGGCCGCGCAGATCAAAATAATGTGTGATTCGATTGGCCAGAACAGCCAGTCCTGACCCTGTCGCACTATACCGGGAAAAGTACTCTGGGTCTCTATACTGCATGATCATGAAGTCATTCGTAAAGTTGCCCACGTAAACACCGGTATTTGAGCCGTAGACTCTCTTCAATGGCACACCGGCATTCTCAAATGCTTCATAGGTCACTTCTAGAAGTTTCCTTTGCTGGGGATCCATGGATGTTGCTTCGAGATCGTTGATCCCGAAGAACACGTTTTCGAACGATCGAAGGTCCTCCTGGATGAAGTAGCCGCCGGTGGAGTTGATACTTCCAGGTCGATCGGCATCAGGGTGATGATATGCAGCTGCATTGTAGCGCTCTGCTGGAACGGCACAATGGCCCGTCTCGTTTCGGTCGAGCAATTCCCAAAGCTTTGACGGGGATGAGACATTTCCTGGTAGTCGACATCCTTCCATACGTCAGTAAAGCATGACTGAAGCCCATTTGGTGCCCCTACCTATACCGACAATCGCGATTGGCTCACGTTGGCGTGCAGGGGTCATTTCTGGGGTGTCCATTCTAGAGCCTAGAGGTTGCCTTCAACGAGGCAGTGTCTTGTAAAGGAATTGGTAGGGCTGGCATGTCAACGAGGAGGCTACAGAGGAATAAGACATGTTTATCAGCAGTGCGAAACACTCGTTTTAACCTTCGCCATCCACGGAACACGCAGCCATTTGAGCTGTAGTTGGCAATAGCCTCAGGGGTGAGAGACTGGGCCAGAATTGGCGACCGGCATCTAGTGTATACCGCATTCATGTCTCCAGTGACGCCGCTGCCGAGACCGGATACTTGGCTCACGGAGCTGTAGGTCGTGGTGTAATCCTAAAGGGGATCACTAGTATGACCACGTTATCCCGATATGGATTAGTGCACATGTGACCGACAGCAGACCTTTCATACCGAGTACACCTCCGTAGTTTCGTCAATTGCAAGGAATGTCATCTGTGGTTCAATAATCAGGAACTCGATAACCAAGACCTGCAGATTTCAGGATCCCTCTCAGCCACCACATCACCTCTAGATCCATAGGTTAAAAGGGCTTGATCAACAGTCGTGCCATTGAAGACTGGTTCAAGGTGCCGGCGGGAAGATTATTTATGAGCCAGGGATATCGTTTGGCGAGTATATGGCTGCACAGCATGTAACAGTCTTGGTCGAGTTAAACAAGATCCGACATAGATGGAATTTATGATAGATCCTTTGCATCGCATGCCAACAACTCCTACCCTCGATGTCAAACAGACCTCGTTGCAAAGTTCGGCATTTAAAACTCCGGAATTCTTCGACTGTTGTGTCATAGTGCGACAATGACGATGAGATCTCGGAGTGCTCGGGGGTCGAAGCTCCAAGGTAGCTCTAGTTGTCTGTCTGGGATCTGTGGTCTGGACCGCTATGTAGCTCAATGGTGCACATAGTGAGGCAAAGCCAGACAGGTCTTATATATAGCAAGCAAAACTATCCAGAGACTCCTATGTTAGTATCAACATAGCAATATTCACTCTTTCATGTGTGTACGAATATAGTTAGTTTTGCACAATCACCGGTAGTCAGACTATGTACGCATGCCAATTAAATCTACATACAACATCCATAGCTAAAATAAAAACTGCAAATGACTGACTCCCAAATATTACAGTCATGGATAAACTAGTTAGATAGGGCAGCACCAAAAGCACCAAATAGACAAATATCGGTTCAACAACTATAGCAAGTAATAAACATAAACCCCTAACTCCGTCCACCCGACCAACAATCCCAAAAGCTCACGCCATCTATGATGAATGAGAAAAGCTCAACAACAACATGTAACCAAGTATACTAATGCCTCAATGCAATGCAATGCAATATAACACAGCGCAGTGAGATGAGATCTGAAATAAATGCACGCAGCCACAGTCAAAGTCACCAAAAGAAAAAGAAAACCAATCAATCCTCTACAATAATAAATGAAGAGTTGAGAGGTAGGAATGACCGAGATATCTGTCCTGGTAATGGAACCAATGGGGAGCCCTAATCTCCTGAATAGAGCCCTCGAAGAGATACAAAGACAACGAGGCGAGACAGGAAAGGACAGGATAAGTCAAGTCAAGTCAATGAGCAACGAACAAACCATGCATCGTAGCAATCAATGTCAAGAAAGAAAGATATCAAAAAGGCGAAGGCATTGTCAGACATCCCCTAAATCAACCAACAATAGCAAAAACACGGATATGCAACGAGAGACATGAAAAGAAAGATGAAATAAAGAAACGACGAGGACGAGTAATTCCAAACGACCGAGGCTCATGCAAGATATTATATGAGATGCTGTGGTATGATATGGTATGATCTGATATGACATGACAAGATATGTAAAGTGGTAAACAAAAGAGATTATCTTCAAACAAAAGAAAAAGAAGAAAGGAAAAGAAAACAGGTAGAATGATGAAGTGTACCCCAGTGCCAGCAGGATTAATAGAAGGAAACATAACATTAACATGATCGGTCCTAATATGGCAGAATCTGTACACGGGGATAAGTAGGCAAGGAGAATGTGATCAATGCAGGTGGAATCAGGTCACAAATGAAAGGAAGAAAGAAAGATAGGAGAATCTGGGTGAACCATGCGAGGAAGAACTTGAGAGTATGAGACAGGCGTTAATGTAAAAGATGAAACCGATTGTCAATGCTAACCGCAAACGTTCTTGTCAATATCAATGTCGCAGAAACAAAGGAAAATATACATTATGATCATTAACCGTTGTAGAGCCGGCTACAATATCAAGGATTGGACGAGGGTTCTGGTCGTTTCAGAAAGTGAAAAGAGAGAGAGAGAGAGCTGCGAGGAGGGTTGGCGAAAGCGAGAGTGGAGGCGCAATTTTCCGGTCGTCGTCTTCAGGATAAGGTTGCGGGATCGGGTGGTTAGTTTGGCGTTTCTATTATTTTTTCCGTTTTTTATTGTTCTTTTTGGGTGCCTTCTTTTTAACCATTCACCATATCGTCTAGGGCCATTTTTCGCCTCTTTGCCGGCCGTGATTCACCTGTGTCAGCTTCAGTCGTCGGCTCTTCGTCACGGACTCGTCCAGAAGACAGCTGCAAGGAATGACGTTGTACGGCAGGGTCGACGGCACTCAGGACTCGCGGGACGGTTTCGCCATAGCTCACCTCGGACATTGCCTGGCGCATCTGACTAGTGGGCGAGATCGGATCTAGAAACCCATGGCCTGTCATAGGTTGTCGCGGCTCGTAGCCTTCGTCGCGAGCCCGCGGAGACCATCCCATGGAATAGTCACTCGATCGATGAGGCTGCTGCGACCCCGAGCTTGGGCTTGCCATCGTCGGGGGGTATATAGGAGGTAGTCGAACGGGCGATTCGAGATAGGATTCCCGGGGGTCTCGCATGGGCGGCTCTCCCATTGCCATCCGATTTGCCATCCTCGCACTGTCGGCGTAGGGCGAAGACATCGGATGTCCATAGGCTTGTTGATATTGCGGAGGCGAGGGGGCCGGATGGAACGCCTGGTTTCCGTACGATGAAAGTGGCCTTCCCACCCCGATTGGCATGCGACCTGGCCCGAGCGCAGGGTTGTATGCACCGGGCATGGGAACGAAACCCGGGGGCGAGGCTGACGTGATAGATTGAACCGAGCCGGATGAGGAGAATCGCCTGTGGCCGATGTTTCTCTGCATCGTTAGGGCTGGGTCGAGGTTCGAGGGATACACTGAAGGCTGCCACCTGTGCGGCGGCATGGGCGCCGCTCGGAGACCCATTATACCGGGTGGTCCGCTGGGGGTTTGCAGATCTGTCATCGGTCGAATTTCTCGGGAAGATGTGGCTCGATGCATGGCGCGTCTCGACTGGTGTCCGTGGGGTCCCCCCGGCGTCGCTCCACTGTCCACTTGGGCTGGATATGACCTAAGGGAGGCTTCTTCGGCTTTCAAGGGGGGCCTCCCTCGCTTCTTGTGCGTCACATCAACGCAAGTGGCCTGCATAAAATCTGATTAGCTATCTGTCATACTTTCTTTATGCGTCGTTTCTTGAAGCCATGAACCAACAACATAAACGGCCGAAATTATCGATTACTATCCTAAAAGACTTACTTCTTTCCCCGACAAGACACATCTTCGACAAGGTCGAGCCGGATCGCAACCCAAGTGCTTCTTCTTGCAGTTCACACATGCCGACGCAACGTGAGCCTTAGTCCGTCGCGTAGGCTTCTGGGGTATTCCACGAGCGCCCGTTGCCGGAGACGAGGTCCCGAAGGTCGTCTGCGAATAGGTCGGTGCGGATGGAGGTGGCGGTGGGACTTGACCTCCCAATGTCGGTGGTAACCGCGACGCTGAAAAAGTATCGGCAAGGCCAAAGACTGGTCGCGATAGGTCGTCTACCTGGGCGGAGGCCACGCGGTGCAAAGGCGGCTCGTGAACGGTCGTCGTGGTGGCGGGCGACCCCGAGACCAGAAGGGAGCCCGGCGCTGTTCCGGCTGATATCGTGGCGGCGGTTGAGGACACCGAAGAGGAGGTCACTGTCGTCACTGGCTGAGGAAGCTCCGGATGACCGAGCCGTCGGACGTTTGCAGAAGTCTCCAGCGGGTCTTCTGCCGGGACCGAGTCGGACATAGAGCGAGGGAGAGGAAGGTCCCGCGGGGTGCAACGTCGAGCATTTGTTGACCGGGACAGATTCAAAGGAAGCCGGTCCGGTACCGGGTCAAATCTAGGATGTCCAAATTCCGTGGCGATAAAGGATGAAGGGGGAAGCACTAATGATTGCATCTGGTGATGATAGGGGTCCCTGGGGTCTATGGGGACGACGAACGGACACGAGTTCACAGGAAGGGAGGACGAAATGGGTGAAATATTGAAAGCGGGAGCATATCTGGCAGGCCCAAGCAATAAATGTCCCTTTTTCCCTTCTAAATCCTGCGAAGTCGGTGTGTGCGTGTAAAGTGCGAGCGAGGTGTAGGTGTGTCCGACTCAATCGCCCGTCATCACTGACAAGTCCACGCTTTGACAGGCTGTTTTTAGGGACCGCCAGGAGCTTATAATCGAGTCAGTACTCGGTCACTATTGGAGGAGTCATAAAATAGGATGTGATGATCAGCAACGACTTCCCAGATCGTGACGGCAGTTTTTTCCATGGCTTCGATGGTCTCCATCCTGGGATGATTTATTGCAGCATGGTGGGCGATCAATGGAGCCAGAAGAACAAGCGCAGAAGGAAGGGGAGCCAAATTAATTAATTAATTGACAGGGAAAAACAAGGAAAAGAAAAAGAAAAAGAAATACGAAAAGAAAGGGAAGAAAAAAAAAGAAAAATACACGCAGGGACCAATTTGCACCTTACCTGTTCGAAACTGGTAACGTCACCTCTGCCAGTGTCTTGAATCTGTCCCAAGGAACTTCTGATTTGGTTGGTTCGTATCGGATATAAGATGGCAGAGGGAAGAAACGGTGAAGTATAGAAGTAGAAAGTGAGGCGTAAAATTCCGGCGGGATAACACTGGGCGCAACAGCCCAGCGGAGAGAAAAAAACGTCAGAAGGGGGAATTAAAATCAACCAAAAAGAATATTCAGTCAATTATTTTTCCCACGTCCACCAGAGAGGAAGAAAAAGAAAAAAAAAAAATAGTGAAAAATAAGAGAGATAATAAGAGAAAAAGAAGAGGGAATAAAGACTTCCTCCCAGATCTGGCGTCGTCGTCCTTTTTGGATAAGAAGCTAATTCTCTACGTAACGGTCAGGGATATTTTCATGTCCAGAGAAGAAACTCTCGTGAATCGAAGAGATGCCACTAAAAGGCAGCGATCAAGTTTCTTTGAACATCACCTTCAAACGGGGGGAGAGCCGTAAGGATCCTGGTCCTTTTCTTATTTTATTTTCCATTTTTACCTGCAGGCCCCATGAACAAGGCTTATAGGCTTCAGCAGGTCGGCAAAAGGAATGGGAACCCAAGGTGGATAAATGGTGGCCAGTGCCAGCGAGACTAGCAGCCGATAGACTTGGATCTCCATCATGGTAGATCTCATTTTATTTCATTTCGTTTGTTTTAATTCCCTCCCCCCGGGGAGGTGTCGAGTATGTCTGGCTTGATTTAGGGGCGTTATTTCCATCGGAAGAGCGTAATAGTTCCAATCTTCCGGGGGATCCAGTCCAATGAGCTCAATCCTCAGACATCTCTGTCCTCTTGGACTGTGTTTGACTTGGGGAGAATTTTTTTTGCGTTTTGTTGCTTTTTTATTTTTTTAATGGATTTTGTTCCTCGAGATTTTCTTCTTCCCTGTTGTTCTGCACGAACGTCTCCCATTTGTCTCTTCCTGCCCATGCTGGAGACAGAGCAGCCGTGGCTTGCATTAGAATGGGGGAGAAGGAATGGCCATTGCTGTCAGTGACACCGTCCTAAAGGGGTTAAGAGAGGGGTAAGACTAGGAAAAGATAGGAAAAGAAAAGAAAAAAAAAAGAGGGCCAGACAGTCGTATACCAAGACAAGAAGAAATAGAAAATAAAATAAAACCAAAAAGGTCTAAGCTGAGCAAGCAAGGCGACGAGGGAGCGACGGATCGACGTCGGCGCCCGCCCCGCTGCATCCCATTGCCAATAGTCAGCTGGCACTACCGAATGGTGTCGATGTTGGGGGCATTTGCAAGCCAGGATTTTAAGCTTGTCAATCCAATGGATTGGGCGGAGCTTCCCAAATCCAGACAACCCTGGATCGTCTCACTATGGTTCTGATCAGGGACCTTCGTCGAGACTTGCCTCTGTTTTGCTGAGCACCTCGGTCGGATGTCGGTTCAAACGAACACAGAAATTCAAGAAAATCAATTAGAATAAAAGAACAAACACAACTTCAGGGGGAAGGGGAAAGGTAGACGAAGAAGACGAAAAACAAAGGAAAAAGCCCCATTACTCATGGAATGGCGAATCCTCTTCATGCCATTCATTTCTCCGCCATTGTCCTTTTCTTGCCCCATAATTGGGCACAATAGGATCCAATGAATCGATTGATTCCTTTCTTTTTCTCTTGTCTCGTCATATCTGGTCTTCCCCTTTTCACTCTTTTCTTTTTCTGTTTTTCTCCGGGTTTATCTCTGGATTTTATCGTCGACTTGGTCGCGTCGGACTGGTACGTTTACCGGTTACTGAAAATAGCATCTGAGACAGCCTCGTTTTACTGTGAGAAGTTGCGGAAGGAAGTCGGTTCATCTGACAGAACCTGTTCGTTCTACTGAATTCCGACGGTGGCTTCGATCATCCATGGGAGATCCGAAGGCCTCTGAAGCCACAATTTCTTCAAACTGCGACGAACTGGTTCTCTTGACGCACGAGACACCTATGATGTTATGATCTGCCCGTCGCAAACATTATTTGTCAATTGGACTAGTCGGACAGTATCGTGGTAAAAGGAGGGGGGGTTTTACGGGAAACTGTGCTTGACAGATGACGCCAGCCCCAATAGCCCCGAGTATTGGAATGAGAGACAACAATTCTCCGCAGTGGCTCTGGAGTCGATGGACGGACCCACCCGGCTGGGCAGTGTAAAAACTGTACTTTGCTGTCGCCTGCCATTATTCCGTTCATTGGCGTGTCTGATTATGTCCCGCTTGCATCGCATGCCGCCTAGACTGGGGGAGGAGGGATCCGACCTGGGAAGACGTCGGTACTTCGAAGATAGGCGACGCATGGTCTTTGGGGAGATGATCCCCTATCAGCCTATTCCGTCAGGAGATTTCGTTCTTTTTTTTTTGTTTTGTTTGCCCACTCTCTCCTTTTCCTTTTCTTTTTGACGTGGTAATGGTTTTCTTTTCGCCCCTTCCCGTGCACGGAAGGGGAAATAGACGATGATAGTCCATGTAAGATTGCACTTGCAGCTTACCTAGCTCGCGTGATCGTATGTTTAACTTTAAAATATAGACATGAAGAGATCTATTGAGCTGACCGTTAGAGACGATCAGTGTCAATCATCATATCCTCATGTTCACCTTGGCCGCTATCATGAACGATGAACTACGTAGACCAGACCGGCAGGTGGTGGCCTGGGCATACGACTTGTGTCGTGAAATACGTGAGGTCCCGACCAACTTTGCATGGTAAGACAGTCAAGCCTTTGAGATACCTCGACACATGTCCTTAATGTCCGGTCGAAGTGAGGGAGAGATTATTTATTTTTCGATCAAGATGTGGCTGCAGCAAGCAACGCCCTGACCAGTGGAACAAACATCAGTCTAGGCTGGTCACCTGAGCCCCGGACAATTTGCGAACAATCTCCATTCATTCATCCGCTGGTACGGAGTAATGGCCCGTCTGATAAAAGAGTGGCCGACAGGTCCACCGGCTCTGTTCAGCATGGGAAAGTGGAGGGACCAATTGACGACGGATTAACAACGGTTTTTTAAGTGATGTAAATGCATGACCTGGAACGGTGGGAGTTGTAGATCTTCTTTTCCCTCGGGAATCCTTTGTTTTATTCGGGTGCCAATTTCCCATTTGAAGATCCCACATGAATTGTTTTCACCCGGTCGGTACAAACCGGCCGAGTCGTGAATTTGGACTGAAAGGGGGAGATCCAAACTTGAGTCACGTCGGGGAATTCTCTGAGCTGTCCACACTCTTGGCTTATTGTTCTGTCAGTTCAAGTTTGTCTCTGAATGGTAACGCCTGGCCCTTTGGATTTAATTTTACGAGATAAAAGCTGTGATGCGGGGAATCAACTGTAAGGTAGAAAAAAAGCACTGGCGGATAAGGTGAAAAAGAAAAGAGAACGAAAAAAAAAAATTGAAATGGAAACCCGAGAATCAAGACAAGACAACCACTAAGAAATGGACCAACAAACCGCGACAAGCCCGTAATCGTCGCGTCGTAGTCAGTTTCTCGGCCTTCAACGTGGAAGAGATGCATAAGGAAAAGGAAATTGGAGAGAGCCCAATGAATTGTGGAACGCGGGGGCAGTAGCAGCAGCAAGGGGTCCAGATGATCTACTTTGGTCTTCGTCGGGCCCTAAAGGGAGAGAAAGGCAAGAAGAAAAAGAGGGTGGTTTGTTCTTACTTCTTGCTCCTAGTCCTAAGCCAAAGTAAGCGGTTCATGCAGGCCGGAGCGGAAGATATCAGCACGATCTGCCTCTTAGGGGCCGTCGAGGGCCAATAGTTCGAGCCACTGGGTCCAGGAAGCCCATTAGCTCCGTCTCTGGGCTCCTTTTTCCCGCCCAGGAAAGGCCAAGACCCTGAGTCAGGGACTGATGATGTCGAATGCAGATAGGGATTGAAGGATGGAGGAAGAAAAAAAGAAAGGCGTGCAGGGTAATACCATACCACCTGAGGACAGTCAGTCAACATAACATGGGCTGCGGTGTCACCCGAACACACGGGGTCCCTTGACGAAAGACATGAAGAAGAAAGTGAAGAAGGAGACACGAAAAGACGGACGACGCGAACCGGCGGCCCCGTGACCCCGGCTGATCCGCGCTAGTCTCTGAAGGGGTTAGTGGTCCCGTGCCCGGGCCAGAACCCGGTGGAGAAAAGATAATTAATTGGGCGACGGTATTTGTCACCTCCCGGCGAGGCTCAAGCCGACTATCAGTTTCATCCTCACTATGGAGTATCGACTATAGACTATTGATTTCCTTGTCGACTGGTTTTAATTCCCTCGATCATGCCATTTGCAGCCGATGTGAATCCCGGCGGACAATTCCTCTGTCTCTCTCTTCCACTTCTAGCCCTGATCCTGGCCGGTCTGCAGTCTGTGCTTTTTCCCCGTCAAATTCCCCTGATTGTCAATATTCTCCTCGACGGGTGAGGCCGGAAACAAGCAGCCAAAAATAAATGAAATTTTTTTCATTAGACTCTAGGAGACACCAGGAAATTCGCCGGCCATGGCGGAATGAGAAAGTATCACCCCCATTTCCTAACACACCCGCTTTTCCCGTGGCACTTGACGCGGTACGTCCCAGTCCCAAGTGCGTGGGCGACACGAGATAATCTTCCGAAAGGGTCCTCCCGACTATGACCCTGAAGGTCCCTGTGATGTATACGGAGTACAGCGGTGCGGACAGGCGAGATAGGAAAGATGTCGGACCCATGTGAAATTGGAGTCTGACCATCCATAACGAGTCTGGATGTCGGTAGAGGGTGTCTATCGTGGTATGTCCATCCCTTTTCTGCCCCTATTCCACCGGACGTATCCATCGCTTTCTTGTCTACTATGGTAAAGAACTATTGCTTCTTGGCCATTGGATACTCGGAATACT